CCCAGGTACGCCGTGTTATTCTTTCCATCTTGCACTCGGCGGATGAGAGAGGGCGACGCCGCCAGGCGAGCAGATCACAGTCCGCGAGCTCGCAGGGATTCGTTCCCACTGTAGCGTCTGCGCTCGATGCCCAAGCACACTCGGTGCCGCTGCGTCTCTGCATGACGCGGGCGGTACAGTAGAGTAAACTATGTAGGAGCAAAATATATTTCTTTGTTTCGAACTCGCGGGTTCATCTCACGTCGATCTTGTCATACTGAGGGCTCGTCCGATGCACTTCGTCTCGTCCAGCTTGTGATGGCATGAAATCGAGTCGAGCTGTGTCGCCCGAATTCAAGGTAAGCAAAGAAGCAACAAGCGGCCTGCACGCAGGCTTACCTGTGTCGCGAGTACCAGAACTCAGAAGGCATCCGTGCTGATGTGCAGGACAGTCAGTGGGGCACAGATCGGACTCACCAGTGCGGGGAAGACGCACTCGATCGGCTATCTCGTCGATCGAATCGTAAGCTCGCCGCAATGCATTCTCAAGTGCTTCGCAGCGTCGTGCTAGCACGCAATGAGAGCACGGTTGCACTCAAGTATGTACAGGGACCATAGACAACAAATATATTTTGTTTCCTGTGCAACACAGACAAGTCAGCAGCCCTTCAAGACTTTTGGACAATGTGGGGTGCTCACCAAGATTGCCTATAGACTGTGTCAGGTTGTGCCACAGATCCAGAGAAACTCAGATGGTGTCAGTCTTCCGCCGAGCGGAGATGCAACCCGAAGAAAATAAATCTATTTCATCCTGCATATGGACATGTTAGAATCACCCGAACAAATGCAAGGGACGAGACAACTCACAAATTGCATATATTTACAACGTCGGACGACTCATCGGTGCTGGCTGTCAATCACAATCCCCCGATCGTCTAGTATGTAAGACAGACGGTGCGAGGTGCACGCAAGCGGTGGAACACTTCTCCGCCTCCTCGCGTTCTCGGTCCTTGGAAATCTGAAGCATCTGAGTGCTGTCAGTGGACAGATGGACTCGGGAAAAATACCCTGAGAGCGACAGCGAACGATGAACAAGCCTCTCGGGTAGAGACCAGGCTCGAATGCCATAGAGTGGCGATCAGAGGCAGTTTATCATTCATCAGCAGAGAGCAAAGGAGGGGAGACTAACGTACTCCTCAGTGCGGCATGTGCATTTGCAGCATCGGGGCGAAGCATGGCGGCCAGGAGATGATGAGCGCGACAGACGTTGTCGAGAATCAGTTGGCTGGGTGTGAGGAAGTAGGGAGAAAGGGGAGGATCGCTGGATGATGTCGAACATAGAGGAAATTCCAGTATTTAAGTCGCAGCCAGTGGTCCGTGCGCACGTATCCCCGAGTTTCCATGTCGTCTGAGTGAAAAAAATCGTCGGATCAAGTCACCTGGATACACGACGTGCGTGAGTAACCGGCCCTGATCGCATGACTCACCCGCTTCACCTCAAATTCCACCGACTCGCCGCCAACCCTGTCCAGCCCCTTCGCAACAGTCCCCGAATCTTCTGAACGTATGCTTCAAATAAATTTGCTGCACTTGTTGCCATAGCCGAGAGCCCCGTGATGTCGTAACAGTTCCGCGCCCGCGTGCAGCTTGAGCGGCGAAGTTTGCCGACCTGGTTTCAAATTGAATTCTTGCTCACCGCTCAATCTCGCATACCGGCTGGTTATACCGCCAATTTCTTCAATTTGCAGTGCCCTCTGAGCATGCAGAGGTCGACAATGAGTGTGTGGACGGACGAGGACCAGGGAGAGCTCACCAGGGTGAAGAAAGCATAAGAGATGTTCGAACTCACTCCAAACCCAAGGCAGAAGCGCCCCAACGAAGGCTCATAGCCTCGTGTCCGTCCTCTAATGTTTACCGGGTCCAGGCTGGACATCTTCAGAGATCTGCCGCGGACGCCGTTGATGCAATCCCGCTGTATCCAAGATTCCGGGTGGCCGATCTTGAGTTCCTTGCAATCTACGCGAATGAGTGCGAACGGAACAGTTCCAGGACAACAATCCATCCACTCTTTGCTCATTTGTTTGTGCATGAATTACTGCCCGCATTCTCCATGTACATATTAGATAGATAGGTAGATAGTTTCTCAACTTACCAGAGCACGCAGCATCTGGGTATTGGTAGACTGGCGGTACTACAGGCAAGGGAAGTGTCAGTGATTTTGGAATGTTAGCCTCTGCAACTTACACCGAGTGTCGATGTCCGACCCGGAAGAGTCTTCTGATGACTGAAGCATTTGCAATGCATGGCATGCATGCCCGTCCGGTGATCAAATGCCGTCGTCAGCACATAACCATCTAGCTTCCGAGCGGAGCCGAAGTGCTCCATTCATCTCACTGCAAGAGGAGTGTGCTCGGGCCGCAACTGTGAATGTAGACACAGATCCCGCACCTCTCACCTGGTGAATCCACGGGAGTGCAGCACATCCGCAAACGATGTCAGTGCATATGGTACATGTAGGAAATTCAGTACAAGTACATTCATTTGTTGTATACAGAACTGCGAAAGCATTTAGCTTGGAAGATGAACGTTAACATTGATGAGCTCAGAGGTGAGTACTCCACTGGAGTTCTACGTTCGCATTTTCGGTCCGACCTGTTGCGCGAAACCTTCCATGCTACAATCGTTCTGATCATCCTGTCCAGGGAACATCCTCGTACACATGCATGTTTGTGCAATGCTTCCCGCGGTCTTGATCACACTGCTGGAGGGAGATTCTAGTCGCGCTCACTGGCATGCACAACATCCGAACTTGGATTTGCACATGCAATGAAAGCAGACCATGGAGCATACCATTCCAGTGCGAAAGCAGGTATGTAGAGCACAGAGGAGGCCACTCGGTTCTCAGTGAAGTGGTTGACAGCGTGGATAAAGAAAGAGTTGAGTCTGACGTGCACCCGTGAATCGTCCGATGAGCTTCCAACGACACTTACCAAATCTGTCAAATGGTGCTCTTGGCTCAAGACTCAGAGTCGGGTTGATATCCACATCACTTTGTCTCTCGCGTCGATAACTCCATCTCGTGTACTGTAGTCTAAGACCTGTTACTTGCAAAGTGGTTGCCTCACTGTCTGGTAATAGTATTTTTGTAGAAATTGAATTGTACCACTTGCAGTCCGATTGTCAAGCTGCCATCCGAGTCTCGGTCCTCAGACATGTCAACAGTGCATGATCGGATGGCATTTCCACGTAGGAGTTGTGTCTCAGAAAGTCTGTAATTCATCGGAATATGAAGGTCAGTCTTTCCGGAGATGTACACGGACCTCCGATGCATCATTAGATCCAGGTATCTTGCAGAGATGCCCCAAACATCTTTGCACGTCTTTGACCAAGAAGCACAAGGACGTTTGGGGCACTTCTGCAAGATACTTTGATCCCACTTACCATGTTATTTGCTGTTTCTAGGTATCCCGAGCATGATCTTGAAGCCCTGTCCTATCCTCCCATGCAGTTCCCCAGCAGGTATGTCGTCAGATTGCTTTGTTCATGCCAATCACATTTCGGAATGGAAGGGTGAGTCTGACATCATAAGGAGCAACCGAGCAATCAGCAATCACATCTCTGGATCGCGCCTCGGGTAGTCATGACTACTAATTTCTGATTTCTGATCCCCGCCTAACTCTGTTTACTCACCAGATGTCAACGACCCATCAAATTTCGGCTACGATCAGCGGCCATCAGTGTCAGGCCGACCTGAATATATCTTTCATCCCACATTTTTCTTTCACCCACTCACCTTCCTCCCTCTCTCCCTCCAGAACAGGTTTCACTAACCTGACGCCCACTCTTGACATCTCTCGCTGCTCGCATCAAGTCCAGAATGCAGCACTCCAACAATGTGTGGTTTCAAGGTCAGCAAGCCGCAGCGAAACTCGGTGTGGAAGGATGCGCGGAGGTTTGTACTGAGCTCTCTCACACTGATTAGAGCTCACATCATGCTGACGAAACCCTGCGAGAATAGAAACTGTATGTGGCCATCGACAAGAGGTGCAGCTTGCGACAAGGCATCATTCCTACCACACATCAAACGGACTAGTATGTTTTAGCATTATTGTAGAATCCGATTTCATCTGACGGATCCTTTTTATGTAGGTCTTCATACTTGGATTCCCGAGATTCATGCACTGCAATGAGCATGCTGCAAGTCGCGATCATACCGAGTTGTCGAGAATGTAGCACGAGAGCAGCATCCGACCAATATATCTCAAAAAGGCATGTCTTAATGTTAGTGCCAGAGTCCCTGACTTACATATGTTGTTTTCCAGGCATCCTCGCTCGAATCTCGGACCTCAGCGTAGCTGCGAGCCTCGCATGCAATGCAGAGGATGTTCTCGAGTCCTGCGAGCCTACCGCATCGAGAACAATAGGTTCTCAGTGTGATTTAGTATCGAGTACGTCGATATTTGCATTAGATATCTGAGGCGGTGTCGAGCTCACGTTCGTACCTCGAAAATAGGCAAATTGATGCGTCAATTTGCCGAGGCTCAAGCCCAGCGGCGAGCGTGCCGCATTCCTCAAGAGAGTGCATCGCTGTGCCTGCGATTCTCTGCAAGACGGCTCGGTGGCCACGGTCCGGGCAGCGGGGCGGAGCGCCGCAGCCGCCCATCTCGCTCGCCTGGAATGCCGAGGAGAGCATGTCGGGTAGAGCGTGGTCGACGACGACGCTGTGAGCGAGACGGACTCGCAACGGGTATGTAGGCCTTTAGATTAGATGTCCCAGGCCGCCTCGAGCTCACCTTTCTGTCTCAAAAATAGGTAATGTTTTGTCTCAATATTCTGAGGCTCAAGCCCAGCGGCGAGCGTCCTCCGCTCCTGAAGAGAAAGTATCGTCCTCCCCGCTGTCTTCTGTATGGCGGTGGGACGGCTGCGGTCCGGGGGGCGGCGCGCAGCGCCGGCAGTGCCTTCTCGCTCGAACGCTAAGGAGAGCACGTCGGGCAGAATGTCCTCGACGTCATCCATCGGTGATGCGGGTACGTAGGCGTCCGCGTTAGATGTCCCAGGCCGCTCGAGCTGACCTCTCTACCTCAAAAACAGGTAATATTTCGTGTCGATTTTCCGAAGTTCAAGCCCAGCGGCGAGCGTCGTCCACTCCTCAACCGAGTGAATCGTCCTCCTCGCCGTCGTCTGTACGACAACGAGACGGCTGCGGTGCGGGGAGCGGCGCGCAGCGCCGCCAGTCCCTCCTCGCTAGCCTGGAACACCGGGGAGAGCACGTCGCAGAGCGTCTTTGACGTCATCCGTCAGCGATATAGGTACGTGAACCTCCGCGTTAGATGTCCCAGGCCGCCTCGAGCTCACCTTTTCGTCTCAAAAATAGGTCATATCTTGCGTCGATTTTCTGAGGTTCAAGCCCAGCGGCGAGCGTCATCCACTCTTCAAGAGAAAGTGTCATTCTCCTCGCGGACCCTTGTACGATAAGGAGACGGCTGCGGTCCGGGGAGCGGCGCGCAGCGCCGCGAGTCCCCCTCTCACTCGCCGAAGAGAGCGCGTCCGGCAGGATGTCGAGAGGGGGCACGCAGCGGGTACGTGGGCTTTCGCATTAGATGTCGCGGGCCCCGTGGAGCTCACTTTCCCTCCGTGAAATTAGGGGATTTGGAGCGCCGAATTCTCGAGGCCCAAGCCCAGCGGCGAGCGTCACGCGGTGCAGAAGATATTGCACCGACGTCCCCGCCATTCGACGCCTTCGAGCGAAGCGGTTGCGTAGCGAGGGCGGCGGCGCGCAGCGCCGCCAGTCCCGATCGTGCTCTCCTCCCACTCCACCACTTGCCAGTCGGTCTGTGGGTTGGCAGTCTTCGATCGCGGGCTGAGGGCAGCGTCGCAAGGCCTCTGTCTCAGTGCCGTACGAGACTGAACGCGTCCACGCCGCTCACCGCGTGTTTCCAACGTTGAGGTCCAGAGAAGAGGGGCGCGCAGCGCCCCGCGGTTTCCCGTCCGAGTCGCCTGCGGCATTGAGGACGACGTTCTTCTCGTGCTGGCGCGCTCCCACTCGTTGGTGGAACGTTCGAGGTGCGCGTCGTGCCGTCGTGGCTCGCATAGACCGTGAGTCTTGCTGCTTCACCCTTAGAGCTGTCCCGCTGAGTCCTGACCAGGCCTCGATCTTCCACGATTACGCCGTGGATTGGGACGTCGCGCGTGCGCGTTCGTCTCCCGTGTGCGGCGGTTGTCGATGCACCGTGCCTGCATGATTTCTACGTGAGTGCGGTTTTGCTTTGTTCAGTGTTTGCAATGCACTCACCTTTGAATTTCGGCGTTTTTAGGCTTGAATATCCGTGCGTCCGGTGCTGGGCCGGCGTCCTTCGCGGATCGTCGCTACGTACCCCCGAAGGCTTGCGGTCAACACTGGAGCCTTCTGCTGCGTGAGTGGATGTTGGCCTCCCCCCGGCGTCTCGTCGATGGGACGCAGAGGTCGACTGCGCCCCCCCTCCGCTGTGCAAGGCTGCACCAGGTTCGTCGTTCTGCTGTCTGTCGCGGGTTGCGCGATACCGGTGGGTGTCGTTTCGTCCCTTGTGGTGCGTCCGATGCTGATGGTGTTCGGCTGACCAGGCGTCGATCGTCGCCGAGATCCACGCGGTGAAAGCGTACAACGCGGCCGAGCGCGTTTGAAGTCGGTGCGATGGGCACCTCGCGAGGCACGGAACGCGTTTGTGTGCTCGTCACACGAGCACTCTCGCGGTCGACGCCAGAATGCGCGCGCGCGGTGTCGTTGGACGGCGATGTGGTACGTGCGTGTTCTGCACACTGTTCTTGCTGCTGCTAATCGTTCGCACGCGTTTCCAGGCCGTGTCGTCGCCTCTGAGTGCGCTGCAGAGAACGAAACGTGGGGCGTGTGTGGTGGAGGCCTTGTTGAGGCTTGCCTGTGCTGTTGCGGGCCCCGGGCTCCTCATCGGCCGCATTCTGCGTCCTCCGCATTCGCAATGGGCAGGCTTTCTGGACGCGTGAGGCGGAACGCAAGTGTCAGCAAACGCAACGCACGTCAACCTCGAATTAGGAAGACTCACCGGAGATCGACTGTCAAGCACGCGAGCTGCAAAGTACGATGGGCGCGGTCTCGCGCGATCTCCCGCAGAAGGGATGGTGCGGTGTGGTGCGTCGCGTTACGAGGGGATCACTGACGGAGTTTTTTTCGCAGAACTTCGCGCCGTCCTCGCGAGCTCATCTCCTTGGAACGGCACGCCTCGGTCGAGTGCACGAGAAGCCATCCTCTGCGCGCGAGAGTTGTCGAAACAGAGCGTACGGGCGGCGGCTTAGCGCGGCAAAGGGGAGCTGACCGGTGGGAAGGAAGGACCGGGCGCGAGAGGCGAGGGACGCAGGACTGGAGGAACAGGCTGAGGATGAGAGGGAGACGTGGAGCTAGCGTAGACAGAACACATGTCAGACGGCGCGAGATCGAGCGCGCGCGAGAGACTCAGCAGAGCTCGGACGGCTCTATGCACGAAAGACTCACCCACCAGAGTGCCCTATGCACGAAAAGACAGCCTATCTCTCGAATTTATGCTGGATGTTTCCTCCGAGCCATCCGATGCAGGCCAGAGATCACCAGAGACTTTGCAGCCACCGGGGAAGCGGGTCACGTGCTCCCGACCAATGGGGAGGGAGAGGCGGCGTTGAGTTGGTCGTGCCGCAAGCCAATAGCAACGCTCGTCGCCCACCGAATTGCGTCTCATCCCAGGCCAATCAATGGACCCCGTCGATCACCTCTTCCACCCCGGCCCAGCTTATCCGTCCTACCGTCAGTCTTTTCCGCAGAAAACAAACATATCCCCGCACGCTGACCCCCGCCCAGCCCACCAGCCCGTCTACAACTTCTACCCCCACCGTCCCTCGCCCCCGCACTCTCCAGCGCCAGTCCCCCTCTTCCACCAGCAGCCACCCCAGGACTCCCACCAGCGCGACCCAGACCAGCCCGTCGACCAGATACACGACGACCCCCCCATCGACGAGGAGCCCCTCTATGTCAACGCGAAGCAGTATTATCGCATTCTCAAACGGCGCGTCGCCCGCGCCCGCATCGAGGAGCTGCACAGGCTCTCCAAGCAGCGCAAGGTACCCCTCTTCCTCTCCTCATTATTTTTCGCGCCCTCAACTCATCTACGCCAGCCGTACCTCCACGAGTCGCGCCATAAGCATGCCATGCGCCGTCCCCGCGGCCCCGGCGGCCGCTTCCTCACCGCAGAGGAGATAGCCGCACAAAAGAACCTGCAAGCCGATGCGGGGCCTTCCAACTCCACATCCCCGGACGCCGACGATGAGGACGCCATCGACGTCGACCGCGACATTGACAGGGACGTCGACATGTCCGTCGACAGCCCCATCGAGCCCCCTAAGCCGCCGACGTTCCAAATCCAGCAGCTCGAGGAGCAGCGCGTCCAGCCGAAGCTGCAGGCACTCGAGGAGCAGGATCATAGCGAGAAGCCGCGCCCTCCGCCAGCCTCGCAGCCATCTATTCAACCATCTATACAGCCGCGTCCGCAACGTCCGCGCCAGCCGTCCCCGTCTTACATACAGCCGCAGGCCCAGATGCAGGCGCAGCAACAGCTTCAAGCGCAGTCACAGATGCAGGCGCAACACCAATTACAAGCGCATGCGCAGATGCGCGTGCAGCACCCAATACAGCCTCAGGCTCCGCAGATGATTCGGCAGCACTCGCAGACCCGTATTCAGATGCAGCCTCAGACACAAATGCAACCACCAGCGTCGGCGCATTCACAGACCCAGCAGACGATTCGCCGGCCGTCTCTGACTCTCCAGCAGCAGCAGCAGCAGTTACCACAGCATTCCCCCCTCGTGCACTCGCAAGCGCAGCTTCAGCCGCAACAGCAACAACAATCGCAGCCGATGCGCTCACCCACATACGAGCATCCGCACCAACACCAGCACATGGGGATGTTGCACGGCACCAGCCCAACGAACCTCATGAACGTCAACGCCAACGTTGGCTACCACCATCCGCTTTCGCCTGCGCCAGTCTCGCCGGTTCCCCAAGATGGACATCGTGCGCACGAGCACTCGCGTCACCTCGGATCTCACCTTCAGCAGGTGTCGTCGGTTCAGCAGATGCAGGACTCGCCCTCGCAGACGACATCGCCACAGATGACGTCCCCGCAGATCTCACTGCGCGCGCCGTATGCGGCAATGCAGATGCACCATGTTCCGCACCCGCATGCTCACGCACGCCATCATCATTCACTCGTTGGTCGGGGGGAGCAAGTTTACCATGACGTGCCCGGCAGCGAGTATAGCGGCGGCGCATCGGGGAGGCGATAGGACGGTATCAAACACATTTAAACCTTCATATGTTCGACTCGTTGTCGATGCGGGGATCAGCACTAGACAAGGCTCGGACGAGACACTGGAGACGGACGCGAGCGAAAACGTCGAGGCCGCAATACAGAAGAGGAATGCAGGGCGGAGAGAAAGGAGGTCGAACGAGGGCGCGATCGCAAGGTCGAGACGTCAAGACGAGTAGAGTCCGCACACGCCCCTCCGGCGCGAAAAATGCATGAGCGACGCCAATGGACGAGGAACGCTACCTCGAGCAACGAAGAGATGGACCAAACGCACGGGCGAGAATGAGTGAGGATGACGGTGGAAGCCCTGATGCTGCGATACGGACGTGCTGCAGAATGAGCAGCTGGACGGTTTTTGTGTGCTCGGTTGGGCACGTTCTCACAATGCCAGGCTCGACAGTCGGTTCCCCGCACACGGAAATGCACGAGGACATACGACGCGGAGTGAGCTCTTAAGCATGCGAGAGAAGACGAGCTCGCGAACAGTTTGTCGGTCATGCACACGCGGCCCTCATCCAGTAACAATGGATTGAACGACCGAGGACGATGGGTCATGACCTGGCGCCCTTCCTCGTCGTGCCCTGGCGTCTCAACGCCGAGTGTTTCGCACTACAGGTTGTGCAGGCATTGAAGTGACATTCCCGCGGAGAATTCTCTGACGCCCAATGCCTTCGTCTTGCGTGAACACTTCCAGCGTGTCGTCTTGCTCCGCCCATGCAGTCCTCCCTGCTGCAGGGCTCGCAGCCGCGCTCGCATTGCAGCATCGGAACGCCGCCCAGGTACGCCGTGTTATTCTTTCCATCTTGCACTCGGCGGATGAGAGAGGGCGACGCCGCCAGGCGAGCAGATCACAGTCCGCGAGCTCGCAGGGATTCGTTCCCACTGTAGCGTCTGCGCTCGATGCCCAAGCACACTCGGTGCCGTTGCGTCTCTGCATGACGCGGGCGGTACAGTAGAGTAAACTACGTACGTATGAGCAAAATATATTTCTTTTTGTTTCGAACTCGTGGGCGCGTGATTCGACACCTGCGGGAGGCAGAGCGGCTGGCGGGTTCATCTCACGTCGATCTTGTCATACTGAGGGTTCGTCCGATGCACCTCGTCTCGTCCAGCCTGTGACGGCACGAAATCGAGTCGAGCTGTGTCGCCCGAATTCAAGGTAAGCAAAAGAAGTAACAAGCAGCCTGTACGCAGGCTTACCTGTGTCGCGAGTACCAGAACTCAGAAGGCATCCGTGCTAATGTGCAGGACAGTCAGTGGGGCACAGATCGGACTCACCAGTGCGGGCGAAGGTGCGTTCGATCGGCTATATCGTCGATCGAATCCTGAGCTCACCGAAGTGCATTCTCAAGTGCTTCACAGCATTGTGCTGGCATGCAATGAGAGCACGGCTGGACTCGGGGATGTATGGGCAAAGCTCGTAGAAAACAAATATATTTTATCTCCTGTGCAACACAGACCCGTCATCAGCCATTCGAGACCTTCGCACAAGGTGAGGTACTTACCAAGGTTGCCTGCTGATGGCGTAAGACCGCGCTACAGATCGGGAGAACTGTGGATCACATCAATCGTCTGATGAGCGAGGTCCTCACGCAACACCGAGTTAACAAATATATTTTACCCCTGTACAACACAAGTTAGAATCGTTAGGACAAGACGACTCACAAATACTATACATCTACAATGTCAGAAGACTTCAGCGCCGGCATGGCGCCGAGTGCGGTGGCTGCCAATCACAATCCCCCGATTGTCTAGTATATAAGGTGGACGGCAAGGCGTGCACAATCCATGAAATGCAGCTCCGCCTCCTCATGCTCTCAGCCGTTGAGATCTGAAGTGTACAAGTGCTGTCAGTAAACACATGCAGGGAAACAAATACCCTGAGAGCGACAGTGAATGGTGAACAAGCCTCCCGTGCAGACACCGGGCTGGAATGCCATAGAACAGCAATCAAAGGCTGCCTACGATCATCAGCCTAGTAGTACATACAACACGGGAACATCAGCGGTCAGCGGGAAGTAAGCAAGGGGAGACTAACATACTAGTTGTTGCAACATGCCAGTTTGCACCATCAGGGTGAAGCACGGCGGCCAGGGGATAATGAGTACGTCAGACGATGTCGAAAATCAGTCAGCTCAGTGTGAGGAAGCAAGGAGAAAGGGGAGGATCGGTGGATGACGTCAAACACAGAGAAAAGTCCAGTATTTAAGTTGCAGCCAGTGGTCCGTGCGCACGTATCCCCGAGTTTCCATGTCGTCCGAGTGAAAAAATCGTCGGATCAAGTCACCTGGATACACGGCGTGCGTGAGTAACCGGCCCTGATCGCATGACTCACCCGCTTCACCTCAAATTCCACCGACTCACCGCCAACCCTGTCCAGCCCCTTCGCAACAGTCCCCGAATCTTCCGAATATATGCTTCAAATAAATTTGCTGCACTTGTTGCCATAGCCGAGAGCCCCGTGATGTCGTAACAGTTCCGCGCCCGCGTGCAGCTTGAGCGGGGAAGTTTCCCGACCTGGTTTCAAATTGAATTCTTGCTCACCGCTCAATCTCGCATACCGGCTGATTATACTGCCAATTTCTTCGATTTGCAGTGCCCTCTGAGGGTGCAGAGGTTGACAATGAGTGTGTGGACGGACGAGGACCAGGGAGAGCTCACCAGGGTGAAGAAAGCATAAGAGATGTTCGAACTCACTCCAAACCCAAGGCAGAAGCGCCCCAACGAAGGCTCATAGCCTCGTGTCCGTCCTCTAATGTTTACCAGGTCCAGGCTGGACATCTTCAGAGATCTGCTGCGGACGCCGTTGATGCAATCCCGCTGTATCCAAGATTCCGGGTGGCCGATCTTGAGTTCCTTGCAATCTATGCGAATGAGTGCGAATGGAACAGTTCCAGGACAACAATCCATCCACTCTTTGCTCATTCGTTTGTGCATGAATTACTGCCCGCATTCTTCATGTACATATTAGATAGATAGGTAGATAGTTTCTCGACTTACCAGAGCACGCAGCATCTGGGTATTGGTAGACTGGCGGTACTACAGGCAAGGGAAGTGTCAGTGATTTTGGAATGTTAGCCTCTGCAACTTACACCGAGTGTCGATGTCCGACCCGGAAGAGTCTTCTGATGACTGAAGCATTTGCAATGCATGGCGTGCACCCCCGTCCGGTGATCAAATGCCGTCGTCAGCACATAACCATCTAGCTTCTGAGCAGAGCCGAAGTGCTCCATTCATCTCACTGCAAGAGGAGTGTGCTCGGGCCGCAACTGTGAATGTAGACACGGATCCCGCACCTCTCACCTGGTGAATCCACGGGAGTGCAGCACATCCGCAAACGATGTCAGTGCATATGGTACATGTAGGAAATTCAGTACAAGTACATTCATTTGTTGTATACAGAACTGCGAAAGCATTTAGCTTGGAAGATGAACGTTAACATTGATGAGCTCAGAGGTGAGTACTCCACTGGAGTTGTACATTCGCATTTTCGGTCCGACCTGTTGCGCGAAACCTTCCATGCTACGATCGTTCTGATCATCCTGTCCAGGGAACATCCTCGTACACATGCATGTTTGTGCAATGCTTCCCGCGGTCTTGATCACACTGCTGGAGGGAGATTCTAGTCGCGCTCACTGGCATGCACAACATCCGAACTTGGATTTGCACATGCAATGAAAGCAGACCATGGAGCATACCATTCCAGTGCGAAAGCAGGTACGTAGAGCACAGAGGAGGCCACTCGGTTCTCAGTGAAGTGGTTGACAGCGTGGATAAAGAAAGAGTTGAGTCTGACGTGCACCCGTCAATCGTCCGATGAGCTTCCAACGACACTTACCAAATCTGTCAAATGGTGCTCTTGGCTCAAGACTCAGAGTCGGGTTGATATCCACATCACTTTGTCTCTCGCGTCGATAACTCCATCTCGTGTACTGTAGTCTAAGACCTGTTACTTGCAAAGTGGTTGCCTCACTGTCTGGTAATAGTATTTTTGTAGAAATTGAATTGTACCACTTGCAGTCCGATTGTCAAGCTGCCATCCGAGTCTCGGTCCTCAGACATGTCAACAGTGCATGATCGGATGGCATTTCCACGTAGGAGTTGTGTCTCAGAAAGTCTGTAATTCATCGGAATATGAAGGTCAGTCTTTCCGGAGATGTACACGGACCTCCGATGCATCATTAGATCCAGGTATCTTGCAGAGATGCCCCAAACATCTTTGCACGTCTTTGACCAAGAAGCACAAGGATGTTTGGGGCACTTCTGCAAGATACTTTGATCCCACTTACCATGTTATTTGCTGTTTCTAGGTATCCCGAGCATGATCTTGAACCCTGTCCTATCCTCCCGTGCAGTTCCCGACGGTATGTCGTCAGATTGCTTTGTCCATGCCAATCACATTTCGGAATGGAAGGGTGAGTCTGACATCATAAGGAGCAACCGAGCAATCAGCAATCACATCTCTGGATCGCGCCTCGGGTAGTCATGACTACTAATTTCTGATTTCTGATCCCCGCCTAACTCTGTTTACTCACCAGATGTCAACGACCCATCAAATTTTGGCTACGATCAGCGGCCATCAGTGTCAGGCCGACCTGAATATATCTTTCATCCCACATTTTTCTTTCACCCACTCACCTTCCTCCCTCTCTCCCTCCAGAACAGGTTTCACTAACCTGACGCCCACTCTTGACATCTCTTGCAGCTCGCATCAAGTCCAGAATGCAGCACTCCAACAATGTGTGGTTTCAAGGTCAGCAAGCCGCAGCGAAACTCGGTGTGGATGGATGCGCGGAGGTTTGTACTGACCTCTCTCACACTGATTAGAGTTCACATCATGCTGACGAAACCCTGCGAGAATAGAAACTGTATGTGGCCATCGACAAGAGGTGCAGCTTGCGACAAGGCATCATTCCTACCACGCATCGCACGGACTGGTGTGTTTTAGCACTATTGTAGAATCCGATTCCATCTGACTGATACTTTTCATGTAGGTGTTTGTGCTTGGATTCCCGAGATTCTTGCATGTGATGAGCATGCTGCAAGTCGCGATCATACCGAGTTGTCGAGAATGTTAGCACGAGAGCAGCATCCGATCAAGATGTCTCAAAAGGGCATGTCTCTATGTTAGTGCCAGAGTCCCCGACTTACATACCTTCTACTCCAGGCATCCTCGCTCGAATCTCGGACCTCAGCGTAGCTACGAGCCTCGCGTGGAACGGACAGGATAACCTCGAGTCCTGCGAGCCCACCGCATTGGGAACAACAGGTTCTCGAAGTGACCGAGTGCGCAGTACGTCGATATTTGCATTAGATGTCTGAGACCGCATCGAGCTCACGTTCATACCTCGAAAATGGGTAAAATGATGCGTCAATTTCTGGAAGCTCAAGCCCAGCGGCGAGCGTGACGCATTCCTCCAGAGAGTGCATCGCTCAGCGCTGTTCCTGCGATTCTCTGGAAGACGGCTCGGTGGCCACGGTCCGGGCAGCGGGGCGGAGCGCCGCAGCCGCCCATCTCGCTCGCCTGGAACGCCGAGGAGAGCATGTCGTGCAGAGCGTGGTCGATGACGACGCCGTGAGTGAGACGGACTCGCAACGGGTATGTAGACCTCTACATTAGATGTCCCAGGCCGCCTCGAGCTCACCTTTCTGTCTCAAAAATAGGTAATGTTTTGTCCCAATATTCCGAGGCTCAAGCCCAGCGGCGAGCGTCCTCCGCTCCTGAAGAGAAAGTATCGTCCTCCCCGCGGTCTTCTGTACGGCGGTGGGACGGCTGCGGTCCGGGGGGCGGCGCGCAGCGCCGGCAGTGCCTTCTCGCTCGAACGCTAAGGAGAGCACGTCGGGCAGAATGTCCTCGACATCATCCATCGGTGATGCGGGTACGTAGGCGTCCGCATTAGATGTCCCAGGCCGCTCGAGCTCACTTCTCTACCTCAAAAATAGGTAAAATTTCGTGTCGATTTTCCGATGTTCAAGCCCAGCGGCGAGCGTCGTCCGCTCCTCAACCGAGTGAATCGTCCTCCTCGCGGTCGTCTGTACGACAGCGGGACGGTTGCAGTCCTGGGAGCGGCGCGAAGCGACGCAAGTCCCTCCTCGCTAGCCTGGAACATCGGGGAGAGCACGCTGCAGAGCGTCCTCGACGTCATCCGTCGGCAATGCGGGTACGTGAACCTACGCATTAGATGTCCGAGGCCGCCTCGAGCTCACCTTTTCGTCTCAAAAATAGGTCATACCTTGGGTCGATTTTCTGAGGTTCAAGCCCAGCGGCGAGCGTCATCCACTCTTCAAGAGAAAGTGTCATTCTCCTCGCGGACCCTTGTACGATAAGGAGACGGCTGCGGTCCGGGGAGCGGCGCGCAGCGCCGCGAGTCCCCATCTCGCTGCCGAGGAGAGCGCGTCGGGCAGGATGTCGAGAGGGGCACGCAGTGGGTACGTGGGCTTTCGCATTAGATGTCGCGGGCCCCGTCGAGCTCACTTTTCCCCCGTGAAATTAGGGGATTTGGAGCGCCGAATTCTCGAGGCCCAAGCCCAGCGGCGAGCGTCACGCGGTGCAGAAGATATTGCACCGACGTCCCCGCCATTCGACGCCTTCGAGCGAAGCGGTTGCGTAGCGAGGGCGGCGGCGCGCAGCGCCGCCAGTCCCGATCGTGCTCTCCTCCCACTCCACCACTTGCCAGTCGGTCTGTGGGTTGGCAGTCTTCGATCGCGGGCTGAGGGCAGCGTCGCAAGGCCTCTGTCTCAGTGCCGTACGAGACTGAACGCGTCCACGCCGCTCACCGCGTGTTTCCAACGTTGAGGTCCAGAGAAGAGGGGCGCGCAGCGCCCCGCGGTTTCCCGTCCGAGTCGCCTGCGGCATTGAGGACGACGTTCTTCTCGTGCTGGCGCGCTCCCACTCGTTGGTGGAACGTTCGAGGTGCGCGTCGTGCCGTCGTGGCTCGCATAGACCGTGAGTCTTGCTGCTTCACCCTTAGAGCTGTCCCGCTGAGTCCTGACCAGGCCTCGATCTTCCACGATTACGCCGTGGATTGGGACGTCGCGCGTGCGCGTTCGTCTCCCGTGTGCGGCGGTTGTCGATGCACCGTGCCTGCATGATGTCTACGTGAGTGCGGTTTTGCTTTGTTCGGAGTTTGCAATGCGCTCACCTTTGAACGTCGGTGTTTTTAGGCTTGAATTTCCGCGCGTCCGGTGCTGGGCGGACGTCCTCCGCGGATCGTCGCTACTTCCCGCCGAAGGCTTGCGGTCGACGCTGGAGCCTTCTGCTGCGGGAGTGGATGTTGGCCTCCCCCCGGCGTCTCGTCGATGGGACGCAGAGGTCGACTGCGCCCCCCCTCCGCTGTGCAAGCCTGCACCAGGTTCGTCGTTCTGCTGTCTGTCGCGGGTTGCGCGATACCGGTGGGTGTCGTTTCGTCCCTTGTGGTGCGTCCGATGCTGATGGTGTTCGGCTGACCAGGCGTCGATCGTCGCCGAGATCCACGCGGTGAAAGCGTACAACGCCGCCGAGCGCGTTTGAAGTCGGTGCGACGCGCACCTCGCGGGGCACGGCACGCGTCTGTGTGCTTGTCACACGAGCACTCTCGCGGTCGACGCCAGAATGCGCGGCGCGCGGTGTCGTTGGACGGCGATGTGGTACGTGCGTGTTCTGCACACTGTTCTTGCTGCTGCTAATCGTTCGCACGCGTTTCCAGGCCGTGTCGTCGCCTCTGAGTGCGCTGCAGAGAACGAAACGTGGGGCGTGTGTGGTGGAGGGCCTTGTTGAGGCTTGCCTGTGCTGTTGCGGGCCCCGGGCTCCTCATCGGCCGCATTCTGCGTCCTCCGCATTCGCAATGGGCAGGCTTTCTGGACGCGTGAGGCGGAACGCAAGTGTCAGCAAACGCAACGCACGTCAACCTCGAATTAGGAAGACTCACCGGAGATCGACTGTCAAGCACGCGAGCTGCAAAGTACGATGGGCGCGGTCTCGCGCGATCTCCCGCAGAAGGGATGGTGCGGTGTGGTGCGTCGCGTTACGAGGGGATCACTGACGGAGTTTTTTTCGCAGAACTTCGCGCCGTCCTCGCGAGCTCATCTCCTTGGAACGGCACGCCTCGGTCGAGTGCACGAGAAGCCATCCTCTGCGCGCGAGAGTTGTCGAAACAGAGCGTACGGGCGGCGGCTTAGCGCGGCAAAGGGGAGCTGACCGGTGGGAAGGAAGGACCGGGCGCGAGAGGCGAGGGACGCAGGACTGGAGGAACAGGCTGAGGATGAGAGGGAGACGTGGAGCTAGCGTAGACAGAACACATGTCAGACGGCGCGAGATCGAGCGCGCGCGAGAGACTCAGCAGAGCTCGGACGGCTCTATGCACGAAAGACTCACCCACCAGAGTGCCCTATGCACGAAAAGACAGCCTATCTCTCGAATTTATGCTGGATGTTTCCTCCGAGCCATCCGATGCAGGCCAGAGATCACCAGAGACTTTGCAGCCACCGGGGAAGCGGGTCACGTGCTCCCGACCAATGGGGAGGGAGAGGCGGCGTTGAGTTGGTCGTGCCGCAAGCCAATAGCAACGCTCGTCGCCCACCGAATTGCGTCTCATCCCAGGCCAATCAATGGACCCCGTCGATCACCTCTTCCACCCCGGCCCAGCTTATCCGTCCTACCGTCAGTCTTTTCCGCAGAAAACAAACATATCCCCGCACGCTGACCCCCGCCCAGCCCACCAGCCCGTCTACAACTTCTACCCCCACCGTCCCTCGCCCCCGCACTCTCCAGCGCCAGTCCCCCTCTTCCACCAGCAGCCACCCCAGGACTCCCACCAGCGCGACCCAGACCAGCCCGTCGACCAGATACACGACGACCCCCCCATCGACGAGGAGCCCCTCTATGTCAACGCGAAGCAGTATTATCGCATCCTCAAACGGCGCGTCGCCCGCGCCCGCATCGAGGAGTTGCACAGGCTCTCCAAGCAGCGCAAGGTACCCCTCTTCCTCTCCTCATTATTTTTCGCGCCCTCAACTCATCTACGCCAGCCGTACCTCCACGAGTCGCGCCATAAGCATGCCATGCGCCGTCCCCGCGGTCCCGGCGGTCGCTTCCTCACCGCAGAGGAGATAGCCGCACAAAAGAACCTGCAAGCCGATGCGGGGCCTTCCAACTCCACATCCCCGGACGCCGACGATGAGGACGCCATCGACGTCGACCGCGACATTGACAGGGACGTCGACATGTCCGTCGACAGCCCCATCGAGCCCCCTAAGCCGCCGACGTTCCAAATCCAGCAGCTCGAGGAGCAGCGCGTCCAGCCGAAGCTGCAGGCACTCGAGGAGCAGGATCATAGCGAGAAGCCGCGCCCTCCGCCAGCCTCGCAGCCATCTATTCAACCATCTATACAGCCGCGTCCGCAACGTCCGCGCCAGCCGTCCCCGTCTTACATACAGCCGCAGGCCCAGATGCAGGCGCAGCAACAGCTTCAAGCGCAGTCACAGATGCAGGCGCAACACCAATTACAAGCGCATGCGCAGATGCGCGTGCAGCACCCAATACAGCCTCAGGCTCCGCAGATGATTCGGCAGCACTCGCAGACCCGTATTCAGATGCAGCCTCAGACACAAATGCAACCACCAGCGTCGGCGCATTCACAGACCCAGCAGACGATTCGCCGGCCGTCTCTGACTCTCCAGCAGCAGCAGCAGCAGTTACCACAGCATTCCCCCCTCGTGCACTCGCAAGCGCAGCTTCAGCCGCAACAGCAACAACAATCGCAGCCGATGCGCTCACCCACATACGAGCATCCGCACCAACACCAGCACATGGGGATGTTGCACGGCACCAGCCCAACGAACCTCATGAACGTCAACGCCAACGTTGGCTACCACCATCCGCTTTCGCCTGCGCCAGTCTCGCCGGTTCCCCAAGATGGACATCGTGCGCACGAGCACTCGCGTCACCTCGGATCTCACCTTCAGCAGGTGTCGTCGGTTCAGCAGATGCAGGACTCGCCCTCGCAGACGACATCGCCACAGATGACGTCCCCGCAGATCTCACTGCGCGCGCCGTATGCGGCAATGCAGATGCACCATGTTCCGCACCCGCATGCTCACGCACGCCATCATCATTCACTCGTTGGTCGGGGGGAGCAAGTTTACCATGACGTGCCCGGCAGCGAGTATAGCGGCGGCGCATCGGGGAGGCGATAGGACGGTATCAAACACATTTAAACCTTCATATGTTCGACTCGTTGTCGATGCGGGGATCAGCACTAGACAAGGCTCGGACGAGACACTGGAGACGGACGCGAGCGAAAACGTCGAGGCCGCAATACAGAAGAGGAATGCAGGGCGGAGAGAAAGGAGGTCGAACGAGGGCGCGATCGCAAGGTCGAGACGTCAAGACGAGTAGAGTCCGCACACGCCCCTCCGGCGCGAAAAATGCATGAGCGACGCCAATGGACGAGGAACGCTACCTCGAGCAACGAAGAGATGGACCAAACGCACGGGCGAGAATGAGTGAGGATGACGGTGGAAGCCCTGATGCTGCGATACGGACGTGCTGCAGAATGAGCAGCTGGACGGTTTTTGTGTGCTCGGTTGGGCACGTTCTCACAATGCCAGGCTCGACAGTCGGTTCCCCGCACACGGAAATGCACGAGGACATACGACGCGGAGTGAGCTCTGAAGCATGCGAGAGAAGACGAGCTCGCGAACAGTTTGTCGGTCATGCACACGCGGCCCTCATCCAGTAACAATGGACTGAACGACCGAGGACGATGGGTCATGACCTGGCGCCCTTCCTCGTCGTGCCCTGGCGTCTCAACGCCGAGTGTTTCGCACTACAGGTTGTGCAGGCATTGAAGTGACATTCCCGCGGAGAATTCTCTGACGCCCAATGCCTTCGTCTTGCGTGAACACTTCCAGCGTGTCGTCTTGCTCCGCCCATGCAGTCCTCCCTGCTGCAGGGCTCGCAGCCGCGCTCGCATTGCAGCATCGGAACGCCGCCCAGGTACGCCGTGTTATTCTTTCCATCTTGCACTCGGCGGATGAGAGAGGGCGACGCCGCCAGGCGAGCAGATCACAGTCCGCGAGCTCGCAGGGATTCGTTCCCACTGTAGCGTCTGCGCTCGATGCCCAAGCACACTCGGTGCCGTTGCGTCTCTGCATGACGCGGGCGGTACAGTAGAGTAAACTACGTACGTATGAGCAAAATATATTTCTTTTTGTTTCGAACTCGTGGGCGCGTGATTCGACACCTGCGGGAGGCAGAGCGGCTGGCGGGTTCATCTCACGTCGATCTTGTCATACTGAGGGTTCGTCCGATGCACCTCGTCTCGTCCAGCCTGTGACGGCACGAAATCGAGTCGAGCTGTGTCGCCCGAATTCAAGGTAAGCAAAAGAAGTAACAAGCAGCCTGTACGCAGGCTTACCTGTGTCGCGAGTACCAGAACTCAGAAGGCATCCGTGCTAATGTGCAGGACAGTCAGTGGGGCACAGATCGGACTCACCAGTGCGGGCGAAGGTGCGTTCGATCGGCTATATCGTCGATCGAATCCTGAGCTCACCGAAGTGCATTCTCAAGTGCTTCACAGCATTGTGCTGGCATGCAATGAGAGCACGGCTGGACTCGGGGATGTATGGGCAAAGCTCGTAGAAAACAAATATATTTTATCTCCTGTGCAACACAGACCCGTCATCAGCCATTCGAGACCTTCGCACAAGGTGAGGTACTTACCAAGGTTGCCTGCTGATGGCGTAAGACCGCGCTACAGATCGGGAGAACTGTGGATCACATCAATCGTCTGATGAGCGAGGTCCTCACGCAACACCGAGTTAACAAATATATTTTACCCCTGTACAACACAAGTTAGAATCGTTAGGACAAGACGACTCACAAATACTATACATCTACAATGTCAGAAGACTTCAGCGCCGGCATGGCGCCGAGTGCGGTGGCTGCCAATCACAATCCCCCGATTGTCTAGTATATAAGGTGGACGGCAAGGCGTGCACAATCCATGAAATGCAGCTCCGCCTCCTCATGCTCTCAGCCGTTGAGATCTGAAGTGTACAAGTGCTGTCAGTAAACACATGCAGGGAAACAAATACCCTGAGAGCGACAGTGAATGGTGAACAAGCCTCCCGTGCAGACACCGGGCTGGAATGCCATAGAACAGCAATCAAGGCTGCCTACGATCATCAGCCTAGTAGTACATACAACACGGGAACATCAGCGGTCAGCGGGAAGTAAGCAAGGGGAGACTAACATACTAGTTGTTGCAACATGCCAGTTTGCACCATCAGGGTGAAGCACGGCGGCCAGGGGATAATGAGTACGTCAGACGATGTCGAAAATCAGTCAGCTCAGTGTGAGGAAGCAAGGAGAAAGGGGAGGATCGGTGGATGACGTCAAACACAGAGAAAAGTCCAGTATTTAAGTTGCAGCCAGTGGTCCGTGCGCACGTATCCCCGAGTTTCCATGTCGTCCGAGTGAAAAAATCGTCGGATCAAGTCACCTGGATACACGGCGTGCGTGAGTAACCGGCCCTGATCGCATGACTCACCCGCTTCACCTCAAATTCCACCGACTCACCGCCAACCCTGTCCAGCCCCTTCGCAACAGTCCCCGAATCTTCCGAATATATGCTTCAAATAAATTTGCTGCACTTGTTGCCATAGCCGAGAGCCCCGTGATGTCGTAACAGTTCCGCGCCCGCGTGCAGCTTGAGCGGGGAAGTTTCCCGACCTGGTTTCAAATTGAATTCTTGCTCACCGCTCAATCTCGCATACCGGCTGATTATACTGCCAATTTCTTCGATTTGCAGTGCCCTCTGAGGGTGCAGAGGTTGACAATGAGTGTGTGGACGGACGAGGACCAGGGAGAGCTCACCAGGGTGAAGAAAGCATAAGAGATGTTCGAACTCACTCCAAACCCAAGGCAGAAGCGCCCCAACGAAGGCTCATAGCCTCGTGTCCGTCCTCTAATGTTTACCAGGTCCAGGCTGGACATCTTCAGAGATCTGCTGCGGACGCCGTTGATGCAATCCCGCTGTATCCAAGATTCCGGGTGGCCGATCTTGAGTTCCTTGCAATCTATGCGAATGAGTGCGAATGGAACAGTTCCAGGACAACAATCCATCCACTCTTTGCTCATTCGTTTGTGCATGAATTACTGCCCGCATTCTTCATGTACATATTAGATAGATAGGTAGATAGTTTCTCGACTTACCAGAGCACGCAGCATCTGGGTATTGGTAGACTGGCGGTACTACAGGCAAGGGAAGTGTCAGTGATTTTGGAATGTTAGCCTCTGCAACTTACACCGAGTGTCGATGTCCGACCCGGAAGAGTCTTCTGATGACTGAAGCATTTGCAATGCATGGCGTGCACCCCCGTCCGGTGATCAAATGCCGTCGTCAGCACATAACCATCTAGCTTCTGAGCAGAGCCGAAGTGCTCCATTCATCTCACTGCAAGAGGAGTGTGCTCGGGCCGCAACTGTGAATGTAGACACGGATCCCGCACCTCTCACCTGGTGAATCCACGGGAGTGCAGCACATCCGCAAACGATGTCAGTGCATATGGTACATGTAGGAAATTCAGTACAAGTACATTCATTTGTTGTATACAGAACTGCGAAAGCATTTAGCTTGGAAGATGAACGTTAACATTGATGAGCTCAGAGGTGAGTACTCCACTGGAGTTGTACATTCGCATTTTCGGTCCGACCTGTTGCGCGAAACCTTCCATGCTACGATCGTTCTGATCATCCTGTCCAGGGAACATCCTCGTACACATGCATGTTTGTGCAATGCTTCCCGCGGTCTTGATCACACTGCTGGAGGGAGATTCTAGTCGCGCTCACTGGCATGCACAACATCCGAACTTGGATTTGCACATGCAATGAAAGCAGACCATGGAGCATACCATTCCAGTGCGAAAGCAGGTACGTAGAGCACAGAGGAGGCCACTCGGTTCTCAGTGAAGTGGTTGACAGCGTGGATAAAGAAAGAGTTGAGTCTGACGTGCACCCGTCAATCGTCCGATGAGCTTCCAACGACACTTACCAAATCTGTCAAATGGTGCTCTTGGCTCAAGACTCAGAGTCGGGTTGATATCCACATCACTTTGTCTCTCGCGTCGATAACTCCATCTCGTGTACTGTAGTCTAAGACCTGTTACTTGCAAAGTGGTTGCCTCACTGTCTGGTAATAGTATTTTTGTAGAAATTGAATTGTACCACTTGCAGTCCGATTGTCAAGCTGCCATCCGAGTCTCGGTCCTCAGACATGTCAACAGTGCATGATCGGATGGCATTTCCACGTAGGAGTTGTGTCTCAGAAAGTCTGTAATTCATCGGAATATGAAGGTCAGTCTTTCCGGAGATGTACACGGACCTCCGATGCATCATTAGATCCAGGTATCTTGCAGAGATGCCCCAAACATCTTTGCACGTCTTTGACCAAGAAGCACAAGGATGTTTGGGGCACTTCTGCAAGATACTTTGATCCCACTTACCATGTTATTTGCTGTTTCTAGGTATCCCGAGCATGATCTTGAACCCTGTCCTATCCTCCCGTGCAGTTCCCGACGGTATGTCGTCAGATTGCTTTGTCCATGCCAATCACATTTCGGAATGGAAGGGTGAGTCTGACATCATAAGGAGCAACCGAGCAATCAGCAATCACATCTCTGGATCGCGCCTCGGGTAGTCATGACTACTAATTTCTGATTTCTGATCCCCGCCTAACTCTGTTTACTCACCAGATGTCAACGACCCATCAAATTTTGGCTACGATCAGCGGCCATCAGTGTCAGGCCGACCTGAATATATCTTTCATCCCACATTTTTCTTTCACCCACTCACCTTCCTCCCTCTCTCCCTCCAGAACAGGTTTCACTAACCTGACGCCCACTCTTGACATCTCTTGCAGCTCGCATCAAGTCCAGAATGCAGCACTCCAACAATGTGTGGTTTCAAGGTCAGCAAGCCGCAGCGAAACTCGGTGTGGATGGATGCGCGGAGGTTTGTACTGACCTCTCTCACACTGATTAGAGTTCACATCATGCTGACGAAACCCTGCGAGAATAGAAACTGTATGTGGCCATCGACAAGAGGTGCAGCTTGCGACAAGGCATCATTCCTACCACGCATCGCACGGACTGGTGTGTTTTAGCACTATTGTAGAATCCGATTCCATCTGACTGATACTTTTCATGTAGGTGTTTGTGCTTGGATTCCCGAGATTCTTGCATGTGATGAGCATGCTGCAAGTCGCGATCATACCGAGTTGTCGAGAATGTTAGCACGAGAGCAGCATCCGATCAAGATGTCTCAAAAGGGCATGTCTCTATGTTAGTGCCAGAGTCCCCGACTTACATACCTTCTACTCCAGGCATCCTCGCTCGAATCTCGGACCTCAGCGTAGCTACGAGCCTCGCGTGGAACGGACAGGATAACCTCGAGTCCTGCGAGCCCACCGCATTGGGAACAACAGGTTCTCGAAGTGACCGAGTGCGCAGTACGTCGATATTTGCATTAGATGTCTGAGACCGCATCGAGCTCACGTTCATACCTCGAAAATGGGTAAAATGATGCGTCAATTTCTGGAAGCTCAAGCCCAGCGGCGAGCGTGACGCATTCCTCCAGAGAGTGCATCGCTCAGCGCTGTTCCTGCGATTCTCTGGAAGACGGCTCGGTGGCCACGGTCCGGGCAGCGGGGCGGAGCGCCGCAGCCGCCCATCTCGCTCGCCTGGAACGCCGAGGAGAGCATGTCGTGCAGAGCGTGGTCGATGACGACGCCGTGAGTGAGACGGACTCGCAACGGGTATGTAGACCTCTACATTAGATGTCCCAGGCCGCCTCGAGCTCACCTTTCTGTCTCAAAAATAGGTAATGTTTTGTCCCAATATTCCGAGGCTCAAGCCCAGCGGCGAGCGTCCTCCGCTCCTGAAGAGAAAGTATCGTCCTCCCCGCGGTCTTCTGTACGGCGGTGGGACGGCTGCGGTCCGGGGGGCGGCGCGCAGCGCCGGCAGTGCCTTCTCGCTCGAACGCTAAGGAGAGCACGTCGGGCAGAATGTCCTCGACATCATCCATCGGTGATGCGGGTACGTAGGCGTCCGCATTAGATGTCCCAGGCCGCTCGAGCTCACTTCTCTACCTCAAAAATAGGTAAAATTTCGTGTCGATTTTCCGATGTTCAAGCCCAGCGGCGAGCGTCGTCCGCTCCTCAACCGAGTGAATCGTCCTCCTCGCGGTCGTCTGTACGACAGCGGGACGGTTGCAGTCCTGGGAGCGGCGCGAAGCGACGCAAGTCCCTCCTCGCTAGCCTGGAACATCGGGGAGAGCACGCTGCAGAGCGTCCTCGACGTCATCCGTCGGCAATGCGGGTACGTGAACCTACGCATTAGATGTCCGAGGCCGCCTCGAGCTCACCTTTTCGTCTCAAAAATAGGTCATACCTTGGGTCGATTTTCTGAGGTTCAAGCCCAGCGGCGAGCGTCATCCACTCTTCAAGAGAAAGTGTCATTCTCCTCGCGGACCCTTGTACGATAAGGAGACGGCTGCGGTCCGGGGAGCGGCGCGCAGCGCCGCGAGTCCCCATCTCGCTGCCGAGGAGAGCGCGTCGGGCAGGATGTCGAGAGGGGCACGCAGTGGGTACGTGGGCTTTCGCATTAGATGTCGCGGGCCCCGTCGAGCTCACTTTTCCCCCGTGAAAATAGGGGATTTCGCGCGCCGAATTCTTGAGGCCCAAGCCCAGCGGCGAGCGTCACGCGGTGCAGAAGATATTGCACCGACGTCCCCGCCATTCGACGCCTTCGAGCGAAGCGGTTGCATAGCGAAGGCGGCGGCGCGCAGCGCCGCCAGTCTTCATCGTGCTCTCCTCGGACTCCACGGCCTGGGGTTGACATTCTTCGATCGCGGACCGAGGGCAGCGTCGCAAGGCCTCCGTCTCAGTGCCGTACAAGGCCGAACGCGTCTGCACCGTTCACCGCGCGTTTCCAAGGTTGAGGTCCAGCGAAGAGGGGCGCGGAGCGCTCCGCGGTTTCCCGTCCGAGTCGCCTGCGATATTGAGGACGACGCCCTCGTCGTGCTGGCCTCCTCCGGTTCGTTGGTGCACTGTTCGCGGCGTGTCGTGCCGTCGTGGCTAGCATAGACCGTGAGTCTTGCTGCGTGCGCGTTCGTCTCCTGTGTGCGGCGGTTGTCGATGCGCCGTGCCTGCATGATGTCTACGTGAGTGCGGTTTTGCTTTGTTCGGAGTTTGCAATGCGCTCACCTTTGAACGTCGGTGTTTTTAGGCTTGAATTTCCGCGCGTCCGGTGCTGGGCGGACGTCCTCCGCGGATCGTCGCTACTTCCCGCCGAAGGCTTGCGGTCGACGCTGGAGCCTTCTGCTGCGGGAGTGGATGTTGGCCTCCCCCCGGCGTCTCGTCGATGGGACGCAGAGGTCGACTGCGCCCCCCCTCCGCTGTGCAAGCCTGCACCAGGTTCGTCGTTCTGCTGTCTGTCGCGGGTTGCGCGATACCGGTGGGTGTCGTTTCGTCCCTTGTGGTGCGTCCGATGCTGATGGTGTTCGGCTGACCAGGCGTCGATCGTCGCCGAGATCCACGCGGTGAAAGCGTACAACGCCGCCGAGCGCGTTTGAAGTCGGTGCGACGCGCACCTCGCGGGGCACGGCACGCGTCTGTGTGCTTGTCACACGAGCACTCTCGCGGTCGACGCCAGAGTGCCCGCGCGGTGTCGTTGGACGGCGATGCGGTACGTGGACGTTCTACCTCCTCCTCGTGGTGCTGCTGACCGTTCGTGCGCATTTCCAGGCCGTGTCGTCGCCTGGGAGTGTGTTGCAGAGGACGAAACGTGGCGCGTGTGTGGCGGAGGCCCTGTAGAGGCTTCCCTGGGCAGTTGCGGGCCCCGGGCTCGTGATAGCGCGTGTTCTGCGTCCTGTGCATTCGCAATGGGCAGGTTTTGGACGAAATTCCTGGACGCGTTAGGCGGAACGCAAGAGTCAGCGAACGTGACGAAACGACAGCGAGAGAAAATTCACCGGAGGCCAATTTCTCCGCACGCGAGCTGCAGAGTACGACGGGCGCGGTCTCGCGCGATCTCCCGCAGAAGGGATGGTGCGGTGTGGTGCGTCGCGTTACGAGGGGATCACTGACGGAGTTTGTTTGCAGAACTTCGCGCCGTCCTCGCGAGCTCATCTCCTTGGAACGGCGCGCGTCGCGAGAGGGCAACCTCTGCGCGCGGGAGTTGTCGAAACAGAGCGCACGGGCGGTGGCTCAGCGCGGCAAAGGGACGCAGGCTGATCAGCGGGAAGGAAGGATCGGGCGCGAGAGGCGAGGGACGCAGCGAAGAGAGGGACAGGCCGGAGATGGGAGGGAGAGGACGCAGAGAGAGGGAGACGTGGAGCTAGCGTAGACAGAATACATGTCAGACGGCGCGAGACTGAGCAGAGGGACGGCTCTATGCACGAAAGACTCACCGGTCAGAGTGCCCTATGCACGAAAAGACAGCCTATCTCTCGAATTTATGCTGGATGTTTCCTCCGAGCCGTCCGATCCACGGCAGACATCGAGAGACTTTGCAGCCACCGGGGAAGCGGGTCACGTGCTCCCGACCAATGGGGAGGGAGAGGCGGCGTTGAGTTGGTCGTGCCGCAAGCCAATAGCAACGCTCGTCGCCCACCGAATTGCGTCTCATCCCAGGCCAATCAATGGACCCCGTCGATCACCTCTTCCACCCCGGCCCAGCTTATCCGTCCTACCGTCAGTCTTTTCCGCAGAAAACAAACATATCCCCGCACGCTGACCCCCGCCCAGCCCACCAGCCCGTCTACAACTTCTACCCCCACCGTCCCTCGCCCCCGCACTCTCCAGCGCCAGTCCCCCTCTTCCACCAGCAGCCACCCCAGGACTCCCACCAGCGCGACCCAGACCAGCCCGTCGACCAGATACACGACGACCCCCCCATCGACGAGGAGCCCCTCTATGTCAACGCGAAGCAGTATTATCGCATTCTCAAACGGCGCGTCGCCCGCGCCCGCATCGAGGAGCTGCACAGGCTCTCCAAGCAGCGCAAGGTACCCCTCTTCCTCTCCTCATTATTTTTCACGCCCTCAACTCATCTACGCCAGCCGTACCTCCACGAGTCGCGCCATAAACATGCCATGCGCCGTCCCCGCGGCCCCGGCGGTCGCTTCCTCACCGCAGAGGAGATAGCCGCACAAAAGAACCTGCAAGCCGATGCGGGGCCTTCCAACTCCACATCCCCGGACGCCGACGATGAGGACGCCATCGACGTCGACCGCGACATTGACAGGGACGTCGACATGTCCGTCGACAGCCCCATCGAGCCCCCTAAGCCGCCGACGTTCCAGATCCAGCAGCTCGAGGAGCAGCGCGTCCAGCCGAAGCTGCAGGCACTCGAGGAGCAGGATCATAGCGAGAAGCCCCGCCCTCCGCCAGCCTCGCAGCCATCTATTCAACCATCTATACAGCCGCGTCCGCAACGTCCGCGCCAGCCGTCCCCGTCTTACATACAGCCGCAGGCCCAGATGCAGGCGCAGCAACAGCTTCAAGCGCAGTCACAGATGCAGGCGCAACACCAATTACAAGCGCATGCGCAGATGCGCGTGCAGCACCCAATACAGCCTCAGGCTCCGCAGATGATTCGGCAGCACTCGCAGACCCGTATTCAAATGCAGCCTCAGACACAAATGCAGCCACCAGCGTCGGCGCATTCACAGACCCAGCAGACGATTCGCCGGCCGTCTCTGACTCTCCAGCAGCAGCAGCAGCAGTTACCACAGCATTCCCCGCTTGTGCACTCGCAAGCGCAGCTTCAGCCGCAACAGCAACAACAATCGCAGCCGATGCGCTCACCCACATACGAGCATCCGCACCAACACCAGCACATGGGGATGTTGCACGGCACCAGCCCGACGAACCTCATGAACGTCAACGCCAACGTTGGCTACCACCATCCGCTTTCGCCTGCGCCGGTCTCGCCGGTTCCCCAAGATGGACATCGTGCGCACGAGCACTCGCGTCACCTCGGATCTCACCTTCAGCAGGTGTCGTCGGTTCAGCAGATGCAGGACTCGCCCTCGCAGACGACATCGCCACAGATGACGTCCCCGCAGATCTCGCTGCGTGCGCCATATGCGGCAATGCAGATGCACCATGTTCCGCACCCGCATGCTCACGCACGCCATCATCATTCACTCGTTGGTCGGGGGGAGCAAGTTTACCATGACGTGGTGCCGGGCAGCGAGTACGGCGGCGGCGCACCGGGGAGGCGATAGGGTCCCTTCATCAAGAACGTTTTATATTCATCTTGCTCTTGTCGTCTGTGCTGTGCTCGATACTTGCTCTACGTCCGTCACGTCTCACTTACTTTGGTTTGGCTTAGTTGCTTGGTTGCTCATGAGTTGCGTTGGGTAGTACTTACAGCAGCCGTTCTAGACTTTCGTGTTCACGTACCGGTTGCGTTCTGATGATTCGAGTAGTGTGTGTAGGTTGGTGTTTAAGCACTCAGCGTTGCGTCTGGTGGCAAACCCACAGTCTATCAATAGGATTCATTATAGCTCAATGTCCATAGGTTCAACATCCATAGCATCGTCATCGTCGAGCATAATATCAGTCCGAGCAACTGGCGACACGTCCGGAACATCCCTTTCTTCCTCCGGCTTCTTCTCTTCTTCACTAGTATCTGTGGGGATGACTAGCGGCCGGAAGAGCACCAGCGCCTTGCTCGCGTCCGGCTCTGGAAAGACGGGTAGTGCACTCTGGTTCCCGTTTGCGAGGTGTTCAAGTAGCGCCGGTGACAGGGTCATTCCACCCTCGGCTGACGAGCCCTCTTCGTTCTCCTCGCTGTCCGAGTCTTCCAGGTCGTTTATGACGATGCCTACACGAAAAAAGACGCGCGTGAGGACGGGGGCAGTAGGAACGGGACGCTACGTACGATCTTTCTCTATCTCGTACCACGACGGGCCCCGCATCTGCACGTCCGGTACGTCCGGCTCCTCCTCTGCTGCGCGCGGTGGTGCCAGGGGTGAGGTAGGCTCCTCAACGGACCCGGGGAGAACGACGGGCTGGGACGCGTTCGTGTATGGATAAGCGTACCCGTACGGCGTCTGCGACGCGTTCCACGCCGGCTGGCCAAAGGGACCGGGGGGAGAGATGGGTGTGATGGTGAGGCCGGGTGCTGGAGCCTGTGTGCAGGCTGTGGTGGGCCCGGTGCTCGCGCTGGGATTGGTGGGGTAGAGGACCAGCGGTGGGGGGGCGACGGGCGCGCGGTTAGCGGTGGTGTTGAGGGTCAATTGGGCGATGCCGCGCTCGAGCGTGTCGCATCTGCGCCTCTTCGTGTGGTGTGTGGTTTTACTCAAGGGCCTGGAGGGAGAGTCTGGGACGACGCGTGCGGGTGTGCGGTCGGGTTTATCTTCCTCGTCCTCGTCGTGTGACAGTCGGCGTTTGAGAGAAGGTTGACGATACCAGGGATGCATGTGGACGGCGTATGCCCACGCGGCGGTCATTGCGAAGACCTGTAGACGACCTGCTAGAACAGAGGCTGCATATGTACCAACGAAAGTTAGGAATGTTCGAGCAGTTGGTCTACGTGGTCACGTGATCGACGGCCATATTAACTCGTTAACGAAAACCTCAGAGTTTGCGAAGTGAGCTCGAATCATGCCATGCATAATAGCTTCATGAGTGCGACATAAATCGAACATAGTGAGAGTACTACCCGCGACTGCATACTCCAACACACCATCCACCAAACGCGAAGAACGTCTAACCACGCTTCTTCGACACACCGACTGTCTTACCACGGCGACCTGAGCGAAGTCAAATGAACGAGGTATACAGTAGCAGAAGCGGGCCACATACCGGTCGTCTTGGTGTGTTGACCCCTCACACGGAGACCCCAGAAGTGCCGGAGACCACGGTGAGCCCGGATCTTCTTCAGCCGCTCAAGGTCATCACGCAGTTTCGAGTCAACGGCGTTGGAGAGAATTTGCGAGTTCTTGCCATCGACAATGTCCCGCTGCCTGTTCAGGAACCATGTCGGGATTTTGAATTGTGTTGGGTTCTGGATGATGGTGACGATACGTTCGAGCTCATCCGAGTTGAGCTCGCCGGCACTATGCGAAAATCAAGACGTTAGCACAAGACATACCGCGAACAAGAAGAAAGCGCTCGCACCGCTTGTCGAGATTGACATCGGCCTTTTTGCAGACCAAGTTTGCATAACGGCGACCGACACCCTTGATCTCCGTCAGAGCGTACATGATCTTGCGCTTGCCGTCAACATTGGTGTTGAGAAGACGCAAGATGTGCTACACAATACGTATCAGCACTTCCATTGTACGCACAGCGACAGTACACCGACCTGGAATTGTTGATGGGCCTCGGGGAGAACGAGAGACATGTTGACGGGCGGCGATATTCTGCAGCAAAGATAAGCCTTGGCACTTTGTCTCACCAGCCGCATCCACAGCTAATCCACACCATCCATCGCGATTTCACCCGTTCTTTCGCCCACAACACGTCTGAACAGCATCCACAGCGGCACGCCGTTCATCATTACACGCAAAAACACTCACCACTTACTTGAACACGCCGGGAGGGGGATGCTTAAACTCGACGACGACACGACGCTCGACTGGGAGCGAATGGTTACGTAACGAGATCTCTCGGCGATGTCCGACGTTCCTTGGACTTCCCGGGGTCCCGACGAGGACATCTGAGATCGCTAGAAGCTTGATTTCTGAATTTCGGTCTGACTCGAAGTTTATGCTGCTGAATCTGATACAGGCTGCATCGCCGTCCATACCTTGCTCTCGTATCGCCACCAGTCGCTTTCGTATCGCTTTCGTACGCAACTCTTCCAACATGGCTGGCGCTCCCAGCACCTCCTCCTGGTCTTCCGCTCGCGTGCGCGAGGAGTTCTTCAATTACTTCCGCTCGAAGGAACATACGTTCGTTCACTCCTCTTCCACTATTCCATATGAAGATCCTACGCTCCTGTTCGCGAATGCGGGCATGAACCAGGTGTGCTAGCGTACTCCGATGCACAAGGCTACCTCGGCGCTGATACGCGGTGTAGTACAAAGCTATATTCCTCGGAACGGTGGACCCTCATTCGGAGATGGCTAAGCTGAAGCGCGCATTCAACTCCCAGAAATGTATCAGGGCCGGCGGAAAGCATAACGGTTAGTTTCCCACTGTTATTGCACGCATATATGTTACTATGAATGCCTCATTAGATCTGGAGGATGTCGGAAAAGACTCGTACCACCACACGTTCTTTGAGATGCTTGGAAATTGGTCGTTCGGAGACTACTTCAAGGTGGGTCTGCATGCCACTTTCACCCGATTCTCCACTCAACACAGGACGCAGAAAGAAGCCATCCAATATTCCTGGGAGCTTTTGACCGAAGTTTACAAGCTGCCCAAGGATCAGCTCTATGTTACTTATTTCGAGGGCGACGCTAAGAATGGTCTTGAACCAGATGAGGAAGCTAGACAGTATTGGTTGGACCAGGGCGTTCCAGAAAGCCATGTTCTTCCTGGAGATGCGAAGGACAACTTCTGGGGTAAGGATAATCTGCCGCACGCGATCACTCACTGACAATTCGTGTCTTGCTAGAGATGGGAGCAACAGGTCCTTGTGGGCCTTGTAGGTATGTCATTGCGTTCGAGCCGGAGTTGTTAATATCTCATGGTGCCGTAGCGAGGTTCACTTTGACCGCATCGGCGGACGTAATGCTGCGCATCTCGTCAACCAAGATGACCCTGACGTTCTTGAGATCTGGAACAACGTTTTCATACAATTCAACCGCGAAGACGATGGGTCGCTAAAGCTTCTTCCATCAAAACACGTCGATACTGGTATGGGCTTCGAGCGCCTGGTCTCTGTTGTGCAGGGGAAGCGCTCAAATTATGACACGGATGTCTTCGCGCCTATTTTTTCGAAGATCCAGCAGTTGACTGGTGCACGGCCATACCAGGGCAAATTTGGTGAAGAAGACGAGAGCGGTATTGACACCGCATATCGCGTCGTCGCTGACCATGTAAGAACTCTGACATTTGCATTGAGTGATGGAGGTGTTCCAAACAACGTTGGCCGAGGTTATGTGCTCAGGCGTATACTGCGGCGAGGGTCACGATTTGCAAGGAAGAAACTTTCCGTCCAGATCGGATCTTTCTTCTCGTCGCTGATGCCGGTAGTGATTGAACAAATGGTCCGTGGTCTCATGCATTCTATTCTTCTTTGGTATTGACGACCTTGGCACAGGGTGGCGTGTTCCCAGAGCTCACGAAGAGAATCGACGAGATCAAGGAGATCTTAGATGAAGAGGAAGAGTCTTTCTCGAGAACACTGGACCGTGGCGAGAAGATGTTCGACCAGTACTCAAGCCGTGCGAAGCAGCAGGGCCTGAAGGAACTCTCTGGAAAAGATGTCTGGCGGCTGTACGATACATACGGGTTCCCGGTTGATCTGACTCGGCTTATGGCGGAGGAGCTGGGACTTACTGTGAATGAGGAAGAGTTCGAGGCCGCCCAGGCTCACTCCAAGGAAGCAAGTAAAGGGGGGCAGAAGAAGGATACCAGAGACGCAGTCAAACTTGATGTGCATGACATCGCTGCATTGGAAAAAATGGCTGATATCCCCAAGACGGATGATTCTGCAAAATTCCGTATGCTAATTTGTCCCATGATTATATCGCTCCTCAATGTTCTTTCACACAGAATTGGGGAACATTGATGCACGCGTCGTCGCCATCTACTCCAATAAGTCATTCTTGAAGTCTACATCACCCATTCCGGAAGATACCTCTTTCGGTCTGCTCCTCGACCGAACCAGTTTTTATGCTGAGGCCGGTGGTCAAGAGTACGATACTGGGAGTATCATTATAGACGGTGTCGCCGAGTTCGAAGTTTCGAATGTCCAAGTCTTCAATGGGTATGTTCTCCACATCGGTCAAATGAAGTACGGAAGTCTTCAAGTGGGCGATGAAGTCGTGTCATCCTACGATGAGGTCATTCAGCTGCTCAATCCTCCCATTTCGAAATATCGCTGACACTAGTGTTTTAGCTGCGCCGTTGGCCTCTCCGCAACAACCACACTGCTACACATATACTGAATTTCTGCTTGCGTGAGGTGCTTGGAGATCACATTGATCAGAAGGGCTCGTTGGTTGCACCTACTAAACTCAGGTTCGACTTCTCGCACAAGGCTCAGATACCTGCACCTGAGCTGAACAAGATCGAGACGATGAACCAGGACTGGATACGGAAGAATGTGAAGGTTTATAGTAAAAACGTTGCTCTTCAAGAGGCGTATGAAATTACCGGGTTGCGGGCGGTATTCGGTGAATCGTACCCAGATCCTGTGCGAGTGGTTGCGCTCGAGTATGACGTCGACGAGATCGTGAAAGATATTCATAATCCGAAGTGGAGACAGACCAGTACTGAGCTCTGTGGTGGAACGTAAGTGTGCTATTTCATCTGTTAAATATGGATGCTCAGCCCTTCACCCTTAGCCATGTCGCTAAAACTGGGGACATCAAGGATTTCTTGATCACCGAGGAATCTGGCATTGCCAGGGGCATAAGGCGCATCGTCGCCGTGACTGGACAAGAAGCCGCGGAGGCGCGCCGCAGTGCGGACGCCCTCACAGCCAAACTGGATCAACTAGAGGCGATGGATGGGCACGAGAAGGATACCGGACTGAAGGCTTACACTGTTGTATGTTTTCTTATCTCTAATGTTAGCTATATGAAATAACTACGGCCTTGCTTCGTCTGAAGGAACTGGGCCAATCCGACATCTCGCTGCTCAGGAAGACAGAGCTTCGCGATCGTCTTGGCGCTATTCGCAAGGCCTTTGACAAACAGATCAAGGAGCGCGAGGCGATTGCTAACAAAGCAGTTAGTCATCATTCAGAAGTCTAGAAATTAACTCACCTTAACGTTTCTCCGATAGGCCGTAGATGGGATCAACGAGTACTTCGAGAAGAACGAGGATGCGGAGGCGTACTTCGCTGTTCTTGAGGTCAACGGAAATGTCAAGGTAGGTAGACCTTGATATTATATTCTCGACTCCTGTACTCACTGCTATGCAGGTACTACAAAGTATCGCGCAACAGAGCAGGAAGCTCGGGAAGACGGTCTATGTCTTCAGCGCTGATGTAGCTGGGGGTAAAGTTGCTCACATCAACTACGTTTCCGAGACGGCCAAAGCGAAGGGTCTGGATGGTCGCGAATGGGCTTCCACCGTCGCTGGGATATTAGGCGGAAAGGTGTAACCATTTACTATTCTTCCCGCCTGCGATATGTCTGACACTTTCTTCACAGGCTGGTGGCAAGGAAGATAGCGCGCAGGGTGTCGGCGTCCATGTCAACAAGGTTCACGAAGCATGTCAGATCGCTGGAGATTATTTCTCGCGGAAAACAGGGTTGTAATCCGCGGCGCTGCAACCGTTCATATTGCATGGGGCCGTCGTGTTATATTTACTTAGAGCGTCACTCGAAGCATCCTCTGCTTCTACCCCAATATCACCGCGGTCCGATTACCTATAAGTTCCGCCCATGCTGTCAGATTGACTCAACGCTCCAGACTTACAACATTCATTAAGACGAATGTTCCAGCAAGATCCATGTGGTGGTATTTTGCTCTGCAGAATACGAAAGACTTGTATAGGTCTGTAAACACACCCACTAGACGTTGATTCTACGGTAGGATTCTATCGATTCTGAAGTGGGTGTTGAACGTTGAACTTCTACGGCAGTACGGTTCTTCCGCGCGATCCAAAAATGGCAGCTGATGTTTTGCGATTCGAACACGTCCAACCAACTGGAAGCTCTGGCGGCGTGTACGGAGCATTACAAGAGTCCCGGACTGTATCGGCCAATTGAACTGTCTAGCTATACTTTGTCTGTGAGAACGAGTGGGCCGAGCATGGTGACGGATGACAGAGCAACCCACACCGGCCTTACATGATGCCTCCGAGTCCGGACCTTCGTTGTCCCGGTGCATGCACGGACGTGGGGCGCTGCTGTCCAGGTGGGCGGGAGTCCCTCCAATGCTCAGCGCTCAACGCTCAGCTCAAAGACGGGCTGTCGAAATACTCTCTATAAGCCGCAAAGAACCCGGCTGTTCCACCGATACCGATCACTCCCTGTACAGTCCCAAGCTATCGACACAAGCGTGGATCGATAGCGTGAATCAAAGCTATGTACATTGGATGTCATGTATTCAAAGCACATACATAGATGAGAGTAATACATTGAGCCTTAAGCATAGCCTTAAGCAAGCAGATACAACGAACGACGGTTACCGAGTCAGTACTTCAAGGTATTAGTGCACATCGTGAAAGTCAATGTTGCATATCGAAACAGCGCGATCATCGCTTCAAATTCGAGGGAGGACGGAACGACGACGACGGGTGCTCCTCCTCAGGAATTACGCGCGCTGCGCCCTTGGAGCGCATCTTGCAGAGAGGGCATAGGCGGATGAACATCTCCACCATCGGCCAAGTGATGGTTGCCTGCACGGAACGCGGAACGAGATCAACTTTGGAGAGAGACAAAAAGGAAGATGTCTCTCACCATACCAATCCGCCTTGCTTCGAAGAGCATAGTAGATGATGAGCCATGGTTCCTGTGGATGTAAACCAAAATGTCGAATATCTGGGGCTGGACTGGGACGCGCTCGAACACCGCAGCAGATTCTAGCGACCCAAGCCCATTCTCCGAGTCCTTCTCCACATGTTCAACCTCTGCTTCTCCATCAGTTTGCAAGACGTAGTTCAGCCTCAACTTCTCCTCGTCGTCTCTGTGCATGTTGAAGAACGCATCCCGCGGGAGAAGGATGAGGTGACGCTTCCTCGATCCCGAGCGTGCATGGTGGCACGTCAACCACATCTGCATTCGGAGAGAAAGTTCCTGTATGTGCCCTTGCGCCACCGCATGAGCGAGATGCGCATAGACCTCCGGGATAAACGTGGCCGTATCCCGCAATTCGGGGGACAGACCGCCCACGAACCGGACGAGCACTTCCTCGAAGGCATGCCGTGTGGGCATCTCGATCGCATTGACTGTACGCAGGGTGTTGACGACGAGATCCGGGAGAGGAACGAACGACGGGTGCATCCAGGGATCAATATGCGGTGTCGTGACGATCATGCCTTGATCGAGCATGAATGGGCGATTGTACGCAGACGGCCCTTGTCCCGGGGGAATATTTTTTGGGAGGAGAGGGGGTAGCGGCCCTTTTCGCACCCAAGTAACGGAGCCGTCGGGATTCTGCTGCTGGTATGCGACATTCGGGTCATCCATCCCCGGTTCTTCATCGTAAAATCCGGGAGAACCAGGTGGCATATATTGTTTGATCTGCGGTTCCGTTCGCATCTCGCCCTCAAATACGTGACTACCTGAGGGGCCTGAAGAATTGTTGTTACTATTATTGTTGTAGCTGCCGCTGCCATCAGCAACGGGAAGCGCCCCGTACGTCGATGGCATATCCGACACCAGGAAAGAAGCCGTTTTAGCTGCATAAGGAGCTGCGGGTCTATCCCTGGTGCTGCCGTGATCCGAAGGAACTTTGTGCCGTTTCTTCGGCGTGTAATTGCAATCCGTCTCATTATCTTCTGCACAGTGGTTGCATACTGGAAGATTACGGTCGCACTGAAGTAGTAAACAAATGTCAGACTTATATTAAGAGCCGAACACTTTTCGTGGCTCACCTTGAGGTTCCGCTGCCGACACCTATCACATCTAGGAATTCCTCGGTGAGCTGGCGTAGGCAGGGGAGTATACTTGCATTTCCTCCCATTCGCCCAAGCACAATGATTACAGGTCGGCAGCACTCGGTCGCACTAGCCTTGATTTTAAAAACAACGAAATAAGGAGGTAGAAATAACGTACTTTTAAATTGTTCAACCGACAATGATCACATCGCGGTTTACCTCTCCTTCCTTTCCACTGCGACTGACGAGCCATGTACACTTTTGGATTTGGAATTCTGATGGTAAGTCCAGCGTCGTCGCCCGAGTCTCCCACAGACTCGGTTCCGCCAGGTGAATCCGCCATCGACTTTTGGACGGGTAATTCGATGGATTCGGAAATCCTCAGTGGTCAGCAAAGGTGTTCCTGAAAATGTCAAAGAAGAAAAATGAAGCACTATAAGACAGCTGCGCCGGCAGGGCCTTGACGATGGGCACGTCTGCGATAAGAGGCGACCTGAGTGGCAAAAGGATGACGATGAGGAAGGAATAAGAGTTGTAGCGCACAGAATCGATTTTGCAAGGTGTTGGAAAGAAAAGAAAGGATTTGTATAGGGTTGGAGTGGCGATGAGGCCTTGTTGTGTTGGACGACCTCGTGCGGGTCTGTATAGACAAGAAACCAAATTGGGCCGAACGTGAGTTCGAACTTACTGAGAAGCGTGACTGTGACACCCGTTCGTGACAGGCTGCGGTGATCTCAAACGACTTTACTCCTTTCAGCCACCAAACTCTCGCTTAGCGACGTCTCTTGTCCTCTTATTTCCCACTCAAACGTGTTCTCTGACCCTCTCAATAGCCGTCTCGCTGAAGCTGTGCCATCTGGCATGTCTTGTCGGGAACCTTCCAACAACTATGCATGTAATCGCGTAACAAAGGGTCCGGAGATGCCCGATGGATGGTTCTTGGTTGCCAAATCTAGTTACGCACCAAGTGCCAAGAAACAACTCACACGCGGCGTAGGTTCAACAAACGCAAGGACGGTGTTCATCTCCAGGCAGAACGGGACATCGGAGCCTTTGCTCTACCCACTACCTATCTACACACCGGGACATACGTATACATGCCAAACATACCCTGAATCCACGATCGCGTTTAGGAGGGAAACGACATTGCTGGATTTGAAACGCCGATATGTAATGATTAATCGATTACGAAGTATGCAACTACAGTGCCTGCCGGATGCAATTCGCTTTCAACGCGCAATTGACCACCTGTACTTGTCCAGATCGGTGTCTGTGTTCTCGACGTGACACGAGCAACATCATTTGTGCGTAAGGAGAACAATGAGCAAACAATGAGCCAAACCTCAGGCGTCATGAAATCAGGTATTGCGATGGCTTCCAGGAGTGCAGCGCACAGACATGCACAGCACTGACCCACTAGTTTTCCTGGGTCCGAATCGCTGTTGTGTGTTCTCAGCTTCTCAGTGCACCAATGCACGCTGCCTTTCTTAGAGATGCCATGTGACTGCGCTTCTCATCAGGCTCAGAAGCTTCAAGTTTCGCAGTATATGTCTGGACGTTGTATCTCGCTACGCAACACTAATTACAATGCAGGTGTGATGGAGGCCGCCGTTACAGATTGCGGACTTGCGCGTATGCGACGGAGCATCACCAATAAGGACATTTCTCAGAAGAGAAGTCCAGAATCATGAGAACGTGCACTAGGGGACATATGAATATACAAACGAACGTGCTCCCACGCAGCAGGTAGTGAGGAGGAATAATTCGAGTATCGCTGCTGATGGTGAGCTCGAATGGAGAGGATGGGCAATGATGCTGATCTAATTGTACCCTCTAGATCTACCTGGATGATAGCAGAAGGCGAGGGACCTCGAGCTCTCCGACCCCACCAGAGATTACACCTCGCCGATCCACCGATACCTCTCGCTAAGGTCAATACACACATGGCTCTCTGAGAAGCGACGAGCTTGTGCCCGAACGTGTCTCTCGTCTGCATGGTCTCCCCATCTACCTGTTTTCACACTCCTCTCAATACTTGAGCGAAGAAGCCTTCCATGTGACAGCCCTAAGAATACACCCTCATGCAACGCGAATCCGACGTGATCACGTTCGCACTTCCGCCGGTTACATCTGACGTCTATGGTATAAAAGATCGCATGCAGTCTGTTTTTGAATCTCAAGCCTTCTGTGCTCCAGACAACCCCGCCTGAACCAACATCCCAGCCATGTTCATTCTCGCGTTCATCAGTGCCGCGCTGCTCGTTCCCGCTCTCGCCGGTGCTATCTTGCAGTCTGTGCAGATGGTGAAGAAGCGTGATGCTGCCTACTACAACCCGACTGATGGCGGTGGTTCCATGCTCGATAACGCGCAGGATGGTTACGGGGAGCCTCTCAACGTGAGCGATTCGTTGAGCCTAGCATCCAACAGGCAATAAACTGCCCTTCAGGTCATTGTCTCGGCCCTGAGTTCGCCAGATGTCCTGACGTATGATGGTGCCATCAATTTCGCCCGCGCTATTGGATTGTGAGCATCTGTATTTACAACGTCTGAAATTGCATTTATAACTGCACCTGTCCAATATCGCCGTCAGCTCAGAGGAATGTTTCGACATTCATCTCGGGACACCATTCACCGCGAACCTCGGCGACGGCAATGGCTGGCTAAACCAGACCATTGAGCTTCGCCAGGACTATGGCAGCGCGAGCATCGGCACTTGTCTCGAGAGTCTCATCGGCGGCAACCACTTCAGGTAGGCCCACACATCGCCATATTCCTCGCCTCTCAAAGTCTCACATCCGACAACACGACAGGCTTTGGACGCAGAACGGGCCTGATGCTAATAGCGGCGCCCTCTTCCTTGCGTGAGTACCGTTCCCAGAGACCCCGCTTGAGGCGAATTTGACTATTCTGACGTCATCTCCTGCGCTGGCAGAGTCTCCAAGGAAGAGCCTGTTACGGAGAACCACGATATCATCCCCGATGGCTATGATATCGGACGGTACGTCTTCCTCACTTTCCGAGCTCCTTCGGCCACTGAACTGTATTGGCGTCGGGGCAATTGATGTAGTAATAACCTAGTCGATTCGGCAGTCGGGACCACCAGTTACGGCGACGTCACGTACAGCACGACCGCGCAGAACGTCACTGGTCTCATGCCCGAAGGAAGCGAGGGCATCAACCATGGTACGCCATTTTATGGATTCCTTTGCCTAATGCTCATGGCCTACTTTACATTACTTCAGACATCGCTGTTGATGGCATCGTCACTGTCCTGACTGTTACCATTGTTTGAATATACCCAGATACCTGTGCTATTTTTCTCGGGGAATGTGCATTTGTGTCAAATTGGTTTACGACGTCCATCATGGACATATCACGACTTTATGTGCAATCGTTCGTTTTGTGATACCCAAATTAATGTCGCGGACTTCATAAACACACTTGAGACATGATATGATGTTGTTACAGTGAAACAAGAAAGAACAAACACGTAGGGTGACGTACCGGAGTTGCTGTGGATATCGGGGTGATGTGGAAAATGAAGTAAAAAGTGTATGCTGTATGATGTAGTAGTGGTGGACTATGAAGTTGGATTGTGCAGAATATTCAGAAATTGCAGAATGTTGGGGAATAAAGTTTTACCTTGAGCGGACAGATGCCTGCCTCACTACATCCCATCCACCCACTCATCCCATCGCACGTCCTCGCCCATCACGGCATCAGGCATCGGCAGCATCATCTCCGCATCCTCATCGCCATCGTCCCCTTCTCGCGAGTTAAGCCGTGATGACCAGAGCCTATTCTCCTCCGCGACCTCTTCGATCGTCCGGCGTTTCACGCGCTCGAGCACATAGTCCAACTGCACGAAGTTGCTGTCGTCCAGGGCGAATTTGCGATGTCTGCGGGTGTTAATATGCTGCAAGTGCAGGAGAGCCAGCGGCACAAATGAGAAGAGGCGCGAAAGGTATCTGATCAACCGCCGTATCCCCTCAACGATCACGACCAACGTACCTCTATGAAGTCCGTGAACTTCACTCTGCAGCTCTCACAGTATCCAGGCTTAGTCCCCTCCTCTCGTTTCGGGAGCCGCAACGTATTCGTACTGCGACTCTTGCGGAGCACGTGCGGCCTGTCGGGCAAGGTGGGCGGCGGGCCCATCTGATTCTCTTTCCCTCCGGATAAAATGCTCATAGTGACCCTTCGCGACGTCACGACCTGCTGCTGAAGCCGCCCCTTCAACCGTGAGGGAAGCTCGCGGATGCGCAGGGGCCCTGCCGCGGCCGACGTGGTGCCGGTCGTCGAAGTGATGCCGACACTGTTCCCGGACGCAGCTATATACGCGCCCGACGCGAGGTATCCTGACGCGTTCGCCGACTCCGTCGTGTCATCCGCGTCGAGGTCGATGAAGCCCTCCATGCTGGGGTCGGGATACGCCGAACGTCGCTGGAGGTTGTTCATCGATGCGCAGCGCCGCAGGTCGTGCTGCTGCTTCTGCTGCTCTTGCAGGCGTGCCTGCGTCCTGCGGAGGCGCTCCTGCCGCTGCAACCGCGCCTTGCGCCGCGCACGCTCGTGCTCGCGTTCGCGCTCGGCGCGATCAGCTTTCTGGCGGCGACGGTCCTCCCGCTCGTCGAACGGGATGAACGGCCCGCGCGCCTTCGGGTGGCAGTAGAGGATCGGCCACGGGCCCTTGATCGTGCCGTCCCGCGTCTTCGTGCACGGGTACTCTGACGCTGCGATCGTCGCAAGGTCCTGCCGCATGTCCTCGACAAGCACGAAGCAGGAGTTCTTCGAGAAGTACGCGTAGTCATGCCGCCGCTGCGTCGGGTCGCGTTCCGTTGTGCCATGCAGACGTTCAGATAGCAGCATGCCCTTGAGATCACCCTTTGACGTCGTGCCGGCCCCAGCAGGACCCTGACATCGTTCCAGCACGTTTTCAAGCTTAGCTGGATTCCAGACTTTGATGTTGAAAGCTAGAGCCTTCTGTACGATGTTCCCCAACGCTGTACCCGAGACATCTATCTTGGCCCTGTACAAGTTGATATGAGCGAGACTTGAATAACAGGCATCCTCTGACGACGCTTCTTACCGCCCCTTGAGCCTGATCGGACTTCCCAACAGAGATGTGGGATTGATAGTCTGGGTCACATTTTCCTTGTTTGACTCCTCCGGCTGGAAAGTGATCAGATGCGTGATGTCTCGCGAGAAGAAGTCGTCCACCCGCTGGTCGATAAACACGAGGCATATCGCACGAAAGGGATAGGGCGTTCAGCAATCAGCGTCGCGCTCCAAGACGCTGCACGAGGAACATACCGCGCCCATCTGTGTTACCCGCCTTTCCAACACGTGCCTCATGGCGGCGACGTCCGTGGCGAAGGTGTCCATGTCGAAGTAGAACACGAAAGTCGGAAATGCGCGCGAGTACTTGATCTTGAACTCCTCCTCGCGCTCGATGCGCTTGCGCTCCTTCTCCTTCTTCGCATCCTCGCGCGCTGCTGTGTGTTGTTGTACTGCAGCCTTGTGACGTTTCGCGCTCTGAAGATGAGCAGCGCCTCCAGGTTCTGGAGATCGAGGACGTTTGATGGCAGTGGCAGGAGTGGCTCTCCTCAATGTCGTCTGGTATGGGGAGATCGACGCTGATTGGTGAGGGTGGGGTCGTACAGCCAGTGGGTTGCGGAGTATGGTAGCCATAAAATCGTAGAAAAAACAGCACCGCCAGCGACGGGTGCCTCGAGTGAGCAAGAGGTGGTGGAGAATATGCAAGAAATGGCCGGCGGGTGGAGAAGAGAAAGCGACTGGGAAAATTGGAGGAGTGGCAACCTCAGTTCATCTCGGACAAACAAATCACGCGTTCCCCAGACGCGTCTGTCACGTCACATCACATGACCCCATGTTTTCGGAGCGTGAAGCTTTCGACTCGAAGCTTTCAAACTTCGACCATTGATGAACTCGTTAGACTTACCGGAAGTCGCAATGTAATTCGACAAACGACAGTACATAACGACACGATTCTCGATGCCCCAGGGCGAAGTAACACTTATAAAGGATGCGGATAGGGCCGTTCTGAAATCTGATCGGTATTTCCGCAAGCCACGCACGAGAACAATAGCTTAAGGTATATTCACGAGCTGTGAGGTATGGCTGCAATGTACATCGATCTCTCAAGGAAAAGTCTGTGGCAAGAAAATATGACCAGTCTATCAGAGAGGGCCGTCTAAGTCCGGGAACATATTCAGCACAACGGGTCAAAAGTCCTACAATTCACTCACGGTAGTCGTACACGAGCCGAGTGTGCAATTTCTCCTCCTTCGGACCGGAGAAGGCGATACGTCTTGTGTGTCGTCTCTCGCCATTAACCTCTTCGAAACCCCAGACCTGCACCATAATTAATCGTCAGCTTGACCAGACACTATTAAAATCAAATCACCGACCTGCTCCGCAATCCACGTCTTGCCGCTCTTCTCCGTATCGCTGTATTCGACGGTGAAGAGGCCACCGTGCTCCTTCGTGTCCTCGAGCCAGCCCGTCTTCAAGAACTCATTCTCGAGTTCGTCGATCCGGATGCGTTTAGACTTGCAGACGGTCGCACCGAACACGTAATCGTAGTCCAAGCGCTCCGTCCAGTCGAAGGTACGGTTCTCCGCCGTGCCCTTGATGCCGTTTAGCGTCTGGTCGACGTCGATGTGCTCGACCGTCTCGCTGACGTAGTGCTTGCAGTAGAGGTGGAGTGTTGTGATGCGGATGGTCTTGCGTATGAGCCAGCCGACGCCCTGCAGACGCAGGATGTCGTCGGAGTCATCGCTCAGAGTCTTGTTCTATGTGTACTTTAGCCGTCATCCTTGGCTGGACGCAGTTCTGCTACGCACCATCACGTACTTGCCGCTGATGTTGAGCGTGTTCATGGTCTGGGGTGCAGCCATAGTGGTCCGGCACTTGGCTAGCGTAGGGAAGGAAGGGGAAGGAATTAATGTCGAGGATGAGCGATCGTGGAAAGGGGTGGATAGACAGGCGAGGTACCTATTTGTACTATACCACGCTAGTTTGAAAATGCGCAGCAAACGAAAATGGGGGAGCCAATCGCACGGCAACCGTTTGTGGAATTTAGTGCAGGACCGAGGACGGTTTCTCGGAAGCAGAAGCGTAGCAGAGCGCTGCACACATGATGGCTGGCGTTCATCAGGCGGTGTGTCGTTTGAGGCAGACGACCTGACACTTTCATCATCAGACCGTTTCAGCTCGCACTGCCAACATGCTCGCTGCTCCAGCGGTCCCTCGGCGCTGATGGCCCATGAGCACACTTCAAAGTTCAGCGCAAACGTGCACAGCAACGTCGGACTGTGGAGACTTACACTCCAGAATGCCAAGAATTTGAAGCGCCAGCGCACGGTGCCTGTACTACCACCTGTCGTCCCACTTTCTGCGCGCGTGTGACACCTTGTCTTGTTACCTCGTCACCTGTGTGACACAACGCGACGCGACTCGATCCCAGATCTCCTTACCCAATGCGGAATCGTAGCGGCGCTCGCGCCATTCCCCGACTCCGACGGGGTGCTCACGGTTTTTGTATGAGCAAGGGTGTGTGATCGATACGTATAGTACAAGTACAGGCATTTGTGATAGTTACAGTAATGGAAAAAACTAGACAAGCGAGGCATCATCGTCGTCGCTGTCATCCGAGTGGTGTTGGTCAGGCTCGGAATTCGGTCGGAAGACTCCGAGGAGGGGCATGGGCTCGTCTTCGAGGAAGCCGCGGGGCATCGATCCCGGATTGGCGAGAAGGACGATGGATTGGATGTTGAGGGAGATAGTGGTGTCGGCGTTTTCGTCGTCGAGTTCAGGGTGGCTCTTGATGTACTTCCCAAGAGTGAAGAGCAGGAGGACGGCAGACTCTGTGGAGAGATCGTCGTGGATTTTGGGAAGCATCGATATGGAGCGCATGGAGAACTTGAAGGGCTTACACCCGTCGAAAGTCGGCACTGCGGGAGGAGTGAGTTAGGGCGCATGTGCGAGAAGGTTGGGGGCGATCTTACCATCTCGATCGGCGGGCAGCACGGGGGGTGGACCTGCAGGGTGCGTTAGCGAACATTTTGTAGTGCGAGACGTCGCGTACCGCGTTGTGCGTTCACCGGAGTGGCGGGAGCCATGCCGCGGATCTTGGTTGGAGTGTTTGAGGTGCCAGTGGTCAACCTTGTCGAGAAGGAGAGGCCGGCATGGAACGACGGGAAGACGAGTGTTCGTCTGTTGAGAATGGCACCCAGGACGGCGGCCGCACGTGGCCAGGTGAGTGCTGATGGTGCAACGCAGAGTTGACGGCTGCGACCGCTCGGACTGATCAGGTCGCTGTGGGTAACGGAGCCGACGACAGAGAAGAGCGTGAGATGGGTGCTCGTCTTGAGCTGAAGGTAGTCGGAGGCTCCGATGGTGACAAAGTGGAGTGCTGTGGGGTCTGCGGTCGCGAGATTGATGATGTCGTGTGCGGTGGCGATCGAGACGTGGTCCAGACGTCTTTGGGGTCGATTAGTAGTATGGCAGAAAAAGCAAGGGCAAATGGACATACTCGGCGATGTTCGAAGGGAATGCTCTCTTGAGATACACGGGTTGCACGAGGACAAACACGTTGTTCATGGCACGTGTCACGGCGAGTGTTTCTCTGCAAGAAAGTGTCAGTGTGAGTCACAGTGGATAATTGCCAAAGGGCGTACCTGAGTTTCGACAGCGACTGGAGCACTTCGGTTCTTGTATATATGGTGCAGTTAGCGGAAGTGTCTGTCTGGTGGCAAACAGCGACTCACGGTGTCCTGGTTTTCTCGACGTGCTTTCCTTTGTTGCGGTAGGGCTTACCGGGAGTCTCGTCGGGTCGGTGACTGGCGTGAGCATCGTCTGCGGGAGTATCGGATGCGGTGGAGTCAGTGTGTGCTGTCGGCGAGAATCTGCAAAGAACTGCATGTTGGCTGGTATATGGCGGTGAGTGGGTATGAAGACTTACATGTCGTCGCTGTCTTCGGGCTTCTGCCTTTTTGCGGGTGAAGGCACTGGTGCGGACGGTGACAGATGCCTCATCTTGCGTTTGCTGCCAGTGGTGGTTGCAGGAGCATCAGTGATGGAGGCCATGGTGGCGGTTGCGAGAGGAAATTGGGCGAGGTGGGAGTTGTTCGCGGTGCGACTGTTGGGGCATGTCCGTCGGCATTCGCTGTCTGGGCACGGTGCCGAAACGGGGGCGAGAGTGTGGAGGAAATTGCGTACGCAGCGCAGGTGCGTGCTTTGCAAGGGGCGAGGTGCGGCCTTGGCGTTCGAACGGGAGGTCCGGGCGGTGGTCGACCTGGGCGCGGTCGCGAAGTGTGAGGGAGAGGGTCGAGGTTGCGGCGCGCGCGGCGGGGGCGCGTGTTTTGCGGTGGCCCAGGCGCGGTATTGGCATTCGAACGGGAGGTCCGCGTGGTGGTCCGGTTGGCGAGAGTAGGTGGTGGAGGGTGTTGGCGGTCGAGGTGCTGTGGAGAGGGGCGCAAACGCGTGCGGAATTGCGCGCGCAGTCCAGGCGCGCGTTTTGGTTGGGCGAGGCACCGTGTTGGCATTGCTGGATGTCAGCAAAATGTAAGCAAAATAGCAGAGAAAAATACGCACCGAGCGGGTGCGTGTGTTGTGCGATGGGCTAGGTGCGGCATTGGGATTCGCGCGCCGGGAGGTCCGCGTGTTGGTTAAGCCGCGCGCGGTCGCGAAGTGTGAGGGAGAGAGTCGAGGTGGCGGCGCGCGTAGCGGGGCCGCGTGTTTTGCGGTGGGCCAGGCGCGGTATTGGCGTTCCAACGGCAGGTCCGCGTGGTGGTCGCATTGGCGAGAATGCAGGTGGTGGAGGGTGTCGGCGGTCGAGGTGCTGTGGAGAGGGGCCGCGAACGCGCGCCGAATTGCGCGCGCAGTGGGGACGCGCATTTGGGTCGGGCGAGGTGCGGTGTTGGGACTGCTGGATGTCAGCAAAGTGTAAGTAAAATAGTGGAGAAAAATATGCACCCGAGCGGGTGCGCGTGTTTTGCGAGAAGCTTAGCGCGGGATTGGTGTTGGCACGCCGGGAGGTCCGCGTGGTGGTCAAGCCGCGCGCGATCGCGAAACCTGAGCCAGAGGGGGGAGGAAACTGCGTGCGCAGGGGGGGCGCATGTTTTGTGGTCGGCCAGGCGCGGTATTGGCATTCCAACGGCAGGTCCGCGTGGTCGTCGCATTGGCGAGAATGCAGGTGGTGGAGGCCGTCCGCGGTCGAGGTGCTGCGGAAAGCGGTCGCGAACGCGCTCCCAGTGGGGACGCGCGTTTGGGTCGGGCGAGGTTCCGTGTTGGTATTGCTGCACGTCGCGGCCGAGTTGGCGATGGTGGCGGAGAACGTCGGCGACCGTCCGTGTCAGTGGTGGAGATGTGGCTAGAGCGGTCGTGAACGTGCGCCGAATTTGACGCGCAGCAGTGGCGCGTGTCCACAATGAGCTGGGCGCGACGGTAAGATTTGAATCTGACGCGCGAACGGTTTGTCGTGTGGGGGCGAGCGTCGGTCGTTGTGGATGGCTACTTACCTCCACCGGTGTGTTCGTTCTTGCTCGTTGATCGTGTCTTGCTGGCAATTGACACTGGTGTATAAAGTTTAGTAAAAATCTTGCTGCTTTCAATCAAAATGAATTTGGAGGCTCACCTGAGTTCTGACACGATGGCAAAGGTCTTTCAGGATGCGCGTTGTGGTGCGTCGAGTTTCTGTTTTCGTGATGGGACTGGATGATGGCTGAATCTTGGTCAGTGAAATTATTCGACGAGTGGACCACACGTACGAAGGCGCCGAATCCGGAAATGGGTGCCGATGGACAGGGATCGCAGTTCCTGCTCGAGACGTACGATCAGTTCGAGACAGTTGAGCGTCAATTTGATGTTCAGGTCGGTTCAGGTGGGTATTTGTACCTGGTGTGGCGAAGCTCGCGCGAGGAGGTTACACTGCGTGTGTCTGGATTTGTTTCTCAGATGAGTCTTCTGCCCCCTTTCAGGCGCTCATTCAGGTTTGTCACTTCTGCAGTTCACAAGCTGCTTGTCGATGTGATTGATTCGTATCTAGGCTGCCGAGGGGAAATCCGAATCTCGCTCTGCAGACTGTTGTGGTTGCCGGTGAAGGTCCTGCATTCCGGCGAGCCATCACTGCCCGATCAAACATCTTACGTTTCATGGAAATGCATGCACACCGTGGAACGACATCTGTAATTGATGATGTCTGGCTTGGTGCCATGCCGTGTTTTATTGCAGAGACACGTGTGCTCACGCCTATGGTGGAAGCACCGTTGTTTGACAGTGCCGATCTGAACATGGTTATTGACCCGTATGGTGCATTGGCAGAGCTAGTTGCTGGTGGGAGGCTCTCGTGGACATCAGACAATGTTGTGTCATGCATGGAGCTGAAGGGCGAGTATGACGACAGGTATGTCATGATATGAAATCATCTGTCTGCATTGCTTGAGGTGATGTTGTGTTTATGTAGGTGGTCTACTCCTGTGCAGTCATCCCTTGACATGGTGCGTGCCGGTGAGCTCGTTGAGCTTTCAGTAAACTTTCGGCTTCGTGAGCACATGAGTCCAAATGGGGCAAACGTAGGTCGCAAGTTTCTTACACGACTTGACACTGTCATGATCGTGAGTCGCTTGGGGATGAAGGTGAGTTGGCGTTTGCTCGCATTTGTTTGTTATCAGAAAATGACTTCTAATGGTGGCTATAGCTGATTGCGGACTGCGAGTCAGAGCACTTGTCGATGATGCGTATTGCTGCGGCGGCTGATAACACTGGTGGAGGTAAGGCTCCAAAGAAGAGACGGTTCTCTTACCTCCAGTCTGTGCCTTCTGTTTTAACCAGTACTGAACAACACTTGAATTCGCTGACAGTATTGGACAAGACAGATGATGTAGATCAGGTAATGAAGCCGGTGGGATAGTTGCAGTACTGTTACATATAGTCATATGATATAAGATACTGATGGTATGGCTGTCTTTTAAAAATTCAAATGAAAGGATCATCTGAGCATGAAGATCGTGTCGATCAGGTAATAAAGTCAGTAAAATAGGTATAGTGTCATGGTGGCAATAATACAATATTTTGTTGATTCAATTGATTCGATTGAATGGACCATTTGATGTATACACGAGGATGTGCGCCCAGCGTCCGTCGAGTGTAAGGAGTGGTGTAAGGTCATCGGTATCCATTCTGTTTTCATATTGTGGGACACCGTCATTCTGTTGGTCGTCGTATATCCATCCTGAGTTGTGAGAGTGGAGGAGACGTGCTGTAAAGTGACTAGATCCAAAGTATATTACAGTTGCCAATGAGTAGGTGGTCTGCATATTGAATTCCAGATCAAATATGGGAGTGATAACTGTATGTTCCTGTGACGGATATTCAAAGTATAGGATGGGCGGTGGTGTAATGTTGCTTATATTATGATCAACTTCACTGTCGCATTGACATAGTAATCTTCTTGCATGCAGAATGGATGATGTCATGGTCTTACTTAACCAAGTTTGTATAGTTTGAGTTTCAGCAGAGGACTGCATGCCGGTGGACACAATAACAGATGGGATTCTTAGTGTGATTGGGCGTGTTTGATGACAGGCAAGACACTGTATGGTCGTGACTATATTGTTAGTGGTGTTTTCCAATGCACATTCAATTATGCTTGCTGCAGAGGCAAACTGTGGACCATATCTTGGATATTCCATAGGTGATCGTCTACTAAGAAAATCTCGGAGAAAATCACGTTGCATGTTAAACTGCTCGGCACTGGAGTCTGGGCTCAGATTCTCAAAACAACTGACCAACAGACTAGCAATAGCTGACTGATTCTTCCACATTGCACGCAAAGAAGAGCTCAGTTGAGAGTAGCTGTGATAAAGTGACATAAATGTGGCATCATATGCACATGAGTAGTCTGTGGATGACCATTGGCAACCGTGCTTGTACATGTATGGTGATGAGTCAGAATGTGGCATTGATATTGATGGCAAAATCCCTGATTCTTCCATTTGTGAGGCTTTCCGTTTGGTTCCTTTTGACTGTGAGCTACTGTCACTAAAGTTGACATGAAATGACTTTGTGGAGATGTCATCTTCACTTTCAGGATTTGGCAAAGGTACGAGGGATCCTGTTTTAAAGCCATAGTGAATTAAAGTATTTTGCTCAAGCACTTTAAATTTCTGTGTCTCATGGTATAGGTCAGCAGAAACAGGCTTGTTTAGCTGTTCCAACTTTACTGGCTCTGAGATGAATAGGCCATTTCGTGTGCGTGCTCTCGATGCAGCAACGTAGGCTGCAAAGCCGCCCTCAGTCATGTTGTTAAGTACTTTAGGCAGTGTTTTGCCTTGCGACGTGTGGCCGGTGACCGCAAATGCAGGTTGTATGATGAGTTGCAGTCGGGTAACTTGGTACCTTTGTGTATCTCCATTGGCATCTCTAAGTGTAGTTGTAAACCGCCATGTTGTTGGAGCAATAGGCACATAGCCTGAAGGCAAATCAGGCAGATGTACCTTGCTTGTAGGAAACTCAACTATAACACAATCTGCATATGTGTATCTGACAGGACAGTGTTTAATCGAGATGTGCCTAACTATGCCTTGAGCACCATTGGTGATTCCAAGTTCTGTGGAGATGTTTCGACTGCGTAGTACCACAGGCATGCCTACATATAATGAAATGAATGCTGGGAGGGCACCTTCAGAAGTAAGTGGTGTTACATTGAGCCGCAGAAGTGCATCACGAATGGATTTCTCAGGTACCTGACCATCAATCTTATCGACCGCTGTGCATATTATTAAGCTCAAACCATTGTCTGCATCACAGTTTGCCTGTGCCTTTTCAGTATTAATAACTTGTCGTAGCAGGTTGGTATTGACAATTACTGTAGGATCATCATCATCATCTTTTATTTGAAGGCCATCAAGATGGGTCGCTGACTTAACTACCCGTGTATTAAATAGGTCAACATCTCCCATTGTGCATTCACGTGTTCGCAATCTATTGACTGCATCACCATACTCAGGATCATCTTTCATACGTTGTTGCTCAGTCAACTCTACCACTGCATTTACTTGCTTCCATGCAAGTCGACCAAGCCTCTTGCTGAGTTCATCTGATGTCTGTCTTGCATATGCTGATATAGGTGTGTATAGCGGTGTGCCACCTACTGGAGGATATTGATAAAAATCTCCCGCAAAAATTATATTAATACCTCCAAACCATACATCTGGTTTTTCTTTGGCATAACGTAATGCATGATCTATCTCAGAGAGTAACTGACAGCTAACCAGTGAGATTTCATCAATAAGTACAAACTCAACACGCTGCCATTCATCACGCAATACTGTACGATTTTGAACACTAATTGTTACTGTATAGTCCTGTTCACTTTCGCCCAGTCGCCTGTTGCCTTTACCCTTTGTCTTTGATTGTATCTTCAAACCGAGTCCTTTGTGAATTGTCATTCCATCGATTAGAGCAGCAGCAGAGCCGGTAGGTGCAAGAAAACGAATTTGGTATAAGCAGCCAAAGTATGTCATCAATTCTTTCAAGGCTTTGACAACATGCGTCTTGCCTGTGCCACCGGGACCGGTGAGCAACAAGTACAGCGGTTCCATTACAGTGTCTGATTTGACTACATAGTTTTGAATAAAATGTTTTGCACAAATCTGAAAGGCACATGCCTGCTTAGCATTTAAACTGTAGGATGTTTGAACAGACTGTAGAACTTTCATTGGGGACTGTTCAACTAATGCAGTAGTATCACTCATATTTGGGGCTTCTGTGGATGTGGTTAATTGTTCTGGTATTGTAGGCGTCATGTAATACTCAGTGTATGCAGGAGTTTTTTCGAGAGTAAACTGAGAGCTCATGTTGCCAGCATTACGTCTTTTCTGCATTACTTGCATCTCTTGCTCATGTAGGGCTGACTTCCACTTCTGCAACTGCAAGTGGGTTATATTATATTTAACAGTGGATAGTGCAGCTATCTTGTGATAAGTGTTGTGATGGAGCCAATTGCACTGTTCAAGTAAAGAGACAAACTGCTGTATCTTAAAGTCATTGACTGCACTTCGTCTATCATGTGATGTAACATCAACATCATCATCTGTGTCTGCTGTAACAGATGAGTACATGGATTTTGTCAAGTGACGTGATTCTGCTAGCAGCGTCGCTCGCTTGCGCAACCGTTCACTGTCTCTTGCATCTTCGCATTCATATGCTGCCTCCCAGTTGCGCATCTTGGTTTTGCTGAACTCACTAAAGTCATATACACTGAAGGTATGCTGAAAGGTGTCACCGTACTCTACAAGTGGAACTGTATCACTGAATGGTTTAAAGTGTGCCAGCATAAATATTACATACCTTTCACTATTTTCACGGTGAGGGATCAGTGTACCAATTGGACGTGGAACACGCTCCATATTAAAGTCAACATGCATTGGAGTGAAGTGCTCAACAAGTACATGTGTATCTGCAAGAGGATGTTGTTCCTTTACAGAAAGACGTCGAAGTACACCTAGTCGATCATCTGATGTATGATGGTTATGCTGTGCTGTTTTAGACTCTAATGTGAAGTATCTGCAGAAGTCATAGAAGTTTAAGTGAGAAAGAGTGTCTGGTCTGTAGACGTAATCATCAATTTGGTTCCGTTCGAGTAGCTGTCCATTTTTATTCACTTTAATATTGATAGTACACTCTTCTATGTCATCAGCATCAGAATGATTATCCTCACCACTCTGACTTTCAATTTGCATAGCAAATGAATAATGCTCTTTGACATAAAGCAGTAACAAAATAGATAGCAAGGGCTTTGTAGGATGTGATGAAATACTATCGCCTCTCTTACGTATGTACCAGGCTGCTTGCTGAGAGTGGATCTGTTGTTGACACAAGAATTGAGCCAAGCACCTATTTAGTAAGGTTTTTGTACTGTAACTAGTCAATTGCGAGGATTGGTCATTGCCACTGGGTAAACTTGCTACTGCCTTTGATAACAATGATAGCATCTGATAGGTTTTTAGGTCAACCTTAGTAATATAGTCTGTAATATAAAACATTGCAGCCTTCGCAGCTTTACCAGAAAGAATACATTTAATGTCATGATTATGTCTGCAAAAAACCAGAATATATGGATTGTAGTAGTTCACATTTGCATCTTTACACATCAGAATGACAGAGTTAGTATTACGATCAAAATATGAGCTCTCAACAACCTCATGGGGAAATAAAAATCTGCATTTACCTTCATTACCGTATTTTTCACAGACTTTACGGTGTTGATGACGCTGCAAGACTTCTCCACATTTTTTAATTTCAGTGACAAACACTGACTCCCATTCATTCAGAATATTGAGTGCCGATTCACCAACAATAGGTGGTTGTGGTGGTCGTTCAATACGAGGTTCGTACGTTTGATCAACTTGCATATCAATATTAGGCAAGTGATGAAATATAATGCTCTCCCAGTATCTGAAAAATCGGTATTCAAACTCATGACTGTCACGCAACCTAGCATGCAAATCAGAAGGATTCAGACCTCCAAGTAGCCATAATACAAAGTGACCATGCAGTGTACCACGCTCAGTACATTCAGGTGTACCATAAAATGCACGCAACTTTCCTAAGATTCCACCTTGCCTTTTGGAGCGTCTCTTAGAAAAATCCCAGCCCAAGAGGTCTTCAAATATAGTGTGTATACAAAAGTAGAAGAAATCGCATGCTGCAACTGGATCTTTGGCCAGCCGCAAAGCACGTTCATGTGCAGGCACAACTAGTGGAAATCGTTTGGCCAAGTCTACAGTAGTGTCACCATACATGACTTGGAAAATTGGATTATGTGCAGGCGAAGGATTTATGGTCATGTAAATATGTGGCATGCCAAAGTAACCAAAGTAGCTACGTATCTCATTTCTGACCCGAATTTTTGAGGCTTGAGAACCAGGAATATGTCCACCAATAGTGTTCACATGCTTTAGCAAGTCTAATGCATCTTTTTGCTGGTCAGTCAAATCTGCATATTTACCTTCATTCTCAAGATGGTTAGAGACTGACATAAGCAAGGAGGGTGAAAGAGTGACTAATCTTCTAGCGATAGTCTGAAAGTAGGGCTTTTGTACTGCAAAGTGTGTGTGTAAGTGAGCAGAGCGACGCTGCCATATATTAAGTGCAATGAACATAAACATGTGATGATACCGAAATGCCTTGTCTGCAAGATCAAGATAGTAGTTGACCTGAGTATCAAACTCTATTGGCTTTGGCCTACTAGGATCTTCAAACCCACCAATGCCAAATGGATATAGTGTTGGAAACATACCTGGAAACAAGTTAGGATTGTTGTATTCAGAGACAGGCAGCATACCATGATGAACTACAAGATCAGGTTGCGATGCAGTTGGATTAACTATACTTCTTATTGCCGCAGCAGTAAAGCTTCTCCCACTAAGTTTATCTCCTTCTGGATCTGACATGCCCATTTTCTCCATCATAAGTTGTGGTTCATTTGATAGAGGGCAGCTTTTGGCAAATAATTCTGCAGGATGTTCTGAAAAGCCTGCCGTTTCATCTTGAAATATAAGTGTAGTATCCATTCTGTGATCTTCGACAATTCGTGAACTAAGACCCGGTAACACATCATCTTCAGGATACATATCAAGTGCAGACAGATCAAAAGTCATATGTTTATACAACTTGTTATGACTCTTAAGCCACAGTAAGAAGCTCCAAATCTTACGCTTCCGCACACGATACATGTTTCCTACGTACTCAGGCTTAAACTTATGTGGACCAATAAAAACAACTGTAAGCATACCAGCAACATCGGCAGGTGTTCTTGGAAGCACTGATGCTGTGGAAACAACATTTAAATCATGTGCACATGTGTTTCCATGAAACACCTTTGGCTGTGCAGGGTCAGATGACTGATAAATTCTTGTGACATGTGCAGTGCTATGGTAGATTGCACAAACCATTTCTTCAACCCAGGTTATATCATTGTATTGCTCAGGCAGACAACCACGATACAGATTATTAACTAAGCCATATTGTGGTGTAGTACGATGTTGTATTGCTGTATAGCAGCTCGAACAAATTTTGATAGCTGTGACCATGCCATTATCATAAGTCAGCCCTTTCTTGTCCAACATACAGCCGTCTAACCTTGAGTCCTTAAAAACAAACTCAGAGCTATTCTGTTTAACTACGCAGTTTTCTAGAATGAAAGGATCTGTGATTTGGAATGCAGATAATACTTGCTTATTCAGCAGTAAACCATCCATCTTATATTCAGAAATATGAATCTCATGTGACTGACGAGCACATACAGCACAAATTGAAGGTGAATGCCACTGAGTATGAGTGTAATAATTGTTCAGACAGTTAAGAATCACATTGTGAGGAACAAGTTGTGGCCATGCATCAATATATGCTTTTGTCTCTGCACTGTCCTGTTCAATTTCTAACGCCTTTTCAACTCTACGCTGCTCTTTCTTTGCATCACTGTTTGTATGAGACTCCATGTTTAATTTATCAAAAATCTCAGATGGAACACTTGACTTTAGTAGCTTGAAAATCAGTTCACTACGAGGACTACATAACTCACTCTGAGATAAGAATGGTAAATGACACAAGATAGTATTCAAAAACTTTGAAGATTCAACTTTGAATAAGTACTGGGACAACTCAACAATATGCTCAACTATAACTGTGCAACGTGCATGACGTTTTACCGGCAATTGGTTTGTAAACGTAATACCATAGTTATAAAGTGTTCGCATTAACACAGATGACAAACGGTGAATAAGAACACTAGCTGGAGTGACAAACCAGGGTAATTCTATACATAATTCTACAGGCGGTATGGCATATCCAATTAATGGATGTTCCTCAAAAAGTGGAGAGTTCGCAGAACGTATTGCTAGTGCTACAGGTTCACCATACAATTTAATATACAGAGCACTGAGCAGAGCATACCGGGATTTGAGAAGTTGATCATCACCATGCAGACACTTTGCTACATCTTCATTGGACATGATAGCAACAGATGCACGACTCAATTGAAAGTCAACAAGAAGTCTTCTGCAAATCTCAGACTTGTTACGGTCTTTCTAAGGTATTAAACAGTGAGATGACACAGCTGCAGACTGCAGAGTATGAAGACTTAACCTTTGGAGTGTACGCAAATACTGTTCATCAGACAAATAGAACCATGAGGGATTGAAATCTGCCATGGCTAAAGTCAATCGCTTACGCTACTTCAGTCCGAAGATTTAAAGGTGTTTCAACACAAATCCTTAGTGTACTTGAACAGCGTGCTTGAAGACAAATACTTAATGTGCTTGAACACAAAATATTTAACGTGCTTGAACACGAAATGTTTAACGTGCTTAGACACGAACTCAATCAAAACAGCACTGCGAAACTGTGAACACAGTATCACAAATAGCAACTGCATTGTGCAAATTAAACTGTAAGTATCCATTTGAACAAGTCAACAAGCATAGACGCACCTATTTTGCAGCTACACTTGTCCGAAACAGTCGCAAAAAATGCGAAAACTATGTCTTCAAGAGAGCAGGTCCACGTAGATTCTACATGGTTTAGTGGTGAATCAGTAGATTAGTAATAATACGAGAAGAAGAATACACTCACATGCAAAACAGAATGATGTCGTATAGCGACTCGTCGAGGAGCGACACTGAGGTGTAACGTCGTCCAGCAGCGCCAACATCGTCGAGAAATCGAGCGCGCACGTGATGTTTGCGAGCGCCATCCTACGTGAATAGACCTGCGCTGGAACACCGTGGGCAGGTCGAGCGCAAGGGCGGAACGTTCGCGAGCGCGATCTTACGTAAATAGACCTGCACTCGAACAGTGTCGACAGGTCCAGTGCAACAGCGACGTTCGCGACCGGAATCCTAGACGGAGTCAAGACTCAAATCGTAAGTGTTATTACTCAACTTATTTACTGATGTTGTTTTCGCACAACTTCATTCGCAGAGGCGTCTGCCGTTTCCCCTTGCCAAAGCCCTCCTCCAGTTCCTGGAGTCGGGGACCCCATACTTACTCACCTCCTCCTCTCATCATGTCGCTATTCTCCGCATTTTCAGCCGTAGAGAGTGGGCATCTAACCATCGAGTCTCTTCCAGACTTACCCCCGCATTTTTTTGTTCCGAAACTGTTGGACAAACCGCAGAATCCCATTATGGACACTCTCAAACTTCGAGAAAGTCTGCACAAGTCTCCCCCAGCATTGCACACCATTCCAAAGGAGCTAGAAGTATTGACATTGGACACCTTGAATGCACAAGTGGAACTACCTGACCAGCTATGGGGAAGCAGTGTGGTCGGAAGGGCCGCAAGGACGGTGAGAACAACGTCTATCGTACGCTAGTACAGTAAATGAGTTATGTGATTGCATCTTAGAATAATCTCATGTCATGGGATACGCTGAGGCACTCTGGAGATCCGCGCATGGGACGTTCTGCTTTTCTGTCCCAACAGCCTAGTCACATATTCGCGTCGGCGCGTTATCAGTGAGTCAACCATTGTACCACAATCAAGCCATCTCATGTAATTGAGAAGTGTCCGGCCTCCCCTTCAAGATCCAGGTATACAGCTGGTCTACACTACTCTCCACGAGCTTATACAGTCATTACGGATGTCTCTCACTGGGACATCATCTTCGCTCCATGTTTGGGACCACCAATCTGAGACTTTCATATTACGTGGTGTTAACGAAGGGAAGAAGGGTATCATCGTCATCACTGGAAAGGACGAGGTGGTGAGTTCTAGGTCAGTGCCTGGATAATGGTGCCACAAGAACATCTTTCCTGAGAAGTCTACGTAGCGTGATACAGCGATTTCTCACCATCGGGACTCTCATGCGACGCTTAGAAACGTTTGTTGTTCATCATCGCACAAGGTATTCGGTTTTTCGATCATTGTTATCCAACTTTGATTGACATGTCGCACCGCAGTAAATCAGAACCGATCGTCAATGCATTCACCCACTCTTTGTCGTCCATTTTGTCTTATCTGCATCCGTTGGTTTCCACATTGCCCGCATACTTGGTACCTTTGGACACAGATAGCATATGGGACGACGTCGCACCCTTGACTGCTGTGTGGATACACTATGCGGAGATTGAAGAAGTCCTACAGGGACTAGCCGCGCTATGCCATCGAGTCAGTGGTCTCATCACATTCCCCTTAACTTTCCAAAGTTCTAACAGGCCCGCGTTACCCCAGGAAGAACATGTCTCTCCAACAGCATACATCGAATTTCCCACATCCCCCTCAGACCTACTTTCCTTGATCTACAGGCATCTGAATGATCACCTCGAGAAACACTCCCCGAGGCTCGTTCTAGCGCTCTTCGCATACATGCTCACCATGACGTCGCGAGACTATTTCCAGCAGCTCTGCCAGTCCGTCGGCTACAGCACCGTTAGCGCCCCTGCGCACCATGCCATGGACCTGCAACAGGTTGACAGCAATCAGCTGGCGACGGGGTTCCTGGACGAGGACAACCTCGATGAGAACCCGGAGGACGCGTTCAACGACAACGACGATGACAGCGTGTTTCCGAGCTTCATTGAGCGCAGTATCTCCGATTCTCTGCTGCGAGCGCGGAAGTCCTTGAGGCTTCTGTGCGTGGCGCAGCCGGACCACCCGTTGCTCAGTGGCGAGGTAGTGCATCTAGACATTGAATGGTTTTGGACAAACGAGGAAGTTGAAGCCGCATGGACTGAGGGGGCAGTCAGAACCTCGAGCTCAAGCTCATTGGCCTCCTCAGACACTCTGACTGACAATGAGGATGTCACCCATCGACCATACCCGCACGGGATGGAGGCATTCAGTATCTTCGATCTACAACCTGGCGCGCATATCTCACAGGCATCCACACACAGCCTTCTCCTGGACGCGTCGCACATAACGAACCTCCAAGCCTTCATCGCCCCCTTCCCGCGCACTCTACCCGCGCTGACGCCGACACTGCCGCACCTGACTGCGCTCGTACTCACCCCGCTCGTCGCCCACATTCACTCCCTCTCGAGCACCCTCGTCGCGCTCTACCTCACTCCCGCGACCCACCTTCACCTCCACACGCACCTCGTTCTCCTCCGGTCGTATCTTCTCCTCACGTCGCACCCGTTCAAGTCGCGGCTTGCTCGCGCGCTCTTCTCTGACTCCGACGAGTACGAGCACGTCAGTGAGCCGGCGCGGAATACGGCACGCTGGGCCGTCGGCCTCTCACCGTCGCTGATGGATGGTGATATCTGGCCGCCTGCAGGTGCGAGCTTAAGTTTCCACCTGCGGACGGTCATCGTCGACTCTTTGGACTTTTACCGCGACGACGTCTTCCGGGACAGTGGGGACGCGCATGGGTTCAAGACGCTGGATGGCGAACAGCGCGTCATGGAAGAAGCGGAGTACCGCCTTGGTTTCTCAATTCGTGACTTGCCTGTGGGTACGGGCAAGGACAAATGGTTGGACCCTCTGTGTAGGCCATTTCACTTTACCATTATGATGGTGTGAACTGACCGCGAGCCATCCACAGCGATCGAGTAAGTCGTCTTTAATCCCCTGATGAGCAAATCAGTGCTCACTATTTACTAGATCCCTTGATTTTCTGTACATGGACTACAACCCGCCGAAATCGCTCGACGTCCTGATCACACAGACCATTTTGTCAAAGTACCACAGGATGTTCGCATTCAATCTCCGGCTCATGCGAGGTATGCCGTATGACCGCATCCCTCTCCTCTACCTATTCACCTGTCCGTCCAGTGGAAAATGTCGTCGCCGCGCTCTACCGCATGACGCGCAAGCCGACAGAGCCGCTCTTCCCTACGCTGACGCCCACCAACAAGCTCCTCCTGCATTTCCGCTTCGTCGCGCACGCCTTCGTGACCTCACTCTCCTCGTACGTCTTCGACACCGCGATCGGCGGCAACTTCGACATGTTCCTGTCCCAGCTCTCACACACTGCGCACGGCTTCGTCGACGTCTTCGCGCTCGCGGACCGTCATTCGCGCGTGCTGGACGACATCCTCGGCGCGTGCCTCCTGCGCTCGGGGCAGAAGTCCGTCGGGGACCTCCTCCGCGGATGCATGGAACTCGTGCTCGACCTCGGCATCCTCGCCGGCGAGCGCGCTCGCGGCCGCCTGGAGGAGTACGAGGCTGCACCGCTCCTGGAAGACCTGTGGGCGAGCTTCAGCGGTAAGATGATGACCCTGGTACGTTTGCGTCTTCTTTTTGAGGTTCGCGAATGGAGCAGCTGACGCGCGTGGGCAGGTCAAGGTGCTGAAGGCGCTGGTGGAGAAAGGGTCCGGGCCCTCGCGCGTGCTTGCGGAGGATGTCCGGCTGCAGGCGTCGCCGCTGTTTCAGGTGGAGGGCGTCACCGGGAACCTGCGCAACCTGCTCGTCCGCCTGGATGTTGCGGAGTGGTGGAGCCATGCGTATGAGAAGCGTCGTTCTGGCGGTCGTCCCACTTGATGGCGCTGTTGTATTGAATCTGCTACCCTTCCAAGGTGTACTGCTTTCACCTTGCCGAATCCGCAGTGTGGCACCTCGTGCGCAAGCTCTTCAGTCGGAGTTCTAAGCCAACGTCTTTCAGCAATTCTATTTCACTGAGAGTACAATACTACTTTATGACGACGAGACAAATCCTACAACTTTTGATGTTCACGGAACAGGCGACGAAGCACTGAGCAGACACGATAAGACACAACTATAAGACGGACGGACGACAACGACGAGGGGGAGAAACGAACACATGGGAGACAGTATATAGGCATAAAAAGAGACGAGCACTTGTGCGCACTGTGGCCTTGAGCATGGAGATGACGCAATGGCCTGGGAGAGAGAAGCATAGATGTGATGCAGAAGTCGAACCGATACGGGAGAGAAATGGAAAATGGCAAGAGGCGCGCAACGATGCTCAACCTTCCATCGCATCGTCGAACAGGTCTCCTGGTGGCGCGGCGCTCTGGCAAGCCTTTCCTTCGCGTGCAATCCTTGCAGATTCACGCTCCCAGATGGCCCGGACCTCTTCCTCGCGCACGTCCACGGTGGCGTCCGACTGAAGTCCCAGCCCCCGCGCGAGCTCGTCCGTCCGCATGCCCCCAACGAAAGACACGTCCTGCCCAGCACGCTTTCCCGGGCCCATGTTGAAGGACGTCGCCCGAACCAGGCTACGGCGACCCGACTTCGAAGGGGAGTGCGGCGTGCTCCCGGCGCTGGACGACAAAGTGACGAGGCCGACGGTCTCGAGCACGCCTAGAAGATCGCCGAACTCGCTGCGCGAGACGGCACTGAAGATACCGCCATCGCTGCGCGTGAGCAGCGCCGAGTAATAGGCGTAAAGTTGTGTGGCGTCCATCCCGGGTGCCAGGCTTGCAGCAAGAAGCCCGTTGAACGATTGGCTACGCTTTATCGGTGAGCGCGAGGGTGTAGACGGTGCGGAAGTCGATGAGGAGCCGGAGAGTGGAAGGCCCGAGGTAATGCGCCTCGACGCGAGGAGCATCGCAAGCAGAGCTAGACGGGCCTGCAAACCGAGCTCCCGCACCTTAGCGACTAACTCACTATCCCCAGAATTCTTCGGCTGCACCGGTGTGACGTTAGGCGTCGGCAATGATGACGTGGATACTGACCGCACAGGAGTGCCTGCGGGCGCATAAGCCTTAAGGGCGGCGAGGACGTGGGATGGTGTGACGGCCGGCACAGTACCGCCAGAGGTATCAGCAGAGAGATTGACATTCAACGCAACGTCGATAGCCCCACGCAGGACTTCAAAGACGGCACGGACGTCACCGGTCTGTGCGGCCACCTTCTTGGTAAGAAGAGTCAATGTTGGGACCGGCAAGAATTTCTTCGCTGCGTCCGCCAAGTCACCAGCGGAGAGAGGGGAAAGACGAGCGGTAAGGATCTCCATCAACTCCTGAGGGGTGTATGGCGCAAAGTGCAGGGTCTTCACTCCTTTCACAGATTGCAACGAGAAGGATGTCGAAGATGCTGAGGTGAGGGTATGGGTATTCGCGATACCAATCATCCGGATGTTGGAAGAGTACGTCTGAGCAAGAGTAAAGAGCGAGCTCAGAGACTGAGATGAGCCGATGTGATCAAGCTCATCAAGCAGAAGGACACTGATGGAGCGACCATCAATTTAAGACCAAATGGCTTAAAAGATATACGCGTACCACTTCGGCTTCCTGAGGCTGAGTATCCTCTCAACAATCTTGTCAGCGGTCTCCTTGCCCTTCTTGGCACAGCGAGTCCTCTTCGAGGTGTGCGCATCAGCGGAAAGCTCTTCTGCAATCCTTTCCCAGAGTGCGTCGACGCCACTGAGAGCCATGCAGTTTACAGAGATGACCCTGATGTCGTGATCTGCCAGCTCAGGTTGGATCGCTTGGAGAACGACATTCACGAGCGCTGTCTTGCCCGTTCCAGGAGAACCCGAGATATAGAGAGTAGACTGTGGCTCGGATGAGCTCTCATTCTGAGTGAAGAAAGATGCAATGAAGTTGCGGATCTCCGCGCGCTCAGTGTGACGGCCGGCAATGTCGGCCACGCTGTTACACGTAGGGCGGAGAAGGCCCTTAGCACGTACGTGTATCGGAAGAGAGAATGAAGGGGGAGTGGATGGAGGTGTGAGGGATAGACCATTAAGCGCTGTGGCCTGGGTTTGGGGAGTGGCCCTCAAATTGGAAGTAGAAGCATGTCTACGCAGAGCTACGAAGAAGTAAGAAAACGTCGGCCAGAATGCATAGGAAATACGTACTACCGCGAGGTCTTGGAGTGGAGATCGATTCTGTACTCGTCCTTCGCAAGGAACGGATCGACCTCGGGGACGGATTGACGACTTGACCCACGAAGGGTGGAATGTTTTCTTTGTTTGAGTCACCGTCTAGTTGTGTAACTGTAGTCCGTACACGTTTGGGATTGGGGGTTGAGTCGGGAGTGGGAAGACCTGACGTTTGGTCGCACTGCGACGTCGAGGTGGCCTCTGGATCGGCCACTTGGTGTGGCCTCTTCCCGAGCACGGTGGTCCTTGATCTTGTCTGCATGTCGATATGCGGTGCTGGTATCTGCAGCGAACGGGTATTATGAGCGAGGCCAAGTTGCCGGAGGAGGTGGTGGATGAGAAAGAGATGAGGACGGAGGGAGGCGCGGAACTTAAGCCACAGCGGAGTTGGTGTGAATTGAACTCCGACTCATAATCAACGCGTTCAGCGCGTCGCGTCGCGCACGTGATACGCGCGACGCGACGCGCAGTCACGGCGCCACAAGGTGGCTGATGTCAGCGCCACTGCGGACGCTGCAGTGGCTGCACCCACGCATCCATTCCTTCGGCCGCGCACGTTTTATTTCAGACACGGGCGGCACAGCCAGCCTGTCGCCCTGAGGCCCGAGGCTGTGCACTACTCAAACAACCTTCGCCGACTAATATGGTTTAACCATTCTCTTCGCAGTTTATAAAGGCACCTGCTCCGCGTGTCGTCGATACATATTCTCTTCGTCCTGAATGTCTCACCGCCCCTCATCATGAATTTTTTACTCGTCGAGCTCGCCTTTGCACCCTTGCTTGTCAGTGCCGCTCCCTGGAATTCGAGCTGCAAAGGTTTGAGCGAAGAAGCATTCATCGTCATAGTTGTCGAGAGCGGTGCGTTGAAGCTTGCGGTTTACCGTCGTACCCCGTTTAACCTCTCCGACAGTCGTGATCTTACTGCTCCTCGTCATGGTCCTTTTTATGTGGGCCAGGATCCGCCGGCTGCGCAGCTCACAGGCGTCTCTTGCCCAGAACCGCCACATCGAGCGGTACGTCGACCGCGCCCCGACTCCGAGAGCGAAGAATGCCCGAGACTCAAGCGAAGACTCCGAGCTCTCCACGCCCTTCCTTCCCGCCACCGTCCCAGAAACTCTTCAGCCGAGATCCATGACACTCTCTACCCGCAGAGAGATCGGCTCTCCCTCCCTTTACGTCTCCGCCCCCGCGCTTGACAAACCCACGCCTTCACATCAGTCCACGTACACGAGCAGACTGAGCGTCGCGCACCCGCGGGACCTGTCCTCCGACACGCCCTTCCCGAACCCGCACAGCGAGGAACCCAGCGAGGACCATTCTTGGCTCGCAAACGAGGACGCACCCTCTTCACCCACTGTCACTACCGCACCCTCGATCTACTCCCAGCCGTCTCTGAAGCCCTCGGAACCGAAGCCCGCATCCATCGAGCCCCTCAGCGTCGGCAAGCGCCTCTCTGCCACCCAGCCGATTCAAGAAAACGGAGACGCGCAAGCTCATGGGCAAGAGCCCATATTCCCGAACCCGCACAGCGAGGGTCACGCGTGGCATGACGATGATACCCCGCTCCCGTCGCCTACCGCGCCCGCGGGGTACCAGCTCCCGTCCGCAGCGGACTCGTGGGTGAGCTACGATTTGACGAACCTGCCAACACCGACAGACCTCTCACACCGCACGACGCGCTCGAGCTTCCCCGACCCGTCGACGCCGTCCGCCCGTTCGCTGCACATTGCGCTGCAACCTTCGAGGACGGAGGTCCGCCTGATAGCTCAGGGCGCGCTTGCGGAGGCGTCGAGAGGCTCGGTGGTAACGTCGGGGTCGTAAGCCTCCTTTACGATGGCTTTTGCTGAATTTTGCTCTCATTTCGCTGCTGGACGCTGTAACTTATTCGGACTGTGCGCCTGCTTGCTATCTACGCTGAACGATTTTCGATACCACAGTTATTCTTGATGGAAAGAGTCTGGTCGAAAGATGACCGAAACAGGATATTCGAACGAATGGTACAACAAAGTAGACTGCTACATATACCTATGACATATAAATAGGCCCAACAACAATCGCGTATACCTTGCACAGGATACATGAGCGCCACGGCGGTATCATCGAACCTATGTCCGCGACTGCAGGACGTCGGCCCTCGAGGTAATTCGCCGGCAGGAAGCCGACCCCCACTTCGGAACAGGAGATCAAGAAGTTTGAGCGTAGCGGGCAACGAAAGCAGAAATCTTGGGGACCAAGTACTGCAGGAGAGGCGGATCCCGCAGCGGGTGCGTTCCGTGGAGTGTCTTTCTTCTATCGTCTTCGTCTTCCAGCATGTCTTCGTCCTCCGGAGGGTGACAGATACTAGACTCGCTCTGAGCAGGGACAGAGCAGAGAATCTCTATCTCAGCTTTGCGGCGGGTGTGCACCATGTACTGTAGCTCTTTCCTACATGGGCAGCGGGAGGGGTCACAGTAGGTATACCGGGGATGTGGTTGGATGGAAGGAGAGAGGGACGTACCTCCACTTCTTCGGGATGTCCTCGCGGCGTAACATGCTCAAGGCCTGGAAACAGCGCAGGCAGGCTCTGTGGTAGGCAAGCATACGGCATACACTGAACGAAACGCACCTTCTTCTCATCATGTTTCGTCATCGGGATTAGCGCATCCTTATCTATTCCCAGCCTTCCAAGACGGTCAGTGAGACAGCAGCGCCAGCCTTCTACACGACCGAGGAACCGATGGCTCACCCTGCCAGCTCGCTCGCCCAGATGCCCAGCCACCTCACGCGCCCTGCGGCGAGGCGCTCACTTTCGTGGCGCATGCTCCTGCTCCCATACTTATACACGGACAGGATGTCGATGCCATAGGCGTCGCCGTCGACGAGCGCCACGATAGGGATGCTATTGGACGCGTCAGCACCTTTTAGGTGGTGGAGTGTGGAAGGTACCTCGCAGGCAAGTTGTCGGAGAGCGTTTTCACTAACTGGCGAGTGGCGACGTCCGGATAGCCTTTGCCCTACATCACCGTCAGCTCAGCTGCACCCCTGGCAGGTATATAGAAAAGAAGTAGCACCGTGATGATGATTCCTGGCCCAGGCAGCGCTGGATGGCTAGCGAGTTTCAGGCGACAGAGAGTCTGAAAGACGGCCTTGACGGAGCGCGATACCAATCAGCGCCCATGAAGTACAATTATTTCTAGCCTCAACCCTGTACCTCTTTCTCGACCACGAGCACCCACGCGAGCCCGTCGCGCACTTCGAAGCGGGATATCTCTTCACTTGCAGGTATGAGCATGCCCTATGCAAGAATGGGGATAGAACCTGTTAAAGAGGAGGCCGGGGAGCGGAGACGGACCTCGGAGTCTTGCAAGGACATGATCTCGTTGTGTCCGAGGTGGATGGTGAGCCCTGAGCCGCACACAAGACCCTTTGACGATGCACGCTAGGCAAAAGCTTCAGCCCTCTGCAGGAAACGCCCAGAGCGTGATGTGACGTACGACATGCAGGTCCGCACGGCCGAGCTCGAATGTCGCCGCGAGATCGTCGACCATCTGCGGTAGAGTCAGCTGCCTGTATGATGCGGGCGAGGATGAAGCAGACCCGATCTACGACGGATTGGGACTTGAACAGTTGCACATCCTTGTAATACATGTCACTAGAGAAATATGACTAGTTGGGTATATGCGCGTTCAAGTGACTATATGCGCACCGTTTGGTCGTGGGGATGTCATCGAGGAGCGCCTCGTGCATGAGGTCTGCGACTCTGAACAGTTGGGCTAGACCACCATTGTTGATCAGTGACATATGGATAACTAGGGGACGAATGACTCACCGAAAGGCTTCGCACTTGCGCCCCTCGTCTTCTGGGGAAACTTGAGAGTCCGGACACCCATGGATCTGTGAATACTGTGCAGTAGGTGGACAACTGAAATAAGTCACTCGTACCCATCCGAGGTCTTCTTCTTCCTATCGGCTAGCTCAAAGACTATCTTTCTTTTTTTGTCTTTCTTCCTCGCTCGCTCTTCGCTGTCTTGCAGCCCGGTTGAGAGTTGGGACAGGAACGAGAGCACGAGGTTCTCGAGTCTTTCAACGGGTTCTGCTCTGCGCCCCATGACAGGAAGATTTAATAAGAGGAGTGAAATGAGGGTACCTTGGGTCGATTTCTTCGTCGTCTGTTGCCTCTTCCTCTCCGCTAACTTCGTTGTGACCTTCTTCTTCGATGTCTTCGTCCGGATTTGCAGCGACATCCTCGTGGTCAAACTCCATTACAAGTACGTGATCCTTCTCCGGGTTTGCGGCGCTGTCTTGTGTATCTGCCAGGAGTGTATCTTCGTCTGAATCGAGATCGAGCAGCATTTCTACATCCTGCGAGTGGTCAAACTCCATAGCGAATTGTGCTACCTCCATGTGCGCGGTGTCGAGCTGAAAATGAGATAGAAATTCCATCACGAGAGCTTCTCTGAAGTCAAGGCTCAGATTTTCTCGGTGACTTGCGGGTGACTTACTGGACAGAACCGCGAGATCGAGATCGCGGCACGTCGCGTCACAACGTGACACTACGCGATAGAATCACGCAAAGCAACTCACCTGGACGTTTATCCCAAAAATCACCCGAAATCGTCCTTAAAGATGCAACATTTCCAATAAAAGTTATGTGGCAGAAAGATTACCTCCTAAAAGGCCCATGTTCACCACGACCAGAGAAAAGAATTTCAATGAGACACAGCCAGCCCCAAGCACATTATGGTAATAGCCACGCACACCTGCACACACAGCAGTAGCACTCATCCCCAATTCTTCACCTGCAAGTCAAACCACTCGGGAATGCGCCTCCAAAACTCCTCCCTCGTTGCCTCGACCGCGACGGCATACTCCATCCTGCACGCCTCGCACGCCCTGCACACCGCGCGGTTCTCCACGCCTGGCTCGTCGTCGCGCGTCTGCATCAGGAAGCTGTCCACGATCGCGAAGAGCGGGTCCGAATTCCGGTTACACACCACGCCGTTCACGTCCCGCAGCACCTCGAACGTGATCGCCTCGAACGCCATCTGACACGCGCGCGCGCGGTGCCCATCGCCCTGGTGCCGGTGCAGACACCACTCCGACGGCAGCCGCCCCTCCAGTTCGTTCACGATGAACGTCGAGAAGAACCGCGCTGAGAGCTCCTTGCCATTCAGGACCCGCAGGAGGTCGTCTGCTGCCAGCAGGTGCGTCGCGGACCCGTGGGTGTACCCGGTGGCAAGCTGGCTGGGCAAGTAGCGGGACAGGTCGTAGAACGCAGAAGGCAGGAGTTCCGGCGCGTTGACCTCCCGAGCCAGTTCAATCATCAGGCTACATTATAATTAGCGAGAGAAGTCCCAGAGTGTTCAGAGACACACTTACATCGGATGGGGCAGGTTCGGACGAGGCGCATACATGCCGTCTGCATTTGTAACAGCCTTCTCTCGGAGCTCCCACAAGGGCAGCGTCGTCGGCCACGACATTAGCAGAGTTCGAAGTACTTCCTTCCGCAAATCTTCGATGGCGTACTTTGTGGACATACGCAACAAAGCAGACACGACGAGAAAGTCGCTGGCGAACATACGGAAAGAGAAACTGAGCAGACCATCCGTTCAGCATGCTTGACGACATACACAGAAACAGATCCTCACGTGTACAAAGCCCTCAGCAATTGTGCCATCTCCTCCGGGGAATCTTGCACAGGCAGCGCAGGACGGCCTTCAATACGCCTGCCCTTGTCCATTGCCAGCGATCTGACGACGTGCCTGAAGACGGGCGAATGGTGACATAGCAGCCCTTGGTGGACGAGGAAGTACTGATGGCCGGCGACGACGGCGATATTCGCGTCTTCGAAGCAAAACTCTGGATGGCGAATGGGCACCTCGTACTCTTGAAGGGCGACGCTGTGCCTGTTGGAGCTGAATTCCGTGCTGTTCTCCATGGTAGGCGGTATGGCGGATCCGAGATGCTAGGGATCTCGTGGCGCGAAGCTTAGGCGGCTAGCCTCTTGAGGCTGGCATTCGATATTGGACCGCGTTTCAAGTGATCTTGGCATTCCATGGCATTGGTGTTGCAATTCTGCATATCCAGTGGATATAGAGGGGTACAGCACTCATGCCATGGCTCGTTTAGTCGTGAATGCCGCGAAAATAAAAATTGATATGGAGCATTCCAACTCCACCGAAGAAGTGAGCGCGATCTCCAAGAATCTCTCCCGATCTTTTTAATTTCGAGAGTAAAGGTCATCGACCGATAGTGATAGTGACAGCAGGTACTGCAGGTACTGTGTAGTCGGACTTGACACGCCCAGTAAGTAGACTGGCAGCCCCGAGATTAAGTTCTGGTATTGCATTCTCCCCGCAGAGTCCTGTGGAGTGGAAACCAAGGAAGACATGGCCGCAACGGATGGTCTGCCTAGCCGGAGTGTAAGCGCGGACGTTGAGTAGAACGTGTACCATCGGGAGCGGACACGAGGATGGCGTCGACAACATCTCTGGCCCGGGCAGCGGCGACGTCCTCGCGTGGGAAAAGTCTGGAGTGTCGTCACAACACTTCCAATTTTTCGACATCGACATACACCGTCCTCAGCAGCATATCCCCCATTTTACAACCCAGCCCATGTCCGACACAGCGACGACGCCCACCCTCCGCATCGTCCCGGGTGCCCCGCCCCCGCCACCGTTGTCCAAGTCACAAAAGAAGAAGCGTAAGATCGCCAAATCCAAGTCGTCCGACCCAACCAACGACGAACTCCTCACCCCCACCACCGCTGCGCTCGTCGAGCAGGCACCCACCGAGTCCGACATCAAAGAGGGCTCTGTCGCCCCGGAGCTCGTCGTCCAGCCCGAGACAGAGCAAATCTCCGCCGACGACGCCCAGAAGCCCAGTCCCATCGTTGAGCTGCTCAACAAGCGCTCCAAGGCTGTCTCCAAGAAAATCGTGAGTTTGGACTATCCGTCATCGTCATATTCTTTGTACTGTGCTGCGCCAGGACCTCGGAATACGGGAGGAACCCTTCCTTTGAGGTTGGCCATTTTGTTCAGACCTTTTGCTGGTTCTGAGCCTTCGATGACCTGTCGTCAACGGATCAAGGTTGGGATGAGAGGGATGAGGGTTTTTTCTTTCACTTATTCCGAAGTCCTTCTACACCTTTGGCGCCTGACGCTGTGCTGTGCGCCTTCTTCGCGTTCGGTAGCCATCGTGAATAAAGCCGCCTAACCACTTCTCTACAATAGACGCGTATTCAAGCGTATTCGTCCGAGCCACTCGAGAAGCTGAACGAGGACCAAAAAAAGACACTCTTGACACTACCTGGTCTTGAGGCTGTGCAAAAAGAACTTGAAGAAGTCAAGAAAGCTATTGCGGTCTGTCTAGTTTTGGTTGTCAAGACACTCTGACGTGCTAATGGAGCATCTGTAGAGTCATGAAGCGGAGGTTGCACGCGAACAAGCAGCAAAACGGGCGGAAGCCGCCAGAGCTGAAAAGCAGAGGCTGGCGGAAGCCGTATCTGCTGCCGAGGCGAGTTTATACATTTTAACCACATCGTGATGTTTTGTTGAGGTTTTTGATAGACCGCCCATCGGCAAAAAATATCTGATCTTTTCACCTTTCTCCGACTCCATTCTCTTCTCTCTTCTGGTCACCCCACTGCCTTGGCTCTAAGTTTGAACGACGCGGAGGGCCTCGCTGTCTACTCGGCAACAGAGAGCCTGCTCGGCGAGGTAACGGACAGCAGACCTGATGTTATCCAGGGCTTCTTGACCGGTGAGGGAGAACTACATGGCGTCCCATGTGCGTACACACGTACTTCGACGTCCAGAAACTTCTGAAAGATTCCACTTTATACAGATTCTCGTCTCATTGAGATTACGCATGCATATATGAACCCTCCTTCGGCTGCCCAAGAGGAGCCGCCGCAGGAACCCGTCGAGGAAACACTCACCGAAGCGGTCGAGGAACCCGAAGTAACCGTGACGGGCCTCTCAAGCACGCTTCCGAGCACAATCGGCACGAGCGGTAGCTTCCACTTCATGCAGGAGGATGAGCTGGAACAGCCGGGCGAGCCAAACTTCGAGGGCGAGGCCGAGTGGGTGGAGCGTGCGGACATTTCCGGGGAGCAGAACCCGCAAACCGCCCCCGAGGTCGAGGTTGTCGAAACCGTCGTGGAGACGAACGGCCACGTCGTCGTCGAGGAGTCCGTCTCCGTCTCGACATCAGTGAAGGTGCGCCGCTCATTACTATTTGCGCACTTGATATATGGCTGAGGTTTCGCAAGATCCCGGCGTCCGCAGGCAACCAGCCGATTAACTGGGCGGACGAGGACGAGGGTGAGCTCCCGCCGATCGCGGGCTTGCACGCCAAGTTCGGCACCTCCGGCAAGGCGACGCCCGTGCCCGCCCCCGAGCCTGAGGCCGTTCAGCCGCCGCCCGCGGAGCGCCCGCCCGTGAACGGCGGACATATAAACGGCGCGGGCGCTGGTGCGCATGAGGACGACGGGTTCACGCCGATGCGCGGGCGCGGACGTGGGCGCGGTGGTTTCCGGGGCGAGCGCGGAGAGCGCGGGAGCTTCCGTGGTCGGGGCGGTGACCGCGGTGGGTATCGTGGCGGGTACCGCGGCGGCGAGCGTGGTGGTGAGGGCTTCGTTTGCTCTGCGTTTGTTCACTTAGATTGATGACATCTCTAGGTTTCCGAGGCAGGCCCGGCGGCGAGTGGAGGGGCGGTGATGGTGAGCACCGTGGGCGAGGGGGACGCGGGCGCGGACGCGGTGAGTGACTATATTCTGTTCGAGTGCTGGCGGCTGATGGTCGGCGTCTTTTCCAGGGTTTGGCGAAGCGCGGGGAGGCGCGCCCCCTTCGTAGCGCTAATAATGAAAAGCTTGCAATGAGTGACGGGCCGGCGCGGCCGCGGTGATGATCTTGGTGTGAGGCTCTGCGCTGCTATCTGTATATATCTCTATCAGCACTTACAGCAATGCAACATGCGAGTTTTCTGGTTCTCTGACGTGTAGGGGCTTTACGACCTTGTGGGTGGTTGGATAAGTGGTGCAAGAGCGTTTGGGACTTGCAAACACTTGCTCGTTCAGATCGATTGTGCGATCGGGTTGAACGACGACACTTGCCAGATATATCTACGTACAGAGCGGTGTCTACTTCTCTTTCTATAGGGCTTAGTTCGGGTTGATATAAACGTTGTTTTCTGTCATCACAGGTGACTCGAGCACCTGGCAGTACATGCATAAACCGTTTCATGTAACCGTGCAGGGTACTGTCAATTTATACTTCGCAAGTCGCGATGTTAAGACAATAGCCTCAGTGATGCCTTTTGAGTCGGAGAACGGAGCTATTCTTTATGATTTACGATCGTCTGTTGGGCCATGTATTTCCTGTCTCTTTTCCGGATCCTCGATGGATTCCTCAAATTTCCGTTTACCCAGGGGGGACGCGGAACGTCGCAGCGGTGCTTCGCCATTAAACAGTACGAATTGATTTTTCTGCTTGTCGCGGTCGCGAATCCATACTGGTTCATTTTCCACGTAGGTGGTATTGAAGATCCTACGAATCTCGTTTTAGTCGGTCAAAAGTAATGCACCGGTGAATGCTCAGTTGACTGGCGCTGACTTAGAATCGTGTTCACTGCGTTATTGGCATGGTTCGAAGCACAGATCAGTGGCAAGTTTGCATGCATAACAAAGAACTACGTGAATCACGATAATATAATTGCCAGTGGTAGGGCAGTGGCGAGCTACGATCATAGTATATAAACGGTATCACGGTAGCATGTCGATCAATATTCAGAATAATATTCCGAGTTCACTAGTCCTCCGAGTCCTGACCTTCATCGATCGAGCCCAGCTGAGAAGCATTTAAACCCGAACTTCCAGTAGCTCTTGAGTGAGATGAGGGAGCACCCGACTTCGATCCTTGCGTCTTCTGTCGCTTGGCTGAACCTTCGGCAACGTCATCTGCCTTTCGTTTGTTGCCTAGACTTGTGCCCGTTTGGTAAGATTTTTGTAGGGATTTTCCCTTGGTAAACGGTTTGAATTTGTTTTCAACCTTGTCCCTAACCCAGATGCGCCCGTTGTCTCTCACGACTGTAGTGAAAGCAACATAGACTGCATTGTGGTCGGCCAAGACGAGCTCCCCATCAGAAGGTTGGGGAAGCGATGCTGCGGGTGTCACAATGTCAAAGCCAGGTGGGAGTTCGGCTGTATATGTGACCGCCGCGGAGGGAGCGCTAGTGGCTGCTTCATGAACTGGTCCCAATGCATCAATGTCAATGGCAGCATAATGCCTGCGACAAAGCTGCATCAGAGAGTGAAGAAGGGTACTCAATGCGGGGTTGCCTGAAACATTGAATGGTGCCAGTCCGGCCTTGATGCTCAAGAACTTGTAAGTACCACCGACGTAGTAGCCAGCAAGAGTGCGATCACATGAATCGTAGGTTGCTTCGACGTGGCTCTGGAGAGGCGAACCTGAAAGATCATGTGGGTGGTATTTGAGTGCTAACCAGTGCACCAGGTGAACGAATGATTCCATGTCGTCGGAGACTTCATGCTCCTTGACCGTCGGATGACGGAGCAACAGAGCAGACATGAATTGCCAAGTACCCTGATCAACAAGGTTAGATTCCACAAAAAGACACCACACAATCATGATACACACCGAGCGAGTATTCTGCGAGGCACCCTTGCCAAGATGTTCCTTGTATTTGCACATATCCCAATCGTTCAAGAATCCGGCAGGAGACAAAGTGCCTGTTAGATACCCTTCGGCATCGGGGTCCTGAGAAATTAGGATATTACTGGCGCTGATATCACAATGGAGTATCGCAGCTAATACCCATGCATTGCTGTGGGCTATCGTAACATCTGGTCAGAAAGGACCACATCTATCAAACTTGAAAAAAGGAAAGCTAACCTATGATTGCGTCCCGAACAACCAAGATCATCTCCCGAACATCAGTATAGTCCTCCAGTGGACGGCCGACCTCTTTCACAACGATGCGGTAGTGAATCCGACCCATGATCCGGGCATTATATTCCTGCGTACGAGTCTTCTGAGTCGAATCGCCAACGTCGCCACCGCAAATGAGGGTCGCGATCCTCTCCCGGACTCCCTTTTGGTATAATCGTTCATACACCTCTCGTTCAGGTTTGACTTTGTCCGAGTCAGCGCGCCAAGTATCTTTGAGAAACGCTAATCGTTGCGTGGCCAAGTCATATGCCACATAACCTCTTGTGGCGCGGCCTGTGAGAGAACTGCTTGAGAACCGTGCACGCCCAACCAGGTAGTGCCTCTTTGACATCGACGGAGGTGAGACAGTGTTACCAGTCTTGCTGAGTACATCGTCCGCCTTGAACTCGATCTTGTAAATAGGCCAACCATCCAACATAGCCTCTCGCAAACACTCTCTGTGATATTCGTTCAGCCGGCTCTCGCAACTCTTCATCTCCGCCACTTCTGCGGGTGTGGCAAGGACGGCAGTAGGATCGTAGCCCCGTTGAGAGTCGTTCATCTTTCCGATCCTGTACATGAACGTATGCAGAGTCTCCGGTTCCTGAATGTAGTCGAAGCTTTTGGAGACAACTCCTCCAGCGCGGTCCCAGCGGATTAGACGGGCACTAGATTTGCAGATGAAAACCATGAGGCAGAAGAGGCGGTGCTGGCGAAGGAGTATCTGGGCCGCGTACTCGGTGATCTGTCCCAGGGTCTGTAAGCCATCGTGCGAATGAGCACGAAGAAAATGTGCTGAAGGATCATTGAACTCAAAAGCTGATTTCTGATGATTATTCTTGACCTCTATAGGGACGCAAGTCCAAGCCCAGGAGACTCTCGCCATGTAGTACTTCCGGCGTTGAGCAGATTTGCCCCGCTTCAACTGATTCGGCGGAACAGCGTAAGCTTCCTTCGCAGCTGCGGTTGTAGGATAAATTCCAATATCGAATTTGGTGATATTCTTGTCTCTTGCTACTTCGGTACCAGTCACGTCTGGATATTCGCCAGTATCTTTGGCAGTGAGGCCATTCTGAGGAATGGCATCTAGAACAGATTGAAAGACCTTGCACTATAAATCAATGTCAGAACAAGAGAAGAATGGGAATACGGAAAAAGAGGACACGTACCAAACCAGGATACATATCAGTTTCGAGCCCGTCAAGCTTTACGCATTCAAAATTCTCGAATTTGACTCTTTCTTCGTCCGACGGATCAGGACCGGGAACAAACTCTGCCATGAAGTCTTCAAGGCCGATCTCGACGATATGGTTTGTCATTTCGTCCGCCAAATCAATGCGCAGGTCCACGTCTTTCTCCGGCACGTATGCGAACCGTTGTCGACTCGAGACTTTGGCGACGCGAGGCGTTACCTGCGGTGGAGCAGTCGGAGGTGGAGCGTGAGTTAAAGGCGGGGTCTGAGGCTGTTGTACGTCCTGCTGTTCGCCTGTAGATCCGGCGTCAGATGAAGTAACCCGGGGCGAATTCGGGCCAGGGGACGGGGTCCCAGGGTGTGGTAGGTCAGGCTGTTCGTCTCTGGGTGCTGTGTAGAGTGTAGTATCCTGAAGAGGGTACGATTCAGATGGTGAAGATGACATTGTAGAAAGAAGGAGACACACAGAAGCAGGGCAGAGAGAGGCCGCGCCTTATATATGGATGTCGGTGGATGGCCCGAGTAAAATTGCAGTGTTCTGCATTGTGCCGCGCATGAGTCATTTCCGGAAATGAACATGGGCCAACACGCTCACGGAGGCCAGAGGGCAGGTAGACAATGGTTGTGGCCAAACCACCTGAAATCGGTGAGCACATTTCTCCCACGGCATCCAACTTGACCAAATCGCGCCACTTACTCGATTATCGTATATGCCAGCTACGATATCTCGGTAGGAGCCTAAGGCAGTTCGCAACTCGGAGGACAAGTCGAAGGTTTCGAACACAGTGGCGCAGACACCTGTCGAGGTCTACACGTGACCGACGCGTCTCAGAAGCGCCCGTGCTCCGTTCAACCTTCCTTTGTTCCAGACAAGGCAGGCCTATCAAAGTGATGAAAGTTAAAAAGATCGGCCATTTCCTGCGAGAAGACTGTGGACTTGAAGTCAGAGTTCCTCGGGTCAGATATCTAACTGTCGGAACTGAGAAGGTTATACGCAGTGCGTGATTGGGATTTTTTTAATGTGACTGAAGGGCACCAGTCCGGCTTTCAGATCTGGCAACTTGATACCACCACCAACATAGCCTACCGCAGAGCCGTACGTATCACATGCATTCATCTTACATGGAACTGTAATCGCTGCAATCTGGTTACAATTGATTGGTCAATAGATCACAAGCATGGATGGAAACAATCTTTCAGATACGAAGGGATGTAAAAAAGTGGAAAACAAATTCGGGGAAGATGCAGAGAGGAGGCTTCTTGTTTTTGCGCATTTTATTATGAAGCAAACAGGGCTCAGAGTCGACGCAGACATGCCGATCAGGCAAGGAAAGCATCAGCCACACCATCCTCCGACTGCCAAGATGACGGCATAGCACGTAAGGCCAGGGCAGCACCTTGGCATTTCGGGCCGTGCAATCCAGTCGGGGGTGCATGATCTCCTCAAAGGGCGACGGTGAAGGAGTGGCGATAAGGCCAAAGACGATGGTGAAGGAGTCAAAGGCAACAGGCGCTGCATCGTGACCAGGTATGCAACCCATTTCCGATGCCATGTCTTTATGCAGTGTGAATGGCCGCCATCCACGCCAGTAGATCCATTACCCAATATTGCCGTGCGCACCGTTGAGTTCTTCCCGTACGCCGTGCAGATCACCGTGCCCACCGTGTTCAAGACCGTCGCCCTCGTGTACATCGACAGGCCCAACAGCTTGTTCAGCATGCAATCGCATATGCTGTTGTACGGCATATATGGCAGGTTTGTGCTGATGGACCAGGAGGAGATTGACACTAGACACAACCCCGGCTGAGCGATGTTTAGCATCTACGACAACTTACTCTGGTTGGCTCGAAGACTGCGGCTCCTGGGCCGTGATCAGGCATTTCCGATGCCGTGTATTTATCAATTAATCGACTACATTGACATGATGATCTCATAGCTTATCGGAATTTCTATGGTCTACAGAGTGGTACTCTGATTAGGGTAAAGAGGAGGGGGATGGGCAGTGGGACTGGCAATAGGACGGACGGTGGGTAGCGGCGGTGGCGGGTGCCAGCTGGAGTGGGAGTACAGCAGTAACTATGGGAATCAGTCTGTATCAAATTGTGTCGGTATTAATCTAAGTGGGATATCGAACCGTATTGAAGCATGTCAAAGTGTAGCAATGTTAGATCTAGCAAATGTAGAACTGTTTGCCAGATGCCGTTCGATGGCCTTCGACTACATCCGATCTTGCACCGAACGCGTCCCGATCTTGTTCAACTCATTTCGTTCTGGACCGTTCATTTTCCTCTTCTCGTGTAATATCGGAGCTGGTTGAAGACACCGTTCTATTTCGTTCTAGACCAACCTGGGAAGGTGCGGGTTTGACTGGGCTTGAGGTGGCACCTTGGCCGTGGTGCCGGTGAAGTGTGATACTTATTAGGTTGACGTGCGCACGAAGAGATCGCCGGTCCATCCTAGGCTAGTCTCCCAAAGGTAGACTACAAAATCGGTCCTATGAAAGGTGGGAGGGACGGACTGATATAGATCCTAGACTCGTTAACCAGCCTCTAGTAGATAGGAAGAAGGAGTCGTTTGTGGAGGTCGTTTGGTTACGGTTCGTTTAAGGACAGATGCCGTGATGCTGACACGTGGATCTCACGTGGATCATCCAGGAGACCTCAGTCACCCCCTACGTGCGCTAGTATTTTTCCTTAGTACCTGTAATGCACGTCGTGTTCGACGTGCATTCGGCTCGAGCTCGTCGTCGCTGACGACGAGCTCCGCTACATAGTATGCCAAAAATCTCACAAATGTTTTCATTTCCACTGACTACCATATACATCGCAAGAAGTATTTGTCTCCTGCTCCCCGACCCTCATCATCTGCTCGCGGTCGTACATGCTCAGCGCTCATCCCGCGCGCCCCCACGCCGAAGCTGTTCGGCTCCACGCGGTTTGCCCCCGCCATTGTGTCCTCACGCGAGTCCGTGCCCTTGCCCTGCGGTGTCTGCGCATACACAAAGGACTCGGACGTATTTGTGTTCCGTGCCCCCGTGCCGTTCCCGTTCACCAGCGGCGCACCACTGTTTGGCGGCACCGGTGATGAACGCCCGTACGCCGCCGCGCGGTACCTGCCCGGGCTCGGCGCCGTTGCATATGGATGTGGGCTGAGCCCCGCATCCGTTCCCTCTCGCGTTCCCGCTCCCGCTCCCTCTCGCACTCCCGCACCCGCTGCTGGCTTGCCCGCCGGCTTGTGGGCACCAGAGGCTGCACGCTGATATGCGCGCGTGACCCACCACGCGAGTCCTGCCCCGGCTTCCGACTGCTGCTCTTCATGTGCGCGGGCGTCGGCGCGAGTATGAGTGGGGAAGAGGGCGACTGCAGCGTGTCCTGCAGCGGCTATGGCGAAGTGCGGCGATAGCCGCCGCGGTCGTGCTCGCGGTGCGGCGTCGCGCCACCGTGTGCCTACGCGAGGAGGGTCGAAGGAGTTTGTGTCAGTCTGCGAGTGCCCGATGTAGAGAATTACTGGCAGCGACACTGATTATGATAGACATGAATTACCATGGATTTCGGGCAAAGGGACATGGAGAGCGCACCTCGACGTGAAAATGACGCGACCATGTTTCTGCGCTTCCGTGAGCGGCACGCGGAGCTGCGCGAGCACGTAGCTCGTGCCGGTGTTCGTCCGCCACGTCTCTTCGAACACCTCCATGGGCATGTCCTTGATGTCGCCCTGCGGGCCAATCTCAGGCCCCGCGATGCCGTGGTTCGCGAAGAGGATGTCCGGGTGCCCTATCTGCAGCACGACCTCCGCATAGAGGCGGCGCACCTCGTCGTAGTTCGATAGGTCTGCCTGGAAGGCGGCGAACCGTACGTCGGAGCTGGCAATGGCCTTGAGGTCGGAGATGAGCGTGTCTGCCTTGGCGCGCGAGGATGCCGCCTGATAGTGCGCTGCTACTGAGCAGCCGGAGCGGGCAAAGGCGCGTGCAATCGCCTGCCCGACGCCTCCGCTGTGCCAGATGTGGTGAGTGGGCAAGATATGATGTGGTATGCGATGTACTTACGTGCAGCTGGTGATGAGGACCAGCTTGCCCTTCAGGTCGGAAAACATAGGATGCTCCAGCCTCGTGAGGCCGAGAGAGGCAGCATCCTATGCAGCCTCTCCAACGTGGGCCTGAGTACAGCTGCGAACCAGCCCGGAGTGGGCCAGTAGTGACCGAGCTCATGCACTCAGGCTGGACGTGGGATCGGGCACAGACATGTACCAGGACAGAGACTGGCAAATGGCAGAAAATTTGTTGTGGTCATATGTCGGGGAGCAGCGAGAATTTTATATACTATGTAGTGGAGCTCGTCGTCAGCGATGATGAGCTCGAGCCGACGCACGGCGAGCACGACGTGCGGCACGAATTGCAGGTGCTAAAGAAAAATATTAGCGCACGTAGGGGGTGACTGAGGTCTCCTGGATGATCCACGTGAGATCCACGTGTCGGCATCACGGCATCTGTCCTTAAACGAACCGTAACCAAACGACCTCCATAGTCGTTCCTCTATATAGAGGCTGGATCCTCGTATGAGGGGCTTCTGTCCCAAGTCCGACGATGACAACCTGAGCCACGGAGGTTGACGCTGACAGCAGACTAGCCCATCAAGCTTTTGGAATCTGACCGTCCCTGCATTTCCAGGTGCTAGTTGCTCCGCCTGCTCGTCAAGGCCCAGTTCGTAAATTTATTCAATGCAGTAAATAGTAAGCGGCAGAGCGGACTACGCCTAGCACATATAATCAAATCTGGGTCGCGGAGGCAAAGTCGGCGGAGGAACGGTCGGATAGTAGCAGACCACGACAATGTATCTGTACAAGTCAGTCAGAGTCCGAGCCCAGCGCTTCTTCGATCGAGTCCAACAGTGAAGGAAGACGCGTGCTTTTGGAGCCGGAGGGAGCAACTATTTGTGAGCGAAGATCCAATGCGGGTCCATGAGTTTTCGGCCGCTTTCCCGGCTCATCAATAGATTCCTCCGACCGCCTTTTACCGCCCAGAAGGGACGAGGAACATTGGAGAGATTTATCAACAGCAAAGGGTAAAAATTGATTCGGTAGCTTCTCGTTAACCCACTTGCTTCTGTTCGCGATGAAGACGGTGTTGAAGATCTTGAGAATCTGAGTGTGGTCGGCTAAAAGTAGTGTTCCATCCGAAGGTGGTGCGATCACGCCGGCTTCGAGGAGAGGCTCATCCGAGAAACCATCTGGTAATGGACCGTCATCCGGGACCGTCAGCTCTGACGGAAGGTCTGTGGTGTCCCCGCCTCCTAGTGCATTCAAAGCGTCGTAATCAACTGCAGCGTAATGCTTGCGGCACATGTCGAGTAGTGAGAGGAGAAGCTCGTTGAGAGCAGGATTTCGAGAGACGGTGAATTGGACTAATCCTGCTTTCAGCTCTTGGAACTTCTGATCACCGCCGACGTAGTGGCCAGATAAAGTAAGGTCGCATGAGTCGTATGTGGATTCAACGTGACGTTGCAAGCGACGACCAGAAAGGTTATGCCGATGGTACTTGAGCGCAAGCCAATGTACGATGTGAACGAACGATTCCAAGTCGTCGGAAACGTCGTTCGGCTTATTAGGATATTTCAGCAATAGAGCAGACATGAATTGCCAAGTGCCCTGAAGTACGTGAATTAAACGAAAAGCCAGGAATAATCACTACACTCACTGAGCGACTTTTCCGGCCAGAATCCTCACTTAAATTTTCCTTGTATTTGCAGAGATCCCAATCGTTCAAGAATCCGCGACACTGTTGGGTGCCCGTGAGATATCCCACCGCATCAGGATCCTGGTCCATTAAGATGTTCCCGATGCTGACATCTCTATGCAATATTTCGGCTAGCGTCCACGCAATATGGTGAGCTAATGTCAGGGTTCGTCAGAAGGAATGGCTCGGACGAGGCACGAAACATGATTCACTCACCTAGAATTGCATGCTTTATCACAATAATCATTTCGCGCACATTAGCGTAATCTTCCAGTGGCCGGCCAACCTCCTTCACGACAATGCGATAGTGAATCCGACCCATCAGGCCGTCATCAAACTCCTGTGTGCGAGTCTTCTGAGGACTAATATCAACATCTCCTCCACAAATGAGGGTAGCAACATGGTTCCGAACTCCGTGTTGATATAACCGCTCGTAGACCTGTCGTTCAGGGTGGACGTTGACAGAGTCAGGACGCCAGGTATCTTTGAGGAACGCTAGCCTCTCCGTGTTCATATCATAGGCCACATAACCCCTCGTTGCACGGCCAGCGAGAGAATAACTGGACGACCGCGCACGCCCGACCAAGTAATACCTGGAGGATGAAGGGCTCATGCCTGGAACATTGACGACGTCACTGGGCTTGAATTCAATCTTGTAGATAGGCCAGCCATCGGACATCATCTCTTTCAGGCACCTCTTGTGATAATCGTTCAACTTACTTTCGCAACGTCTCATCGCCTCCACTTCACCAGGATTGGCGAGGACAACTGTGGGGTCATAACCCCGTTGAACATTGTTCATCTTCCCAAGACGGTACATGAAATTGTGCAGCTTCTCTGGTTCCTCGATGTAGTCAAAGCCCGCGGAGACGACCGCCCCAGCGCGATCCCACCGAATCAATCGAGCGTGAGATTTGCAGATGAATACCATGAAACAGAAGAGGCGATGCTGACGTAGGAGTACCTGTGCCGCGTACTCAGTGATCTGTCCTAGCGTCTCGAAGCCATCCGCGGTATCGTTGCGGAGGAAATACTTCTCGGGATGCTTGAATTCGAAGGCAGATTTTTGATAGTCATTCTTGACCTCGATAGGAACACAAGTCCAGGCCCAAGACACCCGCGCCACATAGTACTTGCGACTTGCAGATGACTTGCCTCGCTTCAACCGCTTCCAAGGAATATTGTACGCTTCCTTTGCTGCCTCAGAGGTAGGATAGATGCCAATATCGAATCTGGTGATGTTTTTATCCCTAGCTTCCTCGGTACCAGTTACGTCGGGATATTCGCCTGTATCTTTAACGGTAAGACCACCCTCGGGAACGACGTCCAGAACGGACTGAAAGGACTTGCACTGTGCACCAATGTTAGACTTAAAGATAGTTATGTAGAAGGAAAATATAAGTGACATACCAAACCAGGGTACATATCAACCTCAAGCCCGTCAAGCTTTACACATTCAAAATTCTCAAACTGAGTTCTTGCTTCGTCCGATGGATCACGCCCCGGAAGAAATTCTTGCATAAATTCTTCAAAACCCACCTCCACGATGTGGTCCTGCATTTCGCTGGCTAAATTTCTTTTGAGTACCTGGTCCTTCTCTGGCAGGTATGCAAATGTCTGTCGACTAGAAACCTCGGCAACGCGAGGTGTTACCTTGGGTGGAGGCGCCGGAGGTTGTGTCGGAGGTAAAGGCGGGGTGCTAGGTTGTGGTACGCTCGGCTCCTCGCCGCAGATCTTACGACAAATCCAGTATCCTGATCGTATATGCCAGCTACGATATCTCGGTAGGAGCCTAAGGCAGTTCACAACCCGGAGGACAATTCGAAGGTTTCGAACACAATGGCGCAGACACCTGTCGAGGTCTACACGTGACCGACGCGTCTCAGAAGCGCCCGTGCTCCGTTCAACCTTCCTTTGTTCCAGACAAGGCAGGCCTATCAAAGTGATGAAAGTTAAAAAGATCGGCCATTTCCTGCGAGAAGACCGTGGACTCGGAGTCAGAGTTCCTCGGGTCAGATAGCGAACTGTCGGAACTGAGAAGGTTATACACAGTGCGTGATTGGGATTTTTTTAAGTGTGACTGAAGGGCACCAGTCCGGCTTTCAGATCTGGCAACTTGATACCACCATCAACATAGCCGTATACCGCAGAGCCGTACGTATCACATGCATTCATCTTACATGGAACTGTAATCGCTGCAATCTGGTTACAATTGATTGGTCAATAGATCACAAGCATGGATGGAAACAATCTTTCAGATACGAAGGGATGTAAAAAGACGTAGAAAACAATTCGGGGAAGATGCAGAGAGGAGGCTTCTTGTTTTTGTGCATTTTATTATGAAGCAAACAGGGCTCAGAGTCAATGCAGACATGCCGATCAGGCAAGGAAAGCATCAGCCACACCATCCTCCGACTGCCAAGATGACGGCATAGCACGTAAGGCCAGGGCAGCACCTTGGCATTTCGGGCCGTGCAATCCAGTCGGGGGTGCATGATCTCCCAGAGGCAATGCATCTGTCGCCATCTGTGGATTGGGTCGATCAACAAAAAAGTGGTATATCTAAAATAATCTCGACCAACCTGCCCGTGCAGCCTCCTGTGCGGCTAGAGCCTGAGGGTCAGAGTCGGTGGCTTCTGCTGTAGGCCATACACTTCAGAAACTTGGATTCAATCTTATCGTATACAGACCTACCTGCGGCAATAGCGTCAAGCACAAATTGCGGGAGAGTTTCAACAGCTACACTGTCACTAGTAGCGCCAGTAGCTTTCCGATGAACTATCAGCAAGTATACATTATGTCCCAGACACACTCACATGCGCCACTAGCGGTGGGCGTGGGTGTAGCCAGTGAAAACAGAGGGATATTGAGAGTGGCTATCAGGCAAAGTTTAAAAATTAGATGATCCCGGGGGCCGGAGAATGCCTCGGCTCGCCTTGCTGAGTAGCGTTCGGCGCCAAGAAAGCATCGTTGAAAAGAGCTGATAAAAATAGGTCAGGAACTACGACAAATGAGATAGCACTGTGACTCGCCTGGATCAGATGTCTGCATGACCTGCGGAGTCATAGTATGGGTGACGAGTCCTATGGCTACAGTAGCGAACGCAAGCGGCTTCATCGCTTAGTGAAGGGGAAAATGACTTGGAGGGTGAGCATGAGGGTACGGCGCACTTTATATCCTGTCAATTGCGAGATAATACCGCTGCTGATGGATTCCTGGTATGTGAATCTGTGTATGGTGGTAAAGGCGTCATGGTGATGATACCAGAACAAGACAATTATACCGGTATTTCGTGAGGCATCATGGAGATTCTCCGCGATGGGCATTGTCGATCTACGCTTTCCCACCGCGAGTATTCGGAGGACCACAAAGAGGGTCGAGGAAGGAGTGATCACCTGTCGCCAAAATCGCGATTCTGACCCCAGAGCAAGATAACGGGAAGTGTCAAGAACAACAGAAGACGCACTGAGTTTCTTCTTTGGTACCCTCAAGAGGTTCGACAGCAACGTGCACAACCATTGTAATATGTTTATAAGGCTTTATGAGATTCAGCTAAAGGCATGGGCAAGCAAACGTAATGCTCGCTTGCCAGGTTATATCGTTAGCTTAGGCTACGAGTTGCAATCTGTCAGTTCCAAATTTCCCAATCGACATCACGCGGAACTGGCCAGTCACCAATCTAGAGATGAAAAGCCCAGCCTCATATGATTTCACGGTGTCTCCAAAGTTTCATTTCATAGAGCTCGTCCATAGACAGATGTCTGACCGTAGTGGGCCGCCGATAAAGATATTAAGTTGCCATTTCAACACACAAGCCTCCCAAGCCCGAAGGGAGGTGTAGCTTGTAGTGTCACACGTCTGCGGCGTGGTCCCCAGAGTATGACTTACCTCTGAGTAGGATCATGACGCAGGTGCATTGGAGTGGTTTTAACATTCGCGGTCATGATCGTCGTTTCCCGATCCGACAGCTCGGAGAAACCAGGGTCGTTTAGCAGGGACCATTACTTAGTAATAGACAGGTGTTCATGATCCTCGTCCTCAAATCCGAACTGATCAAGGAGTGAGTACTTGAGTGGGGCCGCCGAGCTAGAGTAGATGGGGTCGGTACGTTACTGAGGGTCTTGGAGCTGCCAGCACACGACAGATTAGTACGAACGCATCTGCTGAGGACCCCCGAGAATTGGTCAATATGGCTGATCCGGAGAGACGTCTCAGCCTAGTAGCAAATATCTAAGATAGACCCATCTCATTTTCGACTACTATGGTCACAGTGTTACGTATCACGTGCCACTGCCAAATGTTGTCACACTTAGCCCGCGCCGCGTCCATTTTGGCAGGGGAGAAAACCAGTCCCGAGCAAACTACACCTTCCACATCAACTTTGAAAAAAAAATGTCACGATCATATCATTATAAACTGTATTTTGAACAATATGATCGCAGCAGATTTTTTAAAGCAGTGCTGTGGAAGGCGTAGAAAGCCATTTTGTGCTGTTCTCCAGCCAAGCGTGACAATTCAGGTCACGTGAAGTAGTCGGGAATGAGATGGGTCTATCTTAGAATTTCTGAAATGATTTCAGCCACCGTGCGCAGTTCTTGAGCCACCTCACCCGTGATATTAGGTTAACGTGCACGCGAAGAGGTCGCTCGTGCGTCCGACCAGGACATCCTGAGCCACGGAGGTTGGTTCGGACGCACTGGTGTCGGTAGATTGTCCCTGCCTTTCCAAGCACTAGTGCTGCTCCGCATATCCGTTAAGGCATAATTTTTTCTGGAGGCTGGAGCAAATACACGAATGAAGGCCTACATGTATTATTTCACCGCAGTCAAACGCGAATAAATGCATCCAAAGCAGTAATTAAATAGTAAACAGCAGAGATGTCTACACGTAGCACAGATAATCAACTGGATAGCGGAGCCAAAGCCGGTGGATCACAATCGGATACCAATGGTACAGGAAAAGACATAACTGTCGCAGATTACTTGAGAAAAGGACGATGTATTAGCAACGTCAGTCTGAGCTCAGGGCTTCCTGGATCGAGTGCAGCAGTGAAGGGAGACGCGTACTCCCAGAGCCTTTGGAGCGGGAAGGTCCAGCTACTCGTGATTGACGTCCTCGCGTTTTCAGTCGCTTTCTTGGTTCGTCAATGGATTCCTCCGACCTCCGTTTACTACCCAGGAGGGACGTCGAGCATTGCAGAGATTTCTTGTCATCGAACAATATGAATTGATTCTCCTGCTTGTCGCTGATCCAGACTGGGCCGTTCTGCGCATATACGTCATTGAAGATGAGAAGAATCGCTGAGTGGTCAGCCAAAAGTAATGCCCCTTTCGCAGGGCTCGTAGATTGCTTCACGTCGGCTTTGGGGAAGCGCTTCAGATGATCGTCCGAGAAACCCTCCGGCATTTCGCCTTCGTACGTGAATGATTCAGGTTGTAGTGCAGTGCCGGTAGACTTCTTCGGGGCCAAAGACTCTAACGCATCAATATCAACCGCACTGTAATGCTCGTGGCACAGCTGAGCCAAAGAGTTAAGTAGATTTGTGAGAGCAGGATTGCCCGAGACAGCGAATGGGAGCATTCCTCCTTTCAGATGCAAGAATTTTTCGTGTCCACCAACGTAGTGACCGGATTGGGTGCGCACGCACGAGTCGTACGTGATCTCAACGTGCTGCTGCAAGAGAGCTGAACCAGATAGGCTGTGCGGGTGGTACTTCAGTGCAAGCCAACGCACGAGGTGAACGAACGATTCCAAGTCATCAGAAACTTCAGGTCGTTTATAAGGATATTTGAGCAATAGAGCAGACATAAATTGCCAAGTGCCCTGTGAGACATGAGCGATGATGAAAGGCGGGAAGTGCTATGACACTCACAGAGCGACCTTTCTGTCCAGAACTCCCGTCCAAGTCTTCCTTATATTTGGAAAGGTCCCAATCGTTCAGGAAGCCAAGGCATGGTTGAGTGCCCGTAAGATATCCCTGCGCGTCCGGATCCTGGTCCATCAAGACGTTGCCGATGCTGACATCTCGATGCAATATTTCGGCTCGTATCCACGCATCATGGTGAGCTAACATCAAAAGTCGTCAGAAGCAATGACTCAGGCGAGACACGAGATATGAAAAGGCTCACCCCGAATTGCATGGCAGATAACGATAATCATTTCGCGAACATTAGCGTAGTCCTCCAGCGGCCGACCAACCTCTTTCACGACAATGCGATAGTGGATCCGACCCATGAGGTCATCATTGAATTCCTGCGTGCGGGTCTTCTGCGGGTTGAGGTCCACGTCCCCTCCACAGATAAGTGTAGCAACATGTTTCTGAACGCCGCTTCGATATAACCGTTCATAAACCTCTCGTTCAGGGTGGACGTTGGCTGAATCAGGACGCCAGGTATCTTTCAGGAATGCCAGCCTCTCTGTGGTCATGTCGTATGCCACGTAGCCCCTCGTTGCACGGCCAGTGAGAGAATAACTAGACGACCGTGCTCGTCCAATCAAGTAATATCTCGACCGAGAAGAAGATGCAGTCTTGCCAGAAACGTCGACGACGTCACCCGGCTTGAACTCGATCTTGTAGATAGGCCAACCGTCGGACATTGCGTCTTTCAGGCATCCTTTGTGATAATCGTTCAGCCTCTTCTCGCAGCGTCTCATCGCCTCCACTTCGTCAGGCGTGGCGAGGACAGCAGTGGGGTCATAACCCCGTTGAACATCGTTCATCTTCCCCAGCCTGTACATGAAATTGTGCAGCTTTTCTGCATCCTCGATGTAGTTGAATCCCTCGGAGGCGACCGCACCGGTGCGATCCCATCGAATCAATCTCGCGTGAGATTTGCAGATGAATACCATGAAGCAGAAGAGGCGGTGCTGGCGTAGGAGTACTTGTGCTGCGTACTCGGTGATCTGTCCTAGCGTCTCAAAGCCATCCGCGGCATCGGTGCGGAGGAAATACTTCTCGGGGTCCTTAAATTCGAAGGCGGATTTTTGATAGTCATTCTTGACCTCGATAGGAACACAGGTCCAGGCCCAAGACACTCGTGACATGTAGTACTTGCGACTTGCAGACGACTTGCCTCGCTTCAACTGCTTCCGAGGGATATCATACGCTGCCTTCGCGGCCTCAGTGGTAGGATAAATGCCAATATCGAATCTGGTGATGTTTTTGTCCCTGGCATCCTCGGTACCGGTCATGTCAGGATATTCACCTGTGTCTCTAGCGGTAAGGCCACCATCGGGAACGATATCAAGAACGGATTGAAAGACCTCGCACTGTATATCGATATCAGACTTTAAGAGAGAAGGAATGAGCGAGCCACATACCAAACCAGGGTACATATCAACCTCAAGCCCGTCAAGCTTTACGCATTCAAAACTCTTGAATTTGGCTCTTTCTTCGTCGGATGGATTAGGGCCCGGAACAAATTCTTGCATGAATTCTTCAAAATCCACCTCCACAATATGGTCGTGCATTTCGCTAGCTAAATTTCTTCTGAGTACCCGGTCCTTCTGCGGCAGGTATGCGAATGTCTGTCGACTAGATACCTTGGCAACGCGAGGTGTTACCTTGGGTGGAGGTGCCGGAGCCTGTGTCGGAGGTAAAGGCGGGGTGCTAGGTTGTGGTACGTTCGGCTCCTCGCCTGCGGGTCCTACGACGAACCCAGTACCCTGAGACGAATCAGGGTCGGGAGACGGGGTCCGAAGTTCGGGGAGGTTAGGCGGTTCTCCTGTAGGAGAAGTATAGAGTGTAGGATCCTGAAGAAGGTATGATTCAGATGACGAAGAAGACATTGTAGAAAGAAGGAGACACACAGGAACAGGACAGAGAGAGGCCGCGCCTTATATGTGAATGTTGGTGGATGGCCTGAGTGCAATTACAGGTGTTCTGCATTGTGCCGCGCATGAGTCATTTCCGGAAATGAACATGGGCCAACACGCTCACGGAGGCCAGAGGGCAAGCAGACTTGAATGGCTGTAGCCAAAACACCTGAAATCGGTGAGCACATTTCTCCCACGGCATCCAACTTGGCCGATTCGCGCCACTTACTCGATTATCGTATGTGGCAGCTATTATATCGCGGTAGGGGCCTGAGGCAATTCACAACCTGAGGTGAAGTTTCGAACAGGTCTACACGTGACCGACGCGTCTCAGAAGCGCCCGGCCATGGAGCACGGGGTATAAGGCAGGTCTATTCGGTCCGCTTCACCGCCATTCAATATTCAATATTCAGCTTGAAGGGCCGCGTGGTAGTAGTCTTCCGACATATTTGTTTTCGCCTGCCTCCATGCGTCAACGTCTGGAATCGAGACTAACGTGGTAGGGTGTTGCAAACTCATTTAATGAGCGTGCCATTACAAAACAAAAGAGGGTATTCGCAGCCGATACTGTAATTATTAGTGCAAAGATGCACGCATTTTGTTGAGGCGCAGTTAACATTCAAAGAACACATTCGGAAGCTTGTTTTTCACACAGACCATGCAGTGCGGTCACAGAACCATGGCCAGAGAGCGCTATGCTAATCATTCTATGCTCTACCGTTGAGGTTGTACATTTCTGCTGCGACACTCTAACGAAGGCAAGCAAATGTCCGCTTTCACTCAGGCTTTTCGGAGAGCTCGCTCTCCGGCCATCCGTTCGTTCTCTCGATCTCGGCTTGGTGATGAGATATTTTTATTGACTCGCACTCTCCTCAGAAGCACAGGTGTGCGCGTGGGAACGAGCTAGAGGGAGAAAGCTCGGGTGTGAAAACTTCTAGCGGACCGCTGTGAAAGCTCCTAAATGTGACTGTATTTGATGCTAGAGCATTGCACCGAGTAACTACATATTATGCCATATATGTCCGCACGATGATTATGCGCGGTGTGAATGCGGAGGTGGAGCTGTCCAACAACAATGCCTTCCGTATATAGATGCGCACTGCGTACATGGTACAGCACGTGGCGAAAACCTGCAATCTCCGATCCGAACAAGCCGTGCGCATCACCTCCACTGTGCAGCCTATACCTGCACCACTCTAGCGTTATACTATCTCTCCCTCCACTCCTTAAGAACAAACAGCTTTCCAGCCCATTCATCACCCTCTGAACCGCATCTTGGCCAGCACCCATCTTGTATGCATCGGAACACCCAGGTCTGTGTATCATGACATCACATTCGAACGTGCAACCCGCGGCAGCCACTGGGCCGGTCGTGGAGAAGAGGCCATTCCTCAGCCCTGAGATCACGTCGTACTTTATCGCGGGAGGCGTCGCAGGTGCGGCCTCGCGGACAGTTGTCAGCCCGCTGGAGCGGCTGAAGATCATTCAGTGAGTGCCCAGTTTGGTTTCGGAGGAGGATTGGTGATGCTGAACTGAGGGTGGTTGCAGGCAGGTGCAATCGCAAGCGTCGGAGAGACAGTACAAGGGCGTATGGGCGAGCCTTTTGCGGATGTGGAGGGAGGAGGGGTTTAGAGGGTTCATGCGCGGGAACGGGATCAACTGTTTGCGCATCGTACCGTACAGGTGTGTGTGGGCTACACACCGTTGAAGGTGCTTTCGGTGAACTGTCGTTTTCCAGCGCTGTGCAGTTCACCACCTATGAGCAGCTGAAGAAGGTAAGTTCGGTTCAGAACTTGTCTTCAATCCTGCGCGACTAACAGTTTGCTCGAGTGACAGTGGTTCACCGGCTATGGAGCGAAACAATTAGACACGCCAACACGCCTTCTGAGCGGGGGATTAGCTGGTATTAGCTCCGTTTGTGAGTACGCGCTTCCGAATACCTTGCGCATCCAGTGCGGCAGGCGCACCCGTGTTTACCTTATGCCTTGGCTGTCCACTAGGCGCAACATACCCTTTAGACCTCGTTAGATCTCGTCTCTCGATCGCTACTGCATCGATACCGATACCACAATCGACACCAGCGAGCACTGCATCGCAGCCATCACTATATTCTGCCTACCACACCTCTGCGTCGCGGACAGCAGCGGCTGCATTCAGTCACGCCGAACTCACGATGTGGGGTATGACCCTGAAGGTTATGCGGGAGGAAGGCGGCGTGCGGGCGCTATACCGGGGAATAATCACTACCGCAGTTGGTGTAGCGCCATACGTAGGTCGGTGACATCGTATCTTACGTTAGCCTGCGGGCGCGCGCTAATGATCGTCGACGGATGTACGTCCTCCAGGTATCAACTTTGCCGCCTACGAGGCGTTGAGAGGCGTAATTACTCCACCAGGGAAGAGCAGCGTAGTGCGAAAGCTGCTGTGCGGAGCGCTTGCAGGTGAGATGCTGTGACCTGACGCGGGAGTGCCCTTGCTAACGGGTGTTGTGGGCCAGGCTCGGTATCGCAGTCGCTGACTTACCCGTTTGACGTGCTGCGACGGAAGATGCAGGTGACAGGGATGGGGGTCCTAGGGCGGACGCACAGTGGAGCGTTGGACGCGCTGCAGTATATTCTGCGGACGGAGGGCCTGCGGGGCTTATACCGGGGGTTATGGCCTAACTTGCGTACGTGCAATGACCATGTGCTATGCATGATGCTGATTTATTCCGAGAACAGTGAAAGTTGCGCCAAGCATCGCGACGTCGTTCTTCACATATGAGCTAGTGAAGGAGTTCCTCGGTGCGGCGTGATGACAGACCCCACGGCACCAAGTGTCGCTGTCGATATGTGGGGCGCCTCGTGGACGGCGGACGTGGATAGACTAGTGCCTGGGGAACTGAAGGGGTCCATTGTAGTTGAATATTTGGAGGAGATAGAATAGAGATCAGACTAAGTACTCGTCCATCAGACTTCGGTCGCCAGGCTGAGCATGATGATCGTCACGGTGGTCCGACAGTCGTGCTCACGCTGCGTCACAGGCGAGCGTGACTAGAGCTCCCGCACTTCTTCCTCCTCCCTCCCAACCATTGTGCCCCTCCCGCACCTCCCTTCTCTCCTCCCATGTCCTCCCCGAAGTAGCGGCAGTGGGCTCGAAGGTATATATATGCTGTTTTCCCACTCTCACGTTCTTGTCTCAAGCGATCCCAGCAGGATCACCTCGTTGCATCCGCATTGCTCTGCTGGCTCCACCCGCGTCCGAGGATACCTATCACTTGACGCCTTTTTGCGCCCATCTAACAGCCAAGTCGAGCCCGTAATATCCTGGGACGCCCATATCTTATTTGCGTACATTCACCGCATTTTAGCGGTACCAAACACCTCAGATAATGCCCTCAATACACATGTACTCCCGGAACAAGGATACCCATGCCCGCAATGTGGCCGTGTCGCAGTCCACGTCGTCTCTTTCGTCCTCGTTGTCCTCGTCCGTCGAATCCTCTACGCTCTTTCCCGCAGCAACCCCCTCCAATTCCAGCCAGTCCGATATAGCAACCTCCGATCGCTCCGTGGCCTCGCTGACCACCTCCAAGTCCCGCTTCTTCCCTCTCTCCATCGCTCCTCGATCCACCACCACCATGGGGCAGGCCACCTCTCAGGTTCCGCAGAGCGTCCCCGCGTCCCCAACCTCGGCCTCCAGCGCCGGCAACAAGTTCAAGCGTGCTTTCGCAGGCCGGCGCAAGAAATCTCAGGACATCACTGCCTTCCTCGCTGATACCGAGGGGCCCACACGCAGCGGCAAGGAGCGTGAGCCCACCGATACTTCCAGTGTGGTCTCTCCGCCATCGGTGTCCGACCACTCGCATCGCACGGTCGATTCCACTTCCCGCCACTGCAAGGATCTCAGTGTTAACATTGCGCCGACCAAGTTCAGTGTCTTTGGCAAGAAGGTCGGTCAGTCCCCCAAGTCTCCCAAGTTCAGTGGGTCCCCTCCACTAGCATCGCCACCGCCCCCGTTGCCACCCAAGTCCGTCACATTACCGGCTCAGAACAAGGCGGCACTGGCATCTGTCTCCGGAGACAGCCATTCTACAGAACATCCACTCCCGCCACCACCGTCACCCCCGAAACTGTTCCTGCAGGTCACTGCGGAGCGTCTGAAGACGGCACTGCCCGCGACTCCGAGTGATGGTGCGAGTAAAACGGAGGGACCAGTCGTAGCGAAGGAGAAGCCTGCACAGGAAAGGGAGGGTGACTCGCACAAAGAGGACTGGAGGAAGAGCGACTCGACGATGGCCAGCCACTACACTGTGCGCCCCGGGGCTCTTGCAGGCAATCGATCTCCGCGCCCCGTATCACTGGCGGAATCATCGCACTCGGGAAACACCATTGTCCCGGTAAACAAGCGTTTCAGCGCGATCATCACCGATGCCGAGTTCTCCATGGTGGAGGAAAGCGAGGGTTCGGAGCATGACGAGGACATACTCTCTCACCTCTCGATATCCGAGCGGGCATCGCCAAACGGTTCGATGAAGGCGCGAAATCGGCGGTCAGTGTCGCTCAACTTTGGGCCGATTTCGCCTACCAAGTCCAAGCCAAGTGTGGCGGAGCCGTCGTCGAGGCCACTTCCAAACACCCCTACGCACGCCCCCGGCCGGTTTGCCAGCGACCCGCTACCGGCGCACGACGCTCCCACACTCACTCGTGCCGCGGCAACCGGCATCATAGCACCTACGAATTCAAGCAGTACTACACATACCACGACGGGCTTCCACATCCGCAGCCGCCTCGCAGCCTGGACTTCTGCATCATTAGCACCTTCATATCCGGCGCAGAATGAGAGTGCACCCCCGTCTTCCTTCGCACAGCCCAGACGACCTTCTGCCACTCCTAGTGGCCAGCCGTTCTTTAGACAGACTGCAGTCAGTATGACTGGCAGTCTCGCTCCTACTGCCGGCATCGCAAAGGGCCTTGGGAAGCGTGCAGTAGAGAAGGTTGGCCGTGTGTGGGGCGGATTCAGCTCGGGCGCGTCGACTGCTTCCGGGTACTCGTCCTCATCTTCCATGGGCCGTTCGGATACCTCGCTCCGCCCAACGCCCTCTTTGGAATCCAATGCCACGCAGCCCAGTATGAGCGAGAAGCGCAAGTTCAGGCGTCGCACGGGCCACGCATTCTCCGGTGCAGCAAGCATCAGCTCGACGTCGTCCTCTATATCAGACGCTGACCACTTCGTCCCGACGAGTCCCAGTCTCGGCACACGTCTTCGTGGATCGCGCCTCAGCAGCGCTGGGGCACCCGTCGCCGGTGGTCTCGTCTTCCGAAGAGACCTCAAGGAGTGTGTGCGGGAGACTGCGATCGATGCTGTACGCTTGTCGATGTTGAAGGACTCCGATGACGTCGATAGTGGCATAAGGCCACTGGAGGAGCGCTGGTTGCCTGCGCTCGCAGTGCGGTGCGCGCAGCATTTGCTGAAGTGGGGCGTGCAGGAGGAGGGCCTGTTCCGGTGCGTAGCCTTGTCTCTACTTTTGTTGGTATGGCGGTAGCTGATGCGCTACCATTGTGTGTAGCGTAAGCGGACGTTCCTCTCATGTTGCGAAGTTACGTTCCGAGTTCGATGTCGGTGAGTAATTGTACGGTCATCTGCTTGTGGTATACTTGTTGATGGTTACTCTTGTAGGTGGCGACTACGATATGGCCATCTGTGATCCCGGAGATCTCGATCCGCACGCAGTGGCCTCCATCTTTAAAACATATCTTCGTGAACGTGAGTGCTTAATGACAGTTATTACGGTTCAGTACCGCTGATATAACGTCGCAGTACCTGATTCTATCCTGACGTCTGCACTCATCCCATACTTTGAATCCGCCATGGTGGCCGAAGAGCAGGCTAGGACTAGCATCGACTCAGAGACCTCAAGGGTCGCGGGCAAAGTAGGACCGTCGTTATCGTCGGGTCCACAAGGCGGTCTTCCCGCCCTGCGCAAGCCACCATCGCTGTCTACGCTCGCAATGCCAAGCTTCGCGACGAAGCGCAATGTATCGGAATCGCTGCTGAACGCGCTCACCTGGCTCATTGCTCAGCTGCCCCGTGAGAACCGCGACTTGCTATACACCGTCGTTCAGCTCATCAAGGCCACTGCTGACCATAGCAAGGAGACGAAGATGCCCATGGGGAACCTCTTATTGGTTTTCTGCCCGAGTTTGAACATGAACCCGAATCTGTTGCGTGTACTCTGCGAGGCCGACTGCATCTGGAACGGTGTTCCAAAGCCTCCCGTCGAGAATGTTATCAGCAAGGTGCCTGAAGAGTCTGAGAACGAAGAGGTGGAAGGTACACCCTCTATCAATGCCTCTGTCATTTCGAGCAGCAGTATGACCTCTGGAGAAGTGTCGTCTAGCGGAGAGCCCACCACCGAAGACGAAGCTTGGACATTGGACACTCCCGAAGGTTCCTTCAAGGCACCTGCAGATGATATTCTTGAAGTGGCAGTTTCGGAACCAGACCAAAAGTCTGAACAACCCATCACCCGTATCTCAGCGATGTCTGTCATGAAGGATGACGACGCATCTTATGTCTCTGCACAGGAGATTCTTTCTGCTGTCCCTACTCGCAGTCCCAGTCCTGCTGTCTCCGGTCCACATATTCCTCCCCTTTTGACTTCATCTGACTCATCATCCTCTTCCTCGACTAATTATGAGGATCCTGTTTCGCCCCAGTTACCCTCATCCGAAGATGCTGCTGTAACAGTTATACCATCGTCAGAGGACAGTGCGTCCGCTGCTATGAACTCTTCACGATCGTCTGATCCCCTCCGACCTTTCGTACCGTTCCCGTCTTCTGGTAGGGAGTCTCCCGCGCGTACCATGACCCACCGAAAATCTTTCACACTTCTCTCGTTCCCCCAGATAAGAACCGCTAGTACTGAGTCTAGTGCTCCGAGCGCCTCGTCTTCGACGTGGCCTGCGCGGACGAAGCGACCCTCGTTGCACCTGCTTTTTTCCAAGTCAGTCTCGCGGCTGGTTTCTCCGACCAGTGGACCGCCCTTGACGGCAGCCTCGGTACCCACTCTCGCGCTGACTACGGAGTACGGTGAGACATCGCGAGCTGCCTTCCCGAGCAGCTCGCTTTCTCCACCCGTGCTGGACACGTCCATCTCATCCTCGCCTATCTACCTTGAATTTGACGACCTGGTCAGCCATGTGCGGAGTAACAAGGAAGAGGATGTCTCCAAACCTTCTGGCGAAGCAGCGGAGTCGCAGCAACAGCTCCTGCACACGCACGTACGCGCGGATTCGTACGCGCCGTCGGTGTACACAACACCAATGGGCATGACTCCAAGAGAGACGCCCATCGCCGACTTCTATCAGAACCGCTCGAAGTCGTTGATTTCCTTCCACGGGGAAGAGCATGTTTCCCCTGTGACGCGGGCGCGGTCGGAGTCCGCCGTCTCACAGATCATAGCGACGCCTTCCATTCAGATTGGCGTTGAGGCGCCGGAGGATTGGGCGCAGAGCGTGTTACTCGCCGCGCGGGGCGAGTCTAGTGCTGGAAAAGGCTCGGAGGAGGTTGTAGCCTGAGAGCTGCTCGTCCTCCATCTATCGTTGTGTCAGTGTTGGTCCTACTTCGCCGGACGAAACTTTGTTCTTCCTGTCTTAGACCTCAAATGCACAGTGGCTTGTGTACTGTCGTTCCGTACGTGTCACTGCCTGTCATCTAGTTTCATTCATTAGCTATCGTTGCACGCTGGTTCCCTCTGCATCGTCGGTCAATATCACGCTATGCATTCATTAGTCACCTTATCTTGCATTTACACTTGCACCTTTACTTATGTCATTCCATTCATCTTCATAGTCGGTCGCTGTCAAGGGTTGTTCCTGGAAATGAATTAATAATACCTTCTCTGAGCCTCTCCATATGCAGGACTCGTGGAACTAGTTGGTCTGCAAAACATGTATTATAATTGCAAATGCTATATCTGAGACAATCCAGTGATGCGATGACAATGGATGCGATGTGGTATAATTCGGGCGTATGATACATGATTCGTTGTACACTCTAGTTCTACATCTGTCAGAACATACGCGACATCGCAGTGTCCATTCGCGTTTCGAAAGTGTTTAGAGAGCGTCAGGGGAAATATCGCCGAGAGTGTTCAGGTCTGCTGCACTGTATGCACTGAACAACGACTGCGTCTCGTCGCCGTACTCGGACTGCGAGTCTATGGTCTCCTGCAATATCATATGAAATCAGAAATGCTGGAGATACTTGCGATAGTGGCAACATACGTCGAAGTAGTGATGCGCGAGGCTACGAGGAGCTGCAAGAAGATGGCGAGATAAGCATCTGTGTACACCGAGTGACATCCTCCTTACTCTTGGGCGTCTTTGGTAGGCGACAGCTTGCGCCACTTTGCAGGATGTGATACGCGACAAGTCCGGACCTAAACGCAGAAATCAATTCAGATCATCATGCGCCACAAGTCACCGAACAGTCTCAGCTCACCATCCCGTCTGATGAGAAGCACCCAATCCTCGACCATCATCAGCGTGGAAAAACTACCGAATCCTTAGCATACGTATTTTCCTCGAGGATTAAAATAACGTACCTCATAAAACCAGACGTAGTCGCGGAAGTAAGGATCACGATCCAACTTCGGATTCCCTCCGTTCGCAGCTCGTCTGCCCTCCATATCGCGCCCGAAGATGTGTATGATTCTGTGCTGAATTTCCTCTGCGACATTCACAAGGTTCATGTAATCTCCGCTGCCCGTGGGACATTCCACCTGCACAGCAGATGATCAGGAATCATGGTGAGCATGTGAGCGGATCCACCTACCTGCAGCTCATCACCGTAATACTGATGGAACCTCTGCAGACTCTCTATCAAGATAAAGTTCACAGCGAGCCCTGATAAGGTGGTCAACGGCCAAATGAGACGGGAACACTGGAATGGAGAATTAATGCCGAACTCACAAATAGGTCCCCTCCAGTTCGAATTACCACCGAACATCCCGGATTTGGAATCTCCGGGCCAATAATTGACCTCATAGCGTTCGCCGTTGACATCCATTCCCCAAGGTTGATCCTTGTGCTTCTTAGACAAACTAAAACATGGGTAAACCATTATGACCCCCGCAACGACGATGGTGGAATGGAAAGTGGAATCCACTCACGATCGGATCCCATGCTCGCTGAAGAACTCAGATTCATCCAGCATCTTTTCTAGAATCTTGACAAGTCGCTCTTTGCTGGCTAGCGCCAGAAGCCTGCGTTCGCCTCTACCTTTAACTGCGTGCGACGTCAACTGGTGACGTTCGTACCACAAATATCAGAGCTATACCTTTCATGTTCGCCATGTTCCTCCCCGACAGCTCGGGCCTGTTATCAATAAACCACTCCATACGCTTCTTAAAGCCAGGGAAGCGGTTGATAGTCGCGGGTTCTAGCACCAGCGTCGCGTAAAGCGGAATCAGACCGACGAGGCTCCGCACGGGCAACTGCATTGAGCTGCCCGGCCCGAATTGAATTGCATCGTAGTACATCCCGTCTTCTTCGTTCCATAGACTAAGCTCATCCTCGCCTTCACGGTAGGTCATCGCATCAGCAATGAAGATGAAGTGCTAATTGAGAATATAATCAGCCAAGACTACTAGGGAAAACAACGCATTTACCTCGAAGAACTTGGACGCGATATCTTCGTAGACAGAGTTATGCTTAGCCAATTCAAGAGCGATATTCAGCCTGAGACATCTGGGTTAGCACGCAACAGTAACACACCACCCAACGGGGCTAGACGCACATATTCAGACAATAAAATGCCATCCACGCCGTTCCATCTGCCTGACGGAGAACACCACCAGTGGGCAAGGGTTCTGATCGATTGAAGACACCGATGTTATCCAACCCGAGGAAACCACCCTCAAAGACGTTGTTCCCTCCTTGATCTTTCCGGTTGACCCACCTGGAAGAAGACGGGTAGAAAGAGACATTAATAATAGGCGACTATATGCGCATTGAACCAGCTGCACTGACCATGTGAAGTTGAGCAATAGCTTTTGGAAGACACGCTCCAAGAACTGGAGATCTTCCCGGCCGTACAACTTGCGTTCAATCTTGAAAACGCGGAAAGTTGCCCTAATAATAAGCACGGTCAGGCGACATTGGAGAAACAATATAAATATTCACTGACCAGGCGTGAACAGGAGGGTTAACGTCGCTGAAGTTCCACTCATACGCTGGCATCTGCCCATCAGGCTTCATGTACCACTCACGAGTGAGCACATCGAGTTGCTTCTTTGCAAAAGCTGGATCCACGACTGCCAGCGGAATGCAGTGGAACGCAGTATCCCAAGCAGCAAAGAACGGATATTCCCACCTGAACGAGGGATTGACTTTAATGTGTGATGGTGTGAAGTAGGTACTCACTTGTCAGGCATAGAAAGAATGTCGGCAATGTACATGTGTTTCCATTCCTGCGGCAAGATGTCGGTCAGAATCGCCGCTCATAGACAAGACATACCCGCTTACTCTGTTCCTGATCCACTTCCTCTCAGGAGGCGGTGGCGGCTGAGCCGGGTCGCCTTGCAACCAATCCTTCTGGGAGAACTGGTAGTACTGTTTCGTCCACAGCATACCACCAAGGGCCTGTCTCATGATTTGCCGCAAATCATCGCTGATAGGGCCCATAACGAGAGAACCATAGAACTCGTTCGCCTCTTCTCGACGTTCCTCAACCGCGTCATCGAACATAGCTTCATCCTCGATGCTTGGGTCCTGCCCGGGAAGCCTGGGTGTCAGCTTGAGGCGTACAACGGCGCAGCCACCGCGCGGAGGCACATCGCGGAAGACGTAGTGTGCCGCGGACTTCGTTCCGCGCTGCGCGGGGTTAACAAAGGACGGCGTCAATGGGAAAGGTGTGCGCGGACCCTCCTCTTCGTCGCTTGGGGTGCTGTTCTCGCTGCCCGGCTCTACGTGGTGAGGAGTAATTCCTGTATGAATCTTGGTAGCAAAAAACCCCGGGTGTCCCTCGGCCGTGGGTGGAGGACGATGCGAAGGTATGATATGGTCGTGGAACGCATCTTTGACATAAGCTGTCTCGTTTTGCCCCCCATAGAGCCTGTGGAAGTTCGTGTTGTTCTCCGTGAAGAGTAAGTCGGGCTCGACCGCGTCTAGATCCTCATCATCGATGACGTATTCTCCGTCCGCGCTGACGGGAGGAGGGGACGGAAGGCAGTACAAATGATATTTCCCTAAGGTTGGGTGCACAGCTGTGATGACACTGTTTCCAGAAGCGCTCAATACGGGCATTGGAGGCTTCTTGAGAGGCCAGGACCATGTGTTGGGGAACCAGAATTGAGGAACCACATGCAGTGTGGCAGGGTCTGGCCCGCGATTATAGGAAGTGATGCGCACATATACACTTTCAGGATCTTGTTCGTCCTTCGCATACTAGAAGTCGAGAGAGTAAAATATGCTATGCTGCAGGGAGTGTGGCTACTCACCTCTACAAATACATCCCAATAGCGGTCATCATCGAACGCGTCGGAGTCCAATATCTCGAACTCTGAGACATTGCGGTCGCGATGAACATTTTCGCGCACCAGCTCTTCGTATGGAAAGGCCTTTTGAGGGTACTTGTAGAGGAACTTCATGTACGAATGTGTCGGAGTCGAGTCTAGATAATAATACACTTCTTTCACGTCTTCTCCATGGTTTCCTTGATGTCCGGTAACACCGAAGAGGCGTTCCTTGATGATACGATCCTGGCCGTTCCAGAGCGAAAGGGAGAAACAGAGGCGCTGGTGATTGTCTGAGATGCCTGCGATCCCATCCTCACCCCATCTATATGCGCGAGAACGAGAATGTTCGTGAGGGAAGTGGCTCCAAGCATCCCCGTTGGAAGAATAATCCTCGCGGACGGTGGCCTGCATATATGCGCATGTTTTAGGTTGAACTCGCGACCAAATACAACTCGTCACACGCACCCATTGCCTATCGCTGAGATATGGGCCCCATCTCTTCCAGTGATGTTTCTTCTCTGCATCTTGGTCCAGACGATACCTTTCCGCCCCGCGGTAAGTCGAACCAAGCTTGTTGGCGAGCCTCTCGCGGAACGATCTGACATCGTCACTCTGCTCCTCGTGTTTCGGAGAGGTCGAGTCAGCCTTCGTAAGCTTTGGCGGTGGTAGAGGAGCCTGCTGCTGCTCATTTAACACGGGTTTGGGAATATCAATAGTGAGAGCCGCGTCGGACGACGAACGAGACAATTCTTGCCCGTCGCCATTCGTGTTCTCGCCTCGGAATATTTTCCCCTGTATTATCTTTGTCTGAGACATTTTCCGGGATGAGGTGAGACGTGCTGTGGAGTGCAGGGAGTAACGAGGCAGGAGCGAGGCAGCACGACAAACGCGTCCGAGACTACTTAAGACGCGTCTGACGTCACTTGCCAGTTCAGGGCGGATACTTCCGTATTCAGACAATCTCAGTACACGCGACTTCTCGAGCTTTGTTACACACCTTCTCAGGTTCTATCTATTCAATGCCTTGAGGATCGACTAGACCCAACAGTTTAATAAGATAGCATTCCGTAAATGCCTGCCTGGCAAGCAATCTATAGTACTCGATACACAACAGTCGGCGAGTAGCCAACCGAACAAATCCCGTACGCAGGGGACAAGATCGGGCTGTACCCGCTAAGAGTCAACACACAACCAAGTGGTTAGATGAATGAGGATATGAAAGCGAAAGGAATGGAAGCGAGGAGGCCGAACAGGCACAGACGGGTGAATGGTCAGAGGATCAATGAATATTGCGACGGCATGCATACTTAAGGTACTGGAGAAAAAACAATGAGAAAGAAAGATCATAAGCTTGTCGTAATACAGAGTAGCACCAAGGAATGTGGGTCCCTAAGTATAAGGATAATGCCAAGTCAAGACGGAATCAGTGCGGTGCGATGATGGCTGCGGGTATGACGGTGAGCGGGGACGGAAAGATGGGTGCACGGGGATGAGATGACGCAGAGTCTTGGAAACTAGAAATAGGATGTAAGGGATAAGACGTAGGATCACTGCACGTATAGCGTCACTTGGTTTCCAGGTCGGAAAGACTCGAACGCCATCTGTACATCCTCCGTCGAACCCAAGGAGACCAGATCCCCATCTTCGTCCTTATACTTCACTCGCAACGGACCATCGTCCCTCCGCGGACCACACAGCCTGATCTTCTTACCGACCTTCTCCACAAGCTCGGTGTACTCCGCTGAGCGTGGCACCTGGATTACGAAGATATCCTCATGGAAGTGCACCTTCACCTTCACCGGCGCTCCTAGCTGGTCCATTGCCGATGTGACCACCTGGTCGCTCCGCTGTGACCGTATGGGATGCAGTGACATGTTCCCAAGAGACGATTCGCTTGAGCCGAAAGGCGTGATAGGGGAGCTACTGCTGTGTGGTGAGTAATCCGAACTATCGCCTGTCGACTGACTCGAGCCACTCCCTCTCTTGTTGACACCCATGGAGCTCTGCGACCTATTGCTCCACGGCACCGAGGTGGGCAGCGGTGGGGGCAGAGTATTCGGAACATAGGCAGACGGCTGGCTTGCGCTGCGCGACCGCATCGGAGACGTCCCGGACGGTAACGCTGGTCCACCATTTGGCGATTGTTCATACGCACTCCTCAGCTTTGTCGAGCTGAACTGGCTACGCAGGGTGCTGCTCCGGCCGGGTGGGGGACCAGAACCATACCCATTAGAGTCGGGAGTGTAACTACCACCAGTACGAGATATGGATGGTCGCCCGCTGCCAAAGGGAGAGCCATGATTGCTCGTAGCGGATGTCGGAGTAATGGTTGAATGTCCACTCATGCGAGAAGTGAGCGGATAGCCATTGTACTCTAATCGGCGAGTTCCAATGGGTGTTCCCCTTCCCGACGGAGGGAAAGCGGACGACGGAGGATAGTCCTCGAAATCATCGTCTGGGTCAACATCGAAACCATCATGAGGAGGATATCCTTGAGGACCGTCGCTGTAACCAAGTTGATCGGGTGGAATAGATGCCTGAACGTATTCGTCAATTGCATACGGATGACGGGAGCTGCGATTGCTTTGAAGGCCCGATAAGTACGGCGACGACATGGCACTATGCACCGCTGGTGCGCTGCTGTACGCTGTAGATTGAGAGAACACCGAGTATGTTCTTTCTTGACTGTGTGTGGTCGACGGTTGTCTGATTACCGGTGCCGATGCAGAAGTCATTTGCAAGCGGATGTTGCGGTCTGACGTGCGCCGACTCGCGGTCTCCTGGATCATGCGGTTCAACTGATTTTCCCACATTTTCAGCTGTTCCTCGTTGCGACAACGAAGAGTAAAAAACTCCAGATCGTCATCACCCCGCCACCACACAGCCAGGGAGTATTGGCCTGACAGTAAAGGTGAGTACGCGCAATTTACTGAAAACTTGTTAAGCGAACCTGCTGAGACCTTAGGCACAGCCTGTGTCACATTGTTCAGGAAAATACGACCCTTGAGTAATAAAGGTGTATTTCGCTTCCTCGAAGGACCTGCACCTGGAAGCACGAGAGGTGCCGGCACCACCGGCTTCTTCAGAATGGAATTGCTCTTGTTAACCTTCTTCCCGTTCGTAGGCGGAGAGAGACACTCCTTGCAGCACAGAATAATCTTCTCAAATAGGAATACGTGATATTCCCGATCAACTTCCGACTTTGTCACCGTGAAGATATCATCGAGGAGGAGCGTGCCGAAGTTGGATATATGATGTCCTTTCCAGTCTTCCACGCGGCCTTCGAGGTTCTTCACCGTGGCATGATTTTCGGCTCGCCGCTGCGCCTCATTGATCTTGTCCGTGATCCGCTTGGCAGCCGCAACACCGCTCTCCAGCTCATGGCAGAATGGATAGTCAGTGCTTTTCACAGCTTTCAGGAGCGACTAAGGGAAATGAAACTGGTATCAGATAGCGCGACGAATATGGTACTCTGAAACCAACCTCCAATAGAAGCGGATACTTGCAGATCCTTTGAACTGGCTTAATCAGGAAAGCTGGAAGTTCCACCTTCGCGTCCAGCACGTGATTGAGCGCCTGAGCATGTATTCAATTCACGGTCATCGGAAAGCACAATTCTGCAATGGACGTACAGCAAGGTTCTGTTCTTCCTGTAACAAAATCTCTGAGGCCATGATATAGTTTGCACAATAAGGTTCATACACGGCGAACTCGTCTTCCTATTGTTCCATGTTGAGAATAGTCAGCTAGAATACAATAACGTCCGACAGTGGCAGGCGCGGACGCTTACATTTTCGATGAAGGGTAGACCCCAACGTTGTTCGTCCCACGACAATTCGGCGACACTCTCCAGCTTGATGAGGAACTTTCTCTGAAAATTCAGAAGCTTGTTGAGGTTGGGGAAGAGGAGGTGGATGGTGTCTTGATCAATGACATTGTTTTGCGAAGCTGCATTTGAATATTTCTGTGGGGAAGAAATTGGGGTAAACGGGATAGGACAGCGACAGAATGAGACACACCTGCATACTCTCCAAGTCTTGAACATATTTGCGTTCTGTCTCGACCAGTTCCTTGATAATATTGAACCGAGCGCCATTGGGTTCCGCAGGCGGGGTTGAGAAACCCCCGTCCATTGTCAGTGAATCCGTTGATTGGTACTCAGAAAGGACGGTGGGAGACGGGGGCGCTGACTCGACGAAGACATCCTCCGGAAGATGCTGTGCAAGGTGAATCACGTTGTTCACGACCTGAGAAAGTGTTAACTAATTGCCACGACAGTCTCCTACGGAGTGAGTTCACTGACCTTCACGAAGCCATCGGTGGAATTACGGTCCCATAGCTCTGTAACCGTAAACTGCTCGCAGCCTTCAATCTGTTTTATTTGCATCGAGAAGAGAGCAATCGCTCGCTTCTTCGTCTTCTCGTTCGTCGCATCGAACGATGTCGAGCCTGTATCGATGTTGATCGTAGTGAACGGCGCGGGAAGGAGATTGAACAAGTAGCACAAGGGAACGCCCAGAGCGAAACAGTCCCATAGCTGAGTAACAGGATCAGTGGATCGTCGCGAGGATTCCGGGGGTGAAGAGAGTGTAAACCACTCGGGGAAGTCCTGGACGCGCATCAAACGAGTGCGTAAAGCCGAACATTGCTGGTAGAGAGACGTCGACTGAGAGGCAGCTTTATTAAGGAGGGTGTTATTAGCGACCGGCGATTCGATGGTGGGCGTAGTGGAGATCATCGACTTTTTACGCCCTGCGGCGGTGGAGGTCATTACGGTGAGACGGCTGGAGGGCGTACAGGATGATGGTAGGATGGAAGAGCCGTAGTGGTTACAGGACGTGTGCTTTTGGAAAGATAGAGTCGGCAACAGCAGCTGGTTCGTACACACGGTATAGCCGATGGGAACAACTCCGGATTCTATTTGTGGCTATTTGCCTTACGCCAGGAAATTGGTGAGTCTCCCTCTTTTGTCTGTTTCCTCCCACGTATTTAGGTATAACACTAATTGTTCTTGCTTGTAAGCCTATTATACACTCATGAACCTTTTATTTATTTGCTCCCCCTCTGGCTTGGCTTTTGGTGAACTATCGACCGGCAGAAGAGGGTCCATGAGCAGTGGGGACCTTTGGCGAGATCACATCCTCCCCGTCAACCCCCGCATGTGGAGGCCTCGGTACGCAAAGATTTGCCTGACCAGGACCTGTAAGACGGTGCCCTTGATGATGTATGATGATATATCATTCCACTCCAACTGTTTCAAAGTGAAGTATAGTCCACTGGAGCATGTATCTAGTAGTCTGGAACAGCTCTTAATGTCGAGAGCTCGGGTCGCACCGGACTCCTAGTATCATGGTCCTGATCCCACCGAATGCCCATCAGAGTGCGATCAGTCATGTCAGAGACTCGTCGGAGCAACACAAGTGCGATTCACGCAAATACAGTAGGACATAGAAGGTGCATCGTCACCATTGAAATCATCTTCGACGAGTTCAAGTGTGATGAATGCAGTAAACTGTTCAGCAGAAGGTAGTGCGGCAGACAGACTCAGAGTCTATAACTTCGGTGTCTGCGATAGTCGGAATCGAACGAACCCCTCGGGTTTGTGGCCTAGAAGTGGCCGTAGTAGCGCCAATTCCAGGCAATAGTTATGGATCCATGGATCTGCTAGAATCTACAGTACCTGTCTATTCCGGGTACGTCGTGCTTGTACCAGCTTCTTGACGACGGAGAGGTCTAGAGAGACCAAATTGCGAAGGTTTTTCAAATTCAAGTCTTACATACGCACCGTCCTCCACACTAACGCGGGAGCGAAGCTTGGAAAAGCATACACCGGCAGGCTTCCGTAACGTATCTTTTACAATGTACGTGCACCGAATTATTCACGGAGATGAAGTCTGAGCAAGCAAGGTACATACTATACGATGCGCGGGCACGACTCGTCGCCACCAGTGGGGGTTACGTAAGAGGGTCGGAGTTTCATCTCCGCGTCCGCAAAGAAGGGTCCCCTGAGCACTCCAACCACGATCTGCTCACCTGCGGGCAAGACCCATGGCACCAGCACGTACTACCAACCGTCGCACTCAACGTGAACAGAATGCGCCAGCTCAACCTGCTTCGACAGAAACTATGGCCGAATTGCCCAAGGATGAATTGTTTTTGGAGCCCATGATGGGCACACCTCTCGCCATTTATGTGGAGAAGGATGTTCAAAACAGAGATGCTATAGTTGACCTCATCACGGTACGTCGCGTCTCGGTCGCGTCTGGCGGCAGATTTTTCGAGTAGTAATGGAACGGCGAGTAAGGCATGTGAGACGGGTTGCCTCTATATATAAGATTAGTATAAGTTGCGTCCTGGACGACATGCGCCTTTACTCCAACTATCCTGCACGACTGGCTAAGCATTGCACTAGTTTTTTGTACTGATGATATCCACATGCAGAAACACGGTGGCATGGTGTCTCCAGGATACAGCGGAGTTCCCTACATCCTTGGTACGTCATGCTCCTGAATTTGTTGACCGCATCACAACCATTATCCATCAACTTCGCGTCTTGCTGCAGTCTACATGTATTACCAGTCAAGTGCTGATATATATTACAGTGGACCCGCATAAGGAGTCCGGGCAGAACCTCTTCCGGCAGTATGTTGGAAAGAAGGGCAAGATCGTCCTGGATGCGAATTGGGTACTGGAATGCGTGAAGGCAGGGGCACTCCAGACGTACCACAATAACTGGGCAGGGTGTAAGGTCACTGGCACAGAAGCGTAAGACTCTTTCTATGCACAATTCATTCATGGTTAACTGGACGTCTGCCAGCGTCACACACGTGAACCAGAATGTAGCTCCCCCTCAACCTGGCCCTCCCAACCCGCAGCTCATGCACAGCGAACTAGCTCATCAGATGCAGCCCTCACAGATGATGCAGCCTCATATGGCACCTCCGCCAATGGCCCCTCCAGAAGCACTAGTTCACCCACAGCATGGTTTTCAGTACACAGTATATCCCACTCCGATGGATGTGACGCCGCGGGCAATGCATCCTCCGACTGCCGCTCCACCTCAATCATGGCAAGCTGCTAATGGTATCGCTCCCCAGCAGACCCATATGGCGCCGCCGCCGCAACCGCAGCCCCAGATGATGCCGCGCCATCCTCAAGGATATCGGGAGGACCAGGCTTGGCCTGGTGCCTATCATCAGTCGCAGCCATCCACAAATACAATTGTTCCCAATGCACCTCAAGATTACGACTACAATAGGTACAGAGAGGAACAAGCTGCGTGGGTCGGTGGAACGGGTGATTATTACGCCCAACCTGTGGGTCTTCAATGATCGCAAACTATCGGGTAAATGAGTCTGACCTGCTTATTAGTACGAGCAGCAAGCGTATCCAGAACCAGACGCGTATATGGAAGAAGCAGGTCCTTCAAATGCTCCCGATTCTTCGACTACTGCCGCGTCAGAAAAAGCGAGAGGTCGTAAACGTGTCCGAACACAAGTAAATTTATCTTCGTTCTTTTGAGCCCTGTGCTGAACTGCTGTAACTTGACCCGTTCTATAGCCGCAGCCCGCTCCGCCTGCATCTACGCTAGTGGTTAATCGCCGTAATCCACCTGCGCGTTCACCTACACCTCCTACTCGTATCATCAAGAGTACATATGGTGGCAATTTGTTCACTTCGGACGACGTTCTTTACCTCAAGAAGTACATTGATTATTGCCAAGAGCAAGGATTAGTTTTGAGGTAGGGTCATCTAATAAAACCGTTCTTATAGAATTTAGTCCCTCACTACTCTAAGTTTGCGAGAGATATGCGAGCGGGTTGCTGTTAAAGTGAGCAATTATTGACGTGCTCTAGCGTCTATAAATGCTAATAACCGAGCTGCAGGCCCCTCATCATACGTGAGCATTCTTCGTCGGCTTGCAGCTACTTGACTGAGTCGTTCGCAGGTTTTACTCTTGGCGTCGATATTGTAACAAGCACCAAATACGTCTCGGAGGGTACGCCATGGACGTCCAAGACGGCGGCAATTCTCCACCACCTGAGGAAGAACAAGGCCAAAGTCAAAGCCCTCCTGACCAAGAAGCACAAGTCCCAGTTGCCACAACGGGTGCCGGAGCAATCGCAGCAGCACGTCGTGCAGCAGCGGCGGACCTTGGTCGCACACGATCTCCCACGCCTCCAAGGGCTTTGTTCAGAAGTACGACGGGCAAGGGAGTGGCATTCACAGACGAGGATGTCACGTTCCTCGTACGCTTTTTGGAGTATCGCAATAGGACACAAGAGGGTAAGATAGACATGGTGGCCTTCTGGAAGGACGTTGCTGCGAAGGTGAAGCTATGTGATTACTCAGCGGCGTCTTCCGAGCTAACTTCCGTTGCGAAGGCTCCCCATCACTCTCGCGCTTCTTGGATGAAATTCTACCGGAGACACAAACACGAATTGAACCATACGGAGGGCGACGCTCCTCTGCCAGCCCCCCCGGAGAAGAAGATGCGGTATAGCCGAGAGGACGATGTACTTCTGGCCAAATACTTCTATAACAAGCCAGACGGAACGTCCGATAAGATTTTCCAAGCGTTCGGCCGCCTTGTAAGCCCCTCGAGCCATGTTCGTTCTGTCAGCGTTCTCAGACCGCTCTACAGCATCCGCACCATCCGTGGAAAGGATGGCAGGAGCACCATCGTATTCATAAAGCCAAGATCGATCACCTTACTGCCAGATTTGCCAACGGGGAAAACATAGACGAGCGCGATGGAGCAGCTGAATTGCAAGCAATACTATCTGCCCCCTAAAATCATTCGTTGTTACTGTGTTCTCGCCCTTTTATCCTAGGAATATGATCTAGGAGCCTGCATTATCATGAGCTGTCTCTGCCGCACTTACATCCTTTGTCACAGCGTTAAATAAGTCGCCACTCCATTCATTTGGGACATGGTTCATCAGCATGCGCAGCGTTTGTTAGGATCTCCAGAGGGACGGCGGTAAGCATCTTTGAAGATACCGCCCATCACATCCCTGGAGCTGTTGGGACACAGAGCTATACCATTAGGTCGCTTTCGAGTGGTCATACTTCTTCCTCTCAGACTGAGTGCGTCCTCTCTATGACTTCGCAGGCGGTCATATTCGAGAAGAGCACTCAGATCTCTGGTAATCTGGCGGAACACAAGTACTACCGTCCACTGAATTCAAATTTCATGAGTATCGATTCTTTCACGTTCATTGACGGGACACCGATCCTGTTCCAGTTCACACCCAGTCTGGACTACTCAATGAGAGTACAAGGATTACAAAGTGTGGCAGACGTTCTACCAAGAATCGGTATAAGGAGGAGTGGAAGTTGGTCTTTGTGATTCCCACAGATATCGAACCGGTATTTAAACACCAACTCTACAGGCCACCCTCCACCGGCGAAACATGGGAGAAAAGAGTGGAGCAATATGTGATGGGACTGAGCGCTGAACAGTTGTTTCCGACTGCATAAGTTGGCTTTGACTTTTGTTGCTGACATTCCACCTACTGATGCCAACATTCTTTCAGTGGGATGCAACAGGCAGTGGACTCGTCTTCAGCGGATGCTACTAAGAAACCCAATTCTCCGCCGCATGCGAATAAGTCAAGCATGCTGGCTGGCACAATGGATGCCGTGCCGGCAGCTCTTGCACCGTCGTCGCGCTCTGGTGATGCCGCGACGCGGGCGCAAAAACGGGCGCAAAAAAGGAAGCGAGCGAGCAAGAAATCAAACCAGTAGAGTGCGAAGGCTCAGTCATACGGTGGTGGCTTGCAAGAAACTTGTACAATAGTAGTGATCCAGCATTAAACTGGACTTTACTTCGGGTCAGATGTACTATAGTAAACGATAGGTGTTCGGTGAAATGTTGCACCAAAAGAATGCATATTTTGTTCTCGTCATGATTCGCATGCGAACATTAACGTTGAATGTCAACTTTGGTGCATGCGCTTCGTTGAAGGGTGATGCAAGACTGCCGCAGTGATTACAGAGTTTCCGTAAAACCTTGACGTGTACCATTTTTTTCCCGTGAGCAGAGAAAGATGATCTTGCAGTTCCCGAGACTCCCTGCGTTTCATGCTAAGAACTTCGAACTCGTACGAAGTCGCTCGACTCGAGACATCTATTTGCACACAGCTTCTATATGTAGATATAGCACTAGCTACAGAGCTTGCAATTGACGCGTGTAGTCCACGAACTAGGCGGCCTGGAGCTTCTGTAATACCCACCACTGAACTTGGATCAACACAATGAGCGGATTGGAATATCTCACTCAGGAGCAGGTCGAGCAGGTTAGCTCTTATCGCGACAGTGATTTTGCGTACCGTCTCACAGCTCGTGATAAGTTCCGCAGAGATGGGTGAGAACAAGTACCTCTCTCGCATTGCGGACTCGCGATGAACTTTCTGCATTTAATTGTGTTAGCTATCTACGCTTGCCAAGTTTCCTGAGCCCCGAGGACACGGAGGCTTTGTTGACTCGCTCGAAACAACTGCTGAGCAACTTCAGCCTAGAGGACCACCCTCTCGTGCGCATTCGTTCCATTGTCTGCGGCTTGTCCCGCCGATGACAGGGACCGCTAGACTAAGTTCACGACTGGAGATGACAACCACATCGGCGATGATTACTTCCTGACCTCCGGAGACAAGATCCGCTACTTCCTGGAGGAAGACGCCATTGGTGCGGACGGCGAATTGAACAGAGAGAAGGAGAAGGCGGTGAACAAGATCGGCCACGGTCAGTCCGCTACGATTAGGTACGGTCATCCGAATCTCATCCTCTACCTGTCTTGCAGCCCTCCATGAGCTCGACCCCGTATTTCGCAAGGTCACGCTGGAAAACCCGTCAATGAAGGCAGTCGCGCGCGACTTGCAGTTTCACCATGACCCCGTAGGTATGTTGACCCGTGAACCGTGGAGAGAGCTGTGATTCACCGGCCATTAGCGCTGCAGTCTATGGTAATTTGCAAGCAGCCTCGTATTGGTGGCGAAGGTATGTTTCCCGGCGAACCCTCATCCTCGGAAGGAAGTTCATTGTGTTCCTAGTACCGGAGCATAACGACTCGTACGTCTCTGTTTCATTCGCTCCGCTGTCCACCTTCCTGTTGACACGGAAAGTGGGGTGACAGAACGTTCCTGGTCTGTACCACATCTGTACAGCTTTCCCCACATTCCTTATAATCAGAAACTCTTCTAGTACACGGACCCTCCGACTGCGCTCGGTTTCTGGATAGCGCTCGAGAAGTGCACACCAGAGAACGGCGCGCTCTCCTTCCTGCCCGGATCGCACAAGAGCGCCCCAATAACCAAGCGCTTCGTCCGCCTACCTCAGGGCGGCACCGGGTTCGAGGAGCTCATCCCTCCTGAGAAAGCCCCCAAGAACCCAGAGGGAAAATACATCCTGGAAGCCTGTATGCCCGGTCAGTCCCCGGTTTCTTGACACAATTGACGTGGAAGGGGCGCGGCGCTGATGAATGTGGCCGCAGGTGACATGGTCCTGATACATGGAAGCGTGCTGCACAGGTCGGAGAAAAACCGCAGCCCGCACACCCGGTTTGCGTACACGTTCCATATGATCGAGTCGCCCCCGCATGCAGTCTACGACGATAAGAACTGGCTCCAGCCCACGCCGCGAATGCCGTTCTCCCGCATCCTGGACGTTCCGAACACCGTCACTGTCCCTGTGGGTGCCTAACTAGAACCGCTCCGGTTTACTTCTGCGAGCGGTATATAGCAACAGATGTATTGTAATATTTTCGTGTGCTGATAGATACAGTTGTATACGGGATGGTCAGTTTATAGGACTTCTATCTTCGCCGCTTCGGTGATTTTCTGGGCTGTTAGACTCCCCAACTCGTCAATGAAGGCGGGCAAGAATGTTCCGCTCCCCTTCACGTCCGCCCTGGCGGCCGCGAATTCGGATGCCACCGTAATAGCAAGCACACTACAATCACGCGTCAGCCAAGTAGATCATATCTAGCATATGCAGATACTTACCCTCCCACTGCAGCGACCAACATGTCGCCTCTAACAAGCTGAGCGTCTTCTTCTGCACCCGGTGCTCTGGCAGCATTCACTGCCATACTTGCGCCGCCGCAGAAGACCGCAACGGCGGTGCCAACCATGCACCCCGATCCTGTGATCCCGCTGAGCAGTGGATGGCCGTTGGATAGACGGACGACGACGGTGCCGTCGGAGACCCAGTCAACCACACCCGTAAGGACGACGACACATCCTGTGGAGTGTTCGACATGAGAGCGTCGGCTAGAGGAAATCTACACGACTCACGCTCTTCCCTGGCTAGTGTGCGCACGAACGCGGCGGGATCTGAAAAACCTTTTCCGACGCTGTCGACTCCTTTGGCCTGCACCTGAAAGAAGGGAACAAGTTGCAGTGCGAATATCCGCGCACCATACAGAGAAGGGTATTCACCTCAAGCGACTTGGCAAGAGCTCCCAGTTCGCCTGCATTACCCTTGATGACAGTCGCCTGCCATGTATTCAACAGAGCTGACGATCTGTGTGAGCCACGGCGCCACATACGCAATATAGTTCGGAACATACCATCGGCAGAATCCATTCGGTACCGAGTCGCACCCACACCCACAGGATCGAACACTACGGGCTTGCGATTGATATTGGCATGCCGACCTACGCAGTACCGACGCGATTCAGTCAAGAATTCTCAGCAGATCCAGGCACAAGGCACTTGCCCGCGGAGAGCATTCCATCCAGATTCTGTATAGTGCCAAAATTAATGAGGAGCGCGCCGATGGCCTTGCTCAGGTCCGCCATCTCCTCGGGAGAGGTCGCCATGATCGGGGACGCGCCGAGCGCGAGAGTCGCGTTCGCGGACTGGGTCGTGACTACGTTATTCGTGATCTGGGAGATACGCCCGTCAATGCTCCGTGGATAGGTGACGAACGGGCATGCGCAACCTGCTGGGTCAGTGGGGAGAACTTCTTGACAGCCTCCAGGTTCGCACCGACATGAGCTAGGATGCCACGTGCGGTGTATGCGGGTCTGGTGGGCAAGTGAGAGAGGGAGAAGGTGTTGTGCGAGCACGCCTTGAACGCGCGCACTGTGGTCGCAATTCTCTGTGCCGCGGAGCGAGGCTCGGGAGACGCGACGATGTCGCTCACGACTGCTACACCGTCGAGCGCTCGGCCCGTCGTCGAGATGGAGCCGTGGAGGCAATGAAGCACGTTCGTGGACTTGATACCCGCTGCGAGTAGGACACGCATAAAACCATCGATAGCTACGCGCATATACCCGGGCGTACTCACCGATCGCGACCGCTTTCACGTTCGTCCCGTCCAGCATGGCGAGCATCTCGCCAATACCCCTCACGCCGACCACCGGGCTCGTTAGCGCCTTCGTCTGGGTCGACCACACGGGTCCGACGCCGACGTAGTCCGCGCCGTCCGCGACGGCCTTCCGCACGTGCTCGACAGTATTACAGGTGACGCCGATAACAGCATGCGGCGGGAGGAGCGCGCGCGCCGCGGCGAAAGGCATGTCCGTCTGCCCTATGTGCACGCCATCGGCGCCGATCGCGAGTGCGATGTCGATGCGGTCGTTGATGAGGATGAGAACGTTGTACTTGCGGCATATCGCTTGCGACTGGCGCGCAATCTCGAGGAACTACGCGCGGAGGAGGGGCGTTTAGGACCGAGGGAACTCGAGGATTGGGACGGCCGGGTGGACTTACTTCTCTGGTGTCGGCGGTTTTCTCTCGGATTTGCACGAGCGTGACGCCGCCCTGCAGGGACTGTGCATTGTTTCACTATGTGCTGGTGGACACTCGAACGGACTGGGCTCACCTCTTCGAGAGATTCAAAATAATCCTGCACCAGAGTCACTGGGTCTGAGCACACAGTGCGGGAAGAGATGATAGGACTCACCTTTCCAGGCGGAAGGAGATCTCGCCCTGTTACGAGATACAGGGAATAGTCCACCACAGGTTTGGTTTGCGCCATGAGAGAGGTGTGGACGAACAGTGCGCCACCGAATCACTGAAATCGAATGTCGGCACCTCCATACAATAATCTGAGTTCAAGTTAAAGTTAAAGTGATCTTCAGGGGACAGGCCCAGATCCTCTAGTAGATACAACCCCCACGAGCCTCGTCGTGATGTACTACTTCACCGCGTTGCGCCGGGTGACAGATCTGCACAGAGACAAGATTGACCTCTCTTCAAAACAGGGCAAGGGCCAGCTGAAACGAATTGAAGAGGGTTTCGACTGTTGTGTGTTTCGTTCTTGATGTACGATCTCAGAGGAGTTGACACTGCCTTATTGTAAACTAGTATGCCGTATGCTCAACATCACTATCCTTTCGAGAATAAGGAGCTGTTCGAGATGACTTTCCCTGCTGACTTTGTGTCTGAAGGTATCGACCAGACATGTGGATAGTTTTATACTCTTCTATCTCTACGCACCTCTTCGGCAAGGCGCCATGGAAGAATCTCATTGTCTATGGTCTTGTACTCGCAGCGTGGGTACCTGGACAATTTCCGGGCTCAATCTCCTGCTGGCCGCCCACGCAGAGATGTTAAGAAGATGAGCAAAAGTCAGAAAAACTACCCGGATCCAAATGATATCATCAACCTGTATGACGCCGATGCTACAAGGTAACGACCCCTTCATGATTCAATGCAAGCATCTGAACATACACATCTAGAATGTTTCTCGTGAATTCGCCGGTCGTGCGAGGTGACAACCTCCGCTTCCGCGAAGAGGGTGTTCGCGAGGTTGTCTCGCGTGTTTTGCCAGCTTCCCTGGCTAAATGCAACACGATTTTTCCTCGGGCAAGTAGCGCTGCTTAAGAAAGCAAGTGGGCATGAGTTCAAGTACAGCCCACATGCAGCTCTGTCCGCGAACGTGATGGACCGATGGATCCTTGCCCGCTGCCAGTCGTTTATCAAGCTTGTGCGCCAGTGTGCGCCAGGAAATGGCAGCGTACCGTTTGTACGCCATCATTCCCCGCCTGCTTGACCTCGTCGACGAGCTCACTAATTGGTACATCCGTTTCAACCACCGGCGTCTGAAGGGGGAGGATGGCTTAGAAGACATTGTCGCTGCACTAAATACCATATTCGAGACATTCTTCACATTGTGCAGGATGATGGTAAGTTACCGTTCGTCTAACAAATCTATCAAGTTGTGCATGCTGATGTTATTCCTGCACAGTCATCGTACACACCGTTCTCGACGGAAAACATCTACCAATCGCTGCGACAGTTTATCCCAGAATATCCTGCGGCCGGCGACGCACGGTCCATCCACATTTTATCCTTCCCAGAGGTGAAACACGAATACTTCGAGCGACAGGTCAAGCGCATGCAGACTATAATCGAGCTTACGCGGAATATTCGCGAGCGACACAACATTTCTCTAAATTGGTGCGTCTCGCTTCAATGAGACATTCCTAAAGTGAGGCAATTATTCCAGACGACATTGCGCGAACTTCTGGTCTTCCATGCAGATGAGCAGTGGCTGGAAGACGCGAAGGGTCTGCAGCGGTACATCCGATCGGAACTTAATGTGCGGGACGTTATTTTTATTTAGGACGAGGCCCTCGCTGGGGTGCGTTACCGCGCCGTTGCCGACTCGGGTGCAAGCTACGGAAAGACCTCGCCCGCGTGAAGAACGCGCTCCCGTCCATGCCGAGCGACGCCGTGCTTGCGTATGTTCAGAATGGGAAGCTGACGGTAGATGGCATCGAACTGGTTACGGGTGACCTGACCGTGCAGCGATACATCGAGCTCCCAGAGCAAGTGACGGGCCAAAGCGGTGTGGCCCAGAACGCGACGCACACAGACAACGACATCGTCGTACGCCTCGATATTGAAGTGCATGTGGAGCTGCAGAGCAAATGGCTCACCCGGGAACTCATCAACCGCATCCAGAAGCTGCGGAAACGCGGGGCTGCAGGCGACGGACGACGCAGATGTCTTCTATGAGATCGAGGGTGGTGCAAGAGCGAATCTGCTTGAGGCGCTCCGGAGTCATGCAGAACTCATGCAGAAGACGGTGAGGAGCGTGCCGGTGGAAATGGCGCGCAGAAAAGGGCCACAAAAGGTGCTCATCGAGGAGGAGCAGGAGGTTGCAGATGTGAAGCTCATGCTGTCGCTGGCGTCGCCGTAGTAGGGTAGCGACGGGGATGGAGCGAATGAAAGATTGTAATACAGTACTACTAGTAGTGTGCTCATAGAAATACAGTGTGGCTTTCGGGTTGTAGTTCTTGAAGGTGCGAATGTCACTTCTTGGAAGAGCCAAAGCCGCTGAAACCCATCGTCTGCATCATGTCATTAATTCTCCCGTTGCGGTTCAACAGCCGTGGTAGATCTCTTTCGCAAGCTCTACCCGTGCACGTTCCCGCAGGGCCTCCTTCGCTGCCTCTTTCTCTGCGCACAATGCAGCCTCCCGATCGCGCGATTCTGCTAGGCGCTGTTTGAAGTCGAAGGACTTTGCGGTGGAGGCTTCACGGGTCTTTTCCCTTAGGTAGGCAATGCGTGCACGAACCTGCTCTACGATCGAGCGCTCAATGCGAGTGGTTTGACCGAGGGCACATAGATCTGTGAAACAATGATTAGGCTCACGGTATAGAGAAGTATGGGATATTCATCAGACGTACGTGCACGACCGTTGATGTGATCCAGGTACCCTACACTGTCTTTATATGTGCGATTACATGTTTCGGTACGCCCGGCCCGCGCGTGGCACGACGATGGTCTTACCGAGGCTCTTGTCCGGTTCCAAGTCGCCTTCGCGCCGCTTCATGAGTTCCGTGGGTTTAGGGAGGTCATCCCGACGGTCTTTCTTAGGCTTCTTCCCTGAGTTGAAGTACCCAGCGCTGCTACTATGTTTGAGATTCTATATCAGTCCGTCCCTCCCACCTCTCATAGGACTGATTTTGTAGTCTGCCTTTGGGAGACTAGTTTGAGATGAGACGTACCTTGTTTCAGCCGCTCCTCGTTCTCCTGCATGCGCTCTTTCTCCTCCTGGTCGTGCTGACGCGCCTTCTCCGGGTATTCTTCCTTAAGTGTCCCATTTCTTGCGAAAGTCTGTGTCGGATGCTCGCGCACCATATCCGCCGCCGCCGCCGACCTTCCCGATATGGGCACGCCGAGCGGATATCCGTTCGCGCCAACCTCACATCCGATGTGAGGAGTCCGGCGGCGTAACGCGGATGTGTCTTTTTTCCGACTTATAATCGCAGTCCTGCTCCAATCTAATGCACATTTGTATCACACATTCAACAAACACTATGAGCTCTTCGTCAACTGATACCTCACCACCGTCTGTGTCCGGCCTCCCTCCTGGTTACTCCAGCAGCCGGGTCCATCCTCGCTGCCCAACCTGCACCTGTCCCAGACCACCTCCTGCGTATAGCAGTCCAGAGGATGCCGACCATGAGTGGGTTTCCACAGCATACAAGTATAACCTGCAACCTCCACTCTACCATCCTGAATGTCACTAATTCTTTTGATGACAGACAAATTCGTATTCGCTTTCTTGACTATACATTTGCCTCAGATCACCAATGTACAGAACTACACTTTCCACTTGATGGAGATGGAGTTCTGGACTACGGGGTTCTTGCGCAGACCTTAGGGGTCAAGGAAGTCATGGTGCACTACAAACCCTCTCATTATTGGGTCACCGTGCTGAGTATGGCTGTTCTTAGCGGCAGGAGCCAACTTTTAAGGACCTTGTTTTGACTCCCCTTCGAGAACCAGCAGCTGTCATCAGAGCAGCAATCCGGTCATGTGGTTACCTGCGAGTAGTAGGTATGTATCGTCATTCTAAGTCATACCAGAGAGCTGCTGGGCATGACTGGTGTGGGTGGAATGTTCACAGGCTTATATCTCAGAATTCAGCCGTCAGGAGAGATTCAGTTATAAATATGGTTGCTCTATCTCACCATCTAATGTCCGCGTGCGATGGTACCCTTCACCAACCACCGACATGACGTTGTTTGAAGAGATGCTGGAGGAAATTGATACCCATGATTGTCTCTCCCTCGGAAGCATTGCTCGAAAACATAACATTTTGAATGTCCAGGTCTTCGATCCTTGCAAGATGAAGCAAGTTCGCACCAAGTTTAGACATGTCCTTCATCCTCGGGAACGATCTCGTGCCATGGGTCGCAGAGGATTTATTGCAATCACTGGTGCGGCCACTTTAGGTTCTTCATCTTCCATTGGTCGCATCATCTGATAGAGTTTTTGCGGTGCAGATGCAATTGTACCCTTCCCTGTGATAAGTATCAGTGATGCACAAGTTGATCGAGAGGTAGGAAGTGCAGTGCGTGACCGCACTGGGCGCATCATGGATAATTATCTGTTAACTTCCTTTGATGTCTATTGATGATTGGTGGATGATAAACACCGGAGCGCATATGTGATGATACTTCCTGTTGATATCTCAGATAGCTGTTTATATCGGTCAATACTCTTGATTGACATTTGGGGAGCATCTCCGGTCTCATTCAATGAACTTTGACTCTGTCTGATCTTGTTTAATTTAGCACAATATCATTCTCTTCTATAGTCATGTCATAGTAGCCTATATAGTACTTCTACGCATCTGGAAAAAACTCCGAAGCTGAAGGTGAAAAAATGAGCAAGAAAAACCCATATCTCTCAAGGAGTGGTACTGTCTCCTGTACAACGGTGAAAACGGAGGTATGCAGGTGGGTAAAGTGACTATAGTAACGTTTACTGCAATAAATGTCGTTGGTGGTATCATAGCTCGTCATCAGGTTATTTCGTGAGCAAAGTGGAAGGCGAGTCCAATCCAAGATATAAGCATAAGCATGTCCAAAACGGTCCGTCGACTTCTACTCGTTCCTCCTAGCGGCCACCCTTCGGCTAATACGCCGAACGCCGCGAGCCATACCGCCCGAAGCTGCCGCACAGGCTGGCGAAGAACCCGAGGAGGAGCGCGAGGAGCGCGCCGAGTACGAGCCAGTTCGCGTTGCCGTACTGCGCGTAGTTGCCCGCATCGCGCACGTGGTTGCGCGCGACGCCGAAAAGCACCATCTCGACGACCCACGCGATAAGAGTGACGAGGAACGCGACAGCGGAGAGGAGAGTCATGAACACGGTGCCTGCGCGATGGTAAGCCGCGCCGCAGAGACCGAAAAGCCATGAGAGGCCAGAGAGACCGGCAGCTGAACAAGCGAGTGTCAGTACAAACCATTGGAGATGCAGCCAAAATGGATGCTTACCGACGGGGATAAGGACCAATATGTATGTAAGATTGTGGAAGGTGGTATCATTAATCGTGTTATCACTGCATGAACTGTGTCAATGGAGTGCGAGGAGTGATCGACGACGGAGACTTACCCAATACCGCTGGGGAAGTGCCACCCTACGTGGGTCGTGGAACCAGTGTATCCGAATACACCGAAATGCGTCGATACACCCCCGACGTTAGTGTTCAGGAATGAAATGGGGTTCCATGTAGGTGGGGAAACAGATGCCTGGAACAAAAGGAGATAAGCATACCCCATCAAAAATCACTCGAACGCCGTACGAAGATGAGCAGCACCATCGCTGCGAAGGTGAAGAACAGTCCAGGTATCGCAGCGCCGGCAGCCATTGCAGACAGTAAGTAGTCGTAAACTGCGGGGATCGGTCAATGAAAATTGGGACACGAGCGGAAGAGGGGAACACACGGATGAACTGGGTCGGTACCGGAGATGGTGCTGGTGGTGTTGGGGGGGAAGTGAGGGGATGGAGCAGGGCGGCTGGCAGGGAGAATTTATTGATATTATGGCGGATGCATGACGTCTGGACTCTGGAAGCTCCATGGTCGTCTGTGAGTCCCAATCGGGCTGTTACTTCGTGCGGTACGGTACTCCAGCTCCAGCGTGCACAGCTGTGTCTTCAAATCTCCTTCCCACCCGCGCATTCCTGTGCATCCAAAAGCATACCCCTACTGCGCACCTCGAGTACATTCTCGAGGGTCATTCTCGGATCCGGAAGGCTAAATTTCTAACAGCAGCTGTGTCCATGAGGCTATACGACCGCAGCATGCGGATCAGTGAGCATTACTCCTGAACGTACTGTCAACTCTGCCAAAAGCTGACATCAAACGGCACCGAGTGTGCATCACAGCAGTTCTGATCACCATGGGCTGAGCTGCTAACAATTGCAACGTTTCTGCGCAACTTTGTAAGCTGCAGTGGCGGCGGCTAGACCGCACCGGTGAGTCTGTGGTAAATAGACGTGGAAGCGAAATAATGGGACAAACCGACAATGCAGACGTTCTACATGTCAGAAAGTGCCACGAATGAGCAGCAGGCGTCCGCTTTCATGTTTTTTTTCCTTCTTCGGAGCCTACAGGAACAACTTACCCTGTTTGTTCAAGTGGCTGAAAGCATCCTGGCACACAGACCTTGGTAAGCGAAATGAACGCGCTATAAAACCCTGTCTAAGCAGGCTGTCGACGACACAATCACACTCGTTTGCTTTGGCTTCTATTTCTATTTCTAAAGCTCCAAAGCGTCTCCCCCTTATAATCGTTTCTACCCCTCAATTTTATTTCTTCTCGTTTTCTTAGCGACCGCCACTTCGTCGCAACAATTGGCCACTTCCTTCGACTTCGCGGCCACATATTCGATCACCACCTCCGACTTCTCCGCATATTCAACTTTGCCACCACTTTCGACTTCGTAGCCACTAACGTTCAAGTGAGGAATGAGAACCAGAAGCTGGTCAATTTCTTCCCTTCTATCACGGTGCGTGTCTGTCCTGCAGCGGACTCCTTTTCTGCTTACCCCTCCACAGACCCAAGCCCCCGCCCCCGGAAGAACAGGGGCACCGCCTCACGCGGCAGCTGTCCTGGCAAGGGGACAAACGGTCCAGCCAGAGCAGGAGCTCGCGTTCGTCATCGAGCCAGCACAAGCAAGAGCTGGACAGGGATTTCGCGCAAGGGCCCATCTCTCAGTACGTGGGCAACCCAAAGCTCGCCCCGTTCCAGCATACCAGTGATAAGACACCGCGGCGCCCAGCGGTTGAGGAGAAGCGTATACCGACTCAAGGCCACATCTCCCAGTACGTGGGTAATGCCAAGCTCGCTCCGGTCCAGCACTCCAGCAATGAGACGACGCGGCGCCCCTCAACGGAGAAGAGACGTACCTCGGCTCAGGTGCCCATCTCACAGTACGCGAGCAGCAGCAAGCTCGCGCCACTCCTCAGAGCTGAACACACGGCGTGGCGCCCTGCAGCGGAGGACATACGACGTTCCTCAGCTCAAGAGACCATGTCCCAGTACTCGCAGTACTCGGTGAATTCCGGCTTTGCTACAGGCCGGCCCCCCAGAGATGACGACGCTGAGCGGCGCACCCCCGCGGGGAGGATCAGATCGAACACGGTCGACAGCGGGCGCGCCAACACAGCTGACTACTCCGCGTCGACTTCGAAGCTGACTGGAGCTGCACGGCCGACAATAGTGCATCCTCATCGGCCCAATAACTCTCGTTTCGACTCCCGCGCAGGTCCGCAGGTTCACTCGTCGCCCGAGTGGGTCAATGTTATTTGGATGGGTCGGAAGGCCTCCGCCCAGCAGGATGGCCGCCCAAGCGAAATCGAGTCTGCGACCGCACGTGGAAGAGGGGAAAGTGGTAAGCTCTTGCCGCCTGAGAAAGACAGGCCACCACGCATCCCGGAGAAGGACAAGCTTGTCCCATCGGCGAAGAGTGGACCGCCGCTACCCGAGAAGGACAAGCCACCACACAAGGCTTCCGTCCCCGGGACTGGCGCCGTACATAGTGGCGACACCAACGCGCGTCAGCATCTGCGCAGCAGCTCGGAGACACGCGGGACCGGGACTCACCACTCTGCTAGTGGCCATGTACACGCGCGCACTGGCTCGAACGATGTTTCCAGAGCCGCCAATGTTGCCTCCCGCTCGTACGGAGACGTGCGCGTTGCGGCTCGGAGTGTCACTCGCGACGTGCACGCCTCCTCGCGCAGCCACGAGCACTTGCGCACCAGTCCGGAGGTTGTTACCGGCACATCCTCGCGCCAATACAGGTACGCGACCTCTAGTCATGGTGGTCCTGATTCCGGCGATGTCGGTGGCAGGGTAATGACATCGTCCAGCCACACAGGACGTCCACCCGCTGGTTACGGCACCGTCCCCGTGCCACACACATCCTCCAAGCCCCACGGGTACGGACATGTGCGATATGGCTCTGAGACAACAGCCACCAACGTCGCCGGCTCTTCTCGCCAGCAGGGCCACGGGCGCAGCAGCTCGGACGACATTGTTGAGCAGCGTCGGAAGGCCAGCATAGAGCAGGCGCGTGAGGCCCACCGTTCTCGCCAGAGGTGGTGTCCGCCGGCGTCCTCTGTGGTCTACCAGGCTCGCTACACCCGTGATGGCCACCACAAGTCTGTTCCCGCGGGTAGCACGCAGCAGGCGTCGGAGGCTGATCGCCCTCGCCACAGCCACGATCCCTCGGCATCCACTGCAGCCCACTATGATCGCTCCCACCTGTTCGGCCTCCCATCTAGCAATGACGTCCTCAGTGTAGGTGTGCGCCGTTCGTCGGCTAAGCAAGTTGCGCGAGAACAGACTTACGCGGCTGGCGACCAGGTCGTCCCGATGGCGCGCCCCCACGCCATCTATACCCCGTTCAAGCCGGCTTCGTCGTCCAATCCGGACTCGGGAAAAGCCAGCACTTCCTCAGTAGATGCCGCTATCCCAACAGCTACCGTCCGCCGCCAGCCTCGGGCTGCTCCTCGCCAAGTAGCCGCCACCGACTCGCTCGACGGTCCCTTGGCGGAGGTTATGGAGATGTATGATCCCCGTCGACGCTCGAGCGGGCAAATCCATGCTGCTGGCCCATCTCGCCAGGGGGATTCCTCCATCGGTGCCAACGTCGCAGATGTTTCGGGCACGTCCTCGAGCCGCCAGAACTCTGGCAGCGACTACTCAGAAGAGGTCGTCATTGCTCCCTCTGTATACCTTCCGAGTACGCAGATTACACACCCTCAGGTAATCCCCCTCAATGTTGCAAAGTCTCAGCGCAACCGCAACCCAATGTCCAGAGAAGGTGCGATGACGGGTTTCGGCCCTCAACTGGTGGGCGGAGGCGGCGCGAAGACGGTCGTAGTCGACGATGCGGAGACTGTCGAGTCTTTCGAAGGGGAGGTTGTGGACATCGAGGAGCCTGTGGAAGTTGACATGCTCAAGGAGAGCGAGCGGATGAACCGCCACGAGCAGGTGCGACAACTGGCTCGCGATCATCGAACGAATGCGAAGCATCATCGTGACAGACGATCCTACAAGTAGTATTCTGCGCATTCCCTCTTGAGGCTTACCTGGTTCATGCTGTGTATCTTCTTTGCCATTGTCTGTGCCGCTCTCTGCCGCTCCTTTGTATTCCCATAGAAATTATGTGTTATTATATATCTTTATTTTTCATGTCGACTTGCATCGTGACTCGAGTAGACGGAAACCTTGCTAGTAATAAATTAAAAAACCTGCAGGACAGTGGGCAAAAATTCCCCCGATGTGGTGTGTAATACCTCCAATGTGGTGTAATACACATCCAGTCGCAACTTGTGCTACCAGATACGTTTCACCATAGTGAATCTAGTGATCTCCTCCAGTGGCAGCCGCTTGCGCTTTCCTCCACTCTGATCACCTGGTGGACGTTCACCGATGTCAGCTACAGGAGTAGCGTCATCGCGCTTGTCATCGAGCAGCGCCTTCAGTTCGCGATTGTACCTCTGTGACGAGTTACAGCGACGACACGCGTGAAAATTATGTATAAGAGACAACATCGAGTGCCGTACCTGTTCTTCCTTACCTTCCCCGATGGGGTCTCGACCAAAGTCGTTGACTACGTCGGCTGCCTTGCGGGCCTCCATTCCCGCTCTTCGCCGTGTGGCATAGCTTAGGAGGTGGACACCCGTGATGATTTTGACCACGACGAAGCTTTGAGAGGAGACAATGAGAGGAGACAATGGGAGAGCATGAGACAACAGCCCCACAGCAACCTGCGAGACACGTACCATAGCCAGAACGATACACAGAGAGCCGCCCACTTGGCGATATTGATGATTTCGTCGGTCGAGAGCTGTGACAGCGGGCGCGTCCATGGAGATGAGCCGTCAGTGTGCATCGATATCAGGAGGTTGATGGACTGTGTGCCGGTGAGAATGGCAAGTACCGCCAGCGGGAGGGACGCGAACCCGAGCCGACGTGCGACCAGTGGTGACTGGTCAACGTAGCTGTGCTACAGTGTAGTCGGATGATTCGTTCAGCCACCTTGCATGGACATATAGAACGAGTGAGCCTACTTTGCGCGCCCCTCGCCGCCGACCAACAGCGCTTCCGCTGGCAAGGTCTCTGCAAAGGACGTCCGTGTACCGCTCGTAGACGGAAGGGCGGATGTGATTAAACTTGGTAATGAACGCATGCTTCAACCAGTCGACGAGCATCTCAGATACCATCACCGTCAGGACAGGCTGAATCGTAACAGGTCAGGTTGCACTTGCAATGAGACGAGTGGCACCACGTACGTATGAGATCGTCCAGATGACGTTGTTGCCTCGGAACCATCCGAAGCTTTTCGGAAGAGCAAAACCGTCACTGAAATTGAATGATGATCCACTGAGCTCGATGAGGTTGCGAAAAGCGACGACGCATAGCATCAACATCAGAGAGAAGCGTTCGACAATGTCTAGAATTTACGGTCGAACGGTGAGCACACGGGCATCAGAATTTTCTGATTCGTGAGATGCAACTCTTACCTGCACAAGTAATCTGGAAGAGGTTGTCCTTCTCGAACTTCTTGAAGACGCTCCCTTTGATCTCGACAAACTGGTTTGAAACGAGAAGAGTGAGGAGGGCGTTATCGTAGGAGTTCACTGCCACATTCAGGGATATCATCTGGTAGATCATGACCAAAGTATGTGCCACTAGAAGAAGACCAGTCAATACGCCGTGAGCCACGACGTAGTAAATTTCCTCACTGTTATATATCACCGCCAACACAAAGAATAATACTGGACGTAGGATATAGGAGGTGGGTGGCTTCCTGTGGGAGATAATTTCCATGGTAGAGCGAGAGAACAGGCAGTCGAATATATCCTGCCCAATTGATGCACACAGCCGGTCCGCAATCTATAGCGGAGATCAGAGGGATACACACCAGTGTGAAGAGGTGCGTACTTCGAGCGCGTTGAATATAACGTACAGTTTGATGGAGTCCTGACCGCGAATAAAGTGATACAACTTGCTAGCATCTGTAAGTGGAGCTAATGCTACGATAGTAGTTACGAGCAACAAAGTCCGAAGGATATCAGCCTTCTGTGAAGGTGGAAGAGCCAGTGACGAGCGGGTAACGGTATTCGTGAGGAGTCGCCATAATGCGACAACGAAACGTATGGGCAGAATTGTGAACGTGTGGAGAAAAGAGTCCATACAGACGACGAAACCGAACAGAAAAATCTGGAGGTAGTAGATCAGAAAAAAACATAATTTTTTTTCCAGAGGAAGACTCACTTTCTCCAATGCAAGAGGCATACTCAAAAAATTGCTCACCCTTTCCCATTTGAGCTCTTGATGAGAGTCGAAGTCTGTGGCCAGTAACTCTTCTTGGAGATATTCCCACAGCGAAAAAGGAGGTTCGTGAAGAAATTCACTCGACGTGAATGAAGGGAAAGACGTGGAAAACGGTGGTGGTGACGAACGCAGAGGCGGAGACGAAGATATGGGTGTTGGAGGAAGCGAAGCATACGTTAGAGGCCTCATGGCAGAGAGTAAGTCTGGATGAATCTCTGTGGAAGGAAATGCTACGCCGTCATCTGTAATTGCGGAAGAGTGTCCCTCTTCCACGCCAGAGTCATTGACACCACCAGGTGAGTTAATATCAACTTCGCTGGTAATGGAACCTGAGGATCCTTTGCGTCGTAACCGCGTTGTAGAAGTATGTCCGCCAAGCCTTGCGCTCCATCGTGCACCAGTTGCAGCAGAAGCAGAGAAATATCTCCTGACGCGTTTCCGTTTGGGTGAACTTGAAGTGGGAGGCATCACCGATATCCAAGTTGTGCTTATACGTACTCGGCCAGCCGACCTTCGCAAGCACAGATAGTGTCACATTGCCTCAGGTGTCACAGCAGTCACGGAAACAATCCCGGGCCGAGATATATTTCCGAGAAACTCGGAGTAGCCAGATAGCGGACTTATGGGTTCATAACAGGACCCCCGACAATTGGGGAAGGTCCCTGAGCCAGTTACGGACAAATTTTGAACTTTTGAGAGCCTCATGCCTGGTATTTCACGGACAAATCAGGGGGTCGACCCCGGGATAGCCTGAGGATTTTCCCGGACATATTATAAGGCTTGGACGTTGTGGATGCCTGATCCTTTTCGGACAAATTTTGACCCCAGCCGAACCTATCTATGGTGCCGACGATGCCGTCCGGCGATATGGAAGGCGCTCGGACCTGGCCTCACCGATTTGGAAGGGCAGCTCGGACCCAACTCGCCGCTTCGTAGATGTTGACTAGGACTTCTCAAGTATGTGTCTTCCTTGCTGCAAACATATCGTTTCGTTCACCTTCCATCGGCTTACTTCTTACGCTTACTTCCAGGCAATCACCGGCTCAGTCCGGATCTTCGTATGCTCGACATTGCCCCATGTGCTCACGGATCTTCAGTGAATTGATTACACCTACATTGATATCTGGTATACTGGCTAGCGTGAAGATTCTGACGGCAAGGAAGAGGAAGGGAGCGGGCGAAGTAGATGAAAGTATGAGTTGACGTTTGCATTCCATGGAGTTCTAAGTGGCTATGGAGAGATATCACACTCTTTACGACGAAATGTAAGGTCTCCTGAGGCCTGATTGGTGAATACGGACAAAATTGGAGCCTTTCTTAGGCCTGATCTGGGAATACGGACATTTCTTCGGTGCACGGATGCCTGGTCCAAAACCCGGACAAATATGACCTCTTAAGGCCGAAGGCCTGAGTTCTCGCGGACATTTCAAGCCAAAATATGGCTTCTGCTGACGGACATTTTGGGCCCCTCCAGATCAGGCATCCTCGCCAATTGTCGGGGGTCCTTTCATAACGCCGGTCGAAAAGAGCTCAAGTGAAAAAAATAAGGATAGGATCGTCGGTAATCTACAACAGCGAGTACATGGTATAGTGGTACACATCAATGCGAATGTCAATTCCTTGAGACAACGAACCGAAGAGCAATGCGAAAGCCAGCCATATGAAGTCAGATAAACAGATACTAAGAGGTGGACCACTTATTGCGCTTGCGCCTCCTACACACAACGAACATATTGAGATCTTGGGGCAGGCGGATACGAAAATATTGGCGTACCTGATCCACAAACTCCATCGCCTCCTCCTGCTTGATACCACGTATGGAGCTGACTTTCTGATTATTGAACAGGACGCCGTAAAATTTGTCCGCCGTTACGAGCATTTCCGGCCGAAACGTTGTCGTGATGAACTGAGCCGTTCCGGACAGATCATGAATCATAGCTAAAGGTTCTTTAACACAAAGCTTGTCGTAGTAATAAGGGGACGAACACGTACCAGCCACGGCAGTTCGGTATTGTGCATCCAGATTCGCGTCGATCTTCCGGAAACAGGTCAGGAATGAAACTCATGGCACGCTTCAAACATACCTCGTCGAACAGATAGAAAGGTGCTGGATCACATTTCTGAATAGCAAAGACTGGAAGGCGTTTGAGACATGGCCAGTCCTAATAGCGCATGGTAAACATACCGGTCGTAAGAGCAACCAATGACTTCTGCCCACCCGACAGCTGTTGTATCCTCAAGCCTTCATCAACCTTCGAGTTAAATGACACCTGTGTTGCAAGCACTATAAACATGTGTCAACGAGGTTCAGGTAGTGGGATATTTACCCTAATAGATACTCCAGTATAGTTGTCAATGGCGCTTTGTTGTGTGTCTTCAGCCTCTTCGGCCTCTTCTTCATCCTAGAAAATGTGCTTGAGTGGAAGCAATTGCTAACCTTCAAAGCAGCACAAACCTGGTCAATACGTCGCTGGATGATTAATCTTCCTCTTCCAGCGGGTACCAGCTTCTCGAAGACCTCCTCAAAGTTGCTTGCTACCTGTTTGAAGGTGCGCTCGATGGCCTCATCCTTTCGTTGGTCGAGTACTTCAACCAATTCCTCTATAGATTGTGCAGATTTGTCGAGTTCCTCTCGACGCTTCAAGAGCTGGTCTCGCTGCTTGGTGAAGTTATTGTATTGCTCAAACGCCTTCTTGTTGACGTGCGCGAATTTCTTCAAACCTTCGTTCACGGCATGCAACTTCTTCACTAACTGAAAGGCACTGTCCGTGAGTACAGCACGAAGGAAAAGGACGATTAATAACTCACTCGATCAAGTCTCTCACTGGTGTACTTCTCGAATGCCTCCTCTGGAAGAACACCCAGATCACGGATATTGCGATTACACTCGTCCTTGCGAGTGAGTAACATCTGCCGCTTGGCGAGATACCTCTCGGTGGTTTTTTGCTGCTTGGAGATCCCTCGGCTATCTTCTGCTTGCTGATTCTGCAGATTTTCAAGAGTTGTGCGCTGCTCTTGGAGTTGGCTGTTCAGTTTCTCGACGTCCTTGTCCATCTCTGCATCCAGTGAGTAAGTGATCAGATGTAGTGGTATCATTAAATAGCAACGTGCCTTGGGATCGTTTTGTCAAAGATTCTATCGAGTTGATGAGGGCCTTGAGTTCTCGGTTTCGAGCCTCAAGCGCCTCTTCCGACGTGGCATCGCCGGCCTCAGCTTCGCCTAATGCCTCGATCTTACCACGCAGTTCCTCACGTCGGCGCCGCAAACTCTCGTTGAGCTCAATCTCAATCGCATTCTTGCTACTACCGAACTACAATGATACTCAGCAGTGGTCCGGCCATCAGAGACAAATATGACGACGCACCTCGTTCTTCTTCTTTCCAAGTTCGAGCAGTTGCTTTTGGCGCTGTTCAACCTCCCTCCCAAGAGTTTCGATGAGACTTTCCTCCTGGGATGTCAGTCCCTGAGCCATTGGACTCGCCAGCTCAGCACGGAATCCTTCCAGCTTTGCATCGAGACCGCTCAGCTCTGACTCCAAGTCATCAATATTGCCTTCCATCTTGGCAATGCGTTCGGTCAACCGGTCTCTTTCCTTCCCCAGAGCTGCGGTCTCCTCTGCCAACGTTTCCCGCAAATTCTTGGCCTGCGTCTGCTGGTTGGTTAGCACCTGGGTCTTTCCAGTCAACTTGGTGATCTCCTGCTCCAGCTGCAGGATGGCTGCTTTGACCTCCTGCAGCCGCTTGTCATCTGCAGAGTGCTTCGCCTTCCAGCTGATGACACTCTTGATCGCCTCGATGCGAGACCTTCGTACGTCGTGGTATCCGCCAGTCAGCGCGCCCTTGCGGTCGACTTTGTCGCCATCGAGTGTGATGGTGTTGATGCCGTGGCTCTTGACATACGCTGCGGCGATGGTCAAGTCTCTGCACACGCAAGTCTTTCCAAAAACCTGCTGGAAGGCTTTTACGTGTGTGTTGTCGAATCGGAGCTTGTCCAAAAGCGGGATAGCATCCTGAGCGTTGGGCGTCGGAGGTACTTTGGGCTTCAAGCGGTTCAGCGGCATGAAGGTCACACGTCCTGTCTTTTCCTTGATCATGATATCAAGGACCTTCGATGCGGTCTCGTCGGTATCGACAACGACATGAAACAGACTACAGTAGATGAGATAATTAATGTTCATTATTTGTGAACAAAAATGCTGCGTACCTGTTGCCAGCCGTCAGCTCAACGGCAATATTGAACTTGTCGTCTGTGATTTCGAACAGACGATATAGTGGACCATACACGCCATCCAGATTGTGTCTTTCGGCGATCCTGTCAACTGCGCGAAGGCCGGAGCCAGTGTCCTAGAACATGGCATGAGTGTTGTCAAGCGGTATGCAGAGAGGACTTGCTCACCTTGTCCATCATACTGGCTAATGTCCTCTCGGCAGCCCTCACCTCATCTGCAGCATGGTTCACCAAGTTGTCCAACTTGGCGTCTTCCCTCCACAACTCCTTTCGTTTCTCGCTATGTTCCGCATGTTCATCCTTCAACCGCGCAACTTGCTCTCCCAACTCTCTTGCTCGCCGCCTCCCATCTTCCACCCTCTCCTGTCCGCCTTCTAGCTTCTCCTCCACTTCCTGCAGCGCCCTCCTTGCACTGTTCAAATCTCCACGGAGATCATCCAGAGCAGCAGCCTGCGAGTTCCGGTATTCCTCCATCGATGCAATCTCGCCTCTGAGGAACCTATCCCTGTCCCCCTTCGACCGGAATCTGTTCAGTCGCCCGCGCTTTGAGTACAGCGCATCAAGCCGCGCCCTGGCCTCGTCCAATTTGCGCTTCTCCTCATTCTCTCGTGCGCGATGGCCCTCCCACTCTGGCATGAGAGCTGCGAGTGTGGTCTCCTTTTCGGCGATCTGCTCCTGCACGTTCGCAAGCTCCGCCTCTAATTCTTCGCGTTTGCCACCTGCGCGCTCGGCAGCGAGCCGAAGGTCAGCAACCGTGCACTCCAGCTCGGTGCGAGAGCGAATGAGTTCCGTCCGCTCGGACTGGGCGCCTTGTCGAGTGAGAGATAGAGTCGTCAAATTGGTTTTTATTTGTTTGATTGACAGCTCCAAGTTCTGTGAGATGGTGTCGCAGGAAGAGTGAGCTTCGTTCGCATAAGTTTAAAGAAGGTGCGCACCTGAGCCTGCTTCTCTCGGTCGTTGAACTGTTCTCTCCGCACATTAGCACTATGGACGTCCCCTCGGCGCTCCTCCTCGATTTCCTCCAGTGCCTCACCGACTTCCTCCAACTCGCGCTGGTAGAGCGCATACTCGAGACAGCGTCTGTCCTTGTCTTTCTCCTGGAACTCCTTCAGTTCTTCCTTTTCTTCTTCGAGCTCTGTGAGCCGCGAGTCGATGTAGTCGAGCAGCTCATTAATCTTGGTACGCTTCGCGTCCGTCTCAGACATAATACGCAAGGACTCTGCACGGCGCTGCTCGTATACCTTAGTCCCAGCCACTTCCTTGAGAAGGGCGAGCCGTTCATGGTCTTTGGCATTCGTTAGCGCCGAGATCTTCGGAACGAGTTCACACGTCCGTCAGATAGTTTGGGGGGCAAGGCCAGAGATATGCTACTCACCCGACCCTGTGGAACGATGTAGTAGGGGTTGCTCTTGCTGAACCCTGCGCTCTCCAGTAAATTCATCACGTCCGCCTTGCTAGCACTTTTCTTATCCAAACTGTATTCATCCTTCTTCAACCCAATGGTGCGGCGCAAGATAACCTCATCGCGACCGGTAGGGAAGCGATTGTCTGAGTTGTCAAAAATAATCTCGACTGCGAGGAATCAATTGGGCTTAGTGCGGCACAAGAGGGATAAGCAATGTACTACATACCGTAAGCAGATAACGTGGTAGTCACAGAGACGCCTTCATGAAGAAGAGCCTGGCGTTCTTCACGAGACATTGACGTATAAGCGTCAGATAGAACAAACCGGATAGCTGTGGCGATGTCGTTAGAGCGTTGTCCACTGAACTGACACGCGCAACGGCAAGCTCAAGTGCGAGAGTTTCTCATACGTTCACACCTCGGACAGAAACATATTGTCAAAATAATTATGATTACAAGCTTACCTGCGAAGAAGTTGCTCTTCCCTGACCCGTTCCGACCGACCACGACATTGTGTCTTGGTGAGAACGGCTCGATCTGTGTCTGGTCACGGTCTAGTTGAAATTGTTTGTGTAAGTCCCGTGGATTATATCGCAGTGTGAGTCAAACGCACAGGATTTGAACCCCTGGATGGTGAGCGTCTTGATGTACATGGCGGTGGCGGTCGGCAAGCAGAGGGGAGAGACGCGTGACAAAGTCGCGTTCGTCACAGGCCGTGACTCCCTCACGTGCCCGCAGCTGAAAATGACCACCGCGCCAGTCCGGGCGCCAGACTGACCGACCATGAACGCAGTCCGCCTTTCTCACCGCTTTGCAAAGCCACTCCGACAGTCATGCATCCGGTCTTACACGACCCTCAGTGAACTACCTCCACTACCACCTCTTGAAGAATGGCGGCATCATTTCACTGTAGGCACGAATTACAGCAGGGAGAACGTCTCCCTATGGAACCCGCACACTGCCGCCAGAATCGCCCATTCTTTCCTGTCTAACCCGAGTCCGGCGTCGGGAAACGGAAAGATTATTATTGAGGCCTATCCTGGTGAGTAGCTTGTTGCTTAGCAACATCTCTCGTGCCAATGACAAACAGGTCCCGGCGCACTATCCAGGGCGCTGCTTACCTTGCCGAAGTCCAAGGTTCGGAAACTCATCATCCTAGAGGATCATGAGCAATATCTCAAGTTCCTCCGTGTAAGTAATCACGTGTCTCCTTTGCTTCACCTTTCGTACTCACAAGTTATGAAAGCCTTTAGAAGAGGCCGATTCACGTGTCAAAGTCATCCCACTCTCAGGTTTCAATTGGGACACTTACAGTCACATAGAAGACTTGGGACTTCTGGATGACGTAGAGACACATGCGTGGGAGACCCGTTAGCTGTCACCTGCACTGTACTTCGAAATATCTGCTCACACATCGCTTCACAGTACATCCCCAACTTCATTTCATCAGCCACCTTGAACACTCAATTAAGGGAGAGCAGCTGATAGCACAGTTGTATCGATGCATTCCCGAAAAAACGTGGCTATTCAAGTATGGTCGAGTGCCCATGAGTCTTATTGTCAATAATTGGGTTTGGTCGGTACGTCTCATTCCTGTGTCCAGAAATTTACAATCCGACGGTGCTCCTTCAGCGCATATCATCTGGGCGTGGGAAGGCCTCTCGTTGCAAATTAACTGTGATCGCTGAGGCAACTTCCGAGTCCATGCCATCACTCGCGTCCGAGACTCTCCAGCCAACCGGAGAGCATTTTTTTCCTCCTCTCTCGACTGAATCACGCCGTTCTGTTCCGCTGCATGCCATCAACATCATACCGCTCGAGGATCAGGTACGTTGTACCTACCTCTTTTATTAATGCTATCTTATAGTCCGTGTAGATCATCACGCGGGGTATGCTGGATAAATGGGATTATTGTCTACGCCGTCTATTCGTTCTCAAGTCTACACCACTGAAGCGCGCTATCGGGTCAGCGTCATTTACTGTGATCCCTTACACTCGCTTGACGCACATTGCAGCTCGCTAGCCCCCGGCGCCCAAACGTTACTCAAAACTCTCACAGACCCGAACCTCCCCCCCGAGCAGCATTTCAATATCAACAAGTCTCCACGAGATCTTTCAGTGGCAGAATGGGCACTACTCCTGCGCGCGTTCGACGACTGGCCGTTCGCTCCTGAGGTATGTTCTGTTCAATGCACTCATGCAACGCCGTCGGGATTCATTTTGGTTTCGCAGGAGTTGCTTATTACTGACGCATTTGCACGTCACAACAGCGTCGGGCGGAAGAGCCATTGATTATGTTCTTCGGCGTCAGGCGAGTCACAATGGCCAAGATTCGGCTGATCCAAATAGCATATTACCATACATGCTCTACAATATATCCACTCTAGTTTTACTAAGTGAAGATTTCACATTTTTGATACCTCTGCGCTACTGCCGGCAGATAGTGTAGGCGTCCCTGCCGAGCCTTCCTTATGCTGGTGTGAACCCAGTAAGCAGGGACGAAGGGTTTGAAACACGTAGGACCGACTCACCTCGACCGCATCTGTTATGTCTTCCTCTGGTGTCGGAGGGATCCCTGCCAGTTGTGACGCCATCGACTCCACTTGTGTGTCGTCAGCTTCCTGTGTTTCGGTCTCGGTCACCATTGCTACGTTGTCCGCTGGTTTCTCAGCGATGGGCGTCCCTTCACTTGACTTATCGGTCGGCACCGGCTGAGAGTCTTCGCTGCTTTTCTTTTTGCGTCCTGGTGCCCTTTTCTCTGGCGGAGGAACAGATGGATAGCCAAACAGCGTGGCCTGTTTCCCGGTAGTTTTCTTCTCCTTCTCTTTCGACTTGCCCTTGTTTGGTGGATGCCCTATAGGAAAGGAATTTTAATCCGTCAGCAAACTCGACCATGCAGAAAACGCGCAGAGTGTGACGCACGAGTAGTCTCGGCAACATCAACTTTATTGAAGAAGCTCTCGCTTTTTTGCACCGATCTGTTGGCTTCCACACTCCTTGTGAAAGGATTACGACCCGTGTCTGCGCCAACCTTGCGAGCGAAAGGATTTCCTCCTGCGAATACCGTAAATTGATTTAACGGCTAATCAGTCAAGGTGTGCCCTTACTCGACAGTGCGGCGGGATCCCCTATAGCACGCCGCTTCGCCGCATTGTCGACGCTCGGATAGCGCAATTCTCGCACAGGCTCGTCTTCCTCCGCGCGCTTCCTTTTCCCGTCTGGAGAAGCGACCGACCAGTCGGCGTCCATGGAATCGTCGACAAACGACGACTCAAAGGTACTAGTGTCTGCTGACACCTGACTGCTCATGTCTGCCCTTGCCGGCACAGTAGCGGTGCTCTTGAACGAATCCATGGCGGGCATCGCACGTTCGAGGCCGGGACGATGGATCGCAGGCGGGGGCCGAAAGTCCTGGAAGGCTTTCGGGCGCTGGGGCTCAGCATAATACGAGCGCTCAGGCGGAACAGGCGCGAGGTCCCGCGCACTCTGCCTGCGCCTATCGCGCGCGCCCGCTAGGCGGTCGACGCCCTCGCGGTCGTCTTTGAGCGCCTCCATCTTCTCCTGCAGCCCGATGAGGTGGTAGAATCCCGCGACCTTCATCGCCATGTCGAACGACGCGGTGTGGTGCAGGAGCCGTGTGAGGTCCAGTGCACGCGCCAGGCGATCGTTCTTACATGCGTTCTGGATCAGCTGGATGATCTCCTTGTCGAGCGCGAGCTCCCGCCGCGAGATGTCGTCTGTCGTGAGCTCGTCGCCGAGCCCATCGCGGAGGATGTCAAGCAGGATGGTCTCACGTGCAAGACTACACATGTGCTAAGTTGGGGTTAATGTGATGACTGCTTGATGTACTCACTGCTCCTCCAGTGGTGCCTCCTTCGGGTCAGTCCGATGGAACGGAAGTCGCAGGGGAAGATCCTGGATGAGGGGACGAGGGAATCCTGGATACTCTTGTCTACCCTATAGCGGTTGTGAGCTCAGACTCGTCATGAGTGACGTCAGACGAACCTTGAGAATCAAGCACATGAACGTTTCTCCATCAACACCCACGGGCCAGTATGATTCTTGCTTTCCCTCCCGCCGCTCCAAGGTGTTAGTGTCCAGGGCACGTGTCCATGTTGCTGCGAATGGCAGTCTGAACCTGGGTAACATATTCAACACGCCCGCAGAGTCAAAGATGGCTGGAGCCTATGCCGCACAACCGTCGGAATCAGCTGCAAATTCATGCACGAGAGTACGCACCCCCTCCTCCGTGATCCCGATCCATGTGAGGATGTGTTTCTTCGGGACAGGCAGTGTATCTTTCTGCAGTAAACAGAAGTCGTCGAATTTGATGAGTCTACCGGTCAAATTCTGCGAGCCTAATATTCCAGCATGAGTCGACGATCACAGTAATGAAGAGGAAGGCTGACCGTCCAAAGTCGTGGAACCATCTCGGTGTACGACGAACACCCACTCCGCGCCCGCAACCATCGACACAAAGTCTCCTTGCAGACTCAGGCAATGCCGCTCAATGCCCGTGCCAGTCAAGAAGATCAGCTCATTGTCGCTAGTGGCGACCACCACGTTGCCGTTCCCCCGGATATCTGCATCCGACTTCTCGCGGAGCGATTTAGTGGGCGGGAGTCCGCCCGCAGCGACACCCAGCACGCGCGAGTCCTTCGGGAGCTCGTACGTCCATTCGCCCTGCGTTGCCCAGGTCCCGTATGGCTTATACATGACGTGCGCGGGGTGGTCGTTCTCCGGTTGGCACGCGTACAGCGCACCGCGTTCACCTGGAGAGGCCGTAAGACGAGACTATCAGATTGCACGGACATAAGGTGCTCACCCAGGGATGCAAGTTCATACTTGAAGTGGTCCGTGAAATGGTAGCTTTTCCGAGCTGACCGGTCGTGGAATTCCACGTTGACGATGTGGTGTGTGTCTTGGTCGGTCACCTCGATGACGCCGATCATGTTGTAGGCTAACCGGTCTTCATTAAGCTCACATAATGATGAAATGCGACCATGCACTTACCGAGGTACCGTTTCTTGTTCTCCATCGGAGTGGAGCCTGGCTGGAAGGGGGGTTGTGCCTTCGTGACACTCACTATTGTCGAGGTTCATAACTGTGAACATCTGTACCAGCTTTGCATGATAAATCTTACCCATTTCCCGCACACCATCCTCAGCGTCCCACTTCTTCTCAGTGTCATCTTCCATCCCTCCACCCAAGTCATCCAGTATCCAATCATCGTTATCGAGGTCCACACCGAGATCCTTGTCAACGTCCCTTTTACTACCTCTTGGCGTATCGGCGTCATGGTCGAATAATGTGGGAGTCCTTGCCCTTTGCTTAGGGACGGTCGCAGAGCTCGAACCGCCCGAAACCTTCGTGGGGTCGGGAGAGGATGCGGGGATAGGGTGCGGCCACCGGGTTAATACGCCGTCCATGTCTGTCCATGCAAGCAGATTCTGGGAGGGTGAGAAAGCGATCTGGGTGACTGGTGCGCTAAGCGAGCCTTGGAAGCTGAGGAAAATCATGAATTTGTGTTGATTCAGGGAGAATGAAGGGAATGGACTGACCGGAAAAGCAGTCGACGCGTCTGCGTCGACCAGATGAATATCCCCGACTTGGAGGCCGACGTGAGGTACACGCCGTTCTTCGACAGAGCCATAGCGGTGATGGGACCCGACAACGCATCATCTGAATACGTGGAGGACTTTGCCCAATCGTTCCGGGAGATGGTTACAATTTCTGAGAACATACGTCAGGTACAGCACAGGCGACAGCTTGATTATGACTTGCCGTGCGCCCGAGTAGCTGCAAAGAAGTATTGCCCAGAAGTGTGCCAGATCGCAGAGCAATCGTGTGCAAATTCCGGAGACCTACTTCGCGTCAGGAAGAATGCGACGAGCACTAATGAAGCTATCACGCACTCAGAATTTGCTACTGCTGGGATCACGCCCTCAATGACTTTCTCTTCCTTTGGTTCGTCTTCTGATACGTCCCAAACAATGATCTTCCCTTCTGCTCCACATGTAGTCTGTTGAAATTGAGTATGTCTTCGCGGTGCGACCATAAGATGCCCACCAAAAGAGATCCGGACGGGTGCCACGTCGCCCTACGGACAGCCTTCGTGTGGCCCTTCAAGACAACGATTTTCGTGGTATCTTCCAGGTCAATAAGCTTGACGGTGGGTTCACTGCGCGAAGTTATCAGAGATACGCGTCATGAATCATAGCCAGCACGTACTCTGAAGTGACGGCGATCCGGGCTCCCTTCGGATCCACTGCGACACAACGGATGGGTACGCCAATCGCACTGGTAATGAGACCTTCCAGGTCTTTTGCCCCTCGAGTGTACTGCCTGACTTCGGCGTCTTCGCTTCCAGAAAACCAAGAGTTGCGCTGTGGACGCGTCAGCGACTCGTCGGACTCTAACGGACAATACGAACACCAGCAGCCACTGTGGTGACCCCATCAACAGCTTCAGTAGCAGCATCTGGTTCTTGGTCTGCGCCTGCGTCTGTGCGCCAAATGCGGACCAACGCGTCCGTCCCTCCAGTGTAGATGTGCCTACGGAGCGTGTAAACTTGTAAGTACGGCTACCAAGATATTTTAAACACTCACGAGCCTTCCCTTGAAAACGCAAGGCATGTATTCCCTGGCTGATGGGCAGAGTTAATGAGGGGTTTGTCGGACATGGTCGAGGAGATGGAGGGGTCGGTTGAGGGAAATTGACGCGCGAGACGCGAGACGTAACGTGATCGTGATGCTGTCACTCACATGTGTCACACCAGTCACGGTAGACGTGACCCGCTAAGACCACGGTTCATCTCACCCTCGGTCTGCTATACGATGGAGTCGTCTCTTCCATTGTTCGCATACTCCACTGCCTCCGAGGTTCTAATTTCAGCTTGCATCGTCCCCCTTCTCGATGAATGGTGCAACGGATTAGCTTCGGACCGCCCTGCGGCATAAGCTCCTCGTACGGTCCGGTTCTCTGGGCTCCTGACCTCTGTGTAGACATCGAATACATGGCTCGTCTGCTCTCGATGTGCTTTGGGTTTTCGTGTCCGTCATGTCGTTGTTCACCACCAGTAGCCCTTTCTCTTCCAACCCCGTGGAAACAAAGGCAGATCTTTCCAGATATCTGATTGGTCTTCTCGACCCCCTTGCTTCACATACCTCACCTGGTGGTGCTCGCATCCACCTTGGCTTTACAGGGACTCACTACGATGACATAGCCGCTCAGCTAGAGGGCTTCTCTCGTCCCATCTGGGGCCTTGCATCGCTCTTGGCCGGCGGGGGCTCATACGAGGGCACGCAGCGATGGGTCAACGGTTTCGCGAATGGCACCCATCCAGACCATGAGGAGTTCTGGGGAAATATGAGGGATAAGGATCAGCGGATGGTTGAGTGTTCGGCCATCGGTTTCTCCCTTGCCGTCGCGAAGGGGCATCTGTGGGATCCACTCCCGGAACAGGGAAAGAGGAGTCTTGAGACCTGGCTCGGTGGAATGAACGATAAGGAGATGCCTAACACGAATTGGCTGTGGTTCCGAGTCAGTATTTCGCCGCTATGGTCAGTTCGGTCGGACTTACATTCGTGTGTGAAGGTGTTCTCCAATCTCGGGCTATCAAAAGTTGGATCGTCCAAGTTTGACGCGAAGCGCATGAAGGCTGACCTCGACCATCTCGATACGTTCTACATCGGCGGCGGTTGGTCCAGGGATGGCCCGGAAGGCGTCGTTCAGCTCGATTATTACTCGTCCTCCTTCGCCATCCAATACGCGCAGCTCGTGTACTCTAAACTCGCCCAGGCAGAAGACCCCATCAGGTGCGAAGAGTTCAGAAACCGCGCACGTCAGTTTGCCTTGGACTTTGTGCATTATTTTGATCCTGAAGGTTAGCTTTTACCGATTTCATCCGCCTTGCCGTGGTTGAGGTCTTTCTGCCAGGACGCGCGATCCCATTCGGCAGAAGTCTGACTTATCGTTTCGCGATGTCATCTTTCTGGGGAGCGATCGCCTTTGCAGATGTTGAACTCCCTGCTCCACTCAGTTGGGGAGTAGTCAAAGGGCTCCAGCTGCGAAACATTCGCTATTGGGCTAGACAAGCAGGAGCATATTATCCCGACGGAACGCTTACTATAGGATATTGTTACCCAAACCACAATATGACCGAGGTTTGCAAGCTATTCACATCTCTCCAATGTTGCGCGTACCCTAAGGTATCTGTGACCAGAATTATAACTCGCCGGGAAGTCCATATTGGTGCTGCAAATCATTTATCGCACTAGCTCTGCCCACGACGCACCCCTTTTGGCAGGCAGGTGAACAACCATACCCTGCGAGCCTCCTCGAGACTACCAAGCCGCTATATAAACCCCTGCATATCGCAACGAACATGGGCGGACACACGTTCGTCCTATCCTCTGGCCAGCAATGCTCCTATCCAGTCAAGCAGAGCGCTGCGAAGTACGGAAAATTTGCGTACTCGTCCGCGTTCGGATACAGCGTTCCTGTTGGAAGCCTGACGCTAGAAGAGCTTGGTGCGGACAGTGCACTTATGCTGAGCGACGACGACGGGGAAGTCTGGAAGTGCAGGCGAGAGACGAAGGAGGCGCGCATTGAGGACGGGAGGTGGCTCCGGTCGATGTGGTACCCCTGGAAGGACGTCGCCGTAGAGACATGGCTGGTGCCTCCCGCCGAGGAGGCGCCGCTGTGGCACCTACGTATCCATAGGATAAGAACGGGCAGGCGGCTGCTCTCGGCTGAAGGCGGCTTCGCGATCTATGGACAGCGGGAGGATGGCAGGGCGCTGGAGCCTTCCTCAGGCGAATATTTCGGTACGTTGGAGAACGGTTCCGAGGTGAGGGCGGCGTCCAAGGCGGGCGTGTCGGGCATCGCAGAGCTTGGACAGCGGCCGAGCAGGAAGGGGAACGCGCTGCGCACCGATGCGAACACGAACTTGATGGTTCCGCGTGCTGTGGTTCCTACCCTCATGGACGAACACGAGGCGAGTGAGGGAGATACGTGGCTTGTGACTGCTGTGTTTGGCTTGCCGAGTGTTGAAGATCAGGAGGGTGCTCCTGATGGTTGGGAGGTAGAGTGGAAGAAGAGGCCTGCTATTCCGAAGGAGATCGCGGCGTTGATGGGATAGCTAGACGAACGCTAGGGAGCGATGTGGTGAAGTTTCATGAAATGTAATAGTACTATAGTATTGATATTGAACCTGCAGGGCCACATTCTTCAGATTTCTATATATAGGAATGCATACTTTTTTCTCATAGCCTTCGAAGATTCGACACTGGTCCTACTGCAGCGACGCGATCACGTGGCTCGCGTTTCCTCTGTCTTCGCGCACCGCCCTCGGCTTGAGCGCGAATTGTGACAACCCCATACTCCGTATGCCGACATATGCTGACTCTTTCGTCTCCGACATCGACACCCTTTCTATACTCAGCGGGATATCTGGCACCCGGTGAGGATATTGCAGGGTGATTGTGTGTGGTCTCCACTCACATTCTGTGCACCAGTGCGTATGGACCGAGGAAACGCGCAGATAATGGTACGTCTGTTTTGCCAAGTGATTGTGTACATCTTATGCTGGGTTATTTCTTAGACTCGTCCAGTGTTCTGGGACAACCCGTCAGTCGGCGAAAAACGTACGGTCTCAACTCGCGTTTTGACCGCATGATGGACACGGTCAATGTCCTACACACGCATTCCAAACCCCGCTCCAGTCGCCGTCGCGCTGTGTCTTCTTCCTCTGGGACTAGTTATGACCTGCCGCAGACGCCGGTTGGCGCATATAGCGACCTCAGTGAAGGCAGGCTTGGTCAAGGATTCTCTGTGCTCAAGATGAAGACGTCTGTGGAAAGGATGGAGGGATTCTATGACGAGCGTCATGCGAACGGCGACGGAGAAGTCAAAGTGGGCGCTACTAGAAGATCCCGCCCTCCGCTACCTCCATGGCTTTGCAACACGGTCTTGTCCCTCGATGTTCACCATCCTCTGCGCGTCCTCCTACCATCTATCGTCACGGATGGTGTCCAGGGCTCTAGCTCTCCGCTGACTGTCAATCATCATAACGACTTCCCTCCAGTTCCTTTGCTCCAAAATGCTGAACCTGATGAACCTGTTTTCGCATTCTATCCACCTCGAGCAGGGTTTGAAATGCCCCCTCCACGTCCAATGACTCGGGTCATTGGGGTTGACAATGCGGCGAATGAACAAGATGACCACGCTTTCCCCTTGGCTGCGGTAACGCAAGAAGGAATACTCGACGTTGCTCAGTCTCCTGCCGAAGAATCTTGGGTAGCTTCTCTGTTAGCAGACGAAGGTCTGTCTGGAGCTACCGATCCCCTACCATTCTCAACAGCAGGTCCCACTGTTCTTCTTTCTTCTATATCGCCCACGCAGTCTTCCGTTCCTGTCGCCGTCCGCCCTACACCTCGATCACATTCAAATGTTCTCGATCCTGCTCACTTTGATGCTTCCATCCCAGATGAGGCTCTTGACTTACTTCCGTACTCTAAGCCTGGCCCGCTCGTTCCGCTCCGCTCGTTCCACCCAAACACACGAATTCCGGCTATGCTGCCATCTCCCACAATTTCTTGTCCACATATTGACGATTCGCTCTCTCCTGTTATGCCGATTGAAACTCGAAGAAATAATCCAGAAACGCATACTCACTCGCGCTCTCGCTTGCAACACACGAAACGTGATTACGCTCAGGCATTCGAGGGAGAAGCCACTCCACAACTGATCTTACGGCGACCTATCCCCAAATCACGTTCCAACTCTTCCCTCGATTTCAGCGATAGTCCGAAACTGAACCATACGGGCTTGCACTCAGCGCTGGGGCGCCAGCCTACTCTTGTTCTGAAGCCTGAGCCTACACCTCGTATCAAACCATACTCCATTCCTGGACCGGCCCACGGGCACAGGCCTCCAAGCGTCTCGCCCAAGAGAGTGTACTTCGAGGCGCCAGCTGAGGACCCGTGCTCTTCCGACCCTGTGGAAGAGGACGACTACATGCTTGCTCTGGACTACCGTAATGGTGATGTGGATGTTGACGTTGAGGCCTTGGACTTCAAATGGGAGAAGTTCGACCCAGGCGCTGAAGTGAAGAGCGTCAGTCACAATGTACCCGAGGAAAGACACTATGACTCAGACGACAACGTTTTCTCCTTCGCGTTCAGTTCCGACTCCAACTCCCATATGCTGGCCACTCCGCCTCTACCAACTGCTGATGATACATCTCATATTCTGGATGAAGCGCAGCATGCCACTGTTGTATATGGTGATGAAGATGACGAGCTCTACTGGAACGAAGTCACTGCTTGGTCGGATGCGCACGGTGAGCACTCTCGTACACCACCTGGTGATTCGGATAATCCTGGTGGTCACACTGGGGAGGAAGAAATAATTCAAGCGTCCTCGTCGTTGTCGACGCCGCCACGAGGACCGTCCTTTGCTCCAGCACCTGGTATCTTCATATCACCTCTACGAGGGGGACAAGAAGCACAACAAGAACAAGAACAGGAAGAACAACAAGACGACGGACCGGCACGTAAGGTCGACGAAATGGAAAACGAGACCCGGGATATAACAACAGATCAGGACGCGAAAACATCTGAGGTACGATATTCTGTGAAGCAACAGGCATATACAGGGTCTAAAGCTTTGCCAAACTCTGCAGAACCCAGTCCTAAGCAGAGCAACGGTCACACCGGTCAGAGGCTACATGCCAGATGACATTGGCAGTCCTAATCGTCTCCAGGCAGAAAATGGAGCCAATCGGGCAGGAATAGCGGAAGAGCAAGATGGTGCAGTGAGTACACACGAAGTCGGAGTTGACGCCTACGAGGATGTGCAAGCGTTGGAATTAGACTCGTCGCAAATGACGAACGATAGCATTGAGTCTTGGACAGAGGCAGAGAAGAATGATTCAGAGGGTTAGGCAATCTTGGCACTCGGTCATTCGGCAGATAAGCATTTGGCTGGCATTGTGCTATCGTGCATATAGCTACCCACTAGAACTAATGCCACACATTGTACGGATGGACGCAGTGACGGTGTGCTCGTACAACGACACTTGCCCTGTATGGTGCCACAGATGCTTCCAGGATCGATCGGGTTCTTCCGCGAGCCTCAAAAATTTATCCGCCGAAGGGATTTTGAACGAACATATCCTGCGTCCAGACAAAAAGCAGACTATGCTGAGCTAACAATTGTGCGGACAGATAATAGATGTTGTGAGGATAATGTCGATGCATGAGTCGGAGGTATGCAGTTGTGGCGGTTCGTAATTGGCCAAATAGACGACAACAGCGTCTGTCAACACGAGGACATCGCGAGGCATTCGACACTAATTGCAATCCATCTGTTCAACGGCCGTTCCGATTTACTTCAGCATCTCGTATTCTCATTTCTTGCATTTGATTCCCTCGCATACCTTGGCTTCTGTTGTTTCCCCAACTTGCTCTCCTTCCGAGTTCATACTGCTACCTCAATCTCTTGCTACAAACATACAAGTTCAATATGTCCGCGGTGGGTGCACCGGATGCGATGAAAACCTTCATGCTGAGGTCCAGCACTCCGGGTACGTCATTGTGAGATTCTATCTTTGTATCAGAGCTGAGAGAACGCTATCCGGTTTAGCTTCAAGTGAAAAAGGTGATTAGTTTGTTCACATTCAGCATACAGTCTCGGCAATTTACATATAAAAATTTGCAGTGCTGCTGTATCTCGAGGGTATGCAGAAAGCTCCACCGGATGAAGAGGATAGGGCTAGCGTCCGGTCTAGTGGCAGGATGCGTAGCCCCCTTTCCAAAGCCAGTGCCTCAACCAACGGTCGCAGGCTGGAGGAACTGGCAGAGGAGGATGCCGGTTACGAGGAGCACAGGAATGGGGGCATCGAGATTAGGTCAGACGTGCAAGAAGCCAACGGCTCGGACATTGCCCGCACGATTCCCATCCACACCACTGGTCTCGTGAGTGCTGGTTATCGTCATCCGCGTCTCAGTCATCTTAGTCGTCTGCAGCCCGAGCACGAGCCCGGTCCTGATGATCCCCCTGGTCCCCACTTCGAATCCTATGGATCGTCGTTCGGCAACTTCGGACCTTTGCCCCCTGGCCCTGCTCCTTGGAACAATGGTCAGGTAGGTCTCCAAAGCAACCACTATCAGCGAGCCGTAATAATTAGCGCTATTGAAGACGAACGCTCCCCTTTCTCCTATCGACACAGCTTCATTTACGTCCAGCCATCCCAACCCGTTCCAGGTAGGAAGGTCTGTGTTGTGCTTCGTATCCAGTTGCTAAAGTTCTGTCAGCAATTCGGGATGACACCAGCTACGGCCGCAGGAGTCCCACTGCCAGCATCTGTGGCGTCGCCCTCCGTTCACACGCGACCTATCTCTACCAAGGCGCAGTCTGTTGCCGACGCTGGTGCAAACGGGGCGAACGGGGCGAACGGGGTACGCGATGAATTGCAACGAGCGACGGGGAGCTAACATTTTCTTCAGATCAGGTCTCCTAAAGCACAATCACGCGTTCTTTCTCCAGCTCGGACGGGGGGCGAAAGACCCTGGTCGCCGCGCTCCGTTGCATCTCATGGTCAGTCCCTGAAGTCGCGCAACACCCAGAAGACGCAACGCACCGTCTACCCGCCTCTGCCTGAGTCGATGATGGAGGAGACTGCTTCGCAACGACCGCCGTCCCCCCAGCGCTCGATTGCGCCGTCAGAATCAGCTTCTCAGATGACAAAATCGAGGTACAGAGCACCTACCACCAAGGAGCCCTCTCAGAAAGCACGTTCGGTCAGAAGCACCACCGAGGTCAATGCTATCCCGCAGCAAGGAACTGCGGCTGAGTACTACGCAGAAGTAAGGTCACAACGGGATGGTGAGCGGAACGAATAACCATTCGTGCCGGACTCTTACTTAAACCTCTCAGGACGCTCGCAGGCGCCGATGTCGCAGGGACCGATGTCGCAGGTAGCCATGTCGCAAGGACCAATATCGCAGGCAGCCATGTCTCCTCGCAGCTATACGAGTCAGGTTCCTCCCCTCAGGACTGCCGCTACAAATGAGGAGCTGCAGCGTGCCGCTGCCGCTGCTTTGTCCCCCACGCGGTCGAAACGTTCCAACCACGATCCAGAAGCCACCCCAACTCCATCGCGCCCCACATCTCCCGTGATGGATCTAGACGCGGACGAACAAAGGATGGTCCATGACTTGCTGAGTAGGCCCTCGCGTTCCCGCACATCATTTGCTCTGTCCACCATGGCGCCATCCGCGTTGGAACCTGAGATACAGAACTCGCACTTCCACGACATGGAACTGTGCCAGCTGCTTCATGCGCTGGATCAGCCCATGGGTGAGCCTGTCAAGAAAGCCGTGAGGAAGGCTGTAAGGACACGAGTGAAGAAGCTGGGCATGAAGTACGATAACGAAGTAAGAGGCCGTTGCCCATGCGTTTGATGCATTGTAACTGATTCCCTTTCATCTAGTCTATTAAGCAGTACCGTAAATCTTACCACGACCATGACCCTAGCGTGCACCTCAATGCCGCCCTCAACGCTATTGCTCCTAGCTCGAGACGTTCCACTCAGCTGGGCGCATCGCAGGAGCCGCCCGAATGGGCCAAGGACCTTATCGACGGCATGATCAACATGCGTGAACGTCTTGACATTCTCGCGCCCAAGATTGAGAAAAGCCTTCGTTCCTCCCGCGGCGATTCCTACGTCGCAGAATCCCGTGGCTATCTCAATGGTCACCACCATCATCACTATTCCCACTCTGAGATGAATGGAGGTTATACTCAGAGTCCGATGACCCAGACGGTCAACATCCACACCCAACCCAGCGGAACGATGGGTGATGACTCCATGTTCCAGCCCGGAGAAACTGAGCTCCTACGCGAGTCGACCAATTTGCACACTCTGCCTGGCTCCATGCATCATCACGATGGATCCGTCCGCGGGGCAATTCCTGAGGAGGATATGTACGAGGATGAGGACGATTTGCACCTCCATGATGGAGACCCGCGCGGCATGGGCAGCCGTAGCGATTACATGCCTACTCGTGCTGAGTCTCCCGGACAGCAATATCTTGAGGAAGAGCTGTACAAGCTCAGGGTGAAGCCGACGGGTAGCCAGTCTGGGGCTACGCACAAGACTTGGGAGGTGGCGCGGGATGATGGCGAGGACTACGACGATGAAGATGTACAGGCTGCCGTAACAGAGTCAGGCATGCCCGAGATTCCTGACACGAACACGGGAGTCTATACGGATCGCCGAGCCTCCCCGCCGCTCCCGCCCATACCTCACGACTCTCGCGCCGATATCGTCATGCCAGAGCCGCAGGTGTGGCAGCCGGGCGACTACAGCACCGAACCTCCTCTTCCTCCGCCGTGGCAGCGTGTTCACCAGCGACTGCTCAGCTGGGCTATTGTATGGCCTATGGCTGAGCTCGACAACGCGCTGAACAGCACGACACGCGGGATGCAGGTGGACGAGGTTGCGTTGAGTATCTGGTCTACGCAGACGTACAAGCGTTATGTTAGGGCCAAAATGACGGACACTCCTCGCGGACGCGTTGACCGTCTGTTCGTGCCGCCGAACATGGCGGATGCGATCAGTACTGCTGTATATAATGGTCGCCACGGGGATGCTTGTGGAATGCTGAGAGACCTGTGGGCTCCTTTCGGTCTTGAGGGCATTCCGAGGCTCTTGGTCGTACTGGCGAAGCACCGCAACGATGAGAACCACTGGGTCGTCCATCGGTGTGTAGTGGTCGTATCTCTGTAGAAATTGAGTCCCCGCGCTGACTCTTATCCATTCCTCAGCTTCTCTCTTCCTGATGGGTCATTAACCACTTATGATACATTCCCGGAGCGGTGTCTGCCGGACGGTCGCGTGAGTCTCAGAATTCTACATTCTTGCGCTATTATTGACCTTTCTTGTCTTGCTCTCAGCCTCTGGGGTGGTGGTTCGCTATCCGCATCGCCTGGCCCGATGCTATCTACCCCAGCCCAGACCATCTCATGCAGAAGATGGTTCGCCTTCACCGTCCGTTGCAGCTTCCGATCGATAATTCGGTGGCTGCGGCCGGTATCTGGCGCAATCTCCTCATGGGCTCGCGAGCTGAACGCAGTCTTGACTTGGAGCGTCTGCGGGACCTGATGAACACGGAGGTGAAGAACCTGAGGCAGCGAAAAGTGATGGGCAAGCTGTCCATCGGTTCGCCGAAGCCTAACTGGGAAGACATGCACTAACGAAACGAATTGACTGACGATTTACTGACGCACTTGTATTACCCAGGGACGATGAGAATGCCTTTTTCCTGTTTATTTCACTTTCTTCATTCCTCTGTTTTTATTACTTCGTCTGCTGTACTTGTTTTTGTTTTGACGACAATCCTAGCTCCTCGCTTTTTTCGTTCTTTCTGGCTGGTGTAAAGCATATCACATATAGGTAGTAGCACTAGTTCTAGACTCCCACTTCGCCCCGGTGCTGGATCCTGTACTTGTGTGTTGTACGTAGTGCATATGCCAGAATGATTATCATAGGTTATGTTCGTGTTGCACTAGTTTGGGTACACCATGTTGTGAGATGGGTGAGAAGGGTGAGAAACGTGCAGTTTCAGACCCTTAGCTGAATGAAATGGGGCAATGAGCAGGCTGTATCTCATGTCCGTCGATGGCTTCTCGATCCCACTATTCAGGCAAGCTTTCCCCGGGTTGAGTGAACTTAATCGTGCACAGCGAGTGCACGGTCCACCGTCAGTCGCTGTATTCACGACCACTGTATGCACGAAGATTCGAGAGTCAGCCTGCAGATCGAATCGATGGAAGGTGATAAGTGGCTCACAAGTACGGCTACTCTCCGACGCAGTATCAGAGCATCGCGAAGACGATTTTCATAAGCCTCTCATGACTTCCGCTAACACTTGCACGGAATCGTCAGGTAGGGGTGAGGGCAAACCGGATGGTTTCACCTGAATGTCCTGATAGATGAGAAACATCGGGGTCAATCCTATGTCTGAGTACACGTACAGTGTAGAGGTCGTGCACTTGCGTAACTTGCCCGTCGAGCTCGGCAGTGACTTCTGCAAGGCGAGATTTGTGAACTCGCCCTCGCGTTTTCGCCCGTTTGCCGGCTGCATGTTTGGCTGCGGCTTGTCGTGAGTGCTTGGCTGTGCTTGAAGATTTTGTACGACTATGGCTGGCAGAGCTCTTGGTCATCGCCGTTCGCGTTTAAGAAGATGTTTTTCGGGATCACATGCCGCGTTGGCCGCGGCGCGCTCTCGTCGACGACCTCCTCTCAACCCTCACCTCAAATTCATTCTCCTGAATGGCTGATGTTCCGACATTGAGAATAACGCTCCTCGGGGCAGGTCAGGAAGTCGGTCGCTCATGCTGTGTCATTCAATACCGTGGCAGAACGATCGTATGTGATGCGGGCGTCCACCCGGCATACAGTGGTATCGCATCCTTGCCCTTCGTAGATGAGCTGGACTGGAGTACAGTGGATGTCTTGCTGATTACACAGTGAGTTGTAGCATTATATCCCATACTCTCGTGCATAATCCGGAGATTCTAGTTTTCATCTCGACCATGCAGCGGCGCTCACGTACATCACGGAGAAGGTAGGTATCTCTGGTCTGGTGCGAGCACTAATGCTCACAATTATCGCTAGACAAACTTTCGAGATGGAAAGGGTAAAGTATACATGACACACCCCACCAAGGCGCTGCACAAATTCATGATGCAAGACTTCGTACGGATGAGGTCTGTCTAGATCCTGCCATATTTCGCTCGTTCACTGACGCAGATCTCCCAGCTCGTCGACATCTGATGCTTTGTTCTCACCACTTGACCTATCAATGTCCTTATCTTCCATCATTCCTGTGTCCGCCCATCAAGTTATTACTCCTTGTCCTGGCGTCACGTTCACCCCATACCATGCAGGCCATGTCCTAGGCGCTTGTATGTTCCTCATTGACATAGCGGGCCTCAAGATTCTATATACTGGCGACTACTCTCGCGAAGAAGATCGTCATCTGGTTAAGGCTGAAGTGCCGCCCATTCGGCCTGACGTGCTCATTGTGGAGAGCACATACGGTGTGCAGACGCTCGAAGGCAGAGAAGAGAAGGAGCTGAGGTTTACCAACCTCGTTCACTCGATCATACGACGAGGCGGTCATGTACTTCTACCTACATTTGCTCTTGGGCGTGCACAGGAACTACTCCTGATTTTGGACGAGTACTGGAAGAAGCACCCGGATCTTCAAAACGTCCCTGTCTACTACGCTTCCAGTCTCGCTCGGAAATCAATGGCGGTGTACCAAACATACATCCATACGATGAATGCCAATGTGCGCTCAAGATTCGCTAAGCGAGACAATCCATTCGTCTTCAAGTGCGTCTGTTACCCATATTCCGGGCCTTCGTTAAATTCTGTTCTGCAGGCATATCTCGAACGTCCCTCAGACTCGCGGTTGGGAGCGCAAAATTGCTGAAGGACCCCCATGCGTCGTCCTGGCAAGTCCTGGCTTCATGACGGTAGGCCCTAGCCGAGAGCTGCTGGAGCTGTGGGCACCGGATTCGCGGAACGGCGTCATCATTACAGGTTATTCGATCGAGGGTACTTTGGCGCGGGTGAGTGACTGCTCTTCACGGCCGATGCGCGGCGGCGGGCCTGTACGGAGCGTCGTTTTGTATGTATCTGATGCGAAACAATGGACATTTTCCACCACCCATATCGGCCGTGTGATTATCCCCTTGAGCGAGCATCATGTTCACCACTCTCCTACGTGCTTAGGACATACAAAGCGAACCGGAGGAGATTATCTCCCTCAAGGGTGCGACGATCCCCCGCAAGCTCTCTGTCGACGAAGTCTCCTTCAGTGCCCATGTCGACTACTCGCAGAACTCGGAATTCATCGAGATGGTGAAGGCTCAGCACATCGTGAGTCAATCTCCTGTATGTATATACTGAAGACTAAACGCTCTTCCCTATGCATACAGGTCTTAGTACATGGCGAGCAGACCGCGATGGGCCGTCTGCGAGCGGCCATGCAAAACAGGTACAAGAGCCGCGACGAAGACGTGAAGATCCACACACCCCGGAACCTCGAGACGCTTGAGCTCACCTTCCGTGGTGAGCGCGTCGCAAAGGTGCGTATATCTTCCGGTCCCCTCTGACTGTTTTGTTTCATTCACACACGCGTGCAGGCGATCGGCGCCCTCGCAGCGAAGCCGCCACAGGCGAACGATATTCTCTCGGGTCTGCTCGTCTCGAAGGACTACTCGTACACGCTCCTGGACCCGCGGGACCTTCGCGACTTTGCGGGCCTGACGACCTGTGTGGTCACGCAGCGCCAGAGAATGGTGCTCGGCGTCGGCTGGGACCTTGTGCGGTGGCATCTGGAGGGCATGTTCGGCAAGGTCGAGGAAGGGTTTGATAAAGATGGCGTGCCTACCATCCGGGTGCGTATGCCGCCCTGCGCGTTGGACTCTGTTGTCTTTTGTGACTGACAGAGTGCGCAGGTCATGGGTGCGGTTGACGTGAAGCAGACGCAGGAGCACGAGCTCTTGTTAGAATGGGATTCGAGCGCGAGCAACGACATGATCGCCGATGCGACGCTCGCGCTCATCACAGGGATCGACCAGAGCCCCGCCTCCGTAAAACGTACATCCTATCTCCCTTCGTTCTTCGAATGCTGACACCCGTCTCTCCCAGTGACAACGCACCCCCATACCCACGCGCACGCGCCAGAGCACCCGCACCCGCATGCAGACGTCGAGGACGATGGCGCGGCGGTGACGCGCATCCAGCGCCTCGCGATGTTCCTCGAGGCTCACTTTGGCGAGGTCGAGCTGCACATGCCGGAGGAGACGGACGAGCCCGAGCAGGGCGAGGACAGCCACGAACCGTCGCTCCTCGTGCGGCTTGACGAGGCCGACGCGATTATCAACCTTGTATCCATGGTACGCCTCGCGCTCTTTCCTAGTCGTATCCGTGCGCACATTACCAACCGATTATAAATGCATGTACAGACGGTGACGAGCGCAAACGACGCGCTTCGCAAGCGCGTAGAGTCGGTGCTTGATATGGCCGTGTCGACCATCGCGTCGCTCAGCGAGGCGTTCACGTCGGGCGTGCCTCTCCTCAGCGAGGAGGCCGCGGCGGCGGAGGCAGTGAAGCAGACGCACAGCGCGTCGCCCGCGGTGCCCGGCTCCGATCGCCAATCCGAACCCATATTCGAATCCGGTCCCGCAGCTGCCGCCCCGTTGGAAGAAAGCAGGCCCGTTGCCATCGCCACGGAGGTGCAGGAGCACGCTGCTGAGGCACTTCGGAAGGCGGAGAACGCCGAGGGCACTGGGACCCCGGAGGGCGTGAGCGCGCAGGCCGAAGGGCATCCTGGGAATCAAGACGGTGAACAGCACCTTCAGGACGGAGATAGGCCGGGACATGAGGGCGGAGACGAGGAGAGCGATTCGGGGTCGGACGACGACGCCATCTTGCAGGTGCACGACTGAGCGATTCTGCTGCCCCGGAACGTGTTGCGTGTCGGGCAACTTCATGTACATATGTATGTAGCCAACGATATGTTTGTACAAACTGGTGTTACATAGAGTTGAGCATCACCATCTCTGCAACCCACTGCGTAACAGCATATGATGATCAGACACCGCACGAGTCCGAACGGTAATGAACACTGAACGACTTGCGATCAGTTGTTAAAACAAACGTGTACGAGGATGACGCTACATGGACAAGATATGTCGAGTCTAGGTGATGATAACGAGATTGGAAACGACAGCAGCAACAGCAACGACGGTAACTACGCGAGATAAACAAATGAAACCACAGGACCAGCTATGCAAGAAGTAGCACGATGCCAGAAACAACACAGCTAGTGGTACTGCTCCCAACCAGGGCGTCGAGGCGCCAGCACACGAAGAGTGAGAGAGATGGAGATTGCGCGTCACCAGCGCGCAGACGGGCAGTAAGCCTCGCACGCGAGGCCCTCACGACCATTCCCGTGTAGCCATGTCATAAATAGATTATAACGGAAGACGAAAGACCGAAAGCAAAAGTAATGGAACGATGGCACGCGACAGCTCAGTGCGAGGACGCAAAGCGGTTGTGCGCAGCGCGAGCGTGGCGGCGGGGTTGCGAAGAGTAGACGGCGCCCATCTCTTCCGGGAAAGGCGACGCGTTGCGGCGCTGAGCGCGGGTAGAGCGGCGCTTGTTGGCAGGGCAAGAGGACGCGCTCGGTGTGGGAGCACTGGAAGCGACGCTGGAAGAAGGAACCACGCTGGAGGAGGGAGCTACGCTGGATGACGGAGCTGCGCTCGAGGACGGGACATCACTGGACGAGGGAGCCGCGCTCGAGGACGGGATATCACTGGACGAGGGAGCCACACCCGAGGATGGGATATCACTCGAAGAGGGGACAGCGCTCGAGGAGGGAACCGCGCTTGAAGACGGGACGTCACTGGGAGAAGGGACCACGCTAGAGGGAGCCGCACTGAAAGGAGCCGCGCTGGAAGGAGCCACACTCGAGGGGACTTCACTGGAGGACGGAACCGCGCTCGAGGAAGGAACGTCACTGGAAGATGGGTCGACACCGCATGAGGGGTCTGCGCTTGAAGTGGGGACCGCAACTGAAGAGAACACGCCACTGGAGGTCGGAACCGCGCTCGAGGAAGGAACGTCACTGGAAGATGGGTCATCACTGCATGAGGGGTCTGCGCTTGAAGAAGGGACCGCAATTGAAGAGGACACGCCACTGGGGGCGGAGACCGCGCTTGAAGAGGGCACATCACTGGAAGACGGGACCGCGCTTGAAGAGGGCACGTCACTGGAAGACGGGACCGCGCTGGACGAGGGAATGGCACCGGAAGACGGGACCGCACTGGAAGAGGGAGCAGCGGAAGAAGGCGGCGCGACAGCGCTGCTGGGGTCACTCGGACTCGCAGAGGAGCTCGGAATCGCAGGTGGGGTGGCAGAAGAGACGACGGGAGCACTGGCACTAGGGCCGGTGGCAGCGCTGCTGGTGGGAACAACGTTTGAGCTCGTCGGACGTGCGCGGCATGTCCTGGCAGAAGCGCTCGCACTCGGACTCACAGAAGGGAGCGAGCTCGCAGCCGAGCTCGACGCTGCTGGCGCTGAAGAGAGCACTGAGGAACTCGGGACTGGGTCGGAGACGGGGACGGCGCTGAAGACGACGCTGGGAGGAGCAGCAGTTGAAGCAGAAGGAACAACGCTGGAGCTAGGAGGCTCACTCGGGGTTGAGGATGGCTCTGCACTGGAGCTCGGAGGAGCAGCGGCACTAGAGCTCGGAGGAACAGCAGCACTAGAGCTCGGAGGAGTAGCGCTGGAACCGGGCGGCGTCAACGTTCTAGCATCCGCACAAAATGCGATCAGCAAGTTGGCCTGGTGAAGGAACGTCAGAGCGTGCACAAGAAGAAGAATGGCGAGGAGCGCCTACGTTGTCAGTCTGGCAGGCAACCTGGACCTGGTTGTCGTTGGATTGGTAAAACGCCATGGGGCAACCTTGATATGCACCTGAAATTTGTATAACGACGGTGAGCAGACGGCAAAGTAATATGCAAGTGGGTACGTACAGTCGGCACCAGTGTTATCACAGCCATCGTAGTAGCTAAAAGCAAATAGGTGAGTGACACAGCCCAGACGGCGCGAACGAAAAGCGGTACCTGAAGGACGCTTCGACGTTGAATGTGTGACTGGGGAGACAACGCGAAATTTAGTAACCGCGTTGAAAAGACCGAGTATGATAACTAACGGAGAGATGAGACTGATATCGGTGGATGAACCACCACCGGGGACGGTGGGGTTTCCGAGAGTCATTTCCAGGAGGGTACATTGCTCGCCGTTATAACCACAGTCACCTGAAAGGAAAAAAAAAGCTAAGGACGTAGACACGTAGGCGAGGCGTCAAAGTCTGCGTACCAGTCTGGAGGTATCTGAGACGGGTAGGTTAGACGCGTGAGACAGGAAGAGGGAGAAGACAAGCGTACGCAATTGCGCTATCGAGAGGACCGTTGCTTGTGTAGGGCTGTCCGGTAGACACGACCTGACCGCCTACAATGAGGGTAGGCTGAAAAGTGTCAAGAAGTCAGAAAAGGACTGTTTTATTTGAAACCGACAGAAGGGCCTCACAGTTCCTTTTCCGCATCTGCGACACAACGATGAGCAAGGAAGAAAAATGGCGATGATAGGAGAACACATACTGATTGACAAAGGTGACGGTGTGGGATTCGGCATGGACGCTGACGGTCGCGAAAAGAAGGGAGGCGACGGCAGCCAAAGCGAAGGTGGGAGACATGGTACTCGTGGAACGATTCGTCAAAAAAGAGAGAAAGTGAGGCTCTAAAAGGTGCCCAGAGAGACGGAGGGAGGAGGTGAGGTGCGAACAGTTCTCAATTCTTTTTGATCCTCGAGTACAACACCCATCGCGGACCCCTGGAACCGGCCAATCCTTGAAATGATTCTCTGACGCGTCTCGTCTCCATCTCCATCTCTCCGTCGCACACCAGGTCCCAACATCTGCATGTGCAGTTATCTTGCCTAGAAGACAATGAATTGGTGAGAACCACGCGCCGGGTGAAATTGACCTCGACGACCCTGAACAATACGTAGCCTATAGCATACTAGGAAACAATACAGCTCGAGCCAAAATGACATGCATTACGCCCTTGTGAACCAGTGTAAGTCACTTGTATATCTCTTGCGGAGAGGGATTTGCGTGAATCTCGAGCGGGGCTATATCCCGAGGCACGTTAACGTTGAAGCAGAGTGTCCAGGCTCTGCCTGGGGAGACCTGCCTTAATACCGATTTTCAGATTGGCACTTACATACCTGCGTCCAAAGAGAACGACGGCGCGTTTCCTGCGTACACCAGCGGAGACGTAACGTGTGTTGACGGCCTCATAATCCTGGGTTGTGTTATGCCGAAAACACTTTTTCCTGCCACGTTAACATTTGACTGAAGTCCAAGCCCAAGCTTCTTTCCATGCTATCCTGCTACATGTGTATAATAGTTGAGATGATTTCTGATTTTCGTATAGCAGCAGATGAACCGTAGATACAGAAGCATTCATTTATTACACCTTGACAATCTCGTAAGAGTAAGTATCCCACCCCAGTATACAATCCGTCAACTGCGAGTGCGTGCGCGCTACTCACCAACCCCCACTTCAGCGAGCTCACGTCGGTGCCTATGTCCCGGCGACGGCTGCAGTCCAGCACTCGCAGGAGGCTCCTCGTCTTCCGCAATCGTCTCCTCCTCTGGGTGCCCCTTCCACCGGCCCTTCGCAGCGCCCTCCACGGTCTCGTCCTCCGTCGGGCTCGACACCACCAGCGCCCTCTCCAGCGCCTTCTCCCCACGCCTTTTCAGCCGTAGCGTCATCGCAGCTTGCAGCGAGTCGATGTACGACTCGTATTTGACAATCTCCGTGAGCAGGTACTGCGACCGCTTCTCCCAGTTCGACAACGCCTTCGCCGCATTGGAAGAGCGCGGCTGGTACTGTATAACGTTCGGGGGTCGCATCAGTCAAACAAAGCCTCGCACACGCGAGAAGTTTTGAAATTTTTTGAATGATCTATGGAACTCACCAAATTGGTCATGGGCCCCCGCAGCTCGTTGTGGTCCTTCAGGTGCTCCTTCAGCGATGCCACGTGCTTCTGCAGCGCCTCCATCTGCGTCTCCTCGTCGTGGTTACTCGGCACCGTCGGCGGTAAAGGCGGGTTCCAGTCGTTGATGAACGTTCTGTCCGCCCATGGCGACTTGTCCGCCCGCACCGTCGCAGCGAGGTCCTTGAACCGGCTCCGCCCGCTGCGCACGCTCACCCCGTCCGAGTTCTCCTGCTCCCGCACGGAGAAGTTGTCCTCGGAGATGGAGCGCATCCGCGTGAGCGGGTCCATCACGCGGTTCCATCCATACTCCATGTTAGACACGCCCCCGGCGAGCGGCTCCTTGCTCTGCCTCGCCGCCCAGTAGTTGCACGTCGATACCCACTCGTTAACGAGCTCATCGGTGCCCGCTTGGAAAAAATACACGCCCCCACTGGCCAGCGTCAGCACCATGCAATGCGGGCGCTGCCTGTTGTACCCCGGAGGTGGCAGGGCATGCGCGAGCGAGTGGGCGAGCAGCACGTTCCCGACGGGCTCGGCATTTTCCTAAAACTCCCATTAAGCGCGACGGACCCGCTTGAACGTACGCAATACACGCACCAACCAATTGCCACCGCCGACGACGCCGGTGCCGCCGCCGCCGTGGTCACCAAAGGTGAACATACTCAGCTCGCCCTTCTGGATGACAACGAAGACGTCAAGCCACGCCTTGGACTTGGCGCGCTTCCCCGTCGAGTCCCAGTATTGCTTGCGGCAGAGCATGCCCTCCTTCGCCCACGGCGGGCCGAGCAGCGCGAGCTCCTCGTCGGTGATGCTGATGTCCGTCGAATTCGAGCGGGCGCTGCGCATGCTGTGGCTGTCGTCCTCCTTGTCTTCACGGATGATGGTGTGCGAGAGGTTGGACGCGAAGCCCATAGCGGGGGTCAGGAATGATACAGTCGAGCCGATGCCCTGCGACGGTGCGATTAATACATAGTAACGAGCTTCCGCCGTTCCGTTCACTCACATCGTTTGACGTGGCAAAACTAGGAGCTGGGCTTGCACGGCCGTCGATGCTGCTATTGCTGCTGTAAGGAGATATCCCTGCCTGTGCACCAAGAATAGATTGGAGACCGCGGATGCTGCCACGTTTTAAGTTCGCGAGCCGGTCTGGCTGAGTAGTCCGCAGGCTCCGATTCCGCGTGATCACACCATGCGGGCTCAACGAGGAGGTCGACGACCGCGCCAGCAGCGTGCTGCCAACGGGCTGCAGGATCTGCTGGTTCTTGACCGCGGTGTACATTTCCTATAGAATAAATACATCAATATTAACAATTGCCTGAACGGTTCCTCAGCGCTCTGACCTTGAGTAGATTCTCTAGCTCTATCTCCCAATTGCGATCATGCACCACGGTGGTAGCAGCAGCAGCAGCCGGCTCCTGAGCTTTGGACTCCTGCCTCGACAGCGCTACGGAAACTACGCTCTCATTTGCAGAAGGCTGACTTCCCGTGTCTGCGGGCGAGACGAGCTGTCCAGACGAGTTCCCTGAGACAGGAGAGACAGCTAAAGCGCTATCATGGTGGATACTGTTCCAGCTAGCGATGCTGTCGCTCCTCTTGGCACGCGAGCGTATCGTGCTCCCGTCCGCCTCGCCGCCGTCAGATGCCGCGCGCAAACTACTCCAGTCGTCATACGAAAGGTCGGGGTTCGAGCCCTGGCTTGGCTGCAGCTGCATCTGGATGGCGGACAGGGTGTTGCGCACGAACTGCCCGCGCGACATCCGCGAAGTGAGCTCCGCGACGTGTAGATCAGTGTTCAAAAGCAAAAGTGAATATGTTACAGCATGAACAACACCTGAATGGATGTTGGATGAGGGTAAAATAAATGTGAGACCTCACGTACTGGCATTGCCAAAGAGGCTGGAAAGGTTGCAGTCCCAATAGCGCCGACCGAACTCTGTGAGTATGCGATCGACCTGTTGGGTCTCACCCTTTAGGTACAATTTGGCACAAAACCGCCTAAAGATGATGTCAATCCGCCCAAGCATGGGCAAACTCTGGAATGACTAACCTGAAAGCAAGATCGAGTCTAAGGTTAGAGAAATCGAAGAAATCCATATAGTGCCGCAAAGCAATCCGATTGATAAGGCCCCTGTAAAGACGTCAATCGTGCTCCCGTCGCTGCCACAGAAACAGAGGACGCACAGTCCGCCGAGCCATTCCGCAATTTTGTCCTTCGCCAGGAAATCCTCATCTTCCGCCCAACACCGCGATGCCAGTTCCTTCCCTCTGGCTTCGAGGTCGGCCGAGTCTTCGGCTTTAGTAGAAGGATGCGATTGCCGAGCGAACCCGTTGTTCGTGAGGTCCTGCTGAGAACTCACAGAAAGCGTGGAGACTGGATTCAAAGCAACAATGTTTGATGACGGGACTAGTCTAATAGTACGACGTGGCTCACAGACTCTACCATCGTCCCGACAGGGTATGAGCGACGGCTCAGACGTCGAAGCCGTAGCGCGATGTTGCACACGTAGACGGCTTGAATCTCGAGACGCAGAAGGATTGTGAGTAAGAGGCGACGATGCATTCCGGTAAGGAGGTGAGCGTGGCCCGTATTTCAGAGCTGTTATGCGCGGGGAACCCGCGGTATTGGAGCCAGAACGAGAACGTAAAGGAGTGTTTTGCGAATTCCGAGACGGAGTAATTGCTTCCTCTGCGGTTGAATGGGGGTCGTTAGAATATGACAATACCGAATTCAATAGAGACTCTTCGACGCCTGACGCGGATCGGAGTCTAACTGTTGGTGGGGGTAACGAAAGAGCCGGTTTGGGCGGAGGTCGAATAGCTGGAGACTGAGGAGTACTTTGAGAGCGAGATGGTGGCCCAAGTCGCCTTGAAGGCGTCGAAGGATCCCGGAGATCGAGTGAAGCGACAGAATTAGGATCGAGCTGGGAAAGCTCGCCTTGGAACTCTGAAAGGATGCCATTCAAATCCAGCCCCAAATCGCCGTCAGCTCGCCTTGTCTCGCCAGAGACCCGACCTGAAGATGGTCCCGCTGCCATGGCCATGACCTTCTTCAGATCGACGTCGCTGACACTCATGCTTCGACGCTTGCTTCGGCTTGACGCTGGAGCATGCTTCGAGGCTGATACTTTCCCTTTCACCGTTGTAGTTGGCGACGGTGACCGAGAGCGCCATCCGTTAGAGACCTTCAAAGACGGTTGATCAACAGAAGATTCCGTTTCGGCGTACCTGTCGCCGTTGGGCAGCGAAGGTAAGCCTTTCTTCACGTTGGGTGGTTGTGAAGGGCTACTGAATACATCAGAAGCATCTGGTATAGGTGATGTGACTTTATGCCTGTCGGGAATAGGAGGTACGGGAGGAGTGAACGCATCGAAAAGCGAGGAGGAAGTTGGGTATGATACAATAGAGGCAGATGAAGGTGATGATGTGACTGTACGCTGTCGCAACAAGACGGTCAATGACAGGCGAGGTAGACATGGGTATTTGCCGTCTCACAGATCTATCTCGCGTACTGGATTGACCAAGCATCTTCCCGAGAAACGCAGATGTCTTAGCCCTTACAGAGGACTTGGCAGGCTGGAAATGAGCACCTGGTTAGAAAAGGAACATGAAAACATGTCTGGGTCCTGACTTTGCCATTGTCCTTTATAGAGCTCAGCGAACGAGGACTCGTCCACACCCAATCCGGGCTGGGTGAGCCACCGTTGTCCATACCTTGCCCCTGCCTGCCTCTTGACTTTCCCTTGGGTGCGGGAGTGGATTGAGGAGAGAAGGAAGGAGACTCGGGTCGGTTTGAAGAAGTCGACGGGCGTTGGCGAGCCCCGGATTTTGGCGCACCACCTTTGTCTAGGGTATCGTGTGAAGCTGCAGTAGGCTTCAATCCATCTTTGTTGCCAGCAGCATTGCGCTCCTTCGCCTTCCGCAGGAGCGTGGCAAGATCCGGGCTGCTCGCGGTCCCAGGCGAACGGTACATAGATCTCCGCTTGGTCTGGAAGTCGTGCTCCTCGGCGTCGTAGAACACGTCGCTCGACGGAGAAGAAAGGAGGGAGGTTTGTGAAGGAATGTTCGGGTTATTCGCAGAATTAGACGATCCAGCGGCGCGGTGGGTCGCGACCGGGGACGGCGTCGGGGGCACTATGGTGGGCGTCGCGGGCTGCAAACCCGCGTACGACCTGTGCGCGGGCGGTGAAGGTGACGAGAACGGGCTGAGGGATATGGATGTGTTGGTTATGTCTGCACCGAGCGTGTCAACATCAAGACCCTCCTTCAATACCACCGTTCCACCTGCGCGCAACGCCTGCTCGAAATCGAGGTCAGTGCGTGACACGCGCCGCTGTAGAGTCACATTGAGGTCTTTCGAGGCCACAGGGTGGAGGGTTGCAGGAAACGACGACGGCGGTAAAGGCGACCGCGGAGAGGGCTGCCTGAAGAGTGAAGCCAGAGTGTCAGGGAAAAGATTGGTGTAATAGGTGGTGTAGGTGGGTGGCAGAGCGTTCACCGGCACCGCTGAGGGTAATGTGCATCGCTTCCGAATATTTCTCCACGTGCCACTCTATTTGCAGTTCTCCAAACATTCATTTACATTACTACCGCCGCGGTATATTGAAAGAAAGCTGTTGGACAATAATCTATGGAGAATCTACTGGTTGATCGTACACGAAGCGTCGAAAACAGAGAATAAAGATGTGTAAGGAATCATAGCTCGTCAAGACCTACAAGTGAGCTCAAGCCAGAGATATACAAGCATAGTGTATGATCATAAGCAGCATGATGAAATATTGACACACAATATACGCCTTCCCTAGACACTATGTTCACACATCGTCTTCACTCGGCTTGCGAGTGGACGAATATTGCGTATCGACACCAGCAGAAGTCCGTCGCTGTCGCTTCATGGAAGCACTTCCCGCAGCCGCACCACCTGTTCGATTCGTAGGAGATAACCTCGACCCATTTAAACTGGAAGGCATTGTGTTCGTAGTGGCAGCTCGCGGCCGATTCGTAGATGAAGCAATCTTGGGAAGATTAGAGTTCGCCTTTCGAGATGCACTATGAGGGGTCCCGGATGCCCGGTTGCTAACATACGCGAATGAGCGAGACGGTGTTTGTACGAGACGACAAGACGTACCGCTTCTTGATGACGTCAGTTTTGAGGGACAGTGGGCGAACAACACCATGTAACTTCTGGACAGGAACCGTCAGTAAACGTAAGAGTCAAGGTGATTGATACTCACATAGAATAGACCACACGCATTACCTGATGTGACGGTAACAATCAAAATTGGCAGAGTGTGAGGAGAAGGACGACATACATAGCGGCTGACCCTCCGGGTCTCTCCGCCAGAGAGGTGTATTTGTCGTCTGGCAATTTGTACAAACCGTGGGCGGTTGCTCGCTATCATCGCTTGCACCTCTGGCCAGCTGGGTTGAACCACCGGAGCCAACATCAGGAGTCCTAGATCAGGATGAGCTTGCATGTTCTCAACAAACTGACACCAATGAAGCTCACGTCTTCCGCTGTGCAGCACCCGCAGCCGAACGTGAAGAAGCATCTTGCAATACCCGTTTCGAAGAAGCAATCTTCCGCGGTAGGTGCCGCGCGCTGGTTCCGTTCTCAGTTGAAGGTGGTGTGGAGGCATTAGAACCAATGTAAGGCTCTGGCGACGCGTTGGAGCTGGAGTTCACGCCGTTGCCCCACCCGTCGCTGGAAGGACTCGGATGGAAGCTCTGGAAGGCACTCTCGGGGTGATCGACAGGAAGTATCTGCGTGGGGTCGACGTGCGTGAATGGCCCGACACCGGACGCGCCTTCAAGGCCTGGATACATCATGTTTACGAAGTGTTGATAGTCCAGAATATTATCTTCGTGGCCAAAGTGCGTAACACTGAAACCCTCCGCCACCGCTGCAGATGCAGCTGCCGCAGCTGCAGAGAGACCGGCTGGAGTCTGTGCAGGCGAGTAGGTCACCGTAAGGGGTGTGCGAAGAGCGTCCGAGAACGAGACGTCAGAAGGTCGGCTATCTTTCGAGGCAGGAAGCGAGGAGGAGAGATTGGAAGACGCAAAAGTAGTTGGAGCCCCGGAGAGATCAAAGAAGGTATCATATGAAGGGAACGTGAAATTAAACGAGCTTGAGGGGAATGGGCTGCTACGCCTCAGTTGTTCCGTGTCCAGTTGCGGTGGGGGTGGTGTCGGAATGCGCTCAGCGGCATCAAGAGGTGCAGGGTCACCGCGCAGTAGGCTCTCAGCATGTGGGGCATCCGCCCGACGCTTCATACCGAGGAGACTGTCCGGCGACAAAGGCTTGCCATTAAGTTGATGCCGACCAGTCAAGCCATACAGGATTCCCTCACGCGAGACGGTGTGATCGAAACTAGTTTTTCGCACGTGCTTAGGGAAAGTGCGCTGTTCAGACGAAGGAAGAGATGAAGTTGACACCTGCGGAAAACCATGGAGTAGGGAGGGTAATGACGATGGGTGACAGTTTGAGCTGTGAAGGTGAGACAACGAGTCAATGCGTGACAGAGAGGGGCGAATTTCAGCAGCCTCAAGAACTGTAGCCAACCCTGGTTGGCCTGGCAAGGATGAAAGCGGACTCCGGCGACCTAAAGATGTAGAGGGGGCACCAGGTATCGGTATGCTGGGCGATGTCGAAAATGCCTTCGGAGGCGATTCAGACGTCGGGAACCTCAGTTGACTCTGTTGATCAGACAGAATACCTGACATTGGCGGTCTTGAGCGGGAACGACTTGCAGGGCGCCAATCCATTGGTGCTCGGGACCGAGACCTGCTCATCGCACGCCAATCCATAGGCACCTCGCTGATTCTCCACCGATTAAGTATTTTGATCATCGCCAAAATGAAAGGCACTCACTCGTTCTCGTCTGTGCCATCCTGGTTCGTGCCATCAAAGCCAACGACCTGGACTCTCGCCTTCCCCTTGTCGATGGACCGCCCTCGCTCTCCAGTATCCTCCTGGCCTGATGCTGAACCATTGGCAGACGGCTGTGCGGCGCCGCTGGATCGACCTTCCTCTAACGAAGGCTTCTGATTGGCACCTCTCACCTTGTCCTCATCCTCCTTCTTCTTCTTCAATGCCAACGCCATCATCCTCCATGTCAAGTTCTCCATCCTCTGCGCATGGGGAAGGGTTGCCTTCGTACGGGCATACATCTTCCAGACCTGCGTCGCCAAAGGGTCCTCCTTGGCTAACTTCTCATGATCGGTCTCGGCTGCTGCTAGATCCACGGGCTTCAGGTCAGGCGAGCCGGATAGGGTCGGAGACGCAAACTTGCTGGAGCCTCGCTCCTCCAGTGGCGATAGCGGTGAGTTGGCCGATGGGAAAAGGTCTTCTAAGAAATCGGGGAACATACGGGCGTTCGGACTGTTACTTGACGTCGGTGCAGTAGACTTGCCAGATTCTCCGCCGTAGAGCGAATAATTGGTGTGGTTGGATGTTGACCGCGCAACTGATTCTGGTATTGACGGTTGTCGTGATGGTCCGAACTGGGCTGCAGATATATCATATGGGGAGTCGGGGAAGCTGGAAGCGGGAGACGGCAAAGACGCCGGTGACATCCACAGAGACGGCGGTAATGCCACACTATAACGCTCGCCTGGGAAAGCCATATTCGAAGCAAAATCAAGCGAACCAGACTGGGGCGGAAATTGCGGAGAGAGACTGTCAAAGCGACCGTCGTCGACTGCACCGACTGGTAGATCACTTTGACCGCTCGAAGTTGGGACGGTGGGAGGAGACATCGTATGGCTTAAAGAGCTGCGCTTCCCGTGAGCATGATCACGGGAACCCGGTACGCGAGAACCATCATACGGGGGCATACTCATCGGCACCGCGGAGCCAGGCTGTCGAAGGTTGACAGGTGGATATTGAGACAACGCGCTGACTGGGGACTTCCGCTTCGCATACGGTGCATTGCCAGACCCTGGGCGGAACTGGGTGGGAGACGCCCGTTGTGACGAGGAAGGGCCAGGTGGATACGGTGATGGCGTATTAGACCATGAGGGTTGAATACCTGGTCCAACGGCCGGACGACCGAGATCCTTCGTATTCAGCGGTTGAACTCGAGGATTGATTGACATATCATGCGGTAGGCGGTTTGATCTACTCGAGTTCGAGGTCGGCGGTCCCAATACGCCGGAGGCAGCAAGGGCTGCAAATGTAGTGGGATCCAGCGGCGAGGAAAATACGTTTCCCCACTCGTTGCTGGGCAGGGATGAAGATACAGGAGCGTGCTGGCCTGGAGCATCGCCTGGGTGAGGCATGGGCGGCACTTGGTGCTGCAGCATGTATGGTAGAGACTGGGGGTGAGCAGAGGCGTTAAGGGAGATCTCCTGTATCCAAGGAGATGAATGTGTTGAATTGGATACCGAGGAGGGGTGGGGGCTGAGGTCCAGAGGAGTAGAAGCCGTAAGCTGGGACAAACCCGAAGTAGTCACAGTTGGACGCCCCGGAGGAGACCAAGGTCGCTTAATTCCGTCACCAAACCCTCGTGTAGACGATGAGGGCGGTTCCATAGACTGCTCTAGAGAGATGAGAGTGAGAAGACAGGAGAGGGTGACGAGGGAGAGAAGGAGAGGAACACACGGGTATGCAGCAGACTAGCCACCGGCAAGGCCGTGCCGTAATACGCCAGGAGTCAGGGAGGTGTGACAGGGAGGTTGGCAGCGGGTAAGAGGGGGCTACTGGTACCGGAGAGGGTGGGCGTCGGGAACGACGTCGACGAGGACGAGGACGACGAGGACGACGGGAAGAGGGTAGAAGTCGGTAGAGGAAGACCAGCTGAGGGCCACGGGGGAGTCCGAGCGTACTAAACGGCCGCAGATACCCTTTGCCGACGCGTTTTCAGCCTGATTTCCCGCGATCAAAATATTCCGCCTGTGTTTTTCTGTTTCCCTTTCTCGGTGTCTCGTTCTCAGGTAGACTCAGTGGCACTGTGGCATCGTTTGTTGTTGCTGCTCTCGACTCTCCTTTAGCACGCAGCTTCACCACCAAAAGTGCTGGAGTGTAGCGACGGGGCCAGGCCCATTTCTGAGGGTGACCAAGGTCCTGGCATCAGTTCCATTACGGGACAAAAATGAATATCCCGGTAGTCAAATTCGCGCGCCCGCGGGCCCGCTGGGGTCCTAAGGGCGACCCGCTCCGCCCGCCCCGGAGAATCGCGATTTGTGCAAAATTTTCTCCTCAACGCCGCACTCAACGATCACCGCAAGCCAACATCATCTCTCCGGAGCGGCTTGCAGATGTTCCCGCTGAATTTTTTTTCTCTTCAGGAGACGTCCGCTCTAGAATGCACGCAGGGTGACTCCGCCCGCTGTGCCCAGACTTGCCCACAATTGCCAGACAGAGGTCATCTTACCAACGCTGGACTCCGGCGCCCATCAGAGAACGTTACGCGTTGTCGCGCTGCAGTCTGATCCTCTGTGAAGGACATTATGCATCTGTAGTACGAACCTCGCATCACCTGTTCCCTGTGCATTCACACATGCGACGTGCCATGTGGCTAGCTGTAGTCTCTCGCACTGCCTCCCCGACCTTGTGCTCCTCCATGGACTTATTCTGACCTGCACACGACGCCAGACAAGTTCACCCCAGACATACTTGCTCGACAGGCCGGACAACCGTGTAAACGGCCGGACCATGACGCCAAGGGAAGGATCCTCATTCTCGAGTGCTCTCCTTCTGCCGCAGCCCAAGTATCCAGGCACACCGTCCGTCCGCCCAATGGCACTCTTCACGGTGCCCGGTTCCGAACTGCTTCTTTGCTTCACCTCCTTCGAGAATTCCACTCACTTACGAATTCAGCCATCTACTCTGTCATCCATCCGCGGTCCATATGGTGTGTGTGAATTCGCGTTCACCATCCATTCAACAGTACTCACCATGCACCCTCCTTCTTTCGCTAGCGATATGTGCGCCTTAGGCAGGTGTCTTCCAGCTGCCATTACGAAGCTCCCTGAATAGTCCCCGTTGTGACCGGGAGATCTCACGCACTATGCTCTCCTTCCAGGTATCTCTCACGATTGGTGCCGCCTTTGGCGTCTGCTCCAGAGAGGAACCTGTTTTGCAGCCTGGTCCACTTGTGTATGCCCTCTGGTGTTAGGTTTTTCTCTGACAGGTTTTTTTCTGGCGTCGCCTCATCGTGAAGCAGCCACCCATGTCGTCGTCAACTGATCCGACCTACCCGTTAGGTGATCTCGTGATCATTGTCCACATTTATCATTCGCACCACCCCCACCACCATCCCTGTTGTCCTTTCCTCTTTATGGCATGACCACTCCGACCACCCGCACCTTGCCAGCATCTTCCTCCGGTATGACGGGCGGATAACCTCTGACCGTCAATCTGCGCAGTTCTCTTCTAGCATTCTCCCAGTGTCCTCTGCGAACGATCAAGTTTGCGGCGTTGGAGCCTGAAGCTGACTTACTGCCTTGTAGCCTTAGTCTGGCCTGCGCTCCATCGCTCCATTATCGAATCATTCGGCCTCTATTGCGCCAGGTCTCTCCAAGCCGCTCGAAGCCAACAATTGTATCCATCATGCCAAGTCTTCTGGAGCGCCCCTCTATATATACACCGCTGTCTCACACATTATGCAATCCCTCGCCGTCGCCGAGGTATTTGCTGTCACGCACGCCAGGAATACTCTTCCCTTCCTCGATGCGGTTAGCTCTTGGTACGTAAGTGCCGTGACGCTGCACTCACACGATCGCCATCTTTCTTCGGAGACGGCATCGTGGGGGCTACCGCTCGTTTGCTGCCTCTACTGACTTGCATTACAAACGCCTTTGTCAGAGGACAACGGCAGAGGCTCTCTCTTCGGCATTCCTCGGTGGTATGTCGCTCTGCACAAGGGCATCCACACAATGACTAGACGGGTACTGCTCGTTGCTTTCGTGTTACAATTGTTGGGTGGTGTGTTATTAATTCTTCGTGATGTGCTAACCTCGTCAAGACGTGGTGGATCGTTTCTTTTCTTCCTCTATCTCCCAAGATTCAGTTTGAGTCGTACCGGCACAGATTTGGTGTGCGCTATTTCCTGCGCAGAGCGTTCTTGGCATCCCTCCGAACGCATCATTGATTCACCGGTCAATTGCGAAGCTGTCGACCTCGGGAGTGGGCGCACGACCCTCAGGATCGACCTGGTGCACGATCTCTTTCCCCAGAGTATCACATCGATTGATGTCTGGGCGCACTCCACAGCCTTCACATCCATCCGGCGACGTGACATAGACCACGCTGCGTTCGACCGTCGTCCGCGTACGAGCGGTGGTTGTACCTAGCCATGTATTTGCTTCCGCGCACAGTGCACGGATCACAATGAATCCTCCTAGATCTGATGCATTGCCTATCTCGCGTGCGGTACGTTGTTGAATCATCACTCTCGCCAGTGCGTTGTTTAGTGTGTGCACAATGAGTTGAGCCTGCCCGTCGTTGAATCTCAGACAACGACCAGGTGTGCCTGCACGAACAAGTAATCGTGGTCATCCATCAGAACGATTTCTTGCCCCTTGCTTGCACCTAGCGTCTTCAGGCAGCTGCAGGCAGTTTCGGGATTCGGGATTGATATACCGGCTGCATGTTTGTCGCGCCCCGCCACCGGCAGCGTTGGTAGTAAAGATTGACCTGGTTTAGCCATATCGGTGCACTGCGTTCATCGATGAGGATGTTTCCGGCAAGCTTGATCTGTTTCCACTGATATCGCTGTATTTTCGATAGGCCGGGGCTCCGAGTTGTAGCAGCATTGCGGGGGCAGGCCGAGGCAAGCTGCGGGTGAACGGGAGTAGTTTTGCCGATTCCCCCCCACCAAGTGAGACATCCTCCGTCGGTATTTCGTCAGCTCGAAGTCAACTAGAGCCCACTCCGTTGAAACCACGATAATTCGCAACGACGACGGCAGTGGACTATTAATAGTAGTACAGGAAGGGACTTGCGCAGAATCGATTTTCACGTCGTCAGATAATTTGAATCAGAGATTGAATCCTTCGCGACTTGCCAAGCTGTGGTGATGACAGATAACGCGAAGTGACAACGACGTAATCCACTCAACACTTGTTCTAGCTTCCATCTGAGACCAAATTGGACAGCAAAATGTTTACGCATATATTATGACATTACTAGTACTATCCATGATTATTACGATGTCAGAAGGTCCATATCACTCCCATCCGCCGCCGCGCAGGGCAATTACTTCAAGGTCGCAAAACCGACAGCCGCCTTATCGAAAGAGAACGCGGTATACACATTCTTCATGAAGCTGCATGATATTCACTTTAGTAACGTCGGACAAAAGACTCATTCAGGTGTCACTCACCTATCACCGAGCAGCCACACGTTATTGCCCAATCCCAGATTCTGACCGCTCAGCGCACCGACACACTGCGTCGATCCAGTATGTGTCTGTCCAAGATTAAAACTATTACGCGAAGTCAGCAGCCGTCTTTAGTCGTGCAGTAAATAAAGACTCACTTGGCGGCGCTGATAGTCCAGCTCTTTCCGCCCCAGCTGAAGGAGACACTGGGCGTAGCGGTGCAAGGGAACTGATAATACCCGTAGGTGGAATCGTAAACCGAGGAGCCAGGCACACTTTTGTAGAACGTCTGCACTGCGCCCGGCGGCCCGTACATGATCGTCGTTCCGGAGTCGATAATCGTCTGGAAGTTGGAAACAATAGCCTTCGTTCCGAGGAGGATCTTGGCACCGGAGATCTGCCAGAAGCCAGAGCCCGTGACAGTGTGGTACTCGGGTGTGCCGCTGTAGAGGCTAGTGTCGGTGCCGCCGAGATAAAGCTCTGAACCGACTTGCGCAAGCTTGAAGCCGAAGACACCGGTTGTCACACTGCCCTGGCTCTTAGCAGTGTTGAAGAAAGGACTCTGACAACGAAGGGTTAATAATTTGCGTGTCTACCCGGGAAGGAGTTCCGTACCTGGCGCAAGCTCGATATCGAAGGGTATGCCATACCCAAAATTCCGTCGATAGGGTTAGACGAAAAGCTGTTGGACAGTGTGGTTACTGGTGAAAAATATTGGCCAGTGGCTTTTATGCCGGCGACAGTGACTGCCAGATTAGAATGTCAGTCCTAGTCAAAATATTGACACGCCTCTGACTGCTTACCTGTATCCGTAAAGACAGGTCCAGAGACTGTAGACCCATCGGCATACCCAATGGAAAATGTCCCGCTTTTGTGTACACTCGTCGTGGACAAAGCCGCATTGTACTTGTTCTTCGTACTACAGACTGTGCTCGTGCAGTTGGAAGATGGCACCCACAAATCCGAAGAGCCAGCTGAAATGACAGTCAGGTGAGTGATGCATACGCGGAAGACTGCATACTCACTGTCAAAGTCTATTGTGAACGTCTGTCCAGGTGTTCCAATGGAGATGAGGCCAGCCCAATCAAGGTCATTGGATTCATCTATGAGCGGTTCTTTCTGCCGCTTCTCGTGGTGAGGATATTCCCGGAAAGGTTGGATCTCGGCACCCTAAGGTCACGCCAATTATTATTAAGTAGGAGACGCTACGTTGTGAAACTTACTTCATTGAATGCACTCAGCCCTTCGTTGCGTTCAAGGTTAATCAAGTTCTGACGATGTTTACTGTCGTAGCAGAGTCGTCAGAGAGGTGAAGCAAAGAAGATATCAAGATCTCACTTGTGCGTTCGGATCGACTGCTGAATAGCCGACTCATGATCAAAGGTGCCGTCCTCTTTCGTCAAAGTATTGCGCTTGTGTATAGGTATCCGCGTGCCAGTGTCTTGGACGACGGGACTGGCAGACGTAACAATCGCGAGAGCGAGAGCGATAAAAGATGCTTTGGAGGACATGATGTGAATGTGATGTGAAATGCGATGGAAAACTTGATGAATTCAAAGAAAGGGTCGGACCGCTTATATGCATTTCTGGTGCCTCCTTGGCGGGTAGCGGAAAGCATGGTTTAGGCAGTTGTACGACGGGGTCGGCAAGTACAGACGGGAGGCTGTGCATTTTCGACGGCGCATCTATCCGTATCATCCGTTGCGGATGTCGATCCATCGAAACTCTGTCTGCGAACTTCGCCAAGGGAGAGTAAAACCAGTGCCCAATTGACTTTAGACGGTGTCCTCGCAGGAAAGAAAGATGGCCCATATACAATAGAGAAACATCAGTGCAAAGGAATAACAGAAGAGGTGAACCAGAGCGGCGGGATAGATATCCGAATTTGGACTGAGGCTCGGTATACGGAGTCGGACGTCGGGAGGCAGTCACGCCGTGACGACGCGCCCTTCCAGTCACATGATCGTTCCGCATTGATGATCGATCGCGTCGCCCGATTCAGATCGAAGCCACAGCCTAACACGACGGGCAATGATCTACCAATGCAGGTGGATTGCAGCAATAGAATTGTCTTAATGAACATTTGACTGTCCATCTGTGCTGAATGGGTGGACAAGGGTTTAACTGCAATGACTATCATAGAAGACAGTTTCACTAAACTCCAATCACCTTTCATGTATGGCAATTAGCCTGGTATTGCAGGCCAAATGTATCCTGTTGTCAGAAAAACTATATTTCAGGTAACCACTGGGATGCAAAGAAAGATGCCTTTAAGACAACTCACTCTCTGCTATCTGCATGTTGCGGCTTACCACTAGCTGTGGCATGCAGATAGCAGAGACTTGGAGTGAGTTGTCTTAAAAGCATCTTTCTGGGAATCCCAGTGACCACTCGAAATATAGTTTTTCTGACAATAGGATATGTTCTGCCTGAGACACAGGCTAATTGCCCTAATGAAAGGGGATCAGAGGATAGTAAAATTGTCCTCCAAATGGCTAGCCATTGCAATTAAACCTTTGTCCACCAATTCAGCACTGGTGTTGCCACAGCTTAGTTGTGACTAAGCAGCAAAATAAGACATGGCTCAATGAAGGGGTGCACTTTCTGAATGCCTATTATCAAGAGCTTATACTGGTAGTCCACATATTTGGTGTTTTATACTGTATGCTTCACAATCAGGTGACTACAAAAAAGTTAGTTACCTGTATAAGCTCTGGATAATAGACTTTCGGAAACTGCACCCCTTTTCTACTTAGCTATAAAATTCATTGAGCTATGTCTTATTTTTCTGCTTAGTTGCAACTTAGCTATGGCAACACTATTCAGCATGATGGACAGTCAATGTTGATTGAGGAGGTAACACAGCGTGCGGCCAGAAGAAAATCGTTGTAAATATCCTCCGGCGGACTACCATCGTCGTGACAGAAGGTGGTGAAGTGAAGGGAATAATGCCCGCACAAACTCCGCAAGGGACAGTTGGCGAATGAGTCGTTAGACGGCGTGAAACAGGCTCAAAATCGGGCACGAACGGTGAGTGATGCAGCTAGCGCTAGCAATAGGTCATGTAAATGTCCAAACTATCAGCGGTGTAGCATTTAATACAATTACCGCTCATGGGATCCTCAGGATCATGACCGCAGAGTCGGATGATGCTTGGGAGTAAACAAGATATGTGGGACACATCAATTCTTTCTCCTCTTCGCCTTCTTTTTCTCCTTTCCTTCGACCTCCTCATCCTCGACGTCTTCGGGTACATCCACCGTTGCTGGCCCAATAGGTGCAACATTAATCACCGGGGTAGTCGATGTCACAGCATTCCCATTCGGTGCAGCCTTGGGAGCGTCACTGGCTGAATTGTCTTCGGGCTCATCGCTCCAGGCCCATGCTTGCTTGAGGTCACCTTCAACGGCAGCAGTCACAAAAAACGAGATTATGCCAGCAGGGCTAATCATGGAGTTAGCTGTAGACTGGGCGGACTTAGTTCGAGTATAAACACCTGAGGTACAGAAGGGCTGGTTGAGCCACCCTGAAATAATGCATCACGAACATCGTGGTGAACAAGCCTGCAACGTAAGCGAACAAAGCTGAATTGAAGTAGGGCGTCTTGAGGCGACTTCGCGGAGATGCCTCTGAATGGCGATGATGATCGTAGCGGAGAGCCAACGCGACAAACAGCCCTGGTATGACGATGTCACCCAAGCCTAGCATTGTGAAACCCCTGGTTGTGGCGAAGGATAGGGACTTGGGCCACAGCACTTTGATAGGAATGTCGAGCGATGTTGCGACTTTCACCATCTAAAGATATTTCGAGGTGAGAAATGACGACACTCACGAATGCTTCTCGCAGCTCGGAACTAACCACTTCTGTTCCGAAAACCCACCACACGTCGTAGAGGAAGAGACCAGATAGCAACGCACAACCAGCTTTGAACGAATCGAGTTTCAATAATGATATTGCGTTGTGCGAGAATGAAAGAGCGAGAACGTCAGTGAGCAGAGCAGATTTACGGGTAGTACTTGGTCCGAAGGTATACAGAATGGAAGGTATGGCGCCAAGCGGGGCGATATACCATGAGGGAGTCCTCATGGAAATGGATATAACCTCTGTTGGTGCGTTAGTTACAACAGTGGCTTGTCGTGGGAGACATAGCTGGCCTTTGGGTCCCTTCAGGAAGAGTATTTGGAGCTTATCAAACTTTTTCCAGCGTTGCGCGCCTAAGGTGAACTTGGCCAACGAGACCAAAGACTGAGGTGCAATCGAATGAATCTGAAGGCAACTGGCAGAGTATGATATCTACCTTGCTGACACTCCCAACACCAGTTACAGTAAAATACCACTGCAGCAACCAGTTGATCCATTCTTCTCCATAAAACTTCACGACGAGGTATAGCCCGAATAGTACTGCGGACCCCAGCTGTGTAAGGTGAACGACGTCGTTCCGACAGAGTGTAGAACTGTAAGTCTCACAATTGGGAAGAGATAGACATCTGCGGAGGACAGCCTTTCTGGGATTTCCTCTTCCTCCTCATCGTCCGTGGATTTATCTGCCACTGGCTGTCCGGGCTTCGACTTCCGCGCCTAGGTGCTAGCGGTTTTATATATTCAGCGGGAGACACGCATGGAGTGGGAAACTGACGGTCAACGAGCCATAGGAGCCTGCACATATAGAGCATGTAGCGAGAGTGAGGAGACCGGCGTAAGAAGAGAGGAGGTCCCAGTCGGTCATAGCAAGGTCGCGGTTGCGTGCGTCACGCGGTGGCGCGCAGAACCGCGTCGGTTTGCGACTGTTTGGTGCATCAACTCATGTGCCCCGGTCGGGCGTCTGTCAGAAAATCCCTCTCCCGGACACGTTCACTAGCCAGGGAATCTCCGTTTTTTATGTCTTCCGCATTTCTTGGTATGTGTAGACATGTCAATGTTATTACGTGTCATTATATCTTACTCATGAACTACGCTGACACCCGTACAGCCAATGGCAGGCGAATTCGGAATGCACCCCGTGAATTCCGAATTGTCGACCTGCATATATTGGCTGACTCGGAGCTCCTCATGGCCTTCACCATCAACCCCCTTTCTCTTCCAAACCAAGCAAGGTTCATTTAACCGGCCCCGCTTTCTTTCTTCCCCTCTTTGAGCAAACCCTGAGCATGCAAACCCCTCTCATACTGCCTTACGTGCAGTGGAAGAGCTGGAGAGAACGGATTCGGTAATATCTGTCTGTAGATGCTAGAAATTTTGATATCCTGACCATAGTGCAATCGTGCAGAAATTTTACTCCAGCGTGGCATGCGGTCATCATGGGTACTGGTGTCGTTTCTGCTCTCCTGCACAACTTTCCATACGGTTCGGACAGGGAGCCTCTTCGCGTTGCGGCTGCCTCCTTCTTCCTCTTGAACTTAGTCCTTTTTGTGTTTGTTTGTGCCTGCACCGTCGCGCGGTACTTCGTGTTTCCACAGGTCAGTCCGCCAGTGTGGGCCACATGTACCTCGAGTAACCCCGTCTCGTTGCAGACTTGGCCCCTCATGCTTGCGCATCCTTCTCAGAGTCTTTTCCTTGGTTGTTTTCCAATGGGTGTAACCACTCTGATCAACGCTGGCCTGGTATGCCTACAGTCCAGTATTTCCATTATATTCTCGCTGATAACCTTGTAGAATCTGCACCAAGATTGGGGTTTCGGAGGAAATGGGTTTCTGTACTTCCTCTGGGGCTGCTGGTGGCTCGACTCTGCCATATCCTACCTCACAGCGTTTGGAATGCTCTACGTAATGTAAGGGTATATTTTTGACAGACATTTCAGGCAGCTATCTTACCTGCAGAATAGGTCCGTCCGACAGGAACACTCGACGACCAATATGGCAGCTGTCTGGCTTCTGCCATTCGTTACTCTTGTCGTCGCGTCATCTACCGGCGGTCTCCTTGCGAATGCACTTCGGTCCCATTCTACAACACTGGCCCTGCTCACCGTAGGGATCGATTTCGTCATGGTCTCGACAGGTCTTTCATTTGCACTCATGATCATCACCGTCTACCTTCTCCGCCTGATCCTTCATGGAATCCCTGACCGTTCACTCATCCTGTCAGCTTTCATTATCATTGGGCCACTCGGACAAGGCGGATACTCTCTCCTAGTCAATGGGCAGAGTCTCTCAGAGCTTCTGCCATTGCATAACTTCGGCAATTTTCCTGAGGCACCGCTTGCAGGGCAAATACTATTTGCAAGTTGTTTTTGCGGCGCCTACGTTCTGTGGTCCATGGGCGTTGCATGGATCTTGGTCGCCTGCTCGTCAGTGTTTTACGTTGTGCAGCGCGGGGCTGTGCCGTTCTCTTTGGGTTATTGGGGTCTTGTCTTCCCCAACGGCGTCTTTGCTCTGCTGTCAGTGGAGCTCGGCGTTATCCTCAATAGTCCATTCTTCCACGCCTTTGGAACGCTTTGGTCAGGTAGCGTCAAATTTTCGCGTCTCTTACCGACAGCGCTGACCTGCCCTATAGTTGTGGCTTTTGCCCTCTGGCTGTTTATCTTTTTGCGGAGCGTTCCGTCGTTCATAGATGGATCGATGTTCCTGGCACCTTGCCTCAAGAACAATACCATCGCGATGATTTCTGTTGATGAAGAGAGCAAGGTTATCGACTGAGCTTCTGTTGTCCTTGCTAACACTTTCCCTTTCTCTTGAAGTCATGATTACGATTACCTATATCCTAACGCTAAATATACCGCTGCATAACTCCTGTACGTAGACATGTACGTAGACACTGCAAACTGGACAGGGTTTGCTAAGAGTTCTGCCTTCTGCGTTCTACAGTATCATGAGGTGTTCCTACTCACCTGCTATAAGAGGACGCGGATCGCCATATTAAGCGTGGCAGTCGTGTCATTTACAATACTGCAGTGTATCACACGTATAGACAGACTCTCACGACTTGCTCAACCTGACTGCGCCGCTGCCCCATGCCAGACCGTTCCGAGTACCAGCCGCTGGTACAGAGCATTGACGAGGAGGAAACAGATGTTGTCGAGGGTCTCTCACCCTTACCGCAGGCGCGGTTAGCGCGGGCGCACCGTCCCGGAAACATCGACCTCGGCAAGCTGGACAGCGCGTTTAAGAGGTATGTCGACATGCCATTTCTTGGGATGTGCCGCTAATGAGAGACGTGAGGTGGACGGAGTCTATTGCGCAAAAAGTGAAGCGGAAGAGGAAGGTGGAGCACTATTCACGGAAGCCGATATGGCACAGTGTATTTGGCCCTCCCATCACTGCTTTCCCCGTTGAGAATGGCCCAGTAAGCTCGGATATTTTTATATTTGACAGGCTGGTGCTAAAACTGCGGGCGCAGGTGAAGACTCTCGACCACAAGCCTCCAATGGCACAGGAAGACTACGACATGTGAGCTTTCGATGTGCATGGTGCTGCGCGCAGCTGATTGACGGGAAAAGACTCATTCAAGCAGTTCGCGATGCTATTTCGGACGGTATACACCCAAAAATGATTTCCAAGGGATCGTCAGGTTCGTACTTTGCCCGGGCGAAGATCGACGGACATGTGCAGACGGTTGCGTGAGCCTCCTCAGCATGTTTGCTACTGGGTAAGTTACTAAAGTATGGAGGGCACAGAGTGTTCAAACCGAAGGATGAGGAGCCATATGGGCGACTGAACCCGAAGGCAGGTCGTCTGTGGAAAGTGTAGTGTGTCAACTGAGTGCCCCACATTAGACCACGAAATGGCTTCACAGACAATTCAAATGGATCATACCCTTTGGCCGAGCTTGCCTCATACCTAACCTCAGGTGGGCGAATTTGGGGATTGCTTTGCAGAACCCTAGTTCATCTTTTCTTCAGCTATATATCCGAAGCCGCTGCATCACTACTGGACGAACGACTAGAGCTGTACATAGTGCCTCGAACACAACTTGTATCTTTGTCGAGTCCGGTACGTGTTATTGAGCTCCGTGCCATACCATGCCTGACGTTTGCGCAAGGCGTTTTTCTACGACTGGATAGACAGGAATGCAGCAAAGAAGGGGAAGCCACTACCAGACAAGATTGGGAGCATGCAGTATTTCCTTCATGGGTACACCGGTATGACATGCTGCCACGGAACCACCGGTCCCCCTCTGACATCATCACAGATGCTTCTGACTTCCTCCGAAAATACCCATGGCCGGGTCGCGCCATTTCGGACACATTCGATGATTCGAGCCACCGGAGAGGTATTTTCAGCAAGAAGTTCCTTTCTACACTGAAAATAATCTGCGGCAAGACGGGAGAAGAAGAGGACATGTATGACGAGGATGACCGGGAAGACGAGCGCGTCCTCTTCGACGTTACCGAAACTCGCACCGGTCAGCCTTTCTACTGGAGTCCAGCTCTGCAGGACAACTTCCGTGAAGAACTAGAGAAGTACGTCGTTTTAATTTCCGCTCTTCAGATGTCCAGTTGATATTGCACTCTACAGACTCGTCATTTTGGGTATGAGTTCTCTAGGTTTCATTGACACATTCTCTCACGGTGCTTTGCAGACTATCTTATGCTCAATACCGATCGCGGGGCTGACAACTACATGATCAAATACTGTGAATTTGATCATGGGAAGTCCTTGGTTGACGTCGCGCCCGGCCGGATATCACGATTGGAAATGCCCATGATGACAGAGCTGCGGCGCACCGACTCATCGAGCGGTTCGTCGCAGATGGACGCCGTACCATCAATGATGCCGACGTCAACTCAGTATGGATATTCGAATCCTCATGTCCCTTACACCCGACAGCCTCACATTCACATAGCTGCGATTGACAACTCGCTGTCGTTCCCTCATGAGCACCCTCGCGGTTGGCGTTCGTACACCTATGGGTGGCTCTACCTCCCGGTCACCATTATCGGACGTCCGTTCAGCCAGAAGACTCGTGATCACTTCCTTCCGCTACTGACTTCAAAAGAGTGGTGGACTGAAACGACGTTTCAGCTACGGAAGTTGTTCGCAGTAGATCCTGACTTCCATCCTAAGATGTTCAGTGTGAGATGGCTCAGTCTCAGTCTCCCTACGAGTTGCTCACCAGAATGCAGAGACAATTGGCGGTGGTTAAGGGTCAAGCTTGGAATATAGTGCAGTCGCTCAAACACTCTGTGAGTTGACGTGCGTAGCATACCTGTTGAAACCAGGCTCATTTCATTCTTACAGGATGAAGGTGATATTCGTTTTACTTGCTCTGAATCCATGCTCATATTTTGTAGGACCTTTGGAACTCACACGGCGCACGAAAGTGCTGGTGTGGGACGACGAAGTGGAAGTCACGGAGGAAATGCTCCCAGACCTGCCTAGCGGTGGCCCGCACTCCCCACACCCCGCATCATCACCACAAGCGTCAGTAAACACTGTGCCTCTGCCCCACGTAAAGCGCACGCGTAGCCAGAGTACCTCTGATTTCCCTCCACCAACTCACCGCTCGTCGACGGAATTCAGCGGCGTCTCACGTCCTGTCTCGTTTTCTGCTAAATTCTCCCGCGTACATCCCGCAACCACAGGTGTTACTGTACTCGAGCATATGGAGCGGTTAGATGCGGTCGAGGCAGGTCTAAAGCGTCTGGCGGTAGACGACACTGATGAGGAAGATGACGGGCAGGAGGTGGATGTAGGAGAGGTATCAAGACTTGAACCATCCACGTCTGGGTCTGCGTCGACCTCGCAGGAACGTGGTGGAGCAGCTACAACAGGGATGCTGTCACCTGTGGCGCCGTCCGAGCGACTCCCAGCCGTGCTTGAGGACGCTATGTCATCGTCTATCACGGAGGAAGACGTCGTAGCGATGTCCAAGTCGATGTCGCACATGGAAACATCACCCTCAGCGGGAGGTGGGCATTGGACAAGTTTCAATGACCCCCAAGTGGCACGACGGAGCTTGGATTGGATGCGTACAGATCCACCCGAAAGTCCTAAGCAGCGGACAGCGATTATGGAGGTAAGATACGAAGGATTCTGTATTCGTGCAGAGAGCTGACCATTACCGTTGCAGCGACTTGAGACTGTCGACACGAAGCCATTCTTTTCCTGCTGGTAGGAACACTTCGCGTTACAGACAATGCTTGTAGATGGTCAGGGTGTAATATAGCATGAGACCTTAGTGTACAACTTCGCTGTGGTCGGCGCAGCGCGCAACCGGATTTTGTAACTTGTAATATCAATCCATATTATGGAACAGCGACTCCTCAATCCCCTTCGGTCATCAGCCATTGCGCAAAGTCATCAAGACGTTTTTTCTCGCTCTCGTCTTCACCCACGAAGGACTCATCAGTGGTCCGCTTAAAGCGCTGCTTGCCTGCATAAAGCGAGGCTTCGACGCGACGACCAGCGAAGAAACGACCGTTCATTTTCTGCAGACAAGTGTGAGCCCAGACGTCAACTATAATCGATTGATTTGCTCACCATTACACAGGCTTGTGCGCTGAGGGGGTCACGGAACTTGACAGACATAATGCCATCGGGCTCCTTCTGCAAGACGACTCGATTGATAAGTATGCGTACGTGATGAACGCGAAGACACGCACATCATACAACACCACGTTAGTAACTTCACCCAGTGTTGAGCACTCTTCCCGGACATCTTCCTTCAGGTCCAGCAACAAGGACGCGTCTTGCTCGAGTTCATCCAGCGTAAACATGTATTTAAGCACCACTACGCGGTTGTTCTTGTTTGTCGCGTTGGCCTTATCCTCTTCTGTTATATGTGGCCCAAATCCGTCTTCGTCGTCCCACTCACCCAGCTTCCTGTAAAGCACCATCAGACAACGCCCAGTAAGCAGTGAGCAGAGTGGAACGCACTTCTGCATCTTCCCGATCCGTCGGGATGCTCTCTTCTTGTCCGTAACAGTCTTCCGTGGCTTTGCCTCTCCGCCTTCTGCAGCTCCCTTCTCATGTTTGTGTCCGAACTCTGCACGCTGTACTTTCATCCGTGTACTCGCGTTGCCAATCCTGAGCTCGGTGTCATCCAGGAGGCTAACTGCGAGATTCACCGAGTCTTCCTTGAAATACACGACGAGTGCTTCACCGCTGAACGTGCCATCCTCTCGTGCATACATTTTCACCTTCGGGTGCCCGTCGTCGTCCTCCTCGATCAACCCGAAGCGTGAGAAGCACTCCACCAATTCGTCTGCTTCTGTGTCAAGGGGAAGGCTTGTCACGTATACCGCGGTGTTCTTCGACTTCCGCTCAGGCGGAGCTGCTCCATTATCTTTGGAGGACAAGGCGGCACCCTTCTTGCTACGCTTGATGGAGGACCCGGAGGGTTGGCCCACTGTGCTGGAGGTGTAGTCTTCGGGCTCCTTCCGCTTTTTGGCCGTGCGGGCAAGGACAGGGGCGGCGGGTGTCTGTGTTTGCAGGCACGAAGGATATCGGGTAGGGCACGCAGAGAGGCGGGGGTGCAGGTCAGCGGGGCCATCAGAGAAGAATAGCCCTGCTCGTAGAATACCCAGTACGATCACGTACCTCCTCGTCGACCCCCGCGACCGAATATGCTGCTTGCTGAGCTTTCACGAGGTCCTCGTCGACCTACCACAGACACGTGTATCTCAGTGGATATCCTGCATTTCGAATATGTTCGTGAGAAGGGTTTACCAGGGGTAGCCATGCTCCCTTCGCAGCATCATACTCCAACTCTGTCCCATCGTCGTTCTCCAGTCGCCATGCCCCTGCGGCACGGTCAAAGTGCACACGGGGGTCATCGGCAAAGGCGGCGGCTTGCTCTGCGGCTGTAGAACCCGCGACAGCGGCCGGCGGTGCCGCAGAATTTGGCTCGGACGTCGACATGGTTGCGGTACGCGCTAGGTGCTATTTGGCGATATTTGTCGCACCCCGTCACCGTTGTGGGCGACGATGTCAGGGAAACCAAAGAGTGGACGTGATGAACAACGGCTATGTACAAGATTCAGATATCCGTCCGTCGGCATCACACATGTCGCAGTACAAGCGACGCGTTTCACGAAAATATGCATCCAAGTAGCAACTGCGCGCATGCCATCCAAACTTAACTCGCAAATTATTCCATCTACATTCGCATACGTCTACTTGTAGAGTAGCATGGGAAAGTATGCGTTGGAATCGTGAGGTGCATCTTGCGTACGCACGGGCGTCCAGCGCTTGAACGCAGTGGGCAACTTGGGCGGAAGCTTAGATTCAGAGTATGCCTTGCGCGCGGATATAATGGTCGCGATCGCCACAGTGAGGTCGACGGGCTCTGGGGTTGTCACAGGAACTGACGTCTTGTCCGCCTGCTCACCTTCAGCTGGCGCGGTGACACTGTCGCGTCGCGGGATCAGGAGCGGTGGAGGAGAAGGTCAGGTGCCGGACGTACGCTTGCTGGGCCTCGGAATGCTGGATGAGCAGCGAGGAGAGTTCAGTCTGAGTGACGACAGAGAGCCGGGGGTATGCGCGCCGCACGTCGCGTTTCCAGTACGGATTCTGCGCCGGATCGGAAGCTGAGCGTATGTGAGCACGGAAACAACAGTTCAGCAGATATGAATGACAAACCTTTGGTGGCAGGGGTGGAATACTCCTCTGGACGAGAGCCTGGCTGGGGGTAGCGGTTCAGACTGACGACAGGTATGCCGCTGGAAATCTCAGGATTGACGACGACGGCATCCCCTACGAATGTGTTAGTGATGATAGCAATTCAAAGCATGGGTCACGCACTAAATTTCTTCCAGAAACCCTTCGGGCTGAGATGATAGAGTGTGTGGTCGGCGGCCTTGCGAGTGGCCATGGCTGTCGATGCTGAGATGCTCGGCTGCGTTCGCTGAACTCAAGTGGCAAGTCACATGGCCCCTTCTTCACAGCGTCGACGTCGGCAAACACTTGCTTTCGTTCTCCCATCTACCGCTGGCCATGCGCTGACACATTGTCTGAGGTTCTCTCTATTTATGCCGCTCCCGGTGGCCGTGCGCTTTCCACGAAACGTGCAACTCAAGGCCTTGTTTGACACACTGGCGTCGCAACGTTAATTTGGTTGATTTCACTGCGGTTATTCCGACATCTTTTTCTCTCTTGCTCTCCGTTCGCCGGAGTGAATCTCAGATACTGGTTTTTGCCTCGCAGGCACGCTGGTATATCCCATATTGTCGAACGGTGCGACTGGTGGCCGGTGATTTCCTCGCGTCGGCATTCATGACTCAGTCTAGCTAATCTGTGCTGTGAGGATCGCGCAATCTCGGACTCGTCGTCACACAACTGCACGCCATCTATTCATCTCGGCCTCTTGCGATGTTGTTTTGTCCAAATTGGCGACGTTGCTACTTTAAGGGCATGCTGTCGATTCTGACAATTCGGAATTCCTCAGACTGACGAAATCGCACGTCTGGAGATATATAAGTCGTCGAACTATGTAGGTCGAATATTCAACCCCTCCTCGCAGACTTCAGATCGCGGTCTCTGTTGCGCACTAGAGGCACTGATTCTTCCAATGGCTCAAGCTGCTGTTGCTTCTTACGTCCCCGTCGAGAATGCATATTCGGCCGCTGCATTCACTGCACGGGACTCTACTCTTCTTGTGCACAAGACCGTCAAATCAAGTCACACCGTCCCATCTGCAAGAGATACTCCCCCTTCCCTTCAGGCTGATCCTCACCAGCTCCCGACCTTCTCCCGGAGCACTTCGCCCATTCTATACCTGCCTCCTCTTCTGTCCTCTCTCCCGCGCGGATACCCACAACCAAGCCTGCCCTCTGCACCTCGAGTCACACCGCTCTCCAGTGCCGCGCGTCTTCCTTCCATCGACAGCGCATCGCTTGCTCTCCACCGCGCACTACATCACTTCCGTGCGGTGACGCCCGAGTATTCGAGCATCCCGTATGCGGAGGCCTTCAACTGGGGCGAACTCGAGCTCCCGGAAGAGGAAGAGCGCGAATGGTACTGCGTCGCGTTCCGCAGCAAACGGCGCGAAAGCAGCGACGGTGGGCGTAAGTACTCAGGTATTTGAGTTGGGTTCACACGAAGTCTGATGACGGCTCTTCAGCGCTGTATGAAGCGGACAAGAAAGCCCACGAAGAGGCTGTGCAGAATGGAGGAGTGAGCCCACTATTGCCTTGATTCTTCCACAGCGAGTAGTACTTACACTGTCCCTCTAGCTCATCCTGTATTGGTACGGGACACCACACCCGGAGACTGGTGTGAATCTCGCGACGTGCATCTGGCAGTCGCGTGCTCATGCTGCTGCAGCAAACTCGCGCCCTCACCACGTCCGTGCGATGCGCCTCGCGGCGATATTTTACGAGCGGTACGAGCTCGAACGCTACTGTCTCTTAAAAGTTCGTGGACAGCGTGGTGTTGAGGTCACACCGTTCGTGGGCGGAAGCGTTGAGCGCTTGAAGACTGGCGTATAATCTGTTTTTTTCTATCTCCGTCGGGTCATTCTGTTCTTGTCCTTGCTGTCGTTATATAGTCCCGCTGTTTGCATGTCTCGTCTTGATACCGTACATATATTCGTCATATTAGAATGTGGTTCGTAGTACCGACTGTATATGCATCTAGCTCTTACGTTTGCTGATACCATACGCATTCGCGATTGCGCAATGGCCCACTTGACGTTGTTGACAGAATAATATCGCGTGGTCTGGAAGACGCGGTCACCATCCCGCCAACACGCCCGACGTGGTCTGCGAGCTCCGCTGGTGCTGACAGTCAGTGGTCGGGGATGCCGTTAGTGAAGTATACACGTCAGACGCGCTGTGGGAGACGCGTATCTTGTAATCGGCCGCTGCCCAGCTGCAGACTCTTGCTTGCAGTCCTCCACCTCCTCCATGCTTAAGCAGGATTATGTCCTCCTCTCCTCCCACCATGATCGCCTCCCCCTTCACCGTGGACATCCCCAGCAGTCGCATAGGACATTCTGGAGAAGCCTCTTCTTCGTATTCTCTGCTCTGATCCTGGTCGGCTTACTAACTCGACATTCACTCTCTCGTTTCTGTCATGCCCGCCTTCACCACCAGGGCAGCTCACGACGGCGTGCCCCGTCCAACACACGGAACCCTGCATATATCGTAGAAGCCACCAATGGCGCGGTCGCCAGCGAGAATGAGGTGTGTTCCCAGATCGGCGTCGATACGCTCAAGCTCGGCGGTAACGCCGTGGATGCAATCGTGAGCACGACCTTCTGCATCGGCGTCATGAACATGTTCTCGTGAGTCGTGCACCGTTCCTCCGCCTGCACGCGGCGTTGATCGCACACCCAAGTTCCGGCATCGGGGGAGGGGGATTCATGACCGTGCGCATTCCCCCCTCTTCCCCAAACGCGTCCTCGGAAGTATACAGCATCGACTTCCGCGAGGCAGCACCCGCCGCGGCGAACTCCACGATGTACGTGAACAACCCGATCGCGTCGCTCATTGGGGGTCTCGCCGTCGGCGTGCCTGGCGAGCTGCGCGGGCTACAGGAGGCGCACAAGCGGTGGGGCAGCTTGCCCTGGAGCACCCTCGTCCATCCCAGCGTCGAGGCTGCGAAAGGATGGCGAGTCCCCAAAGAACTTGCGCGCAGAATCCATATGCCGGTGCGACACCGTGTGCTTGAGCTGACGCACAGCCTGGGCTGAACTGGAGCAGGTTTTCTGTGATTTAATGCAGGATAATTCAGATTGGAGTTCAATCTTTGCTCCCGAGGGTAGGCTGCTGGAAGAAGGCGATATAATACGCCGTACGAACCTTTCGCGTACGTTGGGCACGATCGCAGCCGAGGGTCCGGACGCATTTTACAAAGTATCTAGCGCTGGTAATGAAGACGCGCGTACTCTACTAACTCACTTCTACCTCTAGGGTCCCATCGCAGACGCCATCGTGGAGAAAGTTCGCGCTAGTGGAGGCATCCTGACGCACAAGGACCTCACAGACTATCGGGTGCGCGTAAATCGAGCTCTGCAGGGGACATATCGGGGCAGGAAAATCTACACCCCTCATCCTCCGACATCTGGCCTCGTGCTAATGCATATGCTGAATTTAATGGAACATTACGACGACCTCACGGAAGAGGGAAGAACCCTACTAAACACCCATCGTTACATTGAAGCGATGAAATGCAAGTTTCTAGCCATATTAAAATTTCACTGGCTGACCAGCCTCGCTCGTAGTCGGGTTCGCGGCGAGGTAGGCGGGATATTGTGCTAGGAAGTCAAAATCATCATTGAGATGATGATGCCCAGGACTAAAGTCTCTGATCCAACTTCCGCTGATGATCTAGATCGTATGTCTGAGATTCCGACCAAGAAGTTCGGCCAAGAGATTTTTGGCAATATTACTGACGTGAGTCCTCGCGAGCGTTCTACAACTTGTGCATTCTATCCGCCAAATGTCGGAAATGCCGTTAGACAGTGGCATCTCCGACATTTGTCAGAATAATGTTGGCTGTAGTTTAAGAGTCCTGATGCATTATGTAGGCCCAAACCCACTCACCTGAATACTATAACCCGGTCTACGACGTTGTCGTCGATCACGGAACGGTATGTAGAGCATTTCATTTTGAGAGTTACGGTCGAGTAATCTGAGATCCCAGAGTCATTCATCCATAGTCGATAAGAACGGAATGGCGGTTGCATTGACATCCACTGTTAACTTGGTATTTGGATCCCAAGTCATGGACCCTATCACAGGTGTGATCCTGAACGACGAGGTAGGTGCGGCCGCATCTCCATCAGATGTATCCTCAGATGTTTGCAGATGGATGATTTCTCCACGCCCGGCATGCCAAACGCATTCGGACTGTATCCGTCTCCTTGTAAGCACACGACTTCGCGTTCGTCGCTTGTATCTGATGCGCCTCAGACAACTACCCCGAGCCGGGAAAGCGCCCGCTCTCCTCAACCACCCCGACGATCATGGAGCACGAGGACGGCTCGTTCTACCTCGCAATCGGTGGATCTGGCGGGTCAAAAATATTCCCCGCGGTATTTCAGGTGATCCTGAACCTCGACTGGGGAATGGACGTCAGCGCGGCGATCGAGCACGGACGCCTGCACGATCAGCTGTACCCGCTGGAGGTCGAGGCAGACAGTGTGTACGACCCGGAGCTGCTGGAAGGGCTCAAGATTTTGGGACATAATGTGACTGGTGAGCGTTCCCGTTCCCCTCGTGTGTTCACATGTCGATTGCTATGCAGTGTCGAACATCAATCGCGTCGCGTCTGTCGTGCAGGCAGTCGTGAAGAAGGGGGATACGATATACGGTATGCCCGCAGCTATGTATGCCCCGTCTTCGCACCATGACTCACGCTCTCGTTCGGCAGCTGCAAGTGATTCGAGGAAGAACGGGATTGCTGCGGGATATTGACATTGTTTTACCTAACCTAATAGATTCCGTATTACGCTTCGCTCCGGTCATGCTGCTGGTAACCTGACGACTGGCAGTGTCTGGTCGAAGGTGAGTTTTTCCACCCCGTCCATCGTGGTGTGCATCACGTGTGGGGGGAGTGCGTCGAATACTGCACTGAAGCCGGGTCGCAGCGAGCACGGTCCTCGCGTGCCGCTGCACCTGCGGATCTTCTTCGTGATTGCAATTTAACCGGCGCGAGAAGAAGCAAAGGAGATGTGTCGTTTCGCGGCCTCGTTCGTCGTGGGTGTGCTCACGCGGTGGCGACGAGTCTACTAGCGAGACGGAAATGCACCCTGGGGTAAATCTCGGAGTTCGTGCGAACTGCGAGAATCTGCCGACTGCATAAGGCTGAGGTCCGCATGGGCGACTTCGGGCCTTTCGCTAGTATAAAGGTCGGGTCGGCGCGTCCTGCAGAGCGAGTGTCTCTGGCTCTGAGACTAAGATGTTTGTGTGTCTTGCTGCTCTCGCTTTGGCGGCTGTATCTGTTGTGGATGCGGCGGTGCTGCCGGTGAGTACGAACCGGAACGTGCATTGAGCTCTCACTCAGCCAACGGTGGCCTTGCTAGATTGCTCGGAGAGGTGGGCAACGATTTGCGTTGACGGGGCACTTAGCATACTCATTTCTCGACCGCAGCATCCGTAACAGGCTTCGTGAAAACCTCAGGGACAAATTTCACGCTAAACAGTGAGCCATACACCGTCGTAGGGTAACCTTTCTCCCCCTGGTGCGTAAGTGCAAGCTCACCGTTTTCTCGCAGTGCCAACTCGTACTGGGTGGGCCTCATGGGCCTCACCACCGCGGAGATGGACCAGGCGTTCTCCGACATCGCAGACGCTGGAGCGACCACGGTGAGAACTTGGTAAGTAGCCGTTGCCGACGTCAGATTGTCTGCTGGAGATGACGCAGGGGCTTCAACGACGTGACGACGCCGAGCGGCGACTATTACCAACTGTGGACTAATGGGACCGCTACGATCAACTACGGTTCTACCGGGCTCGAGAACTTCGGTGACTTTTGTGCTGAAATTGGAATGTGTGCCGTGGCTGACGCAGTCTGTGCTATGTCTTACAGATAATGTCGTCGCTGCTGCGAAGTCATACGGCATCAGGCTCATCGTCACCTTGTTGGTGCAAGCCACTGCACCTGTGGTAGAGCCCAGACACTAAACACATTTTGCAGGACGAACAACTGGGACAACTATGGTGGCATGGACGTCTATGTCAGCCAGTTAACAAATACGTCATACCACGATCTGTTCTACACTACGCCCTCTATTATCGTGAGTTATTGCGAATCTTTTTGTGGCGCGCTGGTTATTAAATAACGATGGTGCACCAGGCGGCATACAAGAGCTACGTCTCCGCATTCGTGGGTCGCTATGTGGACGAGCCGGGCATCCTGGGCTGGGAACTTGCCAACGAGCCGAGGTGCACGGGGTCCACTGGGTATGCGTGCGTATATTTCGAGTCGAATAACGGCTGATGCGCAGAGGACAATGTAGTGTCTCGACGGGGAATTGCACCACGACGACGATCACGCCATGGGTAGAGGAGATGTCGGCGTACATCAAGTCCATCGATAGCAACCACCTCGTAGGGTTGGGCGACGAAGGATTCTACAACTTCCCTGGTGCGACGGACTGGCCGTACGCGTACGCATCTTCCCTGTCTGCATTTGATGTGGTCACGGAAATGACCTGTTTCTTAGAGGTGGTGAAGGAATAGACTTTAATGCTAACCTCCAGGTCTCCACTATTGATTTCGGCACTGCCCATGTGAGTTCGGTCAGCATTACTCGCGAGGATCGCACGATAACTTGATTCTCCCACAGCTGTACCCGGTTAGCGTGTCTCCCCTTGTCCAGAGTCCGACATAGTCCTGACCGCTGTGCGCAGGGATCGTGGTCCGAGTCTGATCCCATCCCGTGGGGCGACACGTGGATCGAGTACCACGCGCAGTCGCAGCACAACTACAGCAAGCCCGTGTTGTTGGAGGAGTTCGGGGTGCTGACGAACATGACGGACACGTATACCTCTTGGTATTCAACAGTTCTGAGCTCTGGGCTTGCTGGCGATCTGATTTGGTTAGTATCCATTTCGTGCGCGCTGTTGCGTTGCTGAACCCAGGGTTGAAGGCAAGCTGGCTCATACCTTGCAAGTGGCGCGACGCCGGACGATGGCTTTACTGTATGTTACTCCGAGCGACGTTTCTGTGTTCGTCAGCTGATTTGGGGTCCAGATCTATCCTAATAACACCATCTACCAGCTTGAGGCTTCCTCCGCGCAAGCCCTGAAGGTCAGGAATGGGTCGCCTGTGTAGTTCTGCCTCATGGTAGAGCAATGAATGGACTCTAGTTTACGTGTGTTTGACAACTCTGAATGGACAATATGCGTAATCTCAACGTGAAGCGTGAGATTCAAATTTTCGCTGAGCGCGGGTGGCTGGCGAAGTAATGCAAGATATTGAGACGACTCGCGTGCTGTCGTGAATGTTTCCTGTCGTTACTCGCTCCAGTGTACAGTTTCTCGGACTTACACATAGCGCACCGAACGGCTCGTAGTGCGTTGGTACAAAATATTGGTCCAGCCAACGCCGTGGTATAGCAGGCTAATGTCCCCTCGTTCCTCTCCCAAGCGCCGATGGTGCGCATTCTGGTGGCATTCCGTTTAGGAACTTTCTGCAGCTCGTCCGAGTCTTCCCCCTCGATGTCTATCTCCGGTCTCGTGTCTTCTTCCCTTTCACGCATATGCGTCTCCTCGTTCGACTCGGACACGGGTCATGGATGCGATGCCTCTTCCCAGACAACGGCATCCATGACCATTCTGCAGGACCCATCTTTGACCGTACACCTTCTCGGGGCCATTCTCGAGACCAAGTCTGGGATAGCCTCCTTATCTCGCCTTGCACGCACCTGCCAGGCACTGAAAGAGCCTGCACTGTCGCTTCTCTGGAGAGAGCTTCGTGGTCTAGCTCCCCTCATCGCCCTCTTCCCCAACGTTATTCAGCGCACCCTTCGGGGTCGCGATTCGGTACGCCGTCATTCCTTTTTTAATGAAGAATTTCTCTATTCCCAACTAAGGCTCTTGAATAGATCCGACCGAAAGATTGGTCTCGTATCCTGTCATACAGCACTTATGTGCGCAGCCTCGTGTGGACCTCCTGCGATGCCCCATCGTATTTCTGGTCTCTGTTAGAAAGTAGTCGCGGCAGACCAGACTATATCCTACCAAACCTCACTTCTCTGGAATGGGTCGACACGTCTGCGGGAAGCCTGGAGCATTGCCAGTTGTTTTTAGGCCCTCAGTTGGAGTATATTGCTCTGCATCCTGGAGCCGTAGCAAATACTGGGTTGATGAACAACATAATGCAGCAAATCGCGACCCATAAGCATCTGACGACCATATCACTCAACTGCAGGACCATTAAACCCATTTATTTCTTCGTCCATGTCGTGTCTCCGCAGGATGTTATGTGGGAGAACGTCATTTGGGAGAATGTGAACATGGACAATGCACCCTCACATGGTCCGTTCATCAAGTGGATCTTCGCTCTTCCCAGGCTGAAAACCTTCATCTGGAGTGAAGCCGGGTCTCTTCGTAGTATCACAGAAGAACTCCAATTCATTGACAAATCCGAAACTACTACTCTGAGTTTCTCCGTACTTCCAACCCGTGCAGATGATGATGATAGTCATTCTGCTGGATCTATTCTCCCCATTGACTCATTCCCACAAGGCTATCATCGTACATCGTTCGCTCAAGCCGGCCTGTTCCTTAGTCTGCCCCCCACAACAGAACATCTGGATTTCAAAACGGAAAAGATACCACAAGTTCAGCACACAGTATTCAATCCTGATGGTCCTCAAAAGTTTGCATGTCTGATTCGCCTAGAGTTGTCTGCACACGACCTCGATGGTTTAGACGTATTCCTTAGGCAGCTCAGAAACCCGCTACGCGAGCTCGGGCTTACAGTCCTAAACGAATCGTTTGGATTTTCATGGTACTATGTATGCATCGCCATTTGCGAGCATTCCGGGGACACATTGCAGACCCTGCGGATCCGCAACTCCATAGTGAAGGCGTACCAGACTCTAGATCTGACTTTACTTGTTCCTCTGCCATATCTACAACATTTAACCATCGACTTCCCTCATCTCGAGCCTGCATTCGAGGACGTAGACGTTGTTGACATCTCGACCACCTTGCCCAGCCTTGTCGAGCTGAGACTCTCTCCTGTCGTGCGTTTTCCCTGCCAGAGTAAGACTAGGTGTCGACTTATTTGGGACTATGCGCTCTGGGAATCGCTAGAGGGGTCGGTGAAGTACGAGGAGCTTTAGAAAAAGTCTAGCGCAAGTTACTGTGACCACTTATTGGTACGTAGACCGTCCCCATTCATTGGTGTTAATTTTTTAATTAAAACCTCTGATGCGGCAATATCAACAGGCCACCATTTCATTATATTTTCCCACTACATTCGCATTCTCACCGCCTTCTTTCGACTACTCACTCCCCATCTTAATTTCTTTCCGCATTGCGTGACGGGCTCTCAAATTCATGTCCAGAGCTAGTTTCAACCTCGTATGTTCTCCTGGTCATTGCCCGTTCTGTTCGACTATTCGCCCCTCGCCGACGCCATTGCTGAGTACTCCCTACCCAGTTCACATAACGAATGACCTCGCCTGTCGACGCGCTATCCTCTGTGGATGGAGATGAGTCTTCCCAGGCTACTGAGCGGTCGCACGGTCTGCACAATGGATATCGAGCATTTTGCATTTAATATCCGGCTCCTCGAACCACACGACATTCGTTGAGCCCAATTCGGGTTGCTCTACTCCAGCTTTTGGTCACCGCAGTCGCGATGATTTACTTGATCTCCACTATAGGATATGCGTCCACATGAATATTTGTTTTCCATACCCTCTCCACCCGGTGAAACGCTTCCACTGTAATTGCACTAGACATGCTCGAGCTTGCCGCACACTACCAGCCCCCAGATTATGATATTCTTCGTCACCTCTTCAGCTTCTTTTCCGCGCAGGGTTTCAAGGGCCATTGTGACATCGCGGATTCAGCACGCGTACGCGCATTCTTTTATCCTTCAGCAGGGACGTCCCGTGGAGCGAACTTCCGGATTTCCTTCGTTTATGTGGCGCATACCTTACGATATGCGGAAACGACTACAAAATCACTGTGAGCGCTCCTCAGCTCTATCCGAACAACGCCGGATGCCGTGCAAGTGGGGAACTGGTCGTCTGTGTAGCTATGCGTCATGGTTCGGAAATGAAGACTTCCGCTGGTTTGTAGGTACGTGTAATTCCAGCACCACGCTGGCCAAAACAAATGTCAGATAGACACAGACGACGCATACACACTGGACCATGCTATGAGATTCCTGAGGTTGTTCGCTCCAGTGCATCACTGGCAGTCTGGCCCATAGCAGGAAACATGAAGCACCTCGTAATCGGACGGCAATTCTTTACTTATACCTTCCTATTCGTCGTAAAAGCACTAGGGGATTTATCTCTGTGTGTATTCGATATTCTGCTCAGAGGTAGCAACAGGCAAAGGGCGGCCGATGGTCAGTTCTTGCTCGGAGAGCAAGCTCTCCCGACCCAAAAGTGAAAGTGTCCTTTTTACACAGTTGTTGTGCATTATTTGTTTTGTGGCAATTCTGTCCGCTCCCGTCTCCGAGCAAGTTCCGCCGCCGCCTGGCGGCTCCTGGCGGCCTTTCGAGTACTTAATTGGTATGCTCTGGCGCGGCGGCACGATCCGCGTGTGATCGGCATCGGGCACGACGATCTCATGTGACACAGCGTGACTGCTTCAGTACTTGAGCTGCAGCCCAGTCCAATCGCCCTTACCTGTTCGCCCACCCTCATCAACCCTGAGTCCGTCGATACCATGTCCCCCGTCTATCTTCATACCCGCCGCGTCTTTTTCTTCCGCTCCCGCAGCTCAACGAAGGGAAGCGCGCCCACCGAGAGCAATGGCGCCGCGACGGTGACGCCCGCGGTCACCGACTTGCCCTCCCACGCTGGCGACATCCCTGAAGCCGCCCAGTCGCCCCCAGCGCCCGCTGCGGACGCGCTCAAGCCAGCTGATCATGACGAGAAGGGCTCCAGTAGGCCCACCGACAACGGCCGGCGGCGGTTCACATGGCTCGCTGCCAGTTTCGCGAGCAAGACCAGCAATGACGACGAAGCCAAATCCCCTCCTACTAAACTCTCAGCCGGGCAGGAAAAGAAGGAGGGGCATAAGCTCACAGACGCTGCCGACGCCACGCCCCCGCTAATCCGCACGCGCTCGCAGGAGCGCGCCCGGCAATCCGCGATGGTCCTGCGCGACGTTATCGTCGGCCCGTCGTCCCTCGTGCCGGTAAAGGCGAAGAAGTCTAACGCGGCTGAGCTGGAGAAGGCCAAGGCGCAGCTCTTGCAGCCCAAGACGGCTAACAAGGTCATCGAGCAGCTCAGGCAGCTACCCTCCTCTGACGAGGCCGTCGGGACGACTCCGAGCGGAGAGGCGGTGGCTGCACCGCCTAAAGGTCCTATACATGCTGTTTGTTTATTGTATACGGACAAGGAAGCCCATGAGAAGCACTTTGCAAAGCTCGTTCAGAGTATGCCCAGCACAGAGGGCGCGGAGACAGCGCCTGCGGCGACTGTAGAGCGCGTGCACGTCGAGTCGCAAGAGATCGCTAGCGTGGTTACTGCGCCACTCACCCAGTTGAGGATGGTCTTTTCAGAGATTAATGTCGAGAGCTTAATGCAAATGGACTTGGGCATCGGCGAGCCTGGCGATGGTCCAGGAATCTTGAGCGGCGCTGTCCCCACTGCGGAGACAATTATCAATGGGGTTGAACAGATCACTCCACAGCTGATGGCGCTCGGCTATGCGACTGGTAAGGCTGTCTTGCCTGACCATACTGGTGCGTTGACAGCCGTCGCCGTTGAGTTCAAAAAGGTGTGGTAAACTGATACTGGAATTTTGTAGGCATATACCCTCCGACCGACCGCATGTCGGTGATTACTTGTGCGTTTGAACACTCATACTTAAAGCTCGCTTTTAACATCCGCTTGCAGATTGGTGGGGGTTTGAGGTCGTCATGCCACGCCCTTCCATAGCCTACCTTCAGGTATATCCCATACTCTTCCGAACCCTTTGTACTTGTTTTACCCCATCATCACACAGAATGTTCCCTCTGTTGCGCATGCAGTGATGAACTTCCTCACCGCGCTGGCGATCGTGCAGGGCGGCGTGCGGGAGATCCTCCCATTCGTGCGCTACATCTCGCAGTTCGTTGACACTGAGTTCAAGATGATCAAAGAGCAGGACAAGGGCAAAGGTGTCATCTGTGCTGCCACTTGGTAATGTTTTCTTGAGTACGCAGTATGTGATATTTGGCTTGACAATGGGTTCGTGCAGGATCATGCCTGCTGCACTTGTGCCCCGGCCGTGGGACTTCTCTCAACCGCCCGCGAAGGTGACGCAGCCGTCTGTGACTGCTCCAGCAGACATCACTGCCTCAGATACTCCAGTCGATCCTGCTACTTCCATTCCTCAAGGGCCTGTGCCCATACCCGCGCAGACAGAGACAGACGTGCCCGTACCCAGCGCACCTTCCGATGTTCCTCCCACCGGAAATACGGTACCCCTTTCCTCTCCGAACCCAGCCTATATTGCTCCAGCCTCGGCTATCCCTGTTTCCGAAAAGGCTGGAGAGGCCCTAAGCATTGAAAAGCCTAGTGCTGCTGAGGTGCCTGCTATTGCTGTAGCGGCGTGAGCACTTCTGCCGCACTACTAGATTTGTCTATTGTTGTTACTGCGTAGATTGGACCTGTTGTATCATTTCACTGGGACATTCTCTTCACTGGCTCAAGTTTTACATATTGCATTCATATCCACTTTTTCGTGATTCCCTCTGTATTCCTGCCGGTACTTCCGTCCTTCTTTTGTGATGACTGTTCATGACCTGTTATGATGATACGTGTGTATACGACCATACAACCATATACCTTACAGCTATTTAGTACCTGTTGATACCTGCTTGCATGTTTGTAAGTTATACACACTGTCTGTATGTTGTGTAGTGATGCAGTTCAATTTACATAAGTTTGCATCTGAGAACATTGGTTCCACATGAGCCTTTCAGAGATTTTCACCTCACTACTCTTGGCATAGATAGGAACAACTCTTCCTATCTAGAGGCTGGTTAACGAGCCTACTCTCAGCTATGAGGCATCTTATGGCCACCTCTCTATTCATTATTTCAGGTATTGGCACTGCCAAGCTTGTTCCATTAGGGTATTTGAGAATAGAAAATATGTTGTAAGACACTGTAATGGCCAGCAGTCATCTCAATCAATTCCGGCATTACAATAAAACCATAATATTGTAAGACCCACTCTAGCACCTGAGGCCGCTATGATGCTGGCCCGGCATTGACTTGTTACAATACATTACAAGGCCTTATAAGTAGGATTAGAAAGTTCCGACATGTGTCTACCTCAGATATCACCAACACCAACTAAACAAGTGATTCAGCATCTATTTGGCACCTTGAAATGCACTGGATTTTTTCCTGTCAAAATAATGGCTGTTTACTCTCTGACTTGGTCAGGTTATAAGACAGGGACTTAAGTGATTTTCCTTCATATGAGAAGTTCCTAGCCACACACCACCATCTACTCTCCTGTCACCAGCAACATCATCGGCAATGTTGAGTATGAATTCTTACTTTAGAATTATTTTATTTCTTTGTAAGCTTCAAAGTCAGTACTTTTCTCATGAGTCAAACTCGTTATGCTGCATCAATTAGAAGGCACACTGCTGTGATATAAGTATGGGCCCTTTACATTCAGCATATGCATATTGACTAACAGTTGACAGTTACAGAATTCATGTGATATTTTGTATATCATCATGTCTGACAGAGCCAAGACAGGTGTTGCAAATGCATAGAACTGATCTGGTTCAATCAGAGATGAGGTAACCTTTAAATAGAGGGTTATGCTAGAAACAAGACCAATATGTCTGCAGCTTATAGTCTTATTATGAGACCAACCCACAAAAATCACAGAACATTGGACAATACAGGCTTGTGGTTTGTAACTGTCATTACTGTGGTGGAATTGAAGTACTGCAGTATTTGTGTCAACAACATGTAGATGTGGATGCCCATACATATACAACTATTGATGTGTGTGGATGGGCAAAGGTGACTACTGGCACCATCTTTTCTTCAAGATCTTGTGGGCTAGCATAACATCAGGAAAACCCAACTTTTACTTAAAGGTGTCCTTATGTGACTTAAATGCACTTATGGGCCTTAAATAAGGTAAAAAGTACAAAAAGTCCATAAGTCATATTTCCTTAGAGACTTAAAAGTCAACTTTTGGGAACTTATGGGCCTTAAATAAGGCAGAAAAGGACAAAAAGTCGGAATAAGTCCCATAAGTAAAAGTTGGGTTTTCCTGATGAAAGAGATGGAGCTGTTTCTCATAACAGCATGACATTGCAAACTTGCAGGAATTATGTGTCAGGTTCACACAGGGGTCTAGGTTGAGGAAGCATGCTCAGTCTGAAAACTTCTTGGAAATTATCATATTTTGAGTCTCTCCATTCTGTGCTCATTCAGCATTCACCTTCTGCAGTTTGTTCAGTACAGGCTTCAAGATTGCAAGAAGTGGAGAGGTTAGTCATTCTCTTTGATACTATAGATGTCTTCTCTCAGCACAATGACAACTTTGTAGGCTCTAGTAGATGACTCACTCATATTCTCCCACTTTCTGTGTGCACCCCTACTATTCAATTTCATTCTATGCTTTGTGACATCAGTGTTGATAGTGCAGAGTTTAAGCCCAAAACTTCAAGAACATAAACTGGGCTATTATGAGGATTCAGATAATGAGAAGGTGCAGCAAGTGCACAGCATGTGACAGATGAGAATGATGTTTTGGATAAAACACAATCCAAAACAAAATCCTCCTGAGGTCACCAGACTTAAACAAAGTTAGAAAATATTTCTTAGTATATTTAATGTAGTAATCACTTGGTTATCTGGTAGTAATTGAATGTGAGAGTGTGTGAGTGAGTAAGAGGGAATGTCTGTCTTATATTAAGACAGAGAGTATGACTGAGTAATAAGTGACTGAGTCGAAGCCTGTCTGTCGTTCGGCAGATAAGAAACACTGGACGGCAGTTGAGAACAGAATCAAGATGAGGATGTATTGATGTAAGGAAAGATGGGGTGTGAACTATGTGTAAGAGTAATGTATGCGGGGGAGGGGAAGTCATGGGAGTGAAGGGGGAAAGACGAGATGTTGACATGTTGACAGTCATAAGCCTATATCGTCGATGGGTGACAGCAAGACAAACATAAGCAAAGCACATCATGGTCATGTGATCGTGATCGTGGTAAGCAGCAGGCTTACACCACCCGGCGTGTGTAAGAAAAAGTGCAGGGTAATGAGTAAGTGTAAGTGAGTAGAACAAGTGTAAGTGAAGAAGAGATATTATCAGCATCAACATGCGCCAGCAAACAGGTGCATCAAAAACCCAGTGGAAAAAGCTACCATGTAGTTGGCCCAACTCCATCAGAATCCAGCCACCAGTCGAGTGCTTCGCAGTGTTGTAGTTCCAAAGTTGGGAGCCAACGGTCTTCTTCGGACCCATAACTGGTCCACCGTACGAGGAATTGCCATCCACGTCCACATTGGTGTGCATCGATAATGCTGTCGATGAGGTACTCCTGCGTGCCTTATGTGGTCAGGACAGTGGGGGGTTGTTCGAGTTCGTGGGTAGGGAAGAGTGACACATCGTTGGAACAGTGGCATTTGAGCTCGGAAGCATGGAAGGTGGGGAAGATGTGAGGGTGGTTGGGCATCGCAAGGGTGTAATTTGAAGTTGCTGTGTGTACGTCAGTTACTTTATATGGACCATTGAAGCGAGGAAGGAACTTGGCGACACAAGCATTACTTTTGTTCTTGTATTCTCTTCATCAATGGAGGGTGGACAGCATGACGAGATTGCTGACAGCGAACTTGTCATCAGGACCCGATAAAGGTTCATGAAGTACACTTGATGTATCTTCACTTGTAAAAGATTGTCCTTTGTGTCATCGATATCAGTGTGCAAGCATTCAATGAAGTGGAAAGCATCTGCCTCGGCTGTGGAGAGCTCTGCAGAGGAGCAAGGTATGAGTGGCTGAATGACGCGCGGTAAGCGACCGAAGCGAAGATGAAAATTGGAGTAACCAGTGGATGTGTTAATGGTGTTCATAATGTCGAAATGGACACAGGGTAGGGTGCGGAGCCATTCCTTCTGATTATGGTGGACGTGGTATCGGATGGCCTGGTTGATAGTTTTGTTAGTGCGCTCACTGATGCCATCGGTCTGGGGATGGTATGTGGTGAAAAGTTTCAGCTTGACGCCGGTGAGCTTGTGCAGAGCTGTCCAGAAATGAGAGATGAAAAGTTTGTCACAGTTGCAAACAATGTTCGTGGGTAGGCCGTTCTCACAATACCAGTGGTCGAAGAAGAGAACAGCTAATTGTTGTGCGGTGATATCGACTGTGGTGGGAACAATGCGAACATCTGAGTGCAAACAGTCCGTAATGGTGAGGATGCAGTTGAAACCATCCTCCATGGGGAGGGGTCCAATAAAATCCATCGCAACACAATTGCTGCACTGATCAGGTATTGGCAGCGGATGAAGCGGTCCCACGGGGCATTGTGTTCATGACTTATTTCATTGACAATCAGCGCAGGAGGGAATATAAGAATCTTCGAGGTTGCGCTGCATGTTCGGCCAGTAATAGCAATTGTGAAGGGCTGCATACCAGAACTGAAATGACTGAGACAGTCGTGCGCCAGTCAAAAAAGATTCTTGCAGATCTCTGCGACACGTGGGATGAGAAGGCGGTGACCGATGTACCAAAGACCATTGGATGTAGTGACACCGAGCATGGAGGAAGTGGTGGCTATGGCCTTTTGGCAGAAGGGGTCAGTGGCATAGCCTGCACAGATGGCATCCAGAATAGAAGCATCAGCAGTGATGGAGAGGACTGCTGTGGAGGAGGAGGAATGCATCTAAAGTACGTGAGGTGGCGATGAAATGGGTGGTTCATTCTCTCCTGGAAAGGCATTTGGAGTGACGCGCAAGAGTGCATCTGCGACGGAGTTGTCCTTGCCACATATGTAAACTATATGTAGGTCATACTGAGACATAAATTCCTGCCAGTGCAACTGTCGGTGTGAAAGATCACATTAAGTGTCGAAGTTTTCAAGGGTTCAGTGGTCAGTATAGACAGTTACAGGCATGCCAATGAGGTCAGATTGCCAGTGTTTGAGGCCACAGATGATCGCGAGCAATTCCTTTTCATGTATGGGGTAATTGCATTTGGGCCCTTTCAGTTGCATTGAATCGAACATGACGGATCATGCAGTTTCCCAGGTGAGTCCGAAGCTGAGCGTGGCACCTGTGCACCAATCACTAGCATCGCAAGTGACGAAAATACAATTTTCACCTGGATTTCCATGGTCAATGACTGTCAAGCACTCACGACTCACCATAAGTGATTTGATGATATCAATGCAGCCTGGTGCTGATCAGTCCAGGGCAGAAAATGTTGTTTCACTTTTTTCGTTGTGAGCGGTGTGAGCACAGTAGTATAATCTGCGAGTTTTGGCAGATAGCAGGAGATATAGCATACTAAACCGAGGAAGGAATGGACATTGGTAGTCAACTGGGGGCAAGGCCAGTTGAGAATTTTGTCAACTTTAG